TAGAACTTCTTTAGTTTGAGTTAATTTTTAATTTGGGAATAAATAAATGATTATGAAAATGAAAATGAAAAGATTATAGTCAAAATGGCATGACATTTAACATTCAATTCATGTCATTTTAAAAAGCCATATAATGATCCTGAATTCTATTCTCTAAAGAAATTTGATTTTTTGAATTCATAAATCTCTAGAAAATTGTCTTCAAATTTATCTATTTGCAGTAGTACAAATATCTGAAAGCATATCATTTTAAAAAGAAAAATATTTTCAATATAAAATAATTATAAATTTTATCATAGTTGAATTTAAAGATATATATATAAGTTTAAGAAATATTATTAAAGATTTGATTAATATTAATAACCTAAAAATTTAGTGTCACGCTTTAAGAGTAAATTAAAGAAAAAATTAATTTAATTCAATTTATTTCTTATTAAATATAATTAAAATTGTTAATTAAAATTATTATCGTTAAATAATTAATATTCACTCTGTGGCTCCTTTTTAAACTAATAGTTTTTCTGTTCTGACATTATGATTGATTCTAATAAACAACATTCTTGAGCTGACCAAAATTATTATTAGGCAAATGATTAGTAACAGACTATCGCATATTAATTTAATTCTTGATATTATACTTCATTTTGCTTTTACTAATTCTTTTTTTTTGATAATTTATTTATTATATATCTATTGAAAATAACATAACAGATCTATACTTGAGATATTTAATTAGTGCATAATTTTTTTTTTTTTCCCAATTTCAGAATGTAATTAAATTTAAAAAATCGTATTTATTTTAACCACCTGCTAATAAAAGATTCCCTTTGGTGATAAAGCAATACATTTTATTAAGTTTAAGTCTTTTGTAACTTTTTTTAAATGAGTAAAAATTTTTTAGTTCTGAAATTCATAAATTTCTACAATGCTTGAAGTCATCTTATTTTAATTGAAATTTATAATCATTTTAAATGAATTTATTTATGCATTTTCAAATTTAAAAAATTTTTCTTTTTTATTCTCAATAAATGGTTTAATTTCTTTCTAATAAAATTCTCTTTTTTTTCTAGAAATGATTGAATATTTTTTCAATTTAGAAATATCCACATCCTCCAACCCTTAGTTTAATCAGATTATCTAAAGGTAATGAATGATTTGAATTTTATTTTTATGAGGAAGAAGTCGATTATGATACACAATTTTGAGTTTAATAATTTTTTTATTTCACATTGGGAAAGTTGCCCATCATATTTTTGTATCATTAAATTTTTCAGAAATTTTATCATTACATTTAGTTAATGAAGCTAATTTTTATAATTAATTTTATTTTCTTACTGTAAAATTTAAATCTAAAAAATTTTCTTTTTAGCTTTTTTATTATCTTATTTATTCATAGCCCATGTTGTGTTTCTAATAATATTTCACATAAAAATGATTCAAAACTTTGATTTAAAAATTTTACTCAACATTTAAATCTCTTTTTAGCTTAGCCAAAATTCTTTTTGCAGTTCTTGAGTTTTAAATAATTATAAATCAAATAAATGATGGCAGATTATTAATTAAATTGAAAAGCAATACACTTTAAACCAATTATGAAATAAAATTCACAATAATTATTTTAATTTTTTTTTTAAGAATAATGGCAATAATATTTTGTATTTTTTAATATAATATAAAAAAAGATAGATTTTTTGTATTAACTAATTTTTCTTTTTTTATAATTAGAGATAGAATGGAATGAGACAATTTCTGTGAATATATATTCTTCGTGAATCATTAATTATAAATTAATTTAAACTCGACTCATAGGAACATTATTGACCTTTTATGGAAAAGATAAATGATTTTTTTGGTAGTGAGATATATTTTAATAATACAAGAAATAATTGCTATTATGATAAATAAAAGAGATATTGAAAGAAAAGATAACATACAAAATAAAGCTGAATTTCAACAAATTAATTGCAAAATGAAAGAATTATGAACAAAAAATGATTTTTAGATACAGAGGGATAATTTATTAAAAATGATGGGTCATAGAATACAAAAGAAATGATAATAATAAAATTATAGAAATAGTTAAGTTATATATTGAATTATTTTAAAAATATATAATCTACAATATTACTTTTTATTATTTAAGAATGAGAACAGAAAATAGATTTACAATTAGAATTTAGTTACAGTATTTTGAATTTTCTCTTGAAAATAAAAAAATTGTTGCATATAATTAATAAAATAAATAAAGAATGTAATTTATAACAAAAAGTATTTCAATCAAAACAAGTGATTATTCCAAAAACACCACCTGCAATACCAAATAATACAATAATTGAATTAAATATCTAATAGATAGGTTTAAGAGCATAGTGAAAAGTCATACCATATGGAATGATATATCCTAATGAAACACAGCAAATACATCCAACAATGGATAAGACTATGGCAAAGTTAGGATACAGGAATGCAGTTAACTAAATAAATAAAATGATTTGATTACCATTTAGGAAAGCACATAAAGAATTTTCAAAGTAAATTTTTGAATTTTATGAGTATTAAGATTTACAAGCTGATAGACTGGCATATTAACCATTAATGTATTGATAATCAAAATAGAGACATATGAAATCATTAAGATTGAGAGTGTGATTTCTATTGGATAATTTCCTTTAAATTCTATTTAAAAATTAGTAATGATTGATTAATCAGTGTTAGATTGAAATAATAATGAACTTGATATACCAAAGAATAAGTATAGTATAGTTTCTAGTACCATGGCAATAAAGAGACATTTTTTAAATGAACGAGTGTCTTCCATTTCAACTCTAATTTCTGTTAAAACCCCATTGATGTCATAAGCAAAAATCATAATTCCAAAAGCCATCATAACTTTTTTAATATCAGGTTCAACTAGACCCCATTTTTGATATTGTACAACTGCCAAGGTTGACAGATAAGCAAATGATAAGTAGACTAATAGTAAAGCATATTTCAAGATAGGAGTAAAAATCTATAAGTCTTTGCCAAAAGAGAATCCAAATATAATGATAAATAGAAAAGAGAACATAACTAATCTACACCATAAATTATTGTCAAAGTATTCTCCAATAGTAGTTTAAAACAATATGACGTAAGATAGCCCACATCCAAAATTCAAAAGGATAGACATCACTTTAGCTAAAATATATATCCAATTCCTATCTCCATAAATAGAGGATAGATATTCAATAAGTGTTTATCGTTTTTCTTCTCCTAAACAATTTACCATTGTACACCATGATTTATATTACGTAATACAAATTAACAATTATAAAATTACACCCCACAACAGTCCAGACTAAGAATAAGCAAATGGTATAGCAAATACGCCAGATCCTAATGTTACCTTTATTAATTTAGTGGTTGTCTAAAAATTGGTTGATCTTGGTTTTTTTTGATTATCCGTAATCAAAAATGACTCCATGAAATATTTTATAAATACTATAGTTTTAATCTTAATTCAAAACATATAAAAATAAACAAGGCCATTTCTACTTTAGAAATAGTTGTTCTGTAATTATTAACAAAAATATTTATAATATAAAATAATCTTTTAGTATTGCATCTACAATGAGTATTAAATAATTCTCATAAACTATCATTTTTATTAGCCATTTAAACATTATAAAAGTAGCATTCTTAACTTATGCTTAATCTTCTTGTTCTATCATCTGAGATCATTACTTCACATATCCTAAATGTATAATATATGTACTTATTATTCCTCTGACATTTTCCTACTTCTTATTTCCAATCTTACAGAATCTTAACTTAAATATGCTAAACAATTTAAAAATCCCCAAAAACTCAAGAATGCTAATGATATCGATGTTTATGTCAATCCAATTTAAGAAACAAATAAACTTTAAATATCTTCTACTGTGAAACTAAGAGTACAAATAAATGTTATCATCGGAAATAAAAGAATTTATTTTATCAACTTTCTTACTTCTATATAAATTTCCTAGTTCTCTTCATTATCCTTCAATACATGTTTTATTCTGTTTAATATACTCAAACTATATATTAAGTATAAACTTATTGGAATTATCCAAAGTATCAACTTTTAAATATTTAATTACATCTTTTAAAGTAATGGATCTGTCTAAATATTGTAAAATAAACAAAGTTATGAATTCTTTTATTAATATAATAATGCTGTTATTAATGGATAAGTTATTAGAATTAAAGGAAGTCCAAAAGAATATAAACAAAATTTACTCTCTAATTTCACTAACTTTTTAAGAATCTCTCTAATGTCCATAAATTCTGATGAATTCTAATTATTAAAAACCATAAACAACTATGTCATTGATGAATCAAATACTTATTTTATCGAATATATCAATATTGAACTCCAAATTATTGAACTTAATCCTCCATAAAGTCTAAACAATCCAAATAAAGTACAATTTAATTCATCAAAACTTGACCCCAGAATACCTATAGTCTATTCAATAAATTAATATTAGCTCAAGTACCTATATGATTCCACCTATTGTGAGATAAAGAATTATTCTTGGAATTAGACCATTTCGAAGTTTTGTGAAATAAAAAAAAAGCACTACAATTATCATCTATCCTATTAAGGATAATGTGGCACTTGAAATAATTCCAATATTATTCGTCATATTAAATTAATAAAATGAATTTAATTTAATTGTATGTAAAATTATTTATCTAGTAATCCATTTAACAATAATCGAAGTTTAAAGGTAGTGATATATTTCAATCTTGATTTGCATTAAAGGATTAACAATCGATTTATATTTTTATTTTTAAAATAAAAATTTTGAATTTGTTCGAAGTAAATTATTAGAAGAAAGATTAAGAATTCTTTTGATAATTACAATTCACAATATTGTAGATGGGTTTGTATTAAATAGTTTTGAATATTTAATAATAAAATTATAATGAATTACACATTAGAGGGAAAAGTTAAAATAGATTAATTTCTGCAAATACTCAAAATTTTCTCTTATCCTATTATTATATGTGATGATGAAAGTATTTAACTGATTTTAACTAAAAGAAATGCAATTTTCAGAAATAATGGAGAATTAAAAATTTAATGAACTCAATAAATCAGATAAACCTGCTAGCTTTGCTTAAATAAATAATGATTTCTTTAATGAATTTCAATCTTAAATTAGAGAAAACCATCTTAAATTTGCAGAAACTAGTTGCCTAAACATAAAAATGTAGCAAGATGTTTGTTTATTAAATTCTTAATTGAACTATATTTGCTGTTAAATTCCAATTGATATAATATATAAAGCATTAAAGCCATTAGCAAATTCTCAAATAAAAATTTTAAAATTTTCTTTCACCTACCTACTAATAGAAAAAAATTATGATAACAAATACATTTAATTACATTTTATAGTAGGAGCATACTCAGAAAAAGGTTTCTTTACTATCATGAAACCAGTATAATTGCTTTAATAAAGGGACATAGAGCTCCCAAATTTAAAAAATAAATTAATTACTATAAATTATGAAAATTGCAAAACAATAGCTTAGCAAATGAAAAAATATCCAATTGAAATGAGTTGTAATGTTGATGAGATATCATTTTCTCCATTATCTATGGATTCAGAATAAATTGATATCTGGTCTGGAGCTTTGCCATATTATAATTCATCTTTTGTAGAAGAAATTTATGGTAATTTAATTATTTAAGCTATATATGCAAAGACTTATAATCCAATTTTAAGTTACAGTTAAAAAATTAAATAAGATTGCACAATTTATATCACTCCTGTTGAAGATGATTCAAAAGTGGCCCTTTTATATTTTGTAGCTAGTGAATAGAATATTATTATATGTAATAGATAGCAAATTATAACAAATGATGATTCAAGATAAAAAGGTAGATTGTTTTCAAATTTAAGCGAGGATATGATCTAAGAAATAGAAGAAATTGGTAGTTAAATTGAGAAAAAGTTTTCTTAAATCTAAATAACTACAAATGTGAAAGATAATTACAATAGTTGCTATGACAATTAACCTTTAAAAATGGCATATTCAACTATAGAGGATAACAATAGTAAAATGTATAGTACAATCAATTAGAAGGAACCATTATTGTTTATTCCACCAAAAGTGACAGGATCAATTAACGATGCGATTTTGGATTACATGACTAGAAATTCATGTAAATAGACAGCAACTACTTTATCAAGATATAAATCAAATTATTAAACTTGAATAGAATTAGCTTATTTTTAATTAAAATTTTATATATTAGAGATTTCTTCTGAGTTTAGCAATTCTAAAATAGAAAGCAAAAAAGTACCTTATTTTTTATTCTAGTGACTAGTTTTTTTAGTATTCTAAAAATTAATTACAAAATAATTTATAATTTAAATGATTATAATCGAATAACAATAAATTTATAATCCAGTTTTAAAAACATTTAGATTTTATAGAATTTTAACTAAATTTTCATTTCATCTCTTTTTTATTCTTAACTGAAACTGATTTAAAACTGTTAGAATTTGAATTCTGATTATTGTGTTCAATTTTTAAAAAATGATATATAGTATAAAATATAGAATTTTAGATAAAATATAATTAAATCAAAAAGAAACACAAACATTCCAACATCCAGTATTTGATTTATGGTTTTTTTAAATTTGAAAACTAGGATTGCTAACATCAATATTGTATTTTTTCCAATTTTCCACTATGATAATATCATCTTTTTATTTGAAAGAAACAGTCAAGTTCTTTTTAGATTCATCTTCTATTTGTTTAGCTGCTAGTTATCCTAAGCTTGTGTAAGGTCCAAAATTATGAATTTTCTTAATTTGTTTATGACAACTTTATTCTTGAAGTTTTTCTGAATCCATTTGGATTTTTAATTATATATATAAATATGCAAAAAAAGACATGAAATATTCAATAAAAATAATGAATTTGGAACAGAATTGGTCCAATGAGAATCTACATTCCTTCATGTAATACATGGCATTTGCTAGGTAAATATAAATCATATTATTATTGATTAGCTAATAAAGCAAATGTACCAAATTGAGTAGGATCTAAATGATTTGATTCTTTTGGATAGATTAACCATTAGTTATTTTTAAATTTAATTAAACAATGTTCTTTTTACAAAGTAGAGTCATGAATAACTATAAAACATTTTTTACCACAACCTAATATAAATTCTTAATTAGGTTTAAGTGTAAATTCTTATCCTTTTAAAGGTCCTCCAATAAATTCAATAATTAAAATTGGTTCTTCTTCATGCTGAATAAAATTAATTTTTCGTTCTCTAAAATCTTAAACTGATTTATATTAACTTATTTATTTAAGAAGATCAGGTAAAGAATTTTTGAGACTCTCTTAGAAAGTAGAAATTTGAGTTGAAAATTTGGGAATAGGTTAAATATATTTGACTTAGAATAAAGTTTCTTAATTGAGTTTAATAATCATATAAGCATCTAAAATAAGTTATTATTTGATTCTTTAACATGTTCTAAATGATTTTGAATTATCTTTAATTAAGAATAGATTATTTGGAGTCCATATAAACTTAGTATGTATAGGATTAACTTTTAAGTCATTCAAAATTTGAAGATCACAATTTTATCCACTTCCAATAGTAAATACTTCCTCTTATTTCAAAGGAAGGTTGTTTTAAGTAGTTCTAGTAATTTAAATGTCTCTAAATTAATCTGGATATCCATTAGTGATGTAGAGAACCTTTAGTTAAATGCATCTTAATATTTATTTAGGAATTTAAAAGGATTACAATGTAAATTAATGTTTGAACAATGCTTATCTTTTAGATTATATTTTCCAATACTAATGATATATTTAATAGAATACTATCTCATAAAATATGATATAATCTCCAATTTTAATGACATTTCTGTAATCAGGATCGATAATCTATTTAATGAATAATAATTATTCTTCATCTAAAATAATTGATCCATACTATAAGATAAACTTAGAAAAGGCATCACTAAATTCATCCCAACTTACTTCAATTTGATTGTTAAAGTGCTTTTCCCAAAACAAAAATGCTGAGTCCATTATATTCTTTAACTAAAATAAAATTAAACATATAAGAACTCTCAAAAAATTGATAATAATGTAATAAAATTCATTATCCTGAAAAACTCAGTCTTTTAAAATTCTTTAAGATTACTTCAACTTCTATTATTACTTTTCCATTTGAAATGCTATTCAAAATTTTTCTTCTTGCAAAATCTCCTTTATCTGTTGTTAATGGAGCTAATGTTGTTAAACGTGGTGGATTTTCCATATAAAATGATAATGCTTGAAATCTCCAATCTAAAGATCTATCAAATTTAGAAAATTAATCTGTATTTGTTGCTAAATCTTCATTTGGTTTTCTTATTTCAAGATCTAAATTCTCTCCAGTAGGTGTCCACGTTTCACTATATAACTAGTATTTATATCTAAATACCATGTCATTTAATGATATCCAGCACTTCTTGGAAATATTGATGTACCATAACTACAAGCATCTATTTTATTTGATGAATCCAATCTCCAAACTTTTAATAATGCTTTAGGCCATCCTATTATATTTGAAACTGAAAAATGTAAATCAAAAGGATGACACCATGAGAAAAGTTATCCAGGCTATTAATTATCATTTTTTATTTTTTTATACATTTGCATAACTTGTTTAAGTTTGAATACCTTTATTATTTCCTGGTTATAATAAATCCCATCCATCTCCACAATCTATTGCTAATTCACAAAATAATCCATCATCTGTTTAAAAATCAAGCCCACCTACAATCTATCCTATAAAATGTATTTCAGCCTTTAAATCAGCCTTTGTTTATTTTATTTCTTAATAATCTAACTGATTCCCTGTTTATTGATAAGGCACACTCATTTTCAAATTTTATACCAAATTATTATATATAATATTTTATCTTTTTATATCATTTCTAAAATTTTATTCCCCACAACCTATTACCTATTACTATGTTATTTTTTTTAAAGTATTTATTTTCTTCTTCTCAATAATTAATATATTTGTTAATAATTCTTTATATATAAATAAAATTATTGGTGAAAATAAAATATGTTCAAATATGAAGTTCTAGATAATTTTGGTTGAATTTAAGAAGGAAAAATATTTAATAACTGAGTATTTAAGTCTAAAACAATTGTGATCAACATTTTAATTATTTATTTTCAAATAATATGGGTGATCAAACAAATAGACAACATACATTTGATGATTTAGATTACACAAATATTATTCTTAGAGCACCTCTAATAAAGTAATTTATATTTACTATAATCAAGACCATTAAAAGAATCTTCTATTTTTATACCAGAACTATAATTAACATATGAAACCCCAAAATGTTTTAAGAAGATGTCTTTGACAAATATATCAGATAATGATAAACAAGAAGTGTTCTAGATACCATTTGTCGATAAAAATATAAAAAAGAGATAAAAATTTTAAACTGAAAATATTCGTCATACTATCATAAATATGTTGGAAAGAAAATTATTAAGCAGATATTCTTTAAAAATACAAAATGAAAATAATAGATTTTGATTTCAATTCATAACTCTGTATATTATATTGTTTTACATTTAAATTTATATTAAATTTTATTTAAAATTAAAATCAAATTTTAGGAATCACTCTAATTTTTATACTGATTTTTATTATAAATTGAACTGATTAAATTATTATATGTATTTTCAACATTTCTATTTAACTTTATCATCAAAGATTTTTAAATGATTTAACATTATCTTTGCTAATTTCTTAATTTTTTCAATAAATTTTATTGCTTTATTTCAATTCTCCAAATCTAATTTTATAATGTTAAGATTTTTGAATGTGTATTTGATTATAGGTTTTTTTTGATTTTGTATATCAAATTTAACTCATTTTATCAATAATCAAATAAACAAAATTATTGCTTGACATTTTACTTTCTGTTTATAAAAATGCCCTAAAAGAAAGTCTGTTTGAATGTTAAAAGACTAAAAAAGAATCTAATCTTGGAAATTATTATAATAATAATCTTTAGTTCTATCAGATACAACGCAAAGAGTTAAATTAATACATCACATTAATAGACTATTTAATATATGGCAAAATCAAGAATTTTTCTCCATTTTTATAAAGCAATATAGTTCATGATGAAAAATTTTCATCTATTTTTTCTGGTTTTATAGTGAAGATAATTTGTAAATTTTATGATTTTTGCTTGCAAAGTAAGTATTTAATAACAATATACTTATTCCATAATTCGTCTTAAATAGCTAATTCATGATACATTTATTAACATTCTTCCAATATATCTAATTTTTTTTCATTTTCTCTGTTTGGATCTATATCATAATTTAGTATTGCTTCAATCACTATTGGAAATGATTCTCAAAGACTGATGATATCTACCTTTATTGCTTTTTTATAAACAATACAATCAATAATAAACTTTATTGATATTAATGTAATAAAATTTTATTAAACTTTAGTACTTATTTTAAAGAATTGAAAATACAAAAATTATGTATTTGGATAATGATTCAAATGATAACTAAAAAATTCTACAGATAATTAATTTTAATAATAAAAAGTAGAATTTTAAGCTTTGAACACTAAAAGAGCTGATTATTAAATTTAAAGTTTCAAAATAATCTTATCTTGACATATTTATATGAAAAATGGATAATCTTTTTGTATACAAAATATAGACTTTGATTTTAATTAAAATGCAGATGATACATAAGTAATTAATTATATATAAAAATTTATCTAAAATTAAACATAAAGATATTTCATATTCTTTTAGAAAAATAAAAAAAAAGAATTCTAAATAGCAATTAGACTTCTATTTACCGAATGCCATGAATAATTAATCTTTAAGAAAATAAAAATTAATGAATATAATATGTTTCTAATATTAAAGGGTATGGTATAGATGTAATAAATCAAAATTTCTTAAACCTCAAATTTGTTCATTGTTTCGACTTAACATTAGATTAAAATTGAAAATTTCCCTTAATCATATTTGCTAGTAGGTTTCTAGTTTTATATAATGCAGTTGGGTCTTCAAAATTTATTTTAGAACTTAAAATTTTAGTATTTTCTTTGAAATTGATTTGTTAATTTTTTACAAGAAGGTATGTTTTCACTGTTGGTGGTGATGAATCCATCTAGATTGTATAATTTAAATATTAATAATTTTTGAGTGATTAATAATCGCTGATTTATAAATGATAATGTTATGGAGAATTTACAAATTATTGTAATGATGTTCTTTTTTAATGGAATATAATCAATATAATATAGACAATATTAAGATTAGAAGTTAATATGAACGATAAAATAATTTATGAAGGAGAATGATGATATATTTTCACTAAAATAATTTGGAATGAAAAATAAATTGATTTTTATATTATATTAATGAATATAAACATGATTACCATTTAAAACGCTGAAAGCAGTATCTATTTTGAAAACAAGATTATGATCTTATGATATTCTATGTAAAATTAATGATTTAGAAATTTTGAAGGCAATCAATAAATTTTTTAAAATATAACTAGTAAATAGGAAAATTTGAAAGTGTTTTAGAAGTAATAATCATTGTAATAAAATAAAATAATGGGAAATGAATGTAAATGCTATTAAACATAAGAAGAACAAACTTAAATAATGATAACAAAGAGTGAGAGAACAAATGAGTTACGAAAATAATTAATTAGCGAAAGAAAACTCTTAAATTAAAGGAGACATAATACTGAAACAATATATTAGTCAACGAATAATTGTTACTAAAAATCATCAAAATTTTCATAAAGAAATGATGTCTAAGTTTACAATAGTTACTTTTAAAGTATAAAGTCTTATAAAGAGTATAATTCACTTTAAAACCATCATCAGAAATTTGAACTTAGTTAATCGTTATAACAATAGAATACAGAAAAGAAAAAATCAGATAGTAATTTACGCTATGATGGAGATTGGGTAACTCAATAGATTATAATAGTTAGGAGAGGTTAGAGATGGTTTTGGTGAATAAATTTGGAAAGATGGTGCTCGTTATATAGGAGAATGGAGAAACAATTAGGCAAATGGTTATGGTATATTCTATCATGTTGATGGTGATATTTATGAAGGGTTTTGGAAGGAAGATAAAGCGTAAGGATATGGTGTATATATGCATAAAGATGGATCTAGATATGAAGGAGATTGGGATTAAGATCTATATCATGGAACTGGTTGTGAAACATGGGCAGATGGTAGTATATATGAAGGATAATATTCTAAAGGTATGAAAAATGGTTAAGGAATTTATAAATGGGCTGATGGTAGTATATATGATGGATAATGGGAAAATAATAAAATGAATGGGTTTGGTAAATATACATGGTCAGATGGAAGATATTATGAAGGATATTGGAAAAATGATATGATGCATGGAAATGGAATATAGATATGGCCAGATGGAAGAAAATATGAGGGTGATTATGAATTTGATAAAAAAAATGGTTTTGGAATTATGGAGTGGGGAAACGGAAAAAAATATGAAGGTTATTGGTTAAATGGTAAACAACATGGTGAAGGAAAATTAATAAGTCAAAATCAAGAAATTATAGTCTGCTAATGGAAAAATGGTTAAAGACTATGATTATATAGATATCTAATTAATTATATGATTTTATACATAAAAATACTCTTCTATTTTTAGAATTTTCAATCTAAATATCTAAATATCTTAATTCACTTATTGCATAACCATCTAATCATTTTTAAAATAGAAACAATCAAATTTTATATTGAAACTTGTTTCTTGATATTTTTAATTTATCAAATGAATTAGTAACAGAAGGTTTTCTAAAATAAAATACTCTAAATGAATACATGAATTCAAATATACCTTAATCATTATAAATTTATCTATTTGAAACAAAAGTATAAAAACATAATCAATTAGATCTGTAAAAACTTTAATTATTATTATCCCATCCTCTGACTGAAGGTAAAACAATCAATTTATTATTGAATTTAATAGGCTCTAGATTTAGATTAGAAACTTTTTTTGCATTTTGTAAATAATTTACCTTTACTTCTTTTTAGATTTCAGGAACCTTATTTTTAATAAATTCAGATTTCATTAGTTTGAGTTTAAAGATTTTCATTTCTTCATATTAAGGTAGATGAGAGGATGGCTTCTATAGTTTAATTGAGAATATAGATTATTTTTGATCATGAGAGTTTTCTTTGGAAGATTTTGACTCCCTTCTATTTTTGAAAAGCTTTTTATCATATAAATATAGATTTCTATATTTTTATATTTAGATTCTTTATGAATTTGGTTATTAAAAAGTCGAAGGTTGATTTTGAAGAGAGTTTTTTCTACCTGATAATTCTACAAAAATTTTAAGATCTTCAGTTTAATGCCTTTCTGAAATTGAATATAATCTATTTGGACGATACAATATGGGGTTTCTTTTTTAAAGGGATTCTTATCTGTTTAAATTCATTACAGAAAAAATAATAAAATTAATTAATCATTAAAAAAAATGTTTATTATTTTCAGAACATATCCTCTAGCTTTCTTTGTTGCAATTGAATTTTTGCCTATATGAATAATAAGATTAATTACTTTAAACATTTAATGTTTGATTCCAAAGTACAATTAGGGTTTATTTTAATTTTAAGTATTTTGATTGAGATTAATTCTTTTTTATTGAAAAATTTCTAAATGATCTAAATATCTGTAATCAGTAGAACGATTATTTAAAAAATATTTTGGAGTTGTTGCAGGATTAGAGGATTTTATTTTTCTTTATATATTTAAACTATTGTTCCTTTTTTATTGGATAATAATTTGCTTCAAATTAGAAGTTCTTAAAAATTTAGTTTAAGTTATTTGATATTGTTTTCTAGAATTTTTGATACCAAAAAGGTCAGATATTTGTATTGGATTATCATCTAATAGATAATAAACTAAAGCTTTTTAAAGCATAAAAATATTAATAAGATAATGAGTAGGAATAAATGTTTTGATATATTTTTGTATTTATAAATAAAAATAGTCAAAAAAACCATATAGAAATGTTGAAAATAATGGAAGATAGAATTAGAATAAGAAATAAAGTTTAATTTATTTAGAGAATATATAAAAAGTGATATAAAATAATGAAACCTTTAAATAAAAATGTGTAAGTAATTCATAATTGGCATGATAGTCCAGTTAGAGTGAATTTGAAAAAGTATTGGAAAAAGAATCCTCTTGATTATATTTAATTACCAAAACCTTATTCATAAAAAAATAAGATAACTTATTCTAAGAGAATTATAAATGATTTCGTTGAAGTAGTGAATCATAGATAATAGATGGTTAATGGTATTGTAGAGACAGCAAATCATTTTTAAATGGCATCATCAAAAATAAAAGATTGTTTTGCAGAATTTTATGGTCCTGAAAATCATTATTAAAAAGAATTAGATAGAGTATTAGATAATGTAAAACCAGAGTTTAGATATATAAAGGCAATAGCACATTAGAATTTAAGAAAAATAAATAGTTTATTAAAAAAGTAAAAACAAGAAACATAAAAAGATTTGCATCCATTAAAAATATTGACAAAGAAGGATAAATTATTTTTATTAAGTGATCCAAAAAATAAAGATATTTTAAAAAGTGATTCAAGTTAATCTAGAACAGAAACTATTGCTATAACACCTGGAGAGGATAAATTTACATCATAATATAAAATGATGATACATAAATAACATTAAAGAGAACAACAAAAATAGAATATGATTTAAATAAGATTATTTGACAGTTAATTAAAATATTAAGGTGATGATTATGTTAAATAGAATATATTCAAATCAAATATGAAGCATACCTATACTCCTAAAAATATTGATAAAAACTATTATGTTAACAATTTAAGACATTCTACTTAAGAATCAATTGAATTGAAGAATCCATCACATTTTAAAACTACTTATCATAGTCGTTAAATGAGTAATTATGTATCATCAAATGCTTCTCAAGATATCATTATAGGTTATGATACTATTAAAGAAAATAATAGTAAATATGATTCTTTATAATAACATTAATCTAATGAAAATAAAAAGAGATCTTATCGATCATTCAAAGAATTAACAAATCATCAAAAAGATATTGAAATTAGAAATAGAACAGATACTAAATAATTTACAAGAACTGCATCATAACCTATAATCACACATTTGTGATTTTTTTAATTATCATTTTTATTTATTATAAAATTAATTAAAATACTTCTTTTCATAATATTTACAGGATTATCTTATTTTTTGATCTTTTTAAGTGAATAAACAAGTAAACACTTAATAATTATGTTATAAGAAGCGTATTTCATTTGTGTGAGTGCATAATGTCTATAAGATAGAATTTTAAATGATTGGGACTCAATTGTAGCACATTAAAATGAAGGTCATGAAATATTAGAAAAAGAAGATCTTATTACTACCATTAATCTTAAACTTTATAACAAAAAAACTACTTTACTTTAAGATTTATTGGCTAGGATTCACAGAATTATGATTAATCATGAAGATGCATTGATATCCTTGATTAATCAAACATTTTTTGATACCTATAAAAATTGGAAAGAATAAATTCAATCCTATTAATAATTTTAAGATTATTTACTTCCTAATTAAATTGATTAAGATACTACAATCACTAATCTTATTGATGTTTATTAAAATTTGGATAATGAATAACTTTATTTTTTCAAAGATTGTCTTTATCAAACAGAAAATCAATATAATAAATTAGAGAAATCAATTAAAATACATTTAGCTAAAACTGATACAGAATTTAAGATTCTATAACAATCATTATTGAATTAGATATAGGAAAATAAATGATAAAGAGAATTACGATTATAATATTAATCTATTGATAACAATAAATAAATTATTACATTTAATATTCATTAATAAGAGTTTATTTCAATTGAATAAAAAGATTAATTAATTGATAATATTTTAGATATTAAAAATTCTCTCAAGGATGTTAATTTGAAAACCGATTTTCAAAGTTCAAAAGATTAACTTATTTTTATGGATCCACAATAGTAATAGTAAAGAGAACAATCATTAAGGAATCATTTTGATATTTAATAGAATAGAAATAATCTTAATACAAATAATAGTGATAAATTAAATGAGAAACCTTATAAATATATTGTATTAACAAAATAGAAATAAGCTCGTAAAAATCAGCATTTTGAATAAGATACCAATCGAAATTAAGATTCTTAAGAATAGTTTTAAAATTAAAAAATATTATCAGAAACTTAATAGATTTAATCATATGAAAATATTATAAGAAATAATTCAACCAAATAGGTTATTAATTCTATACCTGAAATTAAGATATTGCCACTTCGAGGATACAATGATGATTAGAAATAATAAAATAGTATTTTATCGTAGCCAATTCAAAATATTAATTATAAAGTTTAAAATGATTAATCTATTAATATAACTTTAGAAATTAATAATCAATCATATATGTCACCTTCTAAACCTCCTCCATTAAAAGGTTATAAAGATAGATAAAATGAAGAATCAAAAGTAATATAATTAACAAGATCAAATGATAAAAGAATTTATTTAGATACTGAATAAATCAAATATATATAACAAAACACTTCTAAAAGATTTGACATTGATAAATCAGAAAAACATAGAATTACTCAAATAAATTTTGTACAATATTCAGTATTAAAGAATGTTTCGCTGTTGTTGAAAGTATTTTTAAATTAACAGAATTAAATTAAATTCACATATATCTTAGATCATCTGTAGATAATTATGAAATTCAAGCAGGAATCATTAATTTGACATAAATAAAATAAAAATCTGCATTTCCAAAAGTTTATGGTTTAAATGAAAAAGGAGGTAATTTATTTATATAATTTAGAATGTTTATCTAGTTAAACTAAAACTCCCATTAAATTGCTTTTAAATTAATCCTATTTATTTGCATATCTAAAAGAGTATAAAAATCTAGTTTGCTTAGATTTAATGAAAAATACTTAATATGCGATTCAATTACCTAATGATGAAAACTGTGATTATGTTTTCTTTATAAAAATGAGTAACCTAGAAATCTAACTTATATGAATTAACAAGTATTTTAAAATGATATTTAGTATTTGATTTATATCAATAATTATTTAATTATATATAATTTCTAAAGACTTAAGTAATATTTAATTTAAATTAATTAATCATTATTGATATTGAATTAAATTAATTTAAGTTTATAGAAATATGAAATAAAATAGGATAAATTACTAAATTTATGAATTTAAATATATTTAAATGAAGTGATTTATTTAAATAATAAAAGTTCTGAAGATATTTACATTATTGTTATAAATAAAAAAGAACACAAAGAATTTATTGAATATTATAGAATGATGAAGAGATTTTAAGTAGCATTAAATGAATTCTTCTTGTTTAAAGTAAGTTTGGAAAATCAAGATACTCAATGTGACAGAGAAGCTTTAAATGGCAAACTCAATAAGATATTAACAGAGTTAGGATGATTCTTGTGAAAGAATCTTATCTCCTGAAAAATTATTATTCAAATTTGATTATAACTTTGGAGATAAGGTAGCTGGATTGTGGTTAATATCTGTAAATAGTCATTTAAAGTATTTTAATACCCTTGTAATTATGAGAGTTGGGAGAAATGGTATCCATTAACAATACTAATAATTGTTTTAGTTTTAATTCATCTTAACTATTTTTATTATTTATTATTTATTAAATGTTTGATGATTAGTATTAAAATACAATAATATTTTATTTAAATTTATAAAAACTCATTTTGACAAATGTTTGGGATCCATTTAAAATAATGAATGAATCATAAGTTTATTCAAAAAATTAATCGAATTTTTATTAGTTAATAGCAAGTAATTTTTTAGCTTGTTGCTCTAAAAATGCAAAAAGAAAGAAAACTACTATAAATTTATAAGTTTGGGAAGAATCTTCTTATAATCAAAGTTTAGTTATTGTTGAATAAAACATTTTATAAATTATCCTAATGATAACTGAATAGAATAACCTGGTTCATAATATTAAGAAATGATTAAGTTATAATTACATTGAATTTTTATTCTGAAGAAACTTTCCCACCTAACACTTTGTCAGAATCTGAATTATTTGATTTGATTATTAAAATGGTATTCGAACTGAACTTAATTGATAATAATTATTAAAATATTTGATTTTATAAAATTAAAAAAAGGTTTAATAATTAAAACTACTAAACTTGGGTTAGCATTAATTGAATCCAATGATAAGCTTGGTTTAATGATTCACAAACCTTATAAGAGCTATTATGAAATAAAGAATAAATTAATAGCATTGGGAATTAAATTTAGAGAAGAAATAGTTAAAATAATTAGAACAAATGAGGGTAATTCTAAAGTAACTTTAAAATTAAAAACAATTATTCAAATAAACATTTCGATAATCTTTAAAAGAAGTTGAAAAATATGATGAAATCAAATACATAAAAATATAAAATGAATCTCAATGATCTATGGAAAGATGTGATTTAGATTATTGGAATTTTTACCATTTAATTGCACTTTAAATAAAAAATTCTGTAATGAATATAAAGAATTAAAAAAAACACGAAATACCATCTTTATTTGAAAAAAAGAAAGCTCTTAATGCTAACAATGTAACTAATTAATGTGTTAAAGTTCCATGTTTGTAAAATTTGGTCAAAATGTCCAAAATGTTAAATTATATTAAATAATCTTAAAAAATTAGTTGTGCATCTTTAAAGCATAAAATACAAGATGAACATAAATTTAGCAAATTTAATTTCTGTAAACAAACGTGATTCGGTTTATTTTATTTTTTTAAACCAATTAATTCTAAATAATATATTTTGTTTCAAGTTCATTTTTAAACAAAATTCTACAAAAATCTTTATATCTATAATTCTATTAAAATGTGTAAAACATTAATTCAAACAATTAATTATATAAATTCCAGATGAAGGCATATAAATAAAGGAATTTGAGAAGAATAAATTAAAAATTTGCACAGTAAGCAATTTAAAAAATCATCAACATTTTTTATTTAAAAGGTATTGTGAGAATTTCTCTTATGCAATTTATAAAATATATATAGTTATATACATATTGTTTTCACTTAAATTATCTGCTTTCAGACTTTTCTTGGGATTTTGAATAGATTTGAATGGTATAAAATGATTTACAAGGTTTTCTGTTAATAATTTGTAATTTAGTTTGTTATTTATTAATCTTGAATTGTAAATTATGAATAGCAGGTTATCTTTATGAATATATTTTAGTTTAAGGGATGATTGTGGTATCATTAGTTTCTAAAACAAAATAATCCATATTTTCAGTTTTAATTTTAAGTTAATTTTGTTTTATTTTTTCAAATTTTGAATCAATGGTAGCTCTATTTCCTTGAATATAGATTCCACTTAAATGTTTTGACTTTTATTTAGAACTTAAACTTCTTTTTTGTAATAAATAATCGAATAGACTTTTTCGACCCCTTAGAGGAGTTTACTGCATAAATTAATATATAATCCCATAAATTTTAAATATGGAAAAGGTATATTAATTGATTTATTAGTTAATTAAATAATTAAATGATGAAATTTGATAGGGACATCTGCTCATAATGATGAACATATCTTCGCTAGCACTGACATAATATAATATTTTTATTGAATTTAAAATAATATATATTTATGATAAAAATAATACTTGGATTTGTCTCATTATTTAGTGTGATAGCTTAAGATGTCATTATATGTAGTGGTTTTATTAGAATTCCAAAGGCAGATAGGTAAGATATTAATGTTAATCAAATTGAAATGAAACTTTTAGGAACAAATAATTAATTTATTGATTATATTGAAATATCAGAAAATGGATTCTATTCTATAGAAATCGAAGATGATGCTTCTTCATTAATTGATTACACTATTTTTATTTAACCAAAAGTAAAAGGATTTATAACAAGTCCAAGTTAAATTAATTTAAAATTCCAATCCAAAACATTTGATGAGGCTAGCACTTTTTGTAATAAATAGTTGAATTTTTCTATTAAGAGAGCACCACTTGAAGAGCCAAAAGTATAACAATAATAATCATAACAATAATAACAATAATAATAACAATAATAACAATAATAACAATAATAATAATAATAAGAGAGAACTTCTACTTAAAATGATAAAGTTGAGAAAGCATAATAATAAACAGAAGTAGATTCGAATTTTGAAAATACAGTTGATTAAACAAATTAATAATAATATGATTAAACTTTTTTTGAATAAGTAACAGAAACAGAATAAGAAAAATAATAAGTCTAAGTAGATGAAATACAAGAAGAATTATTAAATTTAGATATTGATGAAAAGTCATTTGATCATTTTAGATTGATAGGATAAGTGGTTTTTGAAGGAGATTTTACATAAACAGAAAAAAATTTGTATTATATTAAATCTTTTAAAGTATTTGATAATCAAGATGGTATTATATTTAAATATTTACAAGAGTAAGTTTAAGGAAGAACATTGAGTTTTCATAATTACTTCGAAGTTGAAATAAATGAAGCTAAAACTCTTAAATTATTTTTAGTTGTTGAAAAAACTAAAGAAAAAGGAGAAAATACTAATAAATAACTAAATTTCGAATAAAAAATATCAAAAATATAATTACTTAATAGATAGATAACTGCTTAACCAGTAATATATTTTAATCATTTAGATCATATTTCATATAAAGAAGGAAACATCTACAAAAGAATAGAATAAAGTAGGCTAAGTAATTGCTCCATTAGTAATTTTTGGGTTAGTTTTGGCTATGTTTAATTATGATAAAATATTAAAAAAAAAGTGATTCTATATCATATGTATATTTATGTTAAAACAAATAATACTGATTAATCTCTTTTTAAATCAAGCTTTTAATTTTATTGATATTTATTCAAATAATTAATAGATTTTCATTGAATGGATATCATGTAGCTTATATATTTCCTAATGAATCTTTATTAAATCTTCTTATAACTAATTGATTCTTTTATTACAATGAGTTTTCTCTAATAAACTACATATTTCTAAAGCTGTAAGACAATATTTTCTAATATTAATACATTTATCATCATAATCTCTTAATTAATTAGTTTCATAAGTTAATAGGTATTTAAATTTTCCTATCAATTCTTAAAATGTATTTTCATATTTTAAAGTCTTGCAATGCTATTAATGAAATTAATCAGGATTATTCTTGTACATTCTTACAATTTATTAACATATGTTACAAAAGATGTAGTAATAATCATCAATTTGATTTACAAACTTTAATTCTGAATAATTTTATTTTCTAATATCACACTATTCTAATTACTAATAATCATAATATCTATCAATATATGATTAAAAACTGTGAATTTAAGATATTTTTTAATTAGATCTAGTACTAAATTAAACAGATGCATTCACTAATTCAACATGATCTTTAATTTAATTAACTTAAATTCCTATGGAAGATTTAGGTTTTTTAATTTAAATTGTTTTAACTAAAGTTTAATTAGATAATGTATCTTCTATAAAACTGGTTTAACAGAACTTGTCTTCTTGTAATTACTATATTGGCATGATAGTTGTTTTAACAAGACTTTTAAAAAGGGGAATTGAAAAATGAAGTTGATCAAATATTTTAGGTTTTAATTTATGAATAGTTTAATAAGATGGTTCTGCATTAACCTGTATCATTTCATTATCTTTTTTAATTGAAATTAATTCATCTTGAAAATGAGAAATTTCACCTAATTTTTAAGATGAGTTTAAGAAAGATCTTAATGATTATTATTCAGTTAAAAATATAGTTCCTTCATGAGGTGAAAAAGGATTAGCAAATTTTTATTCATCAATTTAATCATACATATGTTTAAATTTTTCCTTTAAGCTTTATTTGTATTTCTGTAGTGGATCTCTATGATTGGATACAAATCTTGAATTGTTACTATAAGTAGATTGAGAGTTATTCATTTTAGTTTTAATTTTATTGAAATAAATATAATGATCAAAATCCAAAATTTTTATAAGTAATTTAATTAATTGTATTATTATAAACAGATTGTAGTGACTTATTATCTTAATTAATTTCAACAACATGTAATTCAATACGAAAATCTTTTTAAAAGGTTTTACCTGATTTGTCCTAATTTTTCAAAATTAAAATGATACTTTACATGCTTTATCAAGCATAAATTTATCTATCATAAGAACACCTGTATAATCAAAGAAGTCACAATTGAACCAAGCTTAAAAGAGTTTCTCACTACTAAGAAATTTAACTGAGAGAAATACCTAGATAAAAATCCTTAATTTAAAAATTATAAAAGAACATCTCCTTACAAAACAATATCTTTTAGTTTGAATTCTATATATGGTTCTAATTTATATTCTTTAACTTGGAATTGATTTTTAGAACTGTATTCTTTATCTTTATTTTAGATTCTAAACCAAGGGGCACAACCTCCAAAGAAATTAACATTTGGTACTGGAATCATTCGGATTTTGACTAACTCAACTTATTTATTTGGCATGTTATCAGGGACCCATTTATTATTGAGTGCTTTTTCAAAATAAAAGATATATCTAATTTATGAAGGTATAGTAACTCCCTTTGAATAAATAAAAATTCGATTACTTTTTTATTTTTAGTTCTTATCATACCATAATATCTCATTGAATCATAAGCATTAGTAAATTATTTAGCATAAAGCATATAACAACATATCATGACACCAGTACGTCCCTTTAGTTGTAAAATGATTTAAATACTTTTCCTGCTTTACAATGAATCCCAGCAACATTTTTTTCGTGTGCTTTAAGCCAATTATCCTATTTATATTTTAAGATATTTACTAAATCAATACAGAATTCATAAATAAGTGAAAAAGTAGGTGCTTAATGATCTTAAAATGGAAATTCTGCTACCTAATTAAAATTAGAATGATCATATTTTCTTTCTTCACAAAGATTGTATACTTTATAATGTCCAGGATGTACAGAATCAAAAAATCTTCGAACATCCTACATTGAATTTCTGTAAATAGATTCTATATTTTCAGCCGGAAAACCCATTGCTATAATTTTTTCGGTTATATCTATATAAATGATTTTAGAATACATGTTAAATCTAAATTAAATCCATTATAATTGTATCTTCTTTTCTATTTTGAAACTAGTAATTTAATTGGATTAGGAACACTAGTAATATTTTAATGATTTCCACTAATATGTTGATTTACTTAATTGACTTCTTATCTCAATTATTATGTACTAACTCTTTCCCTTAAATTAATTTCTTATCCTTTTTAATCATCTTAAGCAATTCCATTAGCTAATGAAGCAAAGTCAACTTATGACATATAAAAATTATAATTTTCAGGATCTTATTCATCATTAGAATCAGAGAATCCATCTTCTTCCCCTGATGATATTTCATTCTATTTCGCTCTTAATTTTAATTCTTCTTATGTTGATATATGCATTATTATTAATATTATAAATATGTCTTTTGTAAGTGTATTATTATATTTATATTCAATAACCAATAAAATCATCCATTTGTAGTTTCTCCAATCCCACAATTCAAACACTCGTAAAATTTAGTTGATGGTTCATCACTTGCTCTAGTTTAAATTTCATTAACCATTTTCATTTATTTTTATCCACAATTATTACACATTGCTAATGCTACATCTTTATTAATAGCTTATGCTATATATTTATTATGATTCATATCATTTGCTGATAGAATTTCTCTTCCTACTCCACCTGCTATGGCTAATCTCTAATCATATAGACTTTATTATATAATACAGTTGCACTTGTCCAATCTTCTGATCTTAATTAAGCTGCTGTTGGAATATCAATTAAACCAGTTAATAATCTATTTCTAACACTTCCATCTTTATCATTTTATAAGTATTTCAATATCTCTTTTATTGCTGTTTAATATTGTCTCTCCTTATCCTTAAACTTCATTCTAATCTTTAATAAATTAAATCATTTACTTCATTTTCTAATCTCTTACAAAATGTTATGCTTTCTTACTATGGAATTTATTCACTACAAAATTTCTGTATTATTGTTTATAATACTTTTAATCTTGTTGGATCAAAATTCTATGGAAGTCCCAATTAATTAATAAAATCATTTTAATTAATTGGTACTGTATTTTACACTTCTACAGATTATTTTCTATCTGGAGTTACAGACAATGTTGTTGTTTTTTCTTATGGTCCTGGCTTCTCATTTCTTTTCAATTTTTATAAGGTTTCTGTTGCTTTTTCTTTCATTTATTTAAGATCTTGTTCACTTAAAATTGAATCTCCTATTAATTCAATTTAAGTAAGTGTCCTCACAGTTTTATGAATTTTTGATTCAGCAAGTGCCCTAAATCTATATCAGTAATTATACTTTTAATCAATTTTTGGATCTTCTAATTAATTAAGAATACTAATGACTTATTTTTTTCCAGTCTTTTTGTAAGCATGAAGCTTCTTTCTCATATCTTATAAATCTATTTAATCCATCAAGTAATTGTATTTATATAATTAATATAATGAATTAATCTTTATTTTCTAAGGATTAAATAAAAGTGTCATTCAATAATATATAATATATAGTTCATTTATATAGTTGAAATCTAAATCAAATATAAACAAAAATTATTGAATTGATACTAATATATATATATATAAATGAAAGTGTCTAAAAAATATCAAAATCTATTAAAATACACTAGTGATGTGTAAAATTTATAATAATTATGTGTAAAATAATTATATCAGTCTTAAAAATTCATTAATATAGTATAAGTGCTTTATTAAAATGTCTGAATATTGATGAGAAATATGAAAATCAATTGATATATATAATAATTTGATTCTAGTAAATTTAGAAGCTAATTAGTAAATGATTGAATAAGTTGATAGGATATATATATAATAACATAAAAGATCTGATATGAGAGATGAATGAAGATAAAGAAGAAAGTTTGTAAAATGGATTTATATATACAATATCGGATCAGTTTTCGTTTTTGGCATTCTGTACATAAATATGTGAGATGAGTTTTATGTTGTATCTATGGTGTAAAAACGTGTAGAGATTTAGTTTAGAGTATGAGGATTGTATAATAAATATGGTAGTGCACTTCTTAGAATAAAATAGTATTATAGAAGTTGATTAATTTTAGTTAGAGTAGATGAAAAAATAGATGGGAGAAAATTGAAATGAGATGCTGTTGGATATATGTGCATGATATATGATATTGATCAGGCGGTGACAACGTCTCCTCTGACTGTTTCAGCAACAGCGACGGTTTAATCAACCAAATCAGCAGCGACACCAGCTGAGGTTAAGGCACTTCTCAAATGTCCAATGACTGTTGTGAATTGAGCATCAGTGACTCCCATATTAGCATGAACTTCTTTCAAGTTCTAATATTTTGTTAATATAATATTTTTACTCTGCCTCCCCAAGCCTTTGGTCCTCCAAGAGCAGCACATAAAAATGAAGCTGTCTTGCTTGTTTAGTCAGCCATGTTAATTCCATTGAAGAAATTAGCAACTGTGGCATCAGCTTAGATGTTAGCATAGAATTATGTTGTTACTGCTGTGACGGCGGCTTCTCCTCCTAATTATTCAAAAAGTGTCATCTTTGATTTTGTCGATGTTTTTATTAATCAAAATATAGGATATGTTGGATAGTTTTGAACCTAAGAAAATTAAAGATATTTTGTTGTTTATTAAATAATGTCCCCATGTTGCGTATTATAAAACATAAATTAGTAAATAAATTTATAGTTTATTTCTTGGTTCATATAATATCAATAACTTTTATCAGAATTTTCTTAGAGATTCTATTTTCTTTCATCTCTTAAACATCTATCTGAACATTCGGATAAGTAGATCTATCATTTTACATTCAAATAATCCTATTTTCTCTAACTCATTCTCTTTATTTAGAAAAGGTGTGGTTAATATTAGTCTATACTGAGTTCATTTTCTCCTATTTTATATGCATTATAACTAAATTAACTCTTTTTTAGACATTATTCTAATCTCATTGAACACATATCTGTTCATTATTATTATGTTTCCTACAATCTACTATTTATTATTATTTATTATGAACCTACAAGTATTTATTACTATCTTTTATTATGTCTCTATTTAATAATTAATCTTGAATCATTTTTTATATCATTTAATCTTCTTAATATACTTCTTTGACTTTCTAATAATTTCTAATCTTCACTAAATCATATATGCTTCAAGGCTTTATCTGGATGAAGTCTTATATTCCAATCCTTTTCTAATCACCCACTTATCAAATTCATAACTTCTTCAGAAACACCGTCAAATATTCTCCAAGAAATTGAATCTTTGCTTGTTTTATATTTTCAATTAAATCATTTAAACTAATATTAATTCTATGACTACTAATTTCCATTTATTGACAACTATCCTGATAACATTGAATATAATATATATTCTGCACTCTAAATATCAACTATCTAACTATATTCAATATATATCTCTTATGACTGATATCCTTTTCCTGTAAAAATTTCAGAAGCTGAAAATGATACAGTTCCAGTATATTTCACATTTCAATATTATCCCTCTCTTGTAAATCTCCAAATTCTTTGTATGAATCACTGAATTTACTCACATTAAAATCTTTCACTTTTATTTACTTTTTATCTAATAACAAAATCATTAATACTATTTACACAAAGAATTTTGTTTGGTTTCAAATCTCTATGGCAAATACCGATGCACTGAATAATTATATAAATAATTCCTATACATCTGCTTCACAATAATAGCCTAATGAATTTAATACTTCAAACATTTCCTATCCTTCTATTAATTTCATAACTATAAAGCTTTACTTTCATATTGGAAGCTGTTATCAAAATCTACAAATAATTTATGTTCTTTAATAATATTTTAATGAAACATTTTAATAAGTCTCTTAAACTCTCTAAAAATGAATACATAATTTGCATTTCTGATTATTTCATCATCTTAAGTCTACAATATTTTTTCAGCAAATAATTATTATTTAGTTTCGTGAATAATTCTCTTCACTAAACCTAAACATCCTTCTCCAAATAAATCTTAAATGACATAAGTTTAATGAATTCTTTAGTAGTAGGAAATATGAATTCAGTAACAATTGAATTAATTTCTAAATCTAATTTTTTGATTAGATCTTATACTTCTTCTATTTGATCTTTTGAAACTGGGAGCGGTTTATTTAAAATAAGCAAAATCTATCCAACTTATTTATTGAATATATACACCCTTTAAATTAGATTTAATGATCGCTCTATTATTTTATACTTATTATTATTGATCTTCCTATTAAATTTTAAGAAAAATGAATTTTCGACTTGATTTCTTTTCCATTCTTGCTTTGAGACTTTCTTTTTTAGATTAAAGGACTGAAATGCTTAAATAAATAATAGTATAACAATAAGACATCATGGATTATAGTTGGTAATTGATTAGTGTACTAAATATATATAATTAAGTTAAAAAAATAATTAAATTGTGGAATGAAAGTTGATGATATCAACAAAACTATAGTAAAGGAAAGTGAGATGAGTAATGAAGAAGAGAAAGAAGAGGAAGCTGATAATTCTAAATTAAAATACATAATAATGATACTTGGATGTCTTTTAATGTTTGGAAACAATTATTCATTTGATAATCCATAAGCACTATAAAAATAGTTAACAAAAGATTTAGATATATCAATATCAAATTATAATTTACTATATTCTGCATTTTCATTTCCAAATATATTTTTAACATTAATAGGAGGATTAATAATAGATTTTTTAGGTAATATTATTATTTGAATAAATAAAAGGTGTACGATTTGGGATTATTTTATTTAGTGCAATAGTAGTAGTTGCATAGACAATTGTAGCATTAGGAGGTGCATTTAAAATATTTTGGATAATGTTAGTAGGAAGAATAATATTTGGATGTGCATCTGAGAATTTAGTAATAGCTTAAGCAGCTATAATTGGTAAATGGTTTAGAGGGAAAGAGTTATCAACAGTAAAATAATATATATATATTCTAAGGCAATTGGTTATATAATGACAGTACCAGAATTAGCTAGTGCTGCTAACTCATTCATTACTCCAATGTTATATGATTCATATGAGGGTTTAACATATCCATTGTTTTTTAGTGTGATTCTTTGTATATTCTCATTTATTTGTGCAGTTGTTTTGTGTATATTAGATAAAAAGAATGAGATTAATAAATTGAGTATAAAAATATATGTTATGTAGAGGGTTAATTTATAATTGAAGAATAAGAGGAAGAGGATGAAATTGAAGAAAAAGAATAGAAAGATGAAATTGAAAGAGTATCATTTAAAGATATTAAAAATTTAAATGGAACATTTTGGATATTAGTTATGATATGTACATTAACATTAGGATCATATACTCCATTTTTAGATGATGCAAATGATTTTTTATAAGAAAAATTTGCATTTACAACACTTTAAGCAGGAAAAGTATTAACAATTCCATATTTAATGGCAGGTATTTTTTTGATAATTTAGCTATCACAAGTCCTTTTTTTGGACCATACATAGATAAAGTAGGATAAAGAAGAAAATTCATTTTAATAACATGTATATTATTTACAGTGACTCATTTTGCTTTTGGAATTATGCCAAATGGTTAGCATGGATAACCGAATTGGTATTCTATTATTCCATTAATGTTATTGGGATCTAATTATGCTTTATATTCTTGTGTATTGATTCCTTCTATTTAATATATTGTTGCTGAAAAAGTAGTTGGTACTGCATTTGGTTTATTGGGAATGTTTGAAAGTGTTGCATTAGCATTCTTTCCCATTATAGCTGGTTATATAGTTGAAATTTCAGATGATCCTGAATTAGGTTATTCGAATGTAGGATTCTTTTTTTCAGGAATATCTTTATTTGCAATCCTATTTACATTATCATTATATTTCTTTGATAAAAAAGGATCTATGGTTTTAGATTTTATTAATCCAGAAGATCCTTCTGAATTAGAAAAGAAAATGCTTAGAACTACTAAATCTGAATCTAGTAGTGAAGAAGATGAAGATGAATCTAGTGATGAAGATTCAGATGATGATGATTAATTTAAAAAAATTAAAGCTTGTAAGAGTTATGGAAGTTTAAAGAAGAATACATAAATATTTGCATCTCCTTTATTTAGAACTAGAAGTTTATATTATTGATCATCATTTATTTGTTCATTTTTATTATTATATAAATATATATAATGTTTTTTATTTTATCGTTTTTCTTAACATTCTTAACAATCTATTCAAAGAACTTAAGAGAAAATTTATTAGTAGGATAAACTAAAAGATTTAATGTGGAAAAAAATGATTTAAATACTATTTATGTTCATTTGATACCACATTCTCATGATGATGTTGGATGGCTTAAAACTTATGAATAATATTATTATGGTCTAAATAATAAAGTTTAATGGGCAGGAATATAATATACTATTGATAGTGTTGTCAGATCATTATTTTTTGATTAAACTAAAAAGTTTATTTAAGTTGAAATTGCATTTTTTAAATTGTAAATTCTTTCATTACTATTATAAGATGGTGGGATGAATAAAATGATGATGTAAGAAATAAAACTAAATATCTAATCAAAAATGGATAATTTGAATTTATTAATGGAGGTTGGTGTATGAATGATGAAGCAACTGCATATTATGAAGATATTGTAGATTAAATGACCTTAGGACATTAATGGATTTTAGATCATTTCTAAATTTAACCTACTATTGGATGGCAATTAGATCCCTTTGGTCATACATCTGCATAAGCTGAATTGTTCGCTTTAATGGGTTTTGATGCTTGGTTTTTCAGTCGTATTGATTATTAAGACATGAATTTAAGAAAAGATCAAAAAAAAATGGAATTGTTATCAATTGTTGATCAATATTCCATTTTTACACATATTAATTATAATCATTATGAAGCTCCTCCTTAATTTAGTTTTGACTCTTTACATAATTAAGATCCAATTGTAGATAATTAAAATAGCATTCATTACAATGTAGATAAAAGAGCAGATGTTTTAGTGGATTATTTTAAATAACAAAACTAAAGTTATATTGGAAATATATTAATGCATACATTAGGTACAGATTTTGGTTGGTCTAATGCACCTATGTATTATAAGAATATAGACAGGTTGATCAAATATATTAATGGGAATAAGCAAAAATATAATATGTAGATTATGTATTCAACTCCAACTTAATATGTATAAGCCATTAATTAATTAAATTTACAATATCCAACAAAAGTAGATGATTTTATGCCATATGCTGATAGACCTAATGCATATTGGACAGGATACTTCACTAGTAGAGTGTCATTAAAATTGTTGATAAAATAATTAGGAAGATTTGCTTAAATTTAAAGGAGATTTATATCAACACTTTTACTCAATGGAAAATCTTAATATGTTCAAGTTAATCGTTAATAAATATTAGATGCTTAATAAATATTTGATTAGGCTTTGGCAACAAATCAACATCATGATGCAGTAACAGGAACAGCTAAATAATATGTTACAGATGATTACATTGAAATGTTGTGTAATGGACATTAAAAAATAAGTTAATAACTTTATAAAATCATGAAAGAATTAATAGAATTTGAAATTCAAGATGAAACATCTTAAATAGTCTTTGAGGAATGCAATTACAATTAAACAGCTTCCTCTTGTAAACTTGTTTATGAATAATTAAAGAATGGAAATGCTATATAAATTAATATTATTGATAGCAAAAATATTCCAATCTAAGATTATGTATAAATTAAAGTACCTAAAATCAATTTGACTATTTATGATTAAACAAATAAGATATTAACAGGTGATATTGTATGTATTAATAATGATGATGATTGTGAACTCTATTTCATATATACTAGAAATCCAAAATAAATTATTGAATATTTTAGAATATTACCAAATTAAGAAACCCCAAGTGCAATTATTGTTTTACCTTAAGGAGAATCATTATAATATAACAGTACTTAAGATTATATTTAATTAAACAATTCAAAGTAATTCAAATTAACTTATAAATATTATCTCTCTTCTGAAGATAAACAATATAGTGGTGCTTATATATTCAGACCTAGAGACAGTTCAGAAGAGGCAAATGAATTTGGGGAAATTAAAACACATAGATTATATATAGGAAAGCTCATTTAAATATTTTATATTGAAAGGGATTATGTACATACTAAAATTAAGAAATTAGAACATAATGAAGACACTTATGAAATAGAATCATACATTACAGAAATTCCTATACAAAAGGAAAATGGAAAGGAAATAGTAATGATTATTTCTACAGATATTTAAAGTGAAGATATATTTTATACTGACAGTAGTGGAATGAGAATGCAATAAAGAAAATTAAATTTTAGACCTACTTGGGATTTAGATGTAAATTAGCCAATAGCAGGTAATTATTACCCAGTTAATGGAATATTGTAAATTTAGAATAATTAAACAGGAGAAGTTGTAGCTATTTTAAATGATAGATCATAAGGAGGTACTAGTTTACATTCTGGCCAATTAGAATTAATGATTCATCGAAGATTATTAAAAGATGATGCTAGAGGTGTTGGGGAACCTTTAAATGAAAAGTAATCTAATGGAAGAGGATTAAACCAAATATTTTAACATACCTTAACATTTTTCAATAAAAATAATCAACCTAATTAAGCTAGATAATTTTAATATATTTAAGACCTTAAGCCAATTATTATTTTTAGTAATTGTAAAAATGAAGTATTCCCTTAACCAGTAAAATCCTTTAAAATTACATATCCAAGAGATTTAGAGAAATTATTCACTACTAATGGTTAAGCAATAACTAAATTTTATTTGTAAACTATAGGTGTAGATTAATATATCTATCGAATTCATAATTTGGGAGAAGAAGGAACATTTCAATTACCAGAATTAGATTAGTTTTAAATAGTAGAAACTACTTTAACAGGAAATCAATTATGGACTGAATGGTTAGATAAAAAATTAAGTAAATAAAGTTTCTTATAGTAGATTGGAAAGTTTAAGAAGGATTATAATAACCAAAAGATTAGCCAGAACATAATTCAACTGTGTTACCATAACAATTAAGAACCTTCCGATTAACAAAAAAGAGTAATTCTAATTAGTGAGTATATAATAAAAAATTATAATGGCTTTTGTCTACAGAAGTGAAATTAAATCTACATACATCCCAAAGACAGAAAAAGTGGGACCTGGATAATATGATTAAAGCTCAGATTAAGAGTTCAAGCCAAATCTTTATCCATTTAATTCAACGGTTGAAAAATGCTTACAAAAGCAGAATTAATAAACAAAAGGGCCAGGTCCTGGGGCTTATAATTTATAAGGATCATTTGAAACATAAAAAGTTATCTTTTAATCTGATGAATAAGAAATCAAAATTTTGGAAATGCCAAAACCAATATCAGTGTTCAGATCAAGTACATTAAGATTTAAAGAAGAGTAATAATAAGGACCTGGGTATTTAGATTAAATCTAATTATTAGTCCTAATTATTATTTCTAAGAAGAACGCAGGAAATTTTATTCTGCAAGCTAGAAAAATCCAAAACCTAAATTAAATGTAATGGAATAATTAGTGAATGAAAATAAATATATTAGCATTCCATCGATACCATCAAATATTCATTAAGGCTACGTTGAAAATTCAGGTAATAAATTCTAAAAATCTTAGAATCTCAACTCGAATAAAAAAATGGAGTTAATTAGTCTTATGAAGTTGGTCCAGGTTCTTATGATTTTAAGAGTGTTTTTAGCAATAAAAAACCAAGAGGAGTATCTTGGCACAAATCTAATAAAAAATAACAGTCTATAAATACAGAGAATAATATTGGACCTGGTTAATATGATATAATTAGTAATTGTTAGCCAATGTATCAAATGAAACCAACAACATCATTTAGTTCTAAATTAAATAGATATTCTGATTTTAAATTCAGAAATGCTAAAAATAATAATGGAGTAATCAAGAAAGGATTAGATAATAAGTCATAGAGTTTTCATCTCTCTACGAATTCTGGTACAACAGCAAGAGATACAGATTAAGAATCCGAATATAGTTACATAGAAGTATTTAATGAATGTATATAAGGATGCCACACCTGGACCTGGATATTATGAAAATGCTTCAACACAATAAACAATATCTTAATATTTAAAGAAATCATAGATAAAAGGCTCAATAAGAGCAAGAACTAAAAGATTTCTACTAAATTAAAACCATATACCTGGACCTGGAAGTTACTAGGTAGATGTTATTTAACAAAAATAATAAGGTCCATAACCTCCATTTTTGATAGCTAGAAAACGTTTTGATGAAAAATTATCTGAAAGTCCTCCACCAGGAAATTATAAAGTAATTGATACTATGGAACAAAGATTAATCTCGAAATTAGTCAAGGCACCTTTAGGTTAATTTGGATCAAATGAAGATAGATTTAAGAATTCAAATATTGAATAACCTGGGCCTGGTACTTATGATATTATGGATGAAGAAATTAAAAATAATAAGAAAAAAAAATTTAAAGGTACTTCTAGTTTTTTAAGTCATGTTCCTAAAATTTAAGAATTACTTATTCCAGATATGTATCCTTCACCTGTAGCATATCATGTTGATTAACATACAATAGAAAGAAAAATTGTAAAAACAGAAGAAGATAATCCAAAATTAGCTGTTATAAAACCTCCATTTGGCGTTGCAGAAGAAAGATGGAAAATTAAAGAAGAAATTGAAGAAGATGATGATGATGAACCTATATTTATGAATAAATCCTAGATTAATTCAATAAATTTATACAAAAAGAAAAAAAAAGATTAACCACCCTTTTTAATTAAGGTTTAAAGTTTTTTNAAGGCTACGTTGAAAATTCAGGTAATAAATTCTAAAAATCTTAGAATCTCAACTCGAATAAAAAAATGGAGTTAATTAGTCTTATGAAGTTGGTCCAGGTTCTTATGATTTTAAGAGTGTTTTTAGCAATAAAAAACCAAGAGGAGTATCTTGGCACAAATCTAATAAAAAATAACAGTCTATAAATACAGAGAATAATATTGGACCTGGTTAATATGATATAATTAGTAATTGTTAGCCAATGTATCAAATGAAACCAACAACATCATTTAGTTCTAAATTAAATAGATATTCTGATTTTAAATTCAGAAATGCTAAAAATAATAATGGAGTAATCAAGAAAGGATTAGATAATAAGTCATAGAGTTTTCATCTCTCTACGAATTCTGGTACAACAGCAAGAGATACAGATTAAGAATCCGAATATAGTTACATAGAAGTATTTAATGAATGTATATAAGGATGCCACACCTGGACCTGGATATTATGAAAATGCTTCAACACAATAAACAATATCTTAATATTTAAAGAAATCATAGATAAAAGGCTCAATAAGAGCAAGAACTAAAAGATTTCTACTAAATTAAAACCATATACCTGGACCTGGAAGTTACTAGGTAGATGTTATTTAACAAAAATAATAAGGTCCATAACCTCCATTTTTGATAGCTAGAAAACGTTTTGATGAAAAATTATCTGAAAGTCCTCCACCAGGAAATTATAAAGTAATTGATACTATGGAACAAAGATTAATCTCGAAATTAGTCAAGGCACCTTTAGGTTAATTTGGATCAAATGAAGATAGATTTAAGAATTCAAATATTGAATAACCTGGGCCTGGTACTTATGATATTATGGATGAAGAAATTAAAAATAATAAGAAAAAAAAATTTAAAGGTACTTCTAGTTTTTTAAGTCATGTTCCTAAAATTTAAGAATTACTTATTCCAGATATGTATCCTTCACCTGTAGCATATCATGTTGATTAACATACAATAGAAAGAAAAATTGTAAAAACAGAAGAAGATAATCCAAAATTAGCTGTTATAAAACCTCCATTTGGCGTTGCAGAAGAAAGATGGAAAATTAAAGAAGAAATTGAAGAAGATGATGATGATGAACCTATATTTATGAATAAATCCTAGATTAATTCAATAAATTTATACAAAAAGAAAAAAAAAGATTAACCACCCTTTTTAATTAAGGTTTAAAGTTTTTTAATATATAGAAAGAAAGATTTGTTTAAAGTGATTAAAAGAATGTTTAACCTGGACCTTCAGATTATGCTGATGGAACTTTCCCAAATTGGAATAAGAGAACATTTAACATCATATTTGCAGACATTTGAAAATAATTTAATTATTATATGCTTAATTTTTTTCAATCGATTTGTTGCTTTTCTAACCGAGAGAAACCTGATAAAGCTAACAGACCAATCTAAAAACCAGTTTAAACTATGTCTATCTAACCTATAGTATCTGAATAATCATAGAGTCAAATCTTATAAAATGATATTATAGAAACGGATTAATACCTTCAATTAGACAACCAATACTATTTTGAATAATTGGAGTATTTATACAATTATAATTCATTAGTTTTCAATCTTCTAGTGACATACCATCTACTCAATTACCTTCTGATTTCATGATTTAAGAAGATTGTATAAACTATTAACCTATCAAAGAAGAAATTAACCAAAATGCTAAAAAAGAATAAATAGCTATAAGAAAAGTAAGAATTTATTTATATATATATAAGAAAAGAGTTCTTAAACTTTGGGATGCCACTGAAGATGCTTAACTACGTGTTCAGTATGAAAAACACAATGGAAAATGGAATGAAATTGCTAAGCATATGCCTGGCAGAAATGTTTCATAATGTTGCTAAAGATGGAGAAGATTGCAACCAATTAAAATTGTATTTATATTTTTATTATTTCTAGATTAAGAGAAAATAATGGACTTAAATAGAGGATGAAAAAATACTTGAATTAGTCTAATAACATGGTAAAAATTGGAAATTGATTTCTTTACGTAAAAATTAATTCAACTATAGTGCCTTAGACTTTCCGGGTATTTTGAGTAAACAAATTAGAGAACGTTATATTAATAAAATTGACCCTGAAATTAACACTGGACCTTGGACTGAAGCTGAAGATGCAACCATCATCAAATTGTATTAAGAGTATCGTGGAAAGTGGAGTCTTATTTCTTCTCATCTTAAAGGGAGGCCTGTAAGTTTATTTATTCATCTCTAGGAAAATATGGTCAAAAATAGATTCTATTGTTATATCAGAAGAGTCCATCTTGGTGTCTAAAACCCATACTAAATTGTTTATAATGAAAATTCTGATAGTGAGCAAGAAAACTCTCATGACCAAATCGAATTTGAATGAATATTATAACCATAATAATATTATTTATATTTTCTTCTAGATGGGGGTTTATTATTTTTTATTTAAAAACTTATTTACATTTATTTTTGTTAATTTAGGATAAAAATTTGAAGCTTGAACAAACAATTTTTTTTGTGACTATTCCTAATCCTGAATTCAAATTTTCTATTTCAACTACTATTTACTTTAAATTTTTTGGATTCAAAAGTTAACACATTTAAAGTATATATATTTTTATTGAATACTTACAAAATTTTATCATTTGCAAATTTGAGCTCTTAGCATTTGTTTGTTGTATTGTATTATTTTATAAAATGATTAACATAGAATATTGAAAAAAGTTTAATTAAAATGAACTATTAATCTCAAAAATTTGATAGAGAAAAATGTAGTAAAGATTCAAGAATTCTAAGTATTTTAGAAACTGGGGGTATAAGATTTAAAATAATTTAATAGAATAAATATTACTCTCTACATGCTTATGGAAGTTTAGCCACATTAATAAATAATAAGAAAGAATATTGGTAATAACAAACAAAAATTTATACAATATAACTCCTTAAAGTACACTTGTAAATTTTTTTTCAAAAGTTGTTTCTAGTGTAAGAGTGAAAAGGTATTGGGATAAATAATATATTTTAGAAAAATAGCAATTTAATAGGTTGATGGGATTACAATAAGTAAATGTGGATTTGAATTTGTAATTCATGTACCAGATGAATATGATTACAGATATTCATCATTAGATTTGTAAGAAATTGAATATATCAATTAGTCGAGAGAAAATATTGTTTATACTATCTGATGCTTATAATAAACTTTTAAATAAGAATTTAAAAATTTATCTTACAGATGATCTAACACTGATTCCACATACTAAAACAAAAGTTGATGCTAAGAAAGGAATATAAAAAATGCATCGAAACCATTTAAATATTGATCCATAATCTTTAGTTAATTATGATTTTTCAACAATGAAATAAAATGAAGATAATTAAAAGTAATTAATAAGAAAAAGTTATGATTACTATCAACAATATAAACTTTTGAAATATTTATATTAAGGGATGTTAGGATAAGTTATTATGGTTTAGAATATAAAAACAGAGAAATATTATGTCTTTAAATTAATGTAGAAATAGGATGTAATAACAACTGATCATTTAAATCATACTTAGATAGAAAGAAAACTTTTGGAGATATTTGATCATCCATTTATAATAAAATTAGTATAAGCATTTGAGACAGATGATTAAATAATATTTGTATTGCCTTTTTATTAAGGAGGAGATCTTTATACTCATTTGAAGAGGGAATCTAGATTAAAGGAAGAGAGAGTTAAATTTATTATATCGTAATTAATATTAGCTATAGGTTATATGCATGAACGTGAATATGTATATAGAGATTTGAAACCTGAAAATATTCTTCTAGATTCGGATGGATATGTGGTATTGACAGATTTGGGATTGTGTAAATAATTACCAAATAATGATTAATCTTATAGTTTTACATATAGTTTTACAGGTTCTGTTGAATATATAGCTCCAGAAATGATTACAGCTATTGGTTATAATAGAATGATAGACTGGTGGATGTTAGGAATATTAACATATGAATTAATTTTTGGTATTACTCCATTTTATAGTGATAATCAAAGTTAAATGTTTGAATCTATCTAAGAAAGAGAAGTAAGATTTTCAACAAATATTACAATCTCAAATGATTGTAAAGATTTCATTAATAATCTTTTAAAGAAAGAACCAAAAGAAAGATTAGGTTATAAAAAAGATTCATTTGAATTAAAGGCTCATTTATGGCTAAAAGATGTTAATTTTACAGAGATTCTTAAAAAAACTAATTAAATTTGGAAATTAAATTTAAATGATCCTTTAGACCTTAGGTTTTTTGAATCTGAAGATTTTAATTTAGGTATTTTAATTATTAATATTCAAGAATCTTTTAATTCTTTGTAACAAGATAAAACACTTATTTAAAAGTTTAATTAAGTATTTCAAAATATTGAATTTAATCTATGATGCTTATGTTATTTGTATTTATGCTGATTTCTAAATTATGAAATTCAATTATTTATATAATAATGTTTTAAAATTAATTTTGATCTCAGATTAAACATTAAAACTTTCATGTTCCCAATTTATAATATAAAAACATTCATTAATTTATTCTTAATTCTTCATTCTGGGATTGATTCTTATGATAATAACTTTTAAGTTTATTTAATTTTTATCATTTTTTCTGATCTTCCTGGACTAACAGGACTTAAATTGATAATAATAATAATAAAGATACATTTCCTTCTTAAGAATTGCATTAACCACTAAGGTAGCATTTCTTTAAGTTTATCTACGAACAAGCAATGCTTTTTAATCATTGTTTTATTCATATTAGAATTTTAATTAATCACTTTCTTTTGTTAAGAAACTAAGACTAGACATTCTTCTTAATTATGGTCTTTTTTCATTTACCTAAATATTTAAATTTTCATATTGGAGTTTATCAAATTTATTCCTTTCTTCTTACATAATTTTAAAATCATTATGATCTCTAGCATATTTAACTTCTTAATTTTTGACAATTGAAAATCTTTTGGATACTTTATTAAGTATTCCTCTCATAGAAGACATTTTATCAAATTCTTCTTTTTTACGTTTCTATTCTCTAATATAAATGATTTAATCTAATAAAGCCTTTCTTTAAACTTAATTTTCTAGAAATTTTAAAGCTTTCGAAACTTATAATGGATCAAATGGATTTTTTAATTCTTAAATAGCTTGATTTAACATATCTTTGTTTCTTTTTTATTTAAGGAGATGTATTTTTTGAGAACAATTGAATTTAGTTTCAGAAGTAGGAGTAAGTGAATTTTTCATATATAATAATTTTTATAATGAATTAACAAAAGCCACCGTCAGCTTCAACAAAAAAAGTAGATTAATCTGTTTCAACGATAACAAAAAAATCATCATCAGCATAAAGAAAAGATTCATCATTTTAATAAGCAGCTGTTAGATAAGTATTAGTGGGTGGATAACCAGGAGTAATATAAAATTTAAATTTAAAAAGGATGGTTTATGGTGTTATGCTTAAGATTAACCATCACCTAATTTAGGTAGTATTAAGGAGATTAATACGCAAATGAATTAAAAGTTTAAGCAAATAGAATCTAATATTGAATCAGAAATAGTTGAAAGTCTAAGATAATAATGTCATTAATTAGGAATTGAATTAGAGAGCGTGAATGTTTAAAATTAAAATTTAAGAATTGATATAGCTTCATAGAATAACTATATAGACTAATAAAATAAAAAACTTGAAACAGCAATGAAAGAAATTGAAAATTTAAGAAATGTAAAAGCATCTCTTTAATCTTAATGTGATACAATAAAAGATTTATATAATAAAACTAAAAGAGAATTGGGTGGAATCAATTAAGATTTAGAATAAGAAAAGATAGAGAATTAAGAAATGACTTAATAGATTGCTAAATTATAATCATTATATTAATAAATGTAAAAGGCAAACAAAGAAGAAGTTGATAATCTAAAACAAAAACTTGAAGAATTAGAAGAAGAAAATGAAGAATATAAAAGAAAATTTTAAATGAAGGGTGAAATAGATAAAAGATTAGATTAGGAAAGTATGGAATGATTTTTAATAGGAATTATCAATTAAAATTAATAGAAATAAAACTAAGTTTCTGAAAATGAAAGAAAATTAGAGAAAATGGCTAAAATTTTAGAAGAAAATGCCACTTTAAGTGAAAGATTAACAGAGAGTGAAACATTAAGAAGAAGGTTTATGGAAAAGAATAATTAATTTGAAAAAGAAATTAAAATTGTAAACTATCATAATTTATTATATTTTTAAAGCTTGTTGAAAGTAAATTAGAAGTAGAAAAGTAAATGGTAGCACTTAAAAAAAGAGTTAATGATTTATAAGTAATGAAATCGACCAATCAAAAAATATTAGAAGATAAAATCAATAAATTATAAGAATAATGCACATCATAATAATAATCAATTGAAAAATTAACTCAATAATTAAAAAGAAACTAAAAATAATAAATTAATCATTAAGAGGAGGAAACCTCAGATTATGAAGATGTTGAATCCAAACCATAACTCTTTGGAGCTTGATTAAAAGAATCTTATTTTATAAATATAATTATGTTATCATCAAAAGAATATTAAAGATTTACTCAAACTCAGCTACCTGAAGATCAATCAAATTTTGATACTAGTATAAATATTGAATCACCATAATGCAATATTCATTAATAGAGTATTACAAATGTCTATATTAGAGAGATTCAACTTCACTATTTAAAACCCTACATTAAGGACACAAAATCAAATATAACTAAAATCTTAATCATCTTACTAACAATTAAAATATAACCATGAGAATATCTAATCCTAACTTACAAAATCTTATATTATTTAAGGAACACTCCTAAATAATAAACTTAGAATGAAAAATACCAATAAATTGCATAAGAGTCAAAGTCATATAGAAAATCTGTAATTTCCTAATACTTTTAATAAAATTAGAAGAAGAAGTGCTTGTGAATTTCTTAGTGATAAATAAGTATCTAAAATTTTATATCTCTAGGTCAGATTTGATACTCTTTATCCTACTACTTATGTAGCATTTCATTAGTAATAAAAACAAACTAAAAAAAATGAAATGAGAAAGAAAACTATATTTAAAAGAATGTCTAGTATTTTGATTAAACATTCTAATAATATTAAATCTTAAACTAATAATGGGCTATCCTTATCAAAAAATTAAGATGAAATTTAGACTAAATTTGATGAAAAATCATCTAACATAATTCTAAAATAATTCTAACAATAAATTGGATGTCTTAAAGAAACTTAAGAGTTATTTTTAAATATGGAAAATTCCTAAAAACTATTATTATTATAAGAAGAACTTAAAAAATATTCTTAATCTCTTAATAATTCTCCTACTATTAAAAGAAATTCAAAAAAATAATAAACTGAGAGATTTTTTGATTCATAAAAAGTAGTCCTTGATATAACTAAGAAATAACGCAAGACATTTACATCTATTCAGAATTATGTTAATCAACATTCTCAAACTAACTAAATTAAATCAATAGGCATTATAAAGAAATAAATTCATTTTCAATATCAAAATTTATAAAGTCTTACAGAAACAGATGTTTCATCCCCTAATAAAATAATTTAAACTGCTCGTAATTTTACACATATCAAATCTCTATCCAATTTACCTGATATAAGAGAAGCTTCAACATAAAGATTAAATAATAATCGAGTTTAAAAAATTGCTGAAAAAGTCAAAAATGTGTACATATTAAACATGAATAAACCAAAATAATTTTTAGATAAAATAAAAATATGATAATTTTTTGTCATAATTAGCATATATAAGAGAATCTCATAATATTATATTTATTTTTAATTTTTTTTGATATTCATCTATTTATATCTGAATTGATTAATAAGATAAAATTGATTGAATATTTTACTTCATATGACTTAGAAAAGTTTATAAATATATTTGAAATGAGTGCGAAATCATAAATGTGATAATATTTTTAAATGTTTAATTAGCTTTTAGAATGATTAATTTGAATGAAGCTATAAAAGTTGATTTTAAAAAGTAATAATTTTTGTTCTAAAGTCATGTTCTATAAAATATAGTATTTCTAAATTAGGAAGTATGATGAATAAATAAATTAAATAAAAATAAATAGAAAGTAAGGATAAGGATAATTGAGATTATTTTGAAGGAAGATTTAGATTGAATGAGGATTTTAAAAGGAATGTGTATAAATTAATTTATTATTATTTAAAATAAAAAGAACAAGAAAGGGAAATGGGATTGTAAGTAATTATAGTAATAACAAATTAGAGATTTAAAGATAAGACTTCTTTTAAGCAATACATTTATGTCTTTAGTAGTGGTTGTAAACTTAGCTATGGTTTCTTATTTGAAAGAAAATGATGGTGGTGATTATACTTAATTTTCTTATATTACAAATATTAGCACAACTGACCAAGATAAGTATAGATCTTATTTAGACCTGGCCATTTCAGCATTTGTTTTAATGTTAACAGGATTTTTGGTAGGAATGGTTTAACCATTTTTGAAATTAAGTGCTCTTTCATATGTGATGGCTCTGTTGATATTAGCAGGATATGTGTGTTTATTTGCAGGAGTATTCATTAATGATACATTCTAATATAATTTCACAGATAAAACATTTAATTATAGTTTGGCATCATTCTTTGGAATGGGAGGAGTATTTATTTAAGGAATGGTAAATGCTTGGAGATAAAGATCAGTTGATTGAATATTCATTATTGAACATTATATTAAATAATTTAAATATTGGTTTCTAGTCTATTTTATTGAATTAATAAAGATATAATTATCTGTCATATAAATTTATTAATTATTATTATTATATTATTATTATTATTATATTATTATTATTATTATTTTTATAACATCATCATTTTTTATTTCTTTTTGAATTACTATCAGATTCATCACTTTCATCACTTCCTTCAGATTAATCATCAACATCTCCTTCTTAAAAATCATCATCATCTTCATCTGAATCTAAATTATTAGGATCTGTTTTAGGTTTATTCCTTAAAAAATATAAAATTTAATAAACTTTTTATTTTCATTATTATTATCTTCATCTTCATCACTATCACTATCATCTAATTAAACTCTAGGAAGTTCTTCTTATAATTTTCTAACTGCAATTTTTTTGGATGAGAAATATTAAGTTAAATTATCCAATTCATCTTTTTCAATGCTAGAAAATAGTTGATTTGAATTTCTATAAACTATTTTCACATCAAAAAATTTATTTAAATTAGTTGATCCAATCTAATAATATTTTTAAAATTAAATAAATACTCTTTAAAATATCACTTCTTTAATTTCTTCATGTTTAATATGAAGTACAGGTTTTTAAAGATAAATTAAAGATTTCTCTAATGGAAATAAGAATCCAGAATGAGGACCAACTGAACATCTTAAACAGTTTAAACCATTTTTGGTTTTAAAGTTTTTAGGTGTAATAACTTTAATTCCTGTTATTTCAGATAATAATTCACAAATAGTATCATATAAGGGACCAGAATATTCTTCTTTAATTTGTTTCCAACCAATTTCATCAAGTTATTATCTTTAATATTTTAAGTTAATATCACTTTCAACGTCCTTTTTAAATTACATTACTAAATAATTATATGCTGTTTATCCTTATTTAAAAGGATGTTCTAATCCTATAACAAATGATAAATTGATTTCATCTGGCATAGGTAATAAGAAAAATCTTGAGATACCCTTATAATCAGTTGTAAATTAATAAGTATTTCCATGAAATCTAATATCTTTTTTAAAGAAATCCATAGTATAACGTCCCCTTTTGATTATGAATTAATAAATTACCTAGGTACAATTAAAGGAACATCATGAATAGTAAGAATAGAATCAGCACTACTTTATCCTATTTTTGCCTTAACTAAAATTTCATTTTATAGTTTTTATTAAAATGTTGGTTCTTCTTCTTCATCATCATCAGCTTTCTCTTAATTTGAATCTTCATCTTATTTTTTTTTTTCAAATTTCCCTTTCTAAATCAATCTGAATTTTTACTTATTCTTACGGAGGTATAAAAAATCTCACTTCACATAACATGTCATCACTAATTAATCATTGGAGCTATACTTTTCACCACAATCATCAGTAGTCAATTATAAAACGATATCATTTTTCTAAGTATTAGAATTAACCACTTTTTTTAATGGTAATTTGATTATATTTGTGGAATTATATTTCATAGACAAATTTTTATCATCTATTTAAACTTAACCCCAATTTATTCCCTTTGTACATTAATCTGACATTTCAAATTTAATTATTTATTTATATTTGGGCGCATAAAAAATAAAAATCAATATTTATTATTAGGTATTTTCTTAAACAAATTCAAATGTTTGTTTGCTTATATGAATGTTCTTAAATCTTCTATATGTCTCTCTATCCAATTTATATTCAATTTGAAATGATTCACACAAAACAATACAGCTTAACACATTAAATAATATTCAAATAATTACTACTCTACTTTCAACATTTTCTTCTATCATAGTTAATAAAATACAAGCTAAGGCCTTATTACATTTGGATATCTATCTAAACTCTTAACCTATTTCCATATAAAACAGATTCTCAATTATCTTTTATATCAATATATCCATCTTTTCATTATCGTAAATTTATTATATTAAATCTTTTAAATCCATTAATATTCTATGCACCAATTACAATGATGTTGTGAAACATAAATTATAATTTATACTCTAACATATCTTTCTCTCCTATTATAAGATATCACTATTATAATATTTCTATTATAACACCTATATTCATAATTTATATTACTTCTTAACACAGATCATCAATATATATAGGATACAAATCCACAAATTTAGAAGATATATAAATACTACAGCCTGATATCAATTCTAATTCTTTTAATGTTAAATGATAGGTGTTCTATAAGTACTAATATACTAATTCAATTGCTTTAAATATAGACTCATTAGACACTTTCTTAAACTTTTTCATCTTATATACCATCCAATCTAACACTCTTTCTAATTACTCTTCAGTAAAATCATGCTAATCAATATTCAATATATTAAACTAATTTTATATCTCATTATAGTACTTTTTATTCTATTAATAATTCGTATTAATAAATTTCACTTCGGAATTTATCAAAATAACATAAAATATCCTTCTCTATCTAATTCCCAGACCTGATTTTTAAATTGATAAACTGATATTCAGAATGTTCTATCTATATCAACATTCTCTCTATTTTTATAGGTATTACTGCATTTCTTCTTTTTCTACTTATTTAAGTTTTTCTTTCCTCCTTCTTCTATACAGAACCCTTTTCATATTAATTTACTAATGTAAAGTTCAGATTCGAAATATCTTAAAAAACTGATCTCACTCTATTTCTAGAACTCAACAGAAGTTCTTAGCTTTATTCTATTTTGTTGTGTTTAGTTTAAAACATTTTTTAGTTCATAAATTATTAATAAATTAATAATTAACGTATATGATCAATACCTAAATAGCAAATCTAACAAAGCATTTAAAAATTAAAGATGATGCAATTCAAAAAGCATATTTAATTATAGAAGCACAATAAAAAGAAATTCAATAATTGAAATAATCTTAATAACAAAGTTAAAACAAATAATCAACATTATGTAATGTAAATAAAACTCTCAATAATTTCAATTCTGAAGTGTTGTTTTAGAATTATAAATAAGAAATTACTTGCTTTCTTGAATATGAACAAATGATTGAATACTTTTTTTAAAATCAATTAAAAGATCAATAAGTAATTTTAAACAACTAAAAGCTAACCTAATTAGATTTTGAATTAGATTATTGGTATAAGTAATATTAAGAGACAATAAAAGTTTTAGAAAAAACAATAAAAATAAATGAAATTATTGAATAATAAAATTTAGAATTATAATAATATTTAGAGTAAGTTGTTTTTGAAAATAAGCTAGCAAGATAGTTTATTTAATAATTAACAAAAATTGAAAATAATTCAAGCTTATAAGTTGATTTACTAGATTTTCTGAGTTCTTCATCTATTTAAGCATTGAATTAGTCTTTTTAAACATTTTCAGGTTTTATTTCTGAAGTAATTGTATCTGCCACTACAAATTTTAAACTAAAACAATAAGAAGATACTTATTAGATCTCGGATTTTAAAAAAGAAATCTAATAGTTGTAATCAATGTCTTTGTTAAATGAAACATTTTTCTAAGAAATACTAAAAATATTGGGAATAGATCAAGATTAGAGATCCCTTCCATAATATTAAGGTTAAATTTTAAAAGAAATTAAGACTTTAAAATTTAATAGTTTAACAGAAAGAGAGTCAAATAAAGAAAATGAAATAAACAATAGTAATTTTAGTTAATATGTTTAAAAGATGTCTTCAATAGTTAATTCTTTTAATATTGTGTTTAGTTAAATTTAATAGAAGTTTGAAAGTAAAATAATATTAAACGAGATTATGTCTCAATTATAAAACCTAATAAATTTGCTTTTTAATGAAGTAATAGATAGTAAACTTGTAAATGTGAAATTATTAAATGGTTTAAACAGTTCATGTAGATAGCTTAAAAATAGTTACTAAAAAATGATTATTTGAAATCATAAAATATAAAAATAATGTGAATAATGATATTACTTAAATTTAAATAAAATTTTTAATTTAATGAATTAAGGAATATATTTAATCCATTCAATATTGTACATTAGAGTGAGATTAATTAATTAAGTTTATGTTATTTTATGGCTACCTTCTGATATAATTCCATTTAAATCTATCAATCAATATTCCTTGTGAATGTGCTCATATTGTTGAATAAAAAAAGTGCAACTCTTCTCAAAAATGTTTATGGAATAATGAGATAGAAAAATGCCAAATTAATATGAATTCATAAAATAACAATCAACCTATATCTTATTGTAGTTAATTTATGGAAGATGAATGTATTTAAAATAAGAAATGTGCATTTCATTTAGGAATTTGTTAGGATTTGATAAAATGCGAAAGTTTATTATCCGAAAAATGTTTATAATCTTCATTTTGGTGTGTATCAAATGGTTAAAATTGCATTCCTAAAAATGAATGTCAATATTATAAAAATAAATAAGCTTGTGGTAATCAAAATATTGATGGTAAATTTTGTATTTGGAAAACAACAAATAATGAAGAAAAATGTTAAGATGTTGAAAATTGTGAAGAATTACCTTAAACATTAAATACAGATAGTGATTGTAAATAATAAATTAGTATTTGTACAGTATAAAATTAAGGAGGATGTACTAAATAAAAAGAATATTGTTATTAGTATAAATTTAAAGAACAATGTTTTTTAAGTTTAAATAATATTAAATGTTTTTGGGAAGAAGGATTAGAATAGTGCTTTGAGAAAAAATGTTCAAATAAATATTTAATAACTCATTAAGAATGTTCATAATTTCTTTAGAATTGTACAACAAATGGGATATAATGTATTGAAAGATAGGAATGTAAATTATATTAATACTAATCTGGTTGTGTTATAGATAATAAAGAGAGACCATGTATATATTATTAAGGATAATGTTATACTAAAAATTGTGCTTCATCACCAGAAACAGTAAAATCAATGATTGAATGTTAAATGTTTGACAATTAAGATTAATATTGTGTTCCTTAAAAAAAAGGAGGATGTAAAATCAAACCAAATAATTGTGATTAATTAGAAACATAAGATTCTTGTCAAATGGTTAATTAATTATCAGGTAGATATTGTATATGGAATGAATTATAATAAATATGTAAAATAAAACAATGTATGGATGCACCTTTAAATTTTGAACATGAATAATGCATAAAATGGTTAAATGATTATGATTGTATAAGTAAACTAGGAAATGGTTGTATTGATAATGTAGATAATTGTAAAGATATAAAGAATTTAAAGAGTTGTATTATAAATAGAAATCATAAAAAATGTGTAATAGAAAATGATTAATGTTATGAAGAAGAATGTAAGTCTTTTAAATATCCTAAATATGATACTGATAAAAAATGCTCAGATAGATTAAATATTTGTACTTATAATTATTTAACCAAAACTTGTGTCAATAAAGAATGTTAAAACTTGTCTGAGAATGAATGTAATAATGATTATGAAATGAATAAATGTTTATTACCAACTGGTTGTGTACATAAAAGATGTGAATCAGCTTCAATATATTTAAGTTCTTATGAAGATTGTTAAAATTGGGATATAAGATGTACAATAAATGTTATTCTTACATAAGACACATAATATTTAAATGGATGTATTACTAAATTTCTAGAATGTAATTAATTTAAACATTAATTATAATGTAGATCAACTTTATAAGGTATTCCATGTTATTGGAATATATAAATTAAATAATGTTAATTTTAAACGTGTGATAATGCTCCAATCTCATTTAATACAATATCTTAATGTTAAGAATGGGTTAAATATCATAATTAGAAATGTGTTAATAAATTAAACGGAGGTTGTATTGAACAATTTCCTTTATGTTAATAATTAACTGATGAATTATAGTGTAAAATTGGTGCATTGAATAATTTATGTTTCTGGAATAATTAAACATAAAATTGTGAGGATAGAACTTGTATGAATGCTAGTACAACAATTAATGCTAATTTGTAATGCAGATAATGGTTATCATCTTGTAAATTAAATGATTCTGGATTTGGATGTGATATTGATAAAGGCATTTATAATTTATGTACTGATGCACCTGAAATAGAATAATTTTCTACACATGAAGAATGCTAAGCATGGAATCCTAAATGCACAATTAAATTAGGTTTAAGTTGTTCAATTAAATTAGATTGTGAAAGTTATTTAACATAAAATGAATGTTTAACAGATATTAATAATCAACCATGTAAATGGAATGGATCATCTTGTATTAAATAAAAGTGTAGTGATTATCCAGGTACTCCTTTAAATTCATCTGATTGCTAAACATTTTCTAGTATATGTACAATATCAACTTAAAATATTACGTGTTAAGATAAAAAAGCAAACTGCAGTGAATATATTAAATAGACCGATTGCAATGTGAATTCCGCAGGATAAAAATGTTAAATGGATGATAGTTTAGTTTGTCAACATATTGCTGATTTAATACTTGCTAATAATTACAGCTGTAGTTATGAAGATAAAGATAAAGGATATCTATATTAATATCATATCTCAAATATTTGTGTTATTACTCCTTTAAATTGTAACTAAATTAATTAAAATGATTGTAATTCAATGATAACAATTAATTAAGAAATATGTACATGGAATGGTACACAATGCTCCATTTTTAATTCATAAATAACAAATACATAAATTAACTGTAGAAAATTAAATTAAGCATATTTTCTATAATCCTATTGTAAATCATACTCTAATTAATGTGAATTTGACTTTATTTAAATGAATACTTGCACCTATAATTCATGTTTGAATGTTTCAAAACATTAATGTAATTTTATTACATTGAATAACAATATTCAATGCAGTTGGAATGTTTCAACATGCTAAATTAGAACTTGTTATAATATGAATGAATAATTTAATTCTATTTACTAATGCATATTATGGTTAGATTCTTGTACTTATGATTAATTATAAAATATTTGTAAAGATAGAACTTCCTGCTCTTAAGAAACAACTGAATTATTATGTAATAAAGCCTCTTACATTACGCAGCTTGGATTAAAAATTTATTGCTTTTGGAATATCAATCTTTGCTCTGATATTACATCATGTTCATAAATCTAAAACCCTTCATCTCATCGAGTTTGTTAAGATAAACTTTAAAATTGTACTTCCCTAACAAATCCTTCGCTTGTTACATGTATTGAAGCACCTTTATTTTGCAATTAAATTCAAGATTAAATTTAATGTTATAGAAATTCTAAATTTGAAAAATGCAGTTGGAATCAAGGAAAATGTTTCTAATTATCATGCCTTTTAAATTATAATCTGCCAATCTATAATTTATTACAATTTTATTAAACTTGTTAAAATAGACAACCTTTTTGTGTATTTGATATTGAAAATAGAAATTGTATGGAACTTAATGAATGTAAATTAATTCCAAACTTAGTAATAAATGAAGAGAATTGTGCTCGTTTTAGTCCACTTTGTAGAATAAATGAATAATATGATGGCTGTATTAGAAATACAAAATGTTCTTAAGCATCCACCTATTTTTAATAAAATTGTGAATTATTTTTGTTGCATAGAAAATGTAGACGAAAAGAATTTAAATCTAGTTGTTAACCTTTAGCCAGATTTTGTTCTTTTTATTCAAAATAACAGAATTGTAAATTTAATTATAAATAGAATAAATGCTATTGGTAGGCTTCTTTAAATGTTTGTATCAATTTTTCTTGTAATTCAATTGAAGAATATGTTTAAACTCATCAAGATTGTTAACTAATATCACCAACTTGTACAATTTCTATACAAAATTCGATTTATTCTTGTACAAACCTACTTGAATGCGATCAATATTAATATGAACATTAATGTGTTATTAATATACATTAGTAGTTATGTATTTGGATGAATAACTAATGTTTACTTGATAATTGTAGGAATGTGGTTACAAATATCATTTATGATATTTAATTATGTGAATAATATGGTAGTAATTGCACTATTAATGAAGATAGATCTGGTTGTATAATTAAAAAGCAAATGTGTAAATCTTACAATCAATTTTAATGTTTAACTCCTGGTTAAAAAAATTTATTAGGTTTATCTTGTTTTTGGGATTAAATAGATTAAATTTGTTCAGAGATAATTTGTGATTAAGCTCCTTAAAATTATAATTTATTATTTGAATGCTAATCTTTTAATTATAATTGCTAACCTAATTCATGTAGATTAGCAAAATGTGAAGACTTCTAATACAAAACTGATATAAAATGTTCTCTTGCTTTAATTAATAATAAATGCACAACAAATGGTTTAAGATGTATTGATAGACAATAATGTGAAAATGCTATTAATATTGAAGCATGCACTTACTCAAATGATTATAGAGATTGTTAATGGTTAATTGATGAAAATTACTGTGTTATTAAATCATGTAATTCAGCACCAAAAAACATAAACAGTCATTTTGAATGTGAAGATTATTTTATAGGATGTACTTCTAAATTAAATGGAGGTTGCATTAAAATAACTACATGTAATTCTATTTAAACTAAAGAAGGATGTATATAAGATTAATTTGGAATGAATTGTTTATGGTAAGAAAGCAAAAATGAATGTATTAATTTAATATGTGAAACAATGTGTGGAGATGGGATCGTTGGTAATAATGAAGAATGTGATGATGGCAATATATATCCTTATGACGGATGTTATAAATGTAAAATATAATGTTAATATGGATGTAATATATGCAATTAGTAAATTTGTTTAGATTGTTAAACAGGATATGAATTAAATTCTAATGGTTTATGTTATGAAATTTGTGGAGATGGTTTAATTATTGGTAAAGAAGAATGTGATGATATGAATAATATAAAAGAAGATGGTTGTTTTAATTGTTAATTTTAATGTCATCAATAATGTCTAATATGCGCATAAGGTATATGTCTACTTTGTAATTATGGATGGTAATCTTACAATAATTAATGCTAAACTATTTGTGGCAATGGTTTATTAGTTGAACAATACGAATAATGTGATGATGGAAACAATGAAAGTTTTGATGGTTGCGATTCATATTGTTAAATAGAAAAAAATTGGATTTGTAATTAATCATCTATTACAGGATTAAGTGAATGCATAAATTAAGAACCTCCATAAATACAATTAAGTAATCTCTCTCAAAAAAAAGATAGTCAATAAATTATATTATTTTCATTTAATTAAAAAATCATATTAAAACAACCTTGTCAATTTGAAGATTATATCAAAATTAATATTACAAATAATACAAACTTTAAGTTTACTGTCATCCCAATTACTTAAGCTACATTAACAACTTTTCACTAAGCCTAATATTAAATTTGCATTAGCTTACTAGAATAAGTCAAAGATCCTTATGCAACTATATCAATTCTGTAGACTATTGTTATTAACAATCTAAATCAATAATTAACAGACTCTTCTTAAACTATTAGTTTAGGTACACCTTTAATTTTATCAGAAGATGCAAAAAATAGATTAGATAATGCAATACAATTTAACGAAATTATGATTTTTGTATTTATAGGCTCCTCCACATTGTCAGTGTTAACTGGAAATTTTGACTTATTTTTCAATATGTTAGCACTTTTGTAATAATTATCATATGTAAGATATTTAGCAGTACCTTTTCCTACTCATTTACAGGAATACTTAAAAGTTTTTAAAATTATATCTTTTTAACCTCTTTATGATAAATTATAGATAGACTATTATTTTTCTAAATTGAATTTTGGAAAAACACCATTTATTTAATCTCACCATTCTAATTAAGAAGATCCTGAATTTAATAATGCCTTTTTTTTAGTAAATGCTAAAAGCTTTTACATAACTATGTTTACATCTTTTACATTATATGTAACATCTAAAATGATTAGAAGCCTTAGCATCTTAATTTATACTAAGTTGTAGACTTTTATAAATTATAAAAAGTTAAAAATATTCTATAAAGGTTTTTAATTTGTTAAATAATTTTCTGAAAAAACAACCAAATACTTTTTTTATTCAGGAATAATTAAAGTTTTTATATCCACATAGTATTAACTTATGTATAGTGCTTATAGCTAATTTCCAGAATATTAATTTAATATGCAATTTGAAGATATGTTTGTTACATTTAACTCTTTTAACGCACTTTTTGCTATTATATTGCCTCATTTATTTCTTTTTTAATCAATTGTGGTCCTATAAAAATAATATAAGCAAACAACCTAAAATTAATTCTCAATATTTTATGAAAATGTCAAATAAACTTATTGGGCAAGATTTTTTATCCCATTTTCAATGATAAAAGTAGCCATTTATATGGCAATTATTTGTTTTTTGACCAATTCCCCTATAATTTAAATTATATCATTAATTATTTAATCTAATCTGTATTTTTATTACTTATTAGTTGTGCGGCCATGTATTCAAAAATTAGAGTTAATTAAGAATTTAGGAAGAGAAATTGCTATTTTACTTTTTTTTTCATCCCTTTTTCCTTATGAATTAACATTAAATGAAGAAATTATTACTTTATTAGGATGGATTCATATTGGATTGTTTACACTTATTATAGCTTAAAATGTTGTTTTAGATTTCCTAAATTAATTATAATAATTGTTAATCCAAATTTAAAAAAATAGATTAAAAAAATAAAAAAAGTAAAAGCAATTAGAAAAAAATACTTATAAAAGCTTTATGATTGTTTCTGATAATAATATTCAGATTAATAATTGATAATTTTTATATGTACATACTTTATAAAAATAAGAGTTTTGTTCAAATTATTAACAATTTATTTAATATGAGAAAAATAAATTAATATTTTTATTGTTAGAATTTATATTTTTCTTTTTATAATTTTTAAGATTAAATTCAAATTTAAGATAATTTGTAGAATCAAAAAGATAATTTTTATATAAACAAAAATAGAAGTTTTTATCCTTCAAATTGAGATTCAAATTAGTTTAAGACACAATGGAATAGGTTTAAGTACAAATTTTTTTAATCAGTAGTTTGATTTCCTCAATTAAAATGATTTTCTTTCCTAATGAGATAAATGGTAAGAGCAAAACAACGAATTTGAAGATTTTTAATTTATTGTTTTACACAAGATATTGGAATTATATATAAAGGAAAGTGTCCAACTTTTTAAACTAAAATAATTAGATTAGATTAGATTATATAAGTAAGATTTTAATTTGGATTATGTATAAGATAAAAATGAGAAGAGTTAAGAAAGATTATATATTTTTAATTTAATGAATAATAATTCAAGAGATCCACCCAGCAAAATTTTACTTCTTGTTATTACTTAATTATCTCCTACATTTCCTCTGTGTAATGATTTACTATTCGAGCAATTCACAAAATATGGTGATATAAAGAAGATTCTAATATTTGAGAGAGGTAAAGCAAATAAAGCATTTGTTGAATATTACGATATAAAAAATGCAATTGAAGCAAGAAAAGATAAGATTGGTAAATATTTGGCTGAAGGGGAAGGAAAGTATCAATTAGAAATATATTTAGATTAACAATACATTTTTCTCGTTTAAAAAATTTAGATTTAGAAGTAGTTGACAAATCTAGAGGAACTGATTATACTTAAACTAGCAGCACTGCTTCAGATGTTATGAAACATTCTAATACAGATGATCCAAATATATTGAGATAACAATTAGATTAATTTACTCGAACATTTACATCAACTCCAGAAAGAAATAAGAGTTCATAAAGAAACGATGAAATTAATAACTTATTAAATTCCGATTCTGAAGATGATAATGTAATATAACAAAAAACTAATTTAATACCTGAAATTTCTTAAGATGTTTAGAATATGATCACTCAAAAACCATCTAAAATTATTAAAATATAACATATTGATGAGAGAGTAACTGCCAAGATGTTGTTCAATATTTTCAATAAATTTGGTAATGTTGAAGAAATCCTTTATGAAAAATAATTCAAAAGAGTGTTTGTTAGATATTAAACAGTAGAATTTGCTCAGATTGCTAAAGAATACTTAAACAATGTAACTTTCTTTGATCAATAGGTAATATTAATATTTATTATAGTGGCGTATATAATACATTCCCTTATAATAATTGCAGCCAACAACTATTCAAGATGAATATATGATATATTATAATCTAAATGGACCAAAAATAATAGCACCACTTTCTAAGGCCATAATTTTGAGTGGTGTTTAAGAACCAATGGAAATATCTGAGATGATTAGATTAGTTGTAAAAGTTACAGGTAATAATTAGAAATAAATTAAGAAATAAAAATTATTTCATCGGATAGTTTAGAAATCTGTATGTTGAATATCTCTGAAACATTAAAGATGGTAGCTATTTTCTCTGATTACGAATTTAAAAATCAAAAACTAGTTATTTCAATGAAATGAATTTAGTTTATAGTAGATTTTATTTATATTGTTATCTCTTATTAAATTTATTAATAAATATGTTATAAAAGCATCTAACCCTAAAATGTATTCAATCGATCTAAGTCATCAATTTAGATTTTCTTTAACTTTATCAAATCAATCTTTACATCTAGAATAATATCCAACTCTTTAATGGTTAAAAATAATGACTCCTTAAATTTCAAATCAACAAAAATTTAATCTAAATACATAGCCTAGCCTAAAATATCTTAAATTATTTATCAAACTTAACCAACCTATGTTTTATAACACCAATAACAATTTATTCCAGTTATTTCACCTTAGTAATGACGATTTAATTAAATTTATTTTATTAAGAGAAATTGTAGTGTTAGATAAATATTTAATCTTATATATTGATTTTTTATTAAATGAAGCTTTAATTCAATTTTTCCAAATTATAAATATTTCTTTTTGAAAATTAAAAAATAATTAAAAAATTAATAAAACTTCTAAAAGCAATTCATATAAAACTACCCTTTAAAATGAATACATACAGTATATCAAGAATCAAAAGTTAAATTCCTCAATGTTATCTTCTTCCTCCTATTTAATTTGAAGAAAAACTTTTTATGAAGATCTCCTCCTTTCCAAAAAATTTAAGGTCCTCATCAGAACATTGACATTTAGTACGACTAGAAATTATGATGATAGACCAAGATATATTGAATATCCTTTTAAAACTTTGAATATTACAGATTATTTTAATAGAGCACTAATAGATTTGGCAACTAAAGAAGAAAAAATTGAATAGCAAAAGTTTAGGTCTTTTCTCAATAAGACAGATAAAATATTATTTTCTGAATTAGATAAATAAAAACTAAACTGAATTAATCTCACTTGAATTGAAAACATATTCATTATAATTTGATTTTTGTGATGTTTAATTACTGTTGAAAGAATTTGGAAACTAAGGAATGGTAACTGGAAACAGTATTTAATTAAAACCCAAAAATTTCAATAAGAATAAGCATAATTACTTCTAGAAATTAGATTATTTATAAGTAATCTATTCGTTCAAAAGAGTAAGAACTTAATGACAATTAGATATGAGAAGTGTTAACAATCCTTATAACTTCAAGCTTTATCTTTAGAATGAAGGACATTATTTTGATATAATAATTATTAATATTCTCTTCAATGGAATTATAAAAGATTCCTCTTCAAGACTTGATAATTTTCATTTAACATTTTAAACAAAGTTAAAAAAAAAAGTTAGAAATTATTTTTGATATTTTTTATTCAAGATTAAATCATTTTTATTGATTTTATTCAAATTTGATATATAACATCTCATTATTGAATTTAAAATATTATTTATTTATGCAAATAAGAAATATTTTTGATAATTATTTTATAATAATTAATCTATTCTGCTTAGAATGGTATTTTTAAGATAGAATTAAAGATGGGAATATATTATGGTAAATTAAATATTTTGTCATGAAAGCATATAAATTTAAACTTGATAAGAATTAAAATTTATTTATTTATATTATGAGACAAAAATCCAAAACAGTTCATGAGGGCCTAGAAAAAAAGTTATAAGCAGTCGATTATGATAAGTGTTTATATAATTGCCTTTTGACAAAATAGAAATTTATTGGAAGAGGCTTGAGATACCTTTATCTGTTTAAGAATTAAATTTGTATAGGAAAGGTATCCGTCTATCTTTAGATTTTGAGTCACCTTATATTCAGATTCCAGAACGACAGTTTAGAATCAACTCAGAATTAAGAATACAATGGACTTATACGAAAAATAAATTAAAATCAGTAATCTTTTAAGTAAGCGGCTAATAATATGAATATCATGGAACAAATGATTAGTTAAGGGAACTTAAATAAAAATGTTCATTATATGTTTTCCAAATTAAGATTTAAGATGAATATTAAGCTGAATCAGTTTTAGGAAAAGGGTCATATGCTACAGTTCTAGAATTAACTAATTTATATACAAATAGATAATATGCTGCTAAATGTATAGATTAATAAAGAATAAATGAAAGGAAGAATGGTTATAAATAATTATAATAAGAAATAGAGACAATGAGAATTCTTTCAGAAAGAAAACATGATAATATACTATAGTTACATGAACTTTATATTGGAAATTAAAATTATTATCTAGTTATGGAAATGGCAAAAGGAGGTTCATTATTAACTCTAATGAAAAAACGCTAAACTCTTTTTAGTAGATCAGACATCAAACTAATAATGAAATAACTGCTTGAAGGATTGGCATTTATTCATAGTTATAATATTATGCATAGAGATTTAAAACCAGAAAACATATTATTTATGAATAAAGATTTAGAATCATTAGTAATTGCTGATTTTGGTTTAGCATAATCAGTAGATTCTCATCCATATACATATCCTAAATGTGGAACACCAGGTTTTGTTGCACCTGAAATTCTTGAACAAGATTCAGAATTAGCTAAATATACTGTATCTTGTGATATATTTAGTGCTGGAGTTATTTTATATGTTTTGTAATGATTTTTAATTTTATTTAGATTAATTGGAGAACCTCTTTTTGAAAAAAAAGACAGAAAAGAATAATTAGAATTAAATAGAAAATGTGAAATTAATTTAACTAAATTTCCATCTGATTAATTAGATGATCTTGAAAAAGATTTATTGATGAAAATGCTTTCTAAGAATCCAGAATTCAGATGGTCAGCAAATAATCTATTGTAACATAAGTTTTTTGTATCTGAAGATTCTATAGAAAGTGAACTAGATTTCTATAAATTAAATAATATTGCCATGTATGATATTTATAAAATATTAGTCTTAAGAAATAAATAATGCCAACTTTCTCTAAGAATCCTTTTATATAATTTGGTAAACATATTAATACAGTCAGAGATAAAACTTAAACACTTTCTTTAAGATAGAGAAATTGTACTTTAATAATGTAAACCAATTTAAGATTTGACAAATCTTCATAAGAATAATTAAATACTGAATAAGTTAATGGAATGGGATCTTTTAATCTATTCAAAGATGAAATAAATTAAACTAATCCTTGAAAATTAAGTCATTCATATATTTTATTTACTCCAAAACAGATCTTATACATTTATAAAATATAAAATATAAACTTTTAATTTTTGAATGTTAATAATAAGTTTTGTCACATTTTATTTATCTAATTAAAAATGAGTTATGAAAAACTATAAAATCTTAATAAGTTATTCAGATTAAAATTCTTTTTGATTTTTGAATTTAAACTAATTCTTGTTTGTTTGAAAGATTGATTAAAAATTAAATTTTAATTCATAAATTTAGTTAATTGGAGAATATGGTTATACTCAATTAATTTTTGTAAGTGAATAGTAATAAAATGTTTTTGAAGAATGGATTTTCATGTTATTTTAATAATAATAAGATATTGAGATATTATTTGATTGTTATATATAAATAATATAAATGAAGAGATTATTAAAAAATTGTGATTAATGTTCAAAAAAGCTTGGGACAGTGTTTTGTTAAAATTGTTAAGCTAGATTTTGTTATGATTGTGACGAGGAAGTACATAATTAGGATTAAGATCATAAGAGAGAAATTTGTTCATTATAATGTAACTATGTTAAATAAGAATAAGAAATGAGAGAAAATGATAAGATTTAATAGATATAAAGAGGAGAATCATAGATATTATTATAGAAATAATAAAATGATTAGGAGAGATAAGAATAATAGATAGAGTTAAAATAAGTGGAATAAGAAATTAAATAATTAGAATAAGTTTTGAGTATGAAAGAGAATAAATAGAAAATTTAACTGGAATAATTAGAGAAGGAATATGATGAAAAGATAAGTATATTTGAAGAGAGGGTAGAGTAGAGTGAGAGTACAATAAAAGAGATAAAATAATAATAAAAAGAGGAAGATTAAATAAGTGAAATGATGAAGAAATTGAGAGAGTAATTGGAGGGACAGAGGAAGTATGAGTTTGATATAGGGTTGATAGTTTAGTGGTATAAAAGGTAGAATAATAGAAGTAGTAATTAAATGATAAAGAATAATTGTTATAGAGTTTAATAAAGTAAGAGAAAGATTTATCAGGAGAGATAAATAAGAAAGAGGTTTTAGTAGGGAAATTTAAAGAGTTAATATAATAGTAATAGAAAGAGAAAGAGTTAGTAATGATTGAGAATGAAAAGATAAAGAAATAATTATAAGAAATAAAATAAATGTTTAAAGAGAAGTTATCTTAATTAGGATTGGATGAAAATTATTTTAATTTTGAAGAAGAAGGAGGAGAAGATAATGAAGAGGAAGTTTAAATTTAATAAAATATAGAAGATTCAACAGAAGAAGATGAAGGAGGAGTATAATGATAAAAATTGAATAAGTTTAACTATGAGTCATTCATTATTATTTTTAATTTTAAGTATTCTATTAGAGATATACTTCTATTTCTTCAGCTTCAAGCCATCTTTTTTTAATACCATCTTTCCATTCTCCATATTTCTTTTCTCCATTAGACATATAATAGACTCCTATACCTTATTATTTACCTATAAAATAATAAATAATAGAAAATACCATTAACCCATATTCCTTCATATTTTCTACCATCTCCCCATTCAAATGATCCTCTACCATGTTTTTTATCTTCAGAATATTCCTATATCTATATATATTATATACTCCAATATATTTTCTACCATCTGGCCATGTAACTTATCCATGACCATGCATTTTATTTCTTCTCCATTATCCAGTATAAACTCTTTAATCTGGCCATTAATATGTTCCATATCCATCAATTTCATTATCAACAAATGTACCTTCATATCTAGAACCATCAGCAAAGAGTAATATTCCTTTTCCATTTTTTTTCCCTGTTTTATATTCGCCTTCATATTTAGCACCATCTGGCCATACTTCAATTCCTATACCATCTTATCTATCATCTACCCACTTAATAATTGAATGATTATTTTACATCTCCTTCATATCTAGCACCATTTATATGAACATAAACTCCTTTACCATTTGCTTTATCATTTTACCATTCTCCTTCATATACATCTCCATCTGCATGAATCAATTTACCCCAACCACAACTTTTATCATCTTTCCATTATCCTTCGTAACATGAACCATCTGGCCATTATTATTTACCATTTCCATCCCTCTTTCCTAATAACCATTCTCCTTCATATATTGCTCCTTTATCTAATTATATTGGACCAAACTTTTGCCTTTCAGTACAATTCAAATAGGTTATACTTACTTCTTTTACAGATTATGGTTCCAAATTTTTTTTCATTGACATACTCTCATTATCTACCTAAAATTTCTCTCTTTCTTTATTATTCTATCTTGGAGTTTCAGATATTTATTGTTATTATTATTAAACCGATGACACACTGTTTTCTTTATCATCATAATCATTTTAATCAGGATCTTCTAAATCTACTTCATTCTTTTTAGCCTCCTTCGATACTATCTCACCATTTTTATTTGCACAACAATTAACCTAACAACTACCCATATTCAGTTAATTATTTTTATATATACACATTTATTATATCAAAATTTTGCTTTCCCAATATAAGAGAACTTCAAAATCATCATTATTTAAAAGTTATAACACATTCTACTAATTGCCTCATTCTCTGCTCTTAAAAATACACCTTAACTTCCATAATATTCATACCATTCTTTTAACATCACCTATATGTGATGTTAATGTATCTCTATGAATATGATTATTCTAAATATATTTTAGAGAATCAGATCTCTATTTACATAACGAGCATTTAATTTTTCTATTTTTGTTTAAAAAATTCAATCTCTCTTTACTTAATTTATTATTTATATATAATATATTATATTTATATTTCATTATTATTTATCTTATCTTCTATATTCTTATTATTCCATTCTTAACCTCCTATTAATTTATTCTTTCTTAGATCACATTCAATAACAATCAATTTGTTTATTTTTATCACTCAATCTTAACATAATCATAATGTAACCATTCCACTCTTTCTGTCAATTATTCACATTCTCTTCCTAAAAATTAATATAAATTTATCCCATTCTTAAACTAAAAATTATCTTAATTATTAATTGATTTTTGTAAACCTATCAAATTATTATTTACAATTATATCTTTCTATTCTCACCAATATGTTTGAAATTCATCTCAATACCATAAAAATCCTTTTGGTTAAAGTATGTTTTCATTGATTCTAAAAAATTTCAAACAATTAATTTTTATTTTTGATAATCTATTTTACATATTTGAATACAATTAAGAATAATTATAAACTATTTTTGGGTAATTAATTTTCAGAATTATATTTTTAAAATATACAATTTTTTTGAATTCTTTTCAGATGTTTATAAGGTTATGGTTATGGGAATCTTTTTACTATTTTCTTAGAGTATTATTTTTAATGATATTCAACAATTATAATTTTTGTTTAAATTTATTAATTTATTTTTGACACACTTTTTTATTTTGTTCCAAATCAAAAATCGTTACTATTTTTTATTAAATTATTCTTTCAAATTATAAGATAATTATTTCTATAATTCTATTTTGTTTTTATTTGTAGCCCACTTTTAGTCGCCTTTATTATTTTTACTATTTTGAAACCCAATCTGTTAAGATTATTATTTCCCCCAATTAATATCTTAAGCTAGTTTTCACGATATTATATTTATAAAATTTAATATCATCTTCAAAAGAATCTATCAAAATAAAAAGGGAGAAAAGACTTGTAATAATTAACTGGCTATATTTAATTATCTCGATTTAGTACTATTATTTATTTTTTAATCTCTGTAATTTTCAAAATGATATCAAATTAAATTATTTACATTAGACAAAAATAGTATCCTTATTTGGGATGTTTGATTTAAAAAAATTAATTTCTTAAACTTCCATAAAATTCTGAATTTTGTATAATAAATAGTATTGCAATATTTCTCTTAAAGTGTAATTCATAAGCAAAAAATGTGTTTACAATTTATATGTCTTACATATTTATATTAACATTATCAAGTAAAAATTTACATAATTATAATATAAAATCTTTTACTGTCTTTAATTTTGTTTGATTAAAATACAAAGCTAAGATGCTTTTTAAGATTCTTTTTTTATTATACTAATCCATTTTAAATGAAATCCTCAATTTATTAATAATCACAAAGTAAAAAACCATTAGTTTTTAAATAAAAAACCTTTTCCATAATATATCCTAAATTTGAAACTTAGTGGAATTCATTAATATTATTAATCTCTTTAAATAGAGCTTAAGTGTATAATAATTAGAGTATTATGGTTATTTAGAGTGCTATAAGAATGGTGCATTTGAAAAGAGATTTGAAATGTTTAGTGAAAATATTTTGGTTCATAATATAAATATTAATAATTTTTGATTGTATTTTGTGTAATTCATTTCCAAGCTTGCCTAACAAATTTCTCAAAAGCTTAATCGTTTTCAATGAGTGCACTGATATCAGTTATATATTCAATGAAAGTTTATTGTGTAACAAATTAAACATCTTTCCATAGATCATTAAAATCTTTATTAGCATCAGCAACTGTTTTTATATTTGTAGCTACATCATGACTCTTTGAGGCATCATAAAATTCTTAAATCAAATAACTAATTACATTTCAACTATTGTATACTGATTTATGATTCCCCATTAGATAATCTATTCCAGAGTTAATTCACTAAATCTAATCTAAATTAAGAAAGTGGTTCTTATTTATTTAAATAATTTTACTTCTTAAGAATGAAATGAATTCAACAAAGGAAACCTCATCATCACAATTTTTATCAAAATATCTAAATAAATTATCATATTCTGTTTTAGTTAATAAAAATCCAGATTCTTTCATGGCCCATTAAAATTCCTATCTATTTAATGTTCCATTCTTATTTTTATCAGAGTTTGCAAAAATAGTAGCCATTCTAATAACAGAATGCTATCCTTTTTTGATTAAATCATTTCTGATTCTATTTAATGTATCTTGAGGAGGAGCTCTTGCAATTTAAAATACTGGATTCACATTTGCATTATTTCCTGATCCCATTAATGCTATCAATCCACAAATTTCATCATAACATAATCTTCCACTTTTATCAGAATCATATTTATTAAACAATGCTTGAATTTCCTTCTCACTAAATACACAACCAAATTTTTATAATGCTTATGCAAATTAATAAATATCTATAGTTCCTTTGTTTTCTAAATCAAAATACATAAATGCTTTTTTTGCTGTTTTACCTTCATCATCTTTAGTTACTGTTTTTTATCTGATTTTTTCAAATAAAATAATTTCTAATTAAGCTAATCTTTCTGGAGATACATAATCAGCACCTGATGTTACACCCCAAGTAGATGTTAACAACTATGGAATATTATATTATATTTACATCTGTGAAATACTCTTCCTTCTCACTAGGAAGTGTAGCATTACAATCAGCATAATAATTTAAGAATTCTTCTTCATTTATAGTTTACCCATCTTTACTACGTTTTGATATTGCATTCACAAATTCTTTTGTTATTTAATCTGCTGTCTTTTATCTTGTTCTTACTCTTGGATGGTTTCTAGCTTAATACAATCTATAAAGACTTTCCAATTACAATTTCCCTTATCGTTATTAATCCAAAAATTAAAATGTACTTCTCACTACATTTATTCTCTTCTCACTCATGTTTTCTCTAATCAAATTCACAAATTCTGCATATGCAATATTACCATCTTTATTTTAGTCATATTTATCATATACTGCTCGTAATTCTTAAGTTGTTAGAAATACACCTATCTTTGATAAGAACTTCTAGAATTCATCCTTATCCAAATAACCTACATTTACTTTAATTAATACCAGAGTTATCTTTATCAAATTCTGCCATTAATTAGTACACTCCCTCCAAATCATCTATTTTACGAGCATGTAATTATCCTCTGATCTTATTCTAAATTAATTCTAATTTGTTTCTCCAGTCCATCAGTTATTTTTTTTATATTATATTTATATATTTATATATACATTTATTATTATTATTATACTTTCTATAAATAATCACTCTAATCATAAAATAATTATATTATTATACATATTTACTTAAAAAATATAAATGTTTATACACAGATTTATTATCTTTTATTTTTCTGATGAAAACCTATATTTAATATTCCATCTTTGAAATTATCAAAGGTATATGCAATTTTTTAAAGATCTTTATTAAAGTTTCAAATCATTTACTCAAACATAAAATTTATTCCACATAATTGTTAACCATTTATATATAAAGTATATAAAGTAATTTAACTTTAATTTTATAAATAATCAAAAATTTAAATAATAAAAAGTTTTACAATTCTAAAAATAAATCTATTGATAATTTCTAATCAATTAAAAATTTTTATTCAAAAGATAAGTTAAAATATTCATTTCAATATTCATAGTCATCCAAAGAATATCAGCTTTAATCAGAAAACTTTTAGTCAAAAAATATCTGTATTTAGAGGGCCGAAACAAAGCTTAAGGATTAAAAATATTGTATTTGAATTTGAAAACCATCATAAGACTTAAAAAGTACAATTACATTATTAATCTATCCTTTTATTTTCAATTAATTATTAATTAAATAGAATTATACAAATCGTGATCAACATAATTGATGAATAAAAATGTAATTTATAAATAAGTTTTAACTTTACTATTATTTTATAAATGAAATAAACATTTATTCTCGAAAAACATTATGATTCATATAAAAAAATTTTACTTAATTTTGAAATTTGTTACTCGATAACTTATTTATTTATTTTTGCTATTTTATAATTCGAATAGTTTGCTTGGCTAAATATATTAAGGTTATAAATTTTAACAAATAATAAAGACATTTACTAATTACAAATAATTATAACAATAATTAATAGGTTAACCTATAAATTTATTGAGACTTGAACTTTTCTGATTTTTTGAAAATTTCCAATTAAATAATAAAATTATCAATTTATTTGTTATAATCATTTAGTATTTTCTTAAAAAAAGGTTGCACAAAATTGAATGTATATCTACTTAGATTAATATGAATGATCTATTAAGTTATATATGAATTATTATCCTAATCCAAAAAATCATATCATATAAAAATTGAAAATAATTCTAAATTTGAATGATTTTGAGTAAATAAAATATAAAAATAGAGTATTAAGACATTGAATGAAGAAATAAAGATTTTTGAATGTTTAAATCATATATTATTTAATGATATAATTAAAATTGAATCTAAAATAAAATCATCCAAGGAAAAGACACATTGAAGAGAATTAATTTGTTAGTTAATTAATAATAGCAAATTCTCAAATCATTTGTTTCTATATTAATTATTATTAAAAGCTCATGAAATTATTTAAACAATGTTATAAAGAATTCTTTCTTCAAGCCTAAACACAAGAACTCTATAAATATGAAGAATCTTTAAATAGTCTAACTCTTTAATTTATATCAGAAGAATTAGAATTGTCTTATTAAAATAGATAAATGGCGAAAGTAATTGTGTAATTTAGGATATCTATCCTATTATAGATATTAATAAATATAGGGTTTATCATCAACTCTGCTGTAGTGTACAATTCACCAGATATTGTGAAATTTAGATTAATATTTATTGGATGGATGCTCATTTGTTTATTTTTATAGAAAATTTCTAGGAAATATTGGAATATCACCACGAATATACTGAATTTTATAAATAGTGTGATAAGTGTGTTATTGTTTGCCTTCTTTACAAAATTTGTTAATACAGCCTAAACAAACTTTAATGATGTTATGAGTCTTTCTTTAATATCTGGTTTGTAATAAGGATTATTTGCTATGAGTTTTTTTTTAATATAATCAAACTATATAATGTAGAGTTTGACTATGCTTAGTTTCTTCATTATAATAATGGGAATATTTACCTAATTTTTAAATTATAGATTATGGACATAATATCTCCTTTTAATATTTACATGTTATTTATTAAGATAGAATGAAAAGACAAATCGTTTGAATTTTTTATTAATTCATAAATCTCATAAGAATTTAGAAGCTTGTAAGAAACTTTATGATGAAACGGTTCCAACTTCAATAATAATATTGGAAGAGAATATACAATAAGAAGGAGTTAAAAATGATTTATTAAATTCAGCAGTTACTTAAAAAGAGAAACTTTATACATAAGATAGTAAAATTATGAATGTAGCTTACTTTAATAAAAGTGCTTCTATTCATTTTGAAACAGCCTAAGAAGATATTCTAACAGAAAGATTAAATGAGATAGAAATTTCGAATTCTGAAAATTCAGTTTTAAATTGTGAAAAGAATAAGCTTTTAGAGAAAATTTAAGGGTTATAATCTACATTACAGACTGAAATGCGATTCAATACAATAAATTAATTTGATTATTAAATAATGTCTATTAATAAAAAAATGTAATGTTAAAGAGTATAAATAATAAATAATATATATAGGTTTTAAAATAATAAAAAGTTTATTACTATGATGCATAAGCTTAAGGATGTTTATGGGATGGAAAATAATGTATTATGTTAATATTGAATGATACTACTGACAGAGTCTTAAGAATAAAGCATCTTTAAGAATTAGACAATTATAAAGATAATTTATTAGCAGCAGTGTCTCATGATCTGAAAACTCCATTAAATGGTTAAAATATTTTAGCAAATTTAATTAAAACAATGATGGAAAATAAATAATCTATGATTAGAAGTGATATTTAAGGTATAAAAATGTAATAATATTTTTAAGAAATTGTTGTACATATTGATGATATGATTTCTAATTAATAAATATTATTAACAATGATAAATGATTTGATTGATTATTCATAATTAAAAAAATAAGGATTAAGATTAAATTATACTTAATTTGATCTTTCTGGATGTGTATAACAAATTTAAAAGATGTTCAAAAGATAAATGGATTTAAAATAATTGTAATTTAAAATTGTTGGATTAGATGAATAGATAATAATGTTTACAGATTAAATTCGATTATAGTAAATTTTATATAATCTAATATCAAATGCTATAAAATTCACTTATAATGGATTTATTACATTAAAGATTTAGAAATAGATATCTAACAACTAGAATCTTATTAATTTTTCTGTTTAGGATACTGGAATAGGAATACCTATGAATATTTAGACTAAATTATTCAAAGCATATTCAACTTTTAATTTAGGAAATAAAAATTCATAAGGAGTAGGATTAGGTTTAGTAATATCTAGAAATTTAGTTGGTTTATTAGGACCAAATGAATTTATAGAAATGAGTTCAATAGAAAATAAAGGATCAAATTTTAGTTTCTCAATATACTTGAATGCTTAACATAAAGAATGCAATTTTATTAATACTTTTTAAGTAGATAATGGAACTCCTGATAATGATCCATCTCCTATTCATAAAGTTCCAAATCCTTTAGTTAAAAGACCTAATAGAAAATATTAAACAGTTGTAGATATATCTACATCTTTATATTAAAAATTAAAAATATTAATTGTAGATGATACAATCTTTAATATTTACGCTTTAAAATAATTATTAAAACAAATCATTATTTAATGTGATATTCATGAAGCTCATAATGGATTAGAAGCATTAGAAAAAGTCTAAGGAATTAGATTTGATATTATTTTTATGGATATCAATATGCCAACAATGAATGGAATATAGGCTACTTAAGAAATTAGATAATTTGAAAAAAATAACTAATTTTAAAGGTCAATAATATGCATGCTATCTGCTTTCTAGGGAGAAAGTGATTTATAAGAATCCTTAAGAATAGGAGCAGATTTACATTTATCAAAACCTTTCTAAATTATTGCTCTAAAGACTATCTTGAAATAATTTAATTTAAATTGATTTATTCTATTGATATTATGTTATTACTTGCATATTTAGAGTTAAAAATATTAAATAATTAATTATTATCATAGATAAATTAATATATATAAAATGTTAAAAAAACTAAAACCTGTTTTAATATCTATTTCTACTTTAGGTTTAAGTTATTTTATTGCTTAACGAGAATTCAATATAGATTTAGGAATATTTGATACATTTTATAGTCAATTTTACAAATATTCTCCTCATTATGCAATTTAATTTATGAAGATTATGTGTTATTAAAACTTATTATGGAAATAAGATTTCTAATCTAATGAATAAACACTTAACAAATAGATTAAATTAAAAAATAAACTTGGATTGGCAAGTGGATTTGATAGTGATGGTTCATTTATTGAAGCTTTATAAAATTTAGGATTTGGTTATATTGAATTAGGTTCAATAACAGCATAAAAAAATATTAGATTTAATGATGATACAAACACTTATTAAATAAAAGTAAACTTAATTTAATATCTTAGAATAATAGTATAGAATATTAAAGTGAAATTCCATAGATGGGAATTTTGTAAAGTAAAGCAATCTTAACATCACTAAGAAGAAATTATGCAATTAAAATACCTATAGGTGTTAATATAATGCCATCTGAAGAAATATATAAATACACACCATATTTGATTGAAAATGATATTTCTAATGTAACTAGGTAAAATTTGATTAAATAATTAGAGAATTATGTTCATTAGCTGATTTTATTGTTCTTAATCTTGTAAGTAGTTAAAGAACTAATAAATTATATAGTGATATTGTATCTAACAATACAGAAGTTATTAAAAAAATGATTCAATCTATTTAAATTACTTAAATTGAAGAAATTGGACTATAAGCTGCTTTAGAATATGAAATTAAAAATTAATTGAAAGGAGATAATTTAGTTAGTGAATATCTAAGTACTACTTAATTTGGATTAAAATAGTAATTAATTTAATTAATTATTTTAGAAATTTAGTTGCTCCATTATATATTAAAGTATCCTCGAATCTTTAAAAAAGTGTTCTTGATTTTTTATTAATAGAAGCCAAAAATAATTCAATTTAAGGTATTATATTTTAAAAAGACATCGATTAAAATGACTAAGAATACTATAATAAACTTAAAACAATAAGAAACTAAATACCAGAAACTTGCTCTTTGATTTGTGTTGGAGGCATCAACACTAAATAATAATTTTAGGAAAGATTACTAAATGGAGCAGATGCTTGTTAAATATATTCATCTTTTCTTGCTAAAGTATAAAAAAAATATAATATATATTTTAGGGACCATCAGCTATTAAAGATATATTGTTATGATAATTATAAAAATAATCCACAAAATTTAATCAAAATTAATTATTTATTCTATAATTATTAAACCATCCTTTTATTCCTTTACTTTTCTTTTTCTTATCTTAATTAGCAAATAATCCTTAAATAATATTTTATTTATTTGCTTTATCTGCCATTTCTATCGCACTCAATATGATTTAAAAATCTCAATCCAGAAGTTCTAAATTAAACTTTATGTTCTATTTACTTATTTGAAATTGTTTAAAAAAATTATTAACATTGTCATTCACTATCCTTTTTATTACAATTCAATTTTAATTTAGGTAAAATCAATAGTTAGCAATTTATTTAGTTATTATTTTTTTCTATATTAATTTAAAAATAGTTTTAAAGTAATCTTATTATTTACCTTGCTTTATATTAATTAACTTATTCAGTGTTTACAAGTAAATTTTTGCTTTTTAATTCAATTTTTATGATTATTGTATTCTATTTGAATAACAATAATTGATTAATCAAGTAAATTATTAATGTCTAATAAATTATCATTTTTTTATTCTCTAATATTTTGTAAGCCATTTTATAATTCTTGTTGTTTATTTTGACTTTAATTTTATGTATTTTATTAATTTTCATCATTTTTGAGCGTCAAAATATAATCTTAAAGTTGATAAATAACTTTATTTAGCAAAAATATGTTTTCTTATACTTTATTTTACTTAATCTTAATTGTCTAATTCTTCTTGATTTCATCTGAATGAGAATCATCAAAATTAATATAATGATATTTTTTCTTTTATTAATCTGAATATAATTAGAGAGTTTCAAATTTGAATGGTTATGTATTTTAATGAAGAGACTATTTTATTTGTGTAATTCAAATTGTTTTGATGATTAAATGAATTGATTCTAAGATTAATTAAAAGGAGAACATGGAAATTCTCTTAATTTATATCTACGGCTAAATGATTTGGTTCCATTATCAAGTATTTATTTGATGCTTTTATATTGATAGTATGATACATATGTTAAAGTTCTTAATGTTGAAGTTAACTATGTGTAAATTCACTTCTTTTAGGTTAATTATATTCTACATTTAAAAGTCTATTATAAGAAAAATCTCTTATTGTTGCTTACAGAATTTCAAAAGTGGGAGCATAAGAATGGGAATGCTTTCTATTTTATAATAATCTCATAATTCTTTTCTGATCTATTGATTATTTCAAGGTTGCTTCTTTAGTATGATTCATCAAATTATTATAATTTTAAATAAATATTATATAAATATATATTTAATTTCATTATTTTATTGAATTCAATGTTTATTGCCATTATAATATAACAGGATGTTTATCATTTTTATATATCTTAATTCCACATTTTATAGCGTTTTCATAACTATTTTAATAAATATTATTACAATTCTATAGCTTATTTTGACTCTTACTACTCTAATTCTATTTTAGCCAATTCGATATATAATTTACATTTCTCCAAAGAGTCTCCAATTATAATATTCAAAGTATTTTTAATATATTCTTAAGCTTTCTATTTTTGTTGTTTCTTAATATATCCTTTAATGATTTAGTTGTTAATTAATATTTTAAGATATTCATGTTATACTTTAGAACTACGATAAAATTCTTAGGCCTTTAAAGCATAATTTAATTGAAGATCTTCCTCAATAGACATTTCACTCCATATCAAATATAAAATTGATTTTAAAGGATGCATCATATTTTGAGGAGGGTCTTCAAGTAAAATATCTTTTAATTATGAATTCGTAAAGTTTAATTATTAAAACTATTTATTGATTATATTTTACATCTTAAAACATCCTCATAAATAATAAATTTGTATCAATAATTATTTACTTTATATTTGGTATTTCTGTTTCACTACATTAATCAAGTAATTCTTAAAATTCCAGCATAGCTTCAAAAGCTTCTTCAATTTTACTTAAATAAATCAAAAAAAAAAAACGATTAGCTACCAATTATACTTTATCTTCTAATTAAGCATCCTACAATAATTTTTACAATTAAAATATTATTTATAATCCTTACTCATAACATCTAAAATGTTTACATAAATCAACTATTTATCTAAGTTTTTTTTCTTTAAATTTAGTTTGTTTAAAAGGTTTATCAGGTATTATCAGGGAAGGTTAATTGCTTAAAGACTCTTTAATTTTTTGAACTTCTTAAATTAGTTTATCAATATCTAAAATTGGGGATAGAATATCTGATCTCAACATTCTCTTAAGTAATTAAGCCAAAGATGTAAACTTTTGTTTCTCTATCATTTAATTCAAATTTGGTAGCATAATATCTATGTTATTTGTTTAACTAGGTTATGGATGGTATAGAATTACATAAATTATTCTAGCCAAAATCCAAATTTGAGCTTATTATACCTATTCAATCGTAAAATTATTTATATGTTAAGTGATCAAATCATTTGTATTATATAGATTTTCTTAACGTTCTAATGCTTATTCTTATTAATCTATCTTTTATATTATAATTGGATCCATATAATCTGGTTTAATGGTTGTAGGATATTGATTAAAAGTTGTTGGAATATAAGTTACAGTATCAAAATATATTTTATGTTGATTCTAATTAATATATTAAAACCAAACATTCTTAGCAGTAATACCATTTAAATATAAACCTTATTATTAATAAATTTTTATTTATAGAGCCATGTCAAGTAAAATTTAAATCAATTAATTTTCAGAAAATACATTAAATTCATTTTGAGCTAATTAATATAAATTAAAAGTTCCCAATTCAACTAATAAACATAATTTTTTATCAAGATTCTTAATTTTGATTCCTGATTTAAATTTGTTATCTAATTCATGTTGAAATTGAAGAACATCTTCATATTTTTTGGCAGTTTCTTTAAAACATTAAATTTATATATTTTAATCTTCATTAATTGCATAAATAGTATATTTAGATTAATCTTCGCTTAATTTATAATTAATATAGTATAAATTTCCATATCCTATTTTGGTAAGATCATTTGCATCTAATTTAGTGAATGATAAATAAGATTGATCATTATCTAAATATATTTTTTCTTAATTTGAATTTCCGAGCAAGAGTAGAATACTTTCTTATCTTAAATGTTCACTAAAATTATTTCTATAAAATCTACTCAAAGGTACCATTCCACTACCCAAAATAGCTAGAAATGATGATTAACCTTTATCTTAATTAGTATGCAATGATCCAGTTCCTGAATAATGATAACTTATATAATCTCCATGATCTGCCCACATTTATTTAAATAAAACAATAATTGGATTTAGAAATTTAGTATTATTTTCATTAATTTCCAATACTTTTTAACCTAAAATTCTTTCTAAATCTAATCCCATACATTTTAATTAATATTCTAACATTAATAATGCAATTCTTGATTAATAGACATTAGTTCTATCTAGACATGCTAAACAATTTGTTCTAACAATTCCTCTTTATTTTAATTTTCTTTAATTAGTTTATAAATCATAAGCATCAAATTACATATTCTTAATAAAATTGCTTATTTTAATAATATCTTAATTTATAATATGGAAATCAACACCTTGAGTAATTTGATCAAAATTATAATATAAATATCTTATTCTATCTGGTTAATACTAATGAATTCCTAATTCATAAGCCTGTATTAAATCATGTTCAGTTTATTTATTTTAATTCATTAAATTTATAGCTAAAACTCTTTCATATTTAGAAACTAATTTATTAAAATGACTTGTAAATCCAATTTGATTATCTTATTCATTTCCATATAATTCTAATTTTTTCATTAATAGATTTCCTGATTCTCTCCAAAATACTGGAACACTTCCTCTAATTTATTTAAATTAACATTTTAAATTAGCAACAACAATAATTTATGTAGTTTCAACAAAATTAGCTACACTACCATCTTTTTATACTCCAGTTTAAGCTAATCTAGTTCCAGGAGCTTTAATAGATCTTTTAGCAATTAAAGCAACTTATACTCTTTTACCTTCTAAATATACTGAAAAACTATCCATAAATCCTTAAATCATAAGAACATCCCAATTCTTGATTTATTAAGTATAAAATTATTTACATAAACCTCTATTCCACATAAATTCTTCTCTATCTATATCATCACATTTCTCATAAGTGAAATAAAATCCTTTAGATAATAAATTTTTCAAATTTGATACTGCTTCCTATATTTCAGTAACTTATGCAGCCCTATTATCTAATGCTATAAACTTAGTAGAATGAATATGAAAGAAATCTTTATAAAGAGGATGTAATTAATGATGACTACAACGATCAACCATCAATAAAAATATCACTGATTTTATATTAATAAAACCCAAAAATGCAGAATAAAGTTAAGATGATTCTTAAAGTTTACGATTCTTTAAATCTTCTACTGAAATTCTAAAATCTTTTCTATTTATAATTAAACGTGTATCTATCGAAAGAGATTTACTATTAGGTTCTAACTATCAATTACAATTTATTTATTTACAATTATTTCTGATTATGTTACTAATACCTTAATTGCTTAAATATTTTGAGGTAATAGTACACTTTAATTTTAATTAGCTATGTCTCTTTATATAAAATCAATTTAATTTATCAAATCCACCATTTGTAAATATAATTAATATATAATTAATAACATTCTTTCATACATTTGATTAATCATTATTTTCATCCTATAATGTTTCATATTTACTCTAATTTTATACTTTCTCTTTTGCTTCATCCATTTACTTCTCTAATTATAAATTTAAATTCTCCTTTTTTAATATTCTTACTTTTTTATATATTTTACACAAATAACATAATCTAAAATATAATATAATTTATTACAATGCTGTAAACACAAATAAGAATATTGTAACTGCCATCATAAATTCATTGTATCTATGTTTGTACCAATATAAGGATAGATTAGGAATTGCTATTTAAGCAACATGATAAAACAATTCATAATCCCTAATGGCTAGATTATTAAAAACAAGAACTTAAGCACGAACAGCAATGAATAATTAAGGATGAATGGATTATTTATCTACTGTAATATTAAACACTATTTCATCAGTATGATTTAGAGCATAATTACCTATATCAATCTATTAATAATTATCTATATGATTTTAATGATAATTTGCATATTAATTATATTAACAAAGTCCAATTATATGAGCATATTAAACATCGCTACCCCAACTAATTGAATATCTTATTTAACTATTCATTTCTTGATGAATATCACAACCAATGCATTTTAATGGCTTAAATTTTACAGTTATCAAATCTGTATCATAAGTCTCAAAAGAATAATGAATTTATCCATCACCTCCCATTACCAATTGTCCAAATGGAGTAAAATCTTGTGCTTTATAAACTTAAGTGGTGAACTTATAAACACTCTAATTTGATTAGAATTCAAAGTAAACAGGTCCTGCTCTTACTGGTATTATAATATCATTTAATTGCCCTTCTAAAGTTATCTTACTAACATTAAAAACCCTTTCAATAAATTCATCGTAATTTTAAGTTATTGAAACACTCAACTCACCTAAACAATTATATACTTAAACTGCTAATTTACCTTCCTGAGGTATATAAGATTCATAATATTTTGGTTAAGAATCGTGTATATGATCACTTAAACTTGACTTTTCATCAATCATTAATACTTCTTTTCCGACTATACTAATTTATAAATCAATTCTATTTAAATAGTTATTTCCATAGATATAACTATCTTTCATTTAAAGCGTTTTTGTTGGAACTACATCTCCTCCACGATTAAATATGTATTAAATATTGTTATTTTCATTTCCTTTAATTTCCAACAAACTATGAATCTTAATAGTCAAAAGTCCTTCTAAAATTGGTAAAATATAAATCTATTAATCATTTCTACTTGAAAAAGGTTCAATAAGAGTGTAATTAACTGGATCTGTTTCATTAGATATTTCAATTTTTAAATAATCTGAAACTGAAAATTTCTAAATTCCATATGATATTAATTTAATAACTAATTATGGTTACTTCTAATAACGATATTAATGATATAATGTTATAACTGGAGTTTATTTACTTAAATAAGCAAATGTAATGATTCCATCTAATAACAGTTAACCATTTCCAGTAGTAGATTGAGTTAAGAGTATAGAATAATTTGATGGTTATTATTAATTATTTTAAACAATGATATAAAGATCATCATCATTATAATGACCTGCTAATGTATGAGATTCATTTGCATAAGGTGTGTAATTAGTTTCTTCTAAATGTTCTCTTGGAGGAATAATAGCTTAATAATATGAAATAGAGTTTGTAGTATTCATTAATTTCTATTATTTAATTATATTATATGGTCCATATTAATAAAGAGATGAATTTAATACAGCATTATAACCAATCCACATTTATGTATCACCATTATATTGATTTATTTATATCTCTATTTGATGATCAGTATTGTATGAAAAATGATATATATTGTAATCATTCTGATCTTCTAAAAAATCTGTATATGCAATATTTTAGGGTAATTAAACAAAATTTAATTAAGATGTTACAACTATTAATAAATCAAGATTGATTCCTATTGTTTTTATTTTAATTATGTATGTACAAAGCTCACAATATAATTTATTATCATTTTTATGAATAATATGCTAATTGAAAGATTATCCTGCTAATAATTGTTATTTAATAATTATCTCTTCTTCACAATCTTTGTTTATATTATTTAAACATCTAGACATTTCTATCAAAGAGGTTCCTTAAATTTTAATGAATTTAAAGTATAAATCATCATCTTTTTATATGTTAAAATATTGATATTCTACTTCTTCTTCAATATCTAATTTAATTCTTGATGGGACTCCCATTATTAATTTATGATTCTTACTATCATTTGATACTTCTAATGATAATTAAAATTTGCTATTATCAACAATAGAAAAGATTTAAATTATAATATAAGGATTTGTAGTAAGATTGAGCTCAGTTAATTTTTCTTAGATTTAGGCTTATGTTAACTCTAAGACATTTCCGAAGCCTTGATATTTACAATCTATATCAATATAATTATCATCATTGAAAGATAAACATATAGATCCTTAACCATAAATTTCATGTAAGATTAATTTAAGTCTTGATTAAGGAGATATATCATTAATTTCTGAGAAAATGAATCTCCTAGGCTATTATTTGTTTACTGATATCTAAATGGGTAATCCACTTTTTAGATCCATATATGATTATGTAATAGTTACATAAACAGTATCATCAAAATTAATTTTAACATCTCTTTTTTATTCTTATTATTAAGCTACTAACAATATTTTTAAAACACAATTAGGTGCACAGAACTCAAATGCACCAGAATGAATACTTTTAGAATGCTAAGTTTTGTATTCTTCTTAAGCATAGAGAGAATTGGACTATTAATTTTTAGAATCAAATATTTGAATTTAATATTTGGTGTATCCATAATGAGAATTTATATGTAATTAAACATCATTTTATGAGGAAATTACTTTATAATATAAAAATGTTTCTGAGATTAAATATTCTAGATTGAAAGTGTATTCTTATCCATCTTTAAGTTCTAAAGCAGTTTATGGATTCCATATATTTAAATAAATTAAGATATCTTCATTTCCATGATTTTCAATTATCATATAAGCTTAACAAATTGTCAAGTGATTTGAATCTTCTTCAATTTCATCTTCACTAATTCCATCTTAACATAATGAAGTTAAAGCAGATTTAGATAACTAAAGTGTACTTGAATCTTAACTTTTAGCAAATTAAGAATGATTATCAGGTTTAATATCATTTTAGACAGTTAAAGTTAAATTATCATTATTTTTGCTTTAAAGATTAATATAAAATAGACTGGTATTTTAACTATAATAAAAACTAAAGTATTTAGATTTAAGGCCTTTCACTTGATCTACAAATTATTAACCAACATGTAGTGTTTTAACTGTTCTACTAGTTGAATAAGTAATGGTGTACATTATTTCTTTATCTAAATATGTATCAAACATATTTTCTATTCCTATAGTATAATTACCAGAACTTTGATAAAATTAATCTTCAGGCTAAATAGATAAATAGTTATTGAAAGTAATAAGATCATATTATTGCATTGATGGTAATTCATTCCCTTTATTTAAAGTTAAAGCAACTTACATTCTAGATGAATGAATAGCAAACTCAATTGATGGTTAGACATCATCAATAATTTCAACATTCTAATCCACTTACTTAAAATTAATTATAACTTTAAAATAATGGATTATTGATTCCCTATTATTCAATTACAATACTCCTCTATAAGTTTCATCTTCTTTTAATACTTTTATATTTATATCTTGCTTTTTGATTATTTAAGCCGTGAATTAAAATATTGTGGATTCTTTCGCTGTTAAAGTAACATAATATTAAGTATGTTTTAATTGATCTCCCCTTAGAACAACTAAATGATCAATTCCTCCAAAATATTTGGCACATTCAATTCTTACAGGAAAACAACTACTATCTCTGCTTATCATATACTCAATATTATGAGTATTGACAGTAAAAACTAATTCTTAATCATCATCAGATTTTTCATATTTAAGAATCAAATTTTCTTCTTGTGACTATTCTATAAAATTAGAATAAGGTTAATCTTATTTAAGTAAACGTAAATTTTAATCATTTTTTGTCGTTAACATATACATATTTTTAATTTCACTAGTAATCTCTATTTAATATGTACAGAAATCTTCTTAATCTTTATTTTAACAATGTGGAGTAACATATACTAAAGGTTTTAATTCATGTTTGTGAAATCTTAAATTATGATTGTCTTCATTAGTTAATTAACATCCATTTTAACATTCTGCAAGTTTTAGAGTATTTGCTCCTTTCTGTTAATATACTAATTTAATTTCAATTTCCTATTCACTTTCAATACTTTTAAATAAATAATTATGTTTTCCTTAATTTTGAATTTAAGTTAAAATTAATTAATTATTATATAAAATTGCTTGATCTATCAATTTCACAACCATAAGATACTTTAAAGAACCTCCTTAACTTAAATTAATGGTGATTTTATTTTCTTAGATATCTTCTCTTCTTAATATAATATGGAATGCTTATCCTATTTATTATAAGAGCATAGATTATTAAGAATTAAAATATTCATTTTCTTTCTTGTGAATTTTGATTTATGGTAATTTATCTCCAAATATTCCAATTTATAATATTTCAAATTTATATGGCAATTCCAATTTATAAACATTTTCAGTCTTTTCAAAAAGATAATCTTATATTAATTAATTGATTTAAATGGCTTATTCATCTTCATATAGATATAATTATCCAATGACTTTTGCTTTATCTTTTTTTTATAAATCTCCACTTAAAACTACCCATATTTTACATTTCTCACAATCATTATTATTAATAGCTACTGTTAATTATACATTATCTTCATATAACTAAGGCTTTTCCTAATCCTTTTCTTAAAATACATCTAATTTAAAATTATTTGATTCTTTATTTTCCAATTTGAATTATCCCACCATTCTATTATATTCTTTTGGAAGATGCATTAATATTACTTTTGCTGGCTCATTTTAAGATAAAATTAATTCTTAACTCTCTATGCTTAATTCTATTGCATCACTATATATTATTGAAATCCTTCCTTTACAAGGAACACTAATACATTTTAAATTTATTTCATCTGATTTCATTGTAAATAATGCAGTCTCATAAAATTTATTTAATTTGAACTCATCTTCTTTACTTTTCAATTAAATCTATCCCAAATCACTTTTCTCATCTTCTATATCTGGTCTAATATATAAAATTATAAAATCTTTATCCTATTTCTCATCCAATTCTACTTACATCTTATTACCTTATTTCAAATCGAATAAAAAATCCTTCTGTTTTTTACTCAAAACTTAGATTATTGTCAATAAAATAACACCAATCCTAATCATCATTAATTATTAAATATATATATAATTAATTATTTTATTACAATTATATATATATATATATCTATATTTAAATATTTCATTATAAATACATAAAACTATATATTCATCATCTTTCTTATCTCTTACTCTTAATTACTCATATATTAATTTCCTTATTGCTATATAGTTATTTTAATCAAGAATTCTTTACAAATTGCATCATTTTATTATCCTAGAAAATCCAAATATATTTAAGAAAATTATAAATATACAAATTTCACACTTTCTATTGAGAAAGTTTTTATTAATTATAACACTTCTCCCATCAGATTTATATTCAACAGATCCAATCATTAAATTAACAAAACAAATGAAATTTTCAATTAATTTAAAATAAACCAAAATATCTCTAAAAAAATACTAAAAGCAAAATAATGCAGTTTCAGGTTCATTGCAACAAAAATATTTTCATTTTTTTTCATTTAGTAAAACATTTAAGAAATTTATTCAATTATTGATATCCATAATTTATATTTAAAATTACCAAAATTAATTATATATTATTATTCATCAAATTTATGTTAATTTAAAAAATTGCTTTGCTGTAGAAAATGTTAATGTGTCAAATTTTGTAAAAATTATTCAATTTATTAAATGAGAGCATCAATTAAAATTTATTATACTTAAGATATCACAAATTTAAGAATAAAGTTAATAGTGGAAACCTTTTTATTTTAAAATTTAAATTAAATATATCTTAGATAAAGCCATCAAAAAATTCAAAAACTAAAATATTTTTATTTAGAAAATACTCTTAAATATAATTATTTAAATTAAATGTTAACAATAATTTCTAACATTAAAAATCATAGGCAATCTAAAATGAAAGAATTAATATTTTTTTATAGAAAATAAAGAAAAAAATTAAATCCTAATTTTTAGAGTTTCTAAAACAATGTATAAATAATCAATATTCAAATGAAACTATCAATAAATATTTGGCAATTATTTAATTACTAAAATAGTTATTTAAAATTAGATCTAAAGAAGAAAATAGTTATATGATTTCTTTGCGATTGTTATATTAATATTAGAGATTTATAGTGTGGAGAATCAATTTATTGATTTGAGAATCAATTCCTAAATTTGAGAATTACAACAAGTCAAACATAGCATTTTTATTATATTAATTAGTGGAATATCTGCTACAAAATATATTATTTACTTAAGAACCAAAAGTAATTGTCTCAAGATTACAAAAAATGATGAATGTTTATATAATAATTTTAAAATCTAATTAATAAAATCTGTAATGAATTATTAAGGATAAATGAGTAGGAAATGATAATTAAACATTGTAAATGAAATTAATGAAAACTTAAGTAGCTAACTAATTGATATTAAGCATTTTGAGACATTTAGATGGAAAAGAGTTTTAATAAGAAAATAATTGGAACAAATAAAAGGGGTTATTGATAATATAATGAGGATTAATGATTATAAAAGATTATAATTGAATAAAATAGAGAGGGAATGAGAATATAGTTTAAATATGGTAGGTATTACATAAATTAAATAAAGGAGAAATGAATTATTAATTAGATTGTAAAAATGAGTATAAATGTGATATGAAATAGATTATGTAAAAAGTATGATCTTATTAATTAAGGTATTTAATTAATAAATTAATTAATCAAATTGTGTAGTTTTGTGATAAGGTTTTGTATATATTGATGAAGAAGAAATGTATTTGATAATTAAATGTTTTTATTTTTAATTATATATATATCTGTAGGGAAAGACAGTCATTATTTAGGATCAATAAAATACACACTTCAACCAAATTAAACATTTGAGCATCAATTTTTTGATGTAAATTAAATTAAATCACTTGATTTGTACTTACCTGATCCTCCTTATAGAATGATTAATGATGAGGATATGAATTGTTATTGGTCTAATTAGGTGATAGGACTTAAACCAGTTTAAACAATTTAAATGAACATAACAAATTCATTAGATTCTAACATAGTGTGTTTTGATGAATGTTTTATAAGACAAGGATAAGTAATCTCTACAACTAAGAATTAAACAATCGAATTGCAATATTAAAATTTAAAATTATTAGTATTAGCATCAGAAGGATAGATTATTTATTATAATGAGAAAGCTGTAAGTATTTTTGATACTATCAATATGAAAATAATAAATGAAAATCTACCTGTTGATTTTACATCTAAATTAAAGCAAAGTTTAATGAGTTATTAACATATGTCAACAAAAATAGTTTATATGTGTTTAGAAAATGGTGTATTAGCTTATAATGATGAATATTTTATAGTAAATTCATATGGTAGTGGATGCAAATAAATAATTTTATAGGATGATAATTTATACATAATATCTGATGGAATAGTTATTTATGATATAAATGATCCTTTCGAACCTATTCATTTGTATTCATTTAATATAAGTGGACATTATTTTGATATATATTAAGATTATTTAGCAGTTTTAGAATTATAAGGAGGATCAAGAGGAAAATTAAGTTTATTCAAATTCCATTTTCAATTTGGAATAAATGAAGTAGTAAATATTACTTAAGAATCAGAAGGAACTATTTAAATGGAATCATAAGATATTAGTTTTGGACTTCTAAATAAAGATATTGCTATAATTATACATAAAGAATAAGTAAATCTAATTACATTATAAACAAATTTCCATTAAAAATATAGACATAATAGTGGTTTAGGATATGCATAACATTTTTTAGATCCAGAGAATAAGATTTTCATAAGAGATTCATAAATAATTTAAGTTAGTAATAATAGTCTTATTTATTATAATACAACAAGTTAGAGTTATAATTTAGTATGTAATGCTCCTGTTGAAAATAAATTGAGAAAACATCTTTTCTTTGGAATCATTAGAAGTGAAGAGAAATGTAAGAGTTCAAAAAAAATGGATGAAAGATTTAAAGAGATTTTATCTAAAGAAAAGAATGATCCTGAAATACAATGTTATTATACTTTCTAATTAAGTCTTAGTATTATACCTTTTTAAACACATTGGTCATTGTAATCTAAAATACTCTTGTGTATATTCTTATTTTTACTTATATTGTTAATTCTTTAATAATTCAGAAGTCAATAAGAAAAATAGACTTTAAATAATTTACAAAAGTTTGAATAATTAAATAGAATTAACCTTTAGAAATAAAAAATACGAATTACTCATGATGATGAAGAATAAAACAATAATAAAATTGACTTTTATTGACAATTTAATATAATTAATTAAGACATATATAATTTTAATGTTATCATCATAATATGTATTAATTAATTCTAAGTAATTATACATATTATATGTTATTGTAAATAAAAATAATAAAAGTGAGATTTTTCTAAGAACATAAAACTATTATTAATAATTAATCTAAATGGCTTACGAATTGGCAAAGTTATTCTCAAAGTATTTCTTAAAAATATCTAAAGGGTTGTAACTCATACATTTTTTAGAGACATTTAAGTGATAGGATTAGAAAATATTCCAAAAGTAATTTCCATATTGTTATTCATAGGATGGTCCTATACTACTTTATGGAAATCATAATAATCAATTTATTGATCCATTAGTATTTATTTTTATAATATTAGTTAATAATATCAAACATGACTCGTAAGATCAATTTTATTGCAGCTGCAAAAGTATTATTAATTCCTATAAGTTAGAGCATGAGAAAACCTATAATTGGAGACATAGGAAGAGCTCTTGGTGGAATTCCTGTAGAAAGACCTTAAGATTTAGCTAAAATAGGGAATGGTATTTTAAAGAAATATGATGGAACATATTTGATTGGAGAAAATTCTTAATTTACTAAACAATGTCAAATACATGATTCAATACTTATACAAGGAGTAATTTAAAAATATATTATAATAGATTGATACTATTATACTTATTGTTGAAATTATTAATGACACTAAAATTAAAATTCAATGTGAAGATTCGAGTTAACTTCATATTAAGAATAACAAATATAAAATTTAACCAAAAGTTGATCAATCATAAATGTTTGAATAAGTTTGGGTTGCATTAAAACAAGGAAAATGTATTGGAATATTTCCAGAAGGAGGATCTCATGATAATACAACTTTATTACCTTTAAAACCAGGAATATGTATTATGGCTCTAGGAGCTAGTTAAAAATATTAAACTAAAGTTAAATTATAGCCTGTTGGATTAAATTATTTCAAAGGTCATAAATTTAGATCCAAAGTTATCGTAGAATTTGGAGTTCCTTATGAAATTAGTTAATAATTAATTGATACCTATGCTATCAATAAGAGATAGGCTATAAGCAAATTATTACTAGAAATAGAATAAGTATTTATTTACAATATTTAAGCAACTTAAATCAGTTACTATTTAAGCACCAAGTTATTCACATTTATCAGCTGTTATGATAGGTAGATCACTATATTTACCAGATAGAACAAGACTCTCTCCTTAAGATCTTTTATAATTAACTAAAAGGTTAAATTGTATCTTATTTTCTTTGTTAGATTTTCATAGTCATTTTATAAATTAAAAGATCATCCTGAAGTAAATGAAGTTTTAACTGAAATTAAACTCTATAATTATAAACTTAAAGCTTTAGGTGTAAAAGATTGGGAAGTTATGAGAATGTAAAAGAGAATTTATTTGGATCTTCAAATAATTGGATTTAATATTTTTATGACTTTACTTTGTTTACTTTTTGCTTTTCCTGGATATATTATGACTATTCCCATAACTCTCATTCTTAATATGTATGCAGAAAAAGAAAGAAAAACAGCATTAGCTGGGTCTAAAGTGAAAATATCTGGAAAAGATGTTGTTGCTTCATTTAAAGTTTTAGCATCAATTATAATTGTTCCTATTTCAGTTATAATTTATACAATCTTATTTTATATATGGCTTAGTGTCTACAATATAGTTGATGAAGAATATACTCTTAGATACACAATTATATTTTTACTTATGTGGCCAATATATATAACTGCTATGATTAGATCTAATGATGGTTTAATTAGACATGCTAGAAAGGTGAATAGTTAAATCTTATTTTATTTATATGAAAATAAGTATCGAAAATTAAAAAAATAAAGAGAAGAATTATAAACTAAGGTAATTAATATTAACATTATTTTAGATTAGAAAATTGGTTGATACTTTTGGAGAAGAAGTCATTCAAGACTTTAATCATAATAGAATTGTTCAAAAAAGCTAATTATAATCACCTAAATCAGTAGCTGAATTAGATATCTAGAATGTTTTTGAATCACTTTAAGAATTGGGAATTTGATTCATATTATATTTATAAATAAGTTTAATTTAAATCAATCCTAATTTTATTGTGAAAATAATAGAATTAATTTTCTCCATCATTTTTTACTTTTATTATAATATAATATATTCTAATTTTTATAATTGATTCTATTTTTCAATTACTTTTATTTGTCAAAACCTTCTATGTTATTTATTATTTTACAAATAAATCAGAAGATATTTCTTCATTTAATTATAAAAAATATCTTTTTATTGCTCCAAACTTAAAATTAAATAAAAGCAAACAAAAATTAAAAGATATATTTATCAACTAACTTGATATACCTACGTCAAATGTATCTAAATAATAAATTACTATTTTAAATGCTTAATTAAATATTTTACTGCATTTTAAAATACGATAGGATCAAGTTGTTTTCAATCTATAGTATTTATATTTATTCCTAAGCAAAAAAAACTATTAAACTTTTTGATCTATATAAATTAAGAGAATTTGATGAAATTCTTTTTAAGAAATAATTTTATAAACTATTACTAAGTATCAAAAGGAGGAGGATCCACTCCTATTTTAATAATAAGGCAAATTTCTATGCTTCTTCTTCAAGATTTATTTCATTAGTTTTCTCATAAATTTTATCTTATGATGAACCTTTTTAAAATGAGCTACTTTAAAAATCTGAATATCAAAATTCTTATGAATCCTTTTAACACAGATAAAAATTTTTCATTTGAAAAATAATTTTTTTTTTTTAGAATATTTTTGATAATAGATTATAGACAACCATCACAGCTGCATTTTACTCATATTCTTAAAAATTATAAATGATATTTTTATATTAAATATTCTTTTATATTTTGAATTAAGAACGAAATGCGCTTTGTAATTTCTTAACTTTATATATTAATATTTTAGATGTAGCATTTTATTATAAGAGAACTATTTTAGCTGAACAATAAGATCTTTTTTAATGGTTATCATAATATTTTGCTTAACGTTATTTACTAGTACTTAAAAATTTTAAAGTATAAATTGGAATTATAATTATTATATTAATATATTCTATTAATCGTAGTATACTATATTTATATTCAATTTTTGTATGTTTACTAATTTCTTCAATTTTTTAATTTTCTTATTAAGATTGATTAGTTACAATTTAAAAATGGGAATATAATAATTATACATAATTTTATTACATTTTTATATATAAATAATATTTTTCAGAGATCTAATGTAGATTTATGACGTCGAAGATTAGGAATAATATTGGAAAATACAATTTTAACTTCTTCACTGGCAATCTAATCAATATGATCATAATCTCTATAATCATTATCAATTTCGAAAAATGCCATTTTTCTTTCTGTTTTAGTTGTAGTTTGTTTAATAAAAATCTTTTAATTTGGACTGGTTTCCCTTTCTTTTTATTAATTATCAACAGTATTATTTCTTTATTCTTTTCTATCAGTTGTAAATCTCTTAAATTTATCAATTTAACTGATTTAATAATTATTAATCTAACTAGTTCCAAAACTAGAGATATTTTAACTGATATTCTAAAATATTATTAATAATAAAATACTCTGCTTTATTTATTTAAAATATCAGGTGATAAAGAATCAATTTATTAATCTTTAAGTGGTAAATTCAAAAATGAGCCTGCTTTATGATCTTAAAGTTTATCCTCACTATTTTTGTGAAGATCAGAATCTACACCTTATTGAACAATTTTTTCTAAATATAAAAAGATTATTATTACCTATTTTAAATTTTAGTTAATTAATTTATAATTTAGATTTACGTTTCTTAATTTCTGGATATCGCTACCATTCATATTCTAAAGTGGCCACACCTTTTTAAGATTGCAATTCTTATTGTAATTATTTCTAAAACAATTCTTTAAGGAATGTATAATCTGGCTCAGCTTAAAAGTCTAGTCCACGTGCATAGATGAATAAATTCAAGAAACACTTAAATGATGATAATTAGGTTAAACTTTTGGCAATCCTTCGCAAAGCTTGTCCAATGTCAATTATTGTTTAAACTCTTTTATTTTCTAATACTTCTCTGATTTTGTATTTGTATTTAAATTCATCCATGGTAATTTCCCTTTAGCTAAGTAGACTAATACATATCCCAAACTCTCTATATCATCTTTACGGGATTATTCCTTAGCTTTGATTTCATATTCATAATGTTATACCTAAATGAGCAGTCAAACTAGCATATCTTGCTGTTCCTATTATTCCTTTTTTATCTATTTATGGTATATGAATTCCCTTCTAATCTCTATAATACTTTGCTAAACCAAAATCAATTAAATATATTTAATCAACATCCTCATATCCTATACATATGTTATCTGGTTTTAAATCTCTATGAATTAAATTCTTTGAATGCAATTATTTCAATCTATCTATTAAATTCAATCCTATTCTACATACTGTACACAAACTAAATTTATAATTACTCCTCTTCAAAAGATGTTCTAAATTCTAACCTAAATATGTTTGCATAAAATAATTGTAATGTTCATCTCTACCATAAAATACAATCTATGGAAAACCTTTATCAATTTTTATATTACCTTCAAATTCTTAAACCTCTATCAATACTTTTATTTCTCTCACTAACAAACTCATTCCATTTTAATTCTCCTCTCTCTTTTCAAATTTTGTTGCAAATATATCTCCTGTCTCCAAATTCTCTGTCTTAAAAATCATACCAAAACTCCCTTAACCAACTTTATCTAATAACTTAAATTTCTATGCTATTATCTATCCAACTGATAATTTAAATTAATTCTCTCCATGTGTTGTAGAATGTTTTTTCGTGGATCTCATTCTTATATTTCAATCTATTTTATATATTAATTAATAATCATCATTTATTTAAGATTTTCTAATTCTTTTTTTATTTTTTATACATAATTGCATCCATACATCTATTTCTACTATAAATCACTTACTATCTACTTTAAATTAAATAAATATCAAAATTTTATATCAAAAACTATAAATAAACTTTTTATCTTAATATTTTGTGATACAAAAATTCCAAGAAATATCTAAAACTATCTACAAATAACTATTATTTATATTAAATATTAAAAAATTTTTCAAAATTTAAAAATCCAAGTTAAAATTTATATATGGAAACAAATATAAATAATTTAGATTAACTTACATAAATGATTAAATCTTTAATTTTCGAATTCTAAATATCTGAAATAAAAAAATTAATTTTATATTTACAACGTCTTTTACTATTTATTTCATCATTCTTGTTTATTCGATAAATTCTATATTTTGATGTTTAATATAAGCTATAAAGTACAAATATTTAGATCTTATTTAGAGAATATTTTGTCAACTTTAATACATGATTTCTATAATAAAATATTATACAACACAATTTTCATTTATTAAGTGTTTGTGATTTTCTATCTTAGATTTAGTAAAAATAATAATTTATGGTTACAAGATTAGTTTGAGCGAAGTATCATGATAAAAAATAAAATAATATATCTATCACCTTTAATGAAATGAATTCAATTTTCTTATCAATTCAGTATAAATAAAGCATAATCAATGAATTATTTATGTAATATCTATCTTATAAAATATTAAATCATTGTATAATCATGAAACTTTAAAGTTGTGTTTAATAAAGATATTTAAAATATTGAGAAAATAAAGCAAAGAAATGTGATTAGAGTTGAAAGAATGTTATCAATAAACCTCAAAGAATTAAGATGTTGCTACAATTATAATTTAACAATAGAAAATAATATTGAAAGTTGTAGAAGTATGAGAAGCAAGAAAAAAAGATTTTTAACTTGATCTAGAGTAAGTAGAAAATTTAAAGAAATCGAAATGAATCAAACCTATGCCAAAATAAAAATTATTGTTAAAGTTAAATAAGTATAAGAATAGGGGAAGATTGGGATATAGAGAAAGTCATTTAGGGAGTGATCAATAGTATAAAATCAATTGATTGATGTTTTTTTGATTACATTTGTTATTATTATATATATTTATATATATATATAAAATGAAAAAATGGGATGACGATTTTCGTATGAAGAGTTATGTAAATAAAATTTAGAATGCTAAGTCAACAGTGCCAAATAACTAAAAAAAAACAACGAAAAGTATTTTAAGTAAAGTTATATTATAGAACAATCTTATAGGGATACAGAATTCAGTAGTCATGCATCTTATCGATCTGATTTTACTGATATAAAGGAAAGTTAATTGTTCAAGTAAATGAGATATATAAATATTAGATAATTGGTTGAATTCAATTTATAATAATACACAAACAAATTATTACTGAGAGGCTATAAAGGTGGATTATAAACATTAGCTTAATAACCTATAGATTCATAAATTTTAATATTGTAAGAGATTAAATTATTGCCTGGACATAAACAAAAATTTTTAGATCTGTTTAAATATTTAAACGATCATTATGATCCTCATAATTACAATGGTTAACCTCCTTTAACTCCAAATAACAACAAATAGAATAGAAACACATTACCAGGATAAATGAATTCTCATGGTAAATTTGAGTAACCCAGAGATACATATGTTGAAATACTAAAACCTGTTAATAGACGTTCTTCTTTAAAACATTTATCACCTCATTAAGAGATAGGGATTATTAAACCAAGAGTTTTACCTAAATTGGAAAAACGTCCTATTAATGGTAATAATGATAGAAGTCCTTAATTTATTGATACATAATCAAAATAATTAGTTCTCAATCAAGAAATAATTCTTGGTAGTTCTTTATCAATAACAAAAGACATAATTTAAAAACCATTATCAAAAACAATTAATCATCCTGTAGTAAAAATAAAATAAACTAAAAAGAAAAAATCAATAATTAAATCAAATGCTGATAAAAATAATAAGATTTTGAAGAAATTGTTATAAATTAATTCAAAAAATAGTGATGGATCAGAAATTCATTTATAGTAAGATTAGATTTAATTGATGTATTAATCATTTGATAATGGAAAATTAGCTTCAACCTTGATTAATATAGATATTGAAGAAATTAGTTATTGTGTAGGTATTACTCTATAAAAAATGATTTTCATTGTTGATTTAGAGTAATAAAAATATCTCGAAAATGAAATCAAAGAAATAGAATAGGCAATATTTAAAGAATCTGATTAAGATGAAGAAATTGAATCTAGAAGTATTAATTTATATATATTAAATAAAGAAAGATATAGTGAGAATGATCAAGATTGTCAAGAAGATGAAGAAAATAATGATCAGACTGTAAATATGTCTAAGGTAGACTAGACAATTTGTTAAGACTTTTTAAGAGAAGCAATAATAGAACCGGAAATTACAGATTAATATTATGGAAGTGAAGATGTTGCCACTGAATAATTTTAAAAATTTGATCAAAGTGAATAATCTAAATTATAGACTGAATAGGAATAATAAGATTATTTTTAGGATTAAGAATAAGATAATATGTATTTCATAAATAATTATTATGATAGTGATTAAATTTCTAAATCCTATTTTTCAGTTGATACTACATATAATTTAGATGATTATCTTTTGTTTAATAAAGTTTTTGTTGATAAATCTATGACTAATTATATACCTAATGTTGACATCATATAAAACTATTGTAAGAATATAATGACTACCACTAAAATGGAAAGGGAAGTAGCAATTATCTCTTTAATATACATTAACAGATTGTTAAATTACAATTAAGGTTTAGAAATAAATTGTTTAAATTGGTAGAAAATATTATTTACTGCTTTGGTTATGGCATCAAAAATATGGGATGATGAATCTTTTGAGAATAATAATTTTGCTAAGGTTCTACCTTAATTTTCAACTGTATAAATAAATGAGATGGAAAAAGTCTTCTTGAAATTAATAGAATATCATCTTTATGTTAATTCAGGAGAATATGCGAAATAGTATTTCATCTTAAGAACTTATGCTGATAAAAAGCAAAGAAGTTATGCTTTAAAATAATTAGATATCTCAACAGTTTTAAGATTACAAAGAGGAGGTTAATAATAAATTTCAAAGTAGTAATATTTGAATACTTAAAACAAAAGCTTTTGAAGATTACTCTATATTCTAATTTATATATATTGTTTAAATATAATTAATAGCAATGCTTAATTCTACATAGTTTATAGAAATTTAATATTTATTCATTTCTTTTTTTATTTTGAATCTATCTTCTCTAAATATTATTTATAAATTCATACCTTGAGTTTTTAATCTTCTTTTCCTTTTTATTATTAATCTTTTTTTTTCTCTTCTTTCTATTAGTTCTACTAAGGTAATTTTTGTCAAGATTTATTTTTATCATTCTTACCTTCTTACTTTATTTCATTTTTAACTTAAAGTTAAGCCTTTAAAGAAGATTCATCTTTTAATTAATTATTATAATTCTACTTAATTAAAGTTCAGCCAATGATTTAGTCATAGTTTATTTACGAAACTGTTCAGCTTATTTTTTTTTTCATATTTTAAAACTGCTTAAGCTGCAAATTCATAAACATTTCGACTTGGAAATCCATCTTTACAAAGTCTCCTTAAAAAATATTCATATGCTGCTAAAACTCCACTATTGTTCAATATTTACTCTTTTATAATAATTTAGATACATCGTACATTTTTATTCAAGTATTTCCTTCTCTTCTATATTAATATTTGAATCCTCATTTTATAATTATTAAGTATCATTTTCTGTTTGTTTCATAATTTATTACTAACTATTTATATATATATAAATAATGGATAATTAAGATTAAGTAAGCATTAACTTATAATATTTTAGTCAATAATAGTTGATGAAGAATTCTGTGATAAGAATCTATTTAGTCACTATCAAAAAAGTAAAAGGAACAATGTTATATAAAATCCTTAAATTAATCTCTATGACTATTAACTTAATACTGTGAATAGATATCATATAGGATATATTGATCATCCTCACATTAAATCTAGTAAAATTATAATTTCTAATAAATACGAGCACAAAACATTTCAATCAATAAAAATTAATTAAAGAAGCACAACTTGTAGAAGCCAATCTGTTTAGAACTCGAAAAATCTAAAGAGCCTCTCAATAGAAATGCGACAGTTTTAGATCTAAAATCCAAAAACATGTTTTTTCAGAAGCATTCAGGCATAGGAAAACTTAAGCCAATCATATAAAAAGAAATACTAGTAAATCCAATCTCTTAGACATAAAGATTAACTATTAAAAAAAATACTGAAACCCCTGTTGTTGGAATATGTAACTCTAATTACATTGAATAAAAGCCAGCCTCTTTTCGTTATAATGATCTTTAATTAAGTCAATACTTAGAAGAATTTAAATTGTTAAAATAAGAAACTCTAACTACAGTGATTTTACCTCATGTCTCTTTTAATAAAAATAGAACCCAAAACAATCAAACTTAAACAACCAATAGATATTAAACTAATAATAATTACTATTCTAATATAATCCCTAAAAATAAAGTTAAATAAAGATAAACTAAATAAGAATCTTCAAAACAAAACCTAACTCTTAGTGGATGGAGTGATTATTCAAACTAGTGATTTATTTTATATATATTTAAATTAAAGTGTATATATACTTTCATGTTGAATTAATACTAAATAATTTAGATGTAATAATTCATATTTTATGAATATAATAATATTTTATAATGAATCCTGTAGCCTAAAAATTTTTACAACAACAAAACTATTAGACTAGACATTAATGACCAATAAAATGGTCTTGATTAAATTTTACACTGATGCATCCATGATGATATATGATAAAATATTTATTTACTATTTTAGAGAAGAGTAAACTAAACTATATAATATATAATGGAATTAAATCTATCAATTAAAAATTAGAATCATTGACATTCTAAAAGATTGTTTATATAGATGGATGTTTAACCAGGGAGCAATTTTAAATTGTGTTTTCCTCATTAGTTTTGAATGGATGATTCAGTCATATTTAAGTTTTCTTAAAGTTTTCAACTCCTTCCAAATAGATAAGGATGATTATACATACATTATGATATTTTCAGATTGGTTTATTAATAATATTAATAATAAAATTATTAAAAATGGGATTTGAAGATTAGATTCCACCTATTCCAAATAGAGATCAAGAGAAAAGGTACATTGCTACAGTTGAAAAATCCTTTTATGATCAACCTCTCTATAAATTTTATATGAATGAAGCATTAAGAGAAAGAAAGATGGATTATGCTGATAAATTGAACACATATAAATATGAATGGATTCTCAATTTTGCTGCATCTGGTTTAGTATTCAGCTTATTATATGTAATATTATTAATATTTTTATTAGTTTACTCCTGTTTCCTATTTTTATAGACAAACAACTACTGGAGTTCCCTCATATTATTAGTATTATTTCATTTTATTTCTTAGACCTAAGAATAAGGCTGTTTTCAAATAAGGATATTTACAAAATCAAAATTGGAAAAGATTCAAATTATATTCATTCTTAGTTCTTGGATCTGCTTTTATTTTTGCTCACACTTATACTGACAGATCATAAATTCATGATGAATATTACAATAATGTAGGTGTCATTAAACCAAAATTTGAATGAGATAGAATTAAATAACAATAAAATTATTATCTAGATTTATTTTATTTCATCTAACAATGTAAACTTTTCTATTTCTTAAATACATATTATCTATTAAAAAATATGATATATGCATTAATAGACAAAACTGCAAATAATTTAAGACCATTTTGAATAAAATTTATAAATATTTATAATAAATAATATTACATCTATAAATTAATGTTCACATAATCAGTATGGAAAATTTCTAATGGAAAATCGATTCCATAGATCAAATTAGTTAGAACTGTTCCAGATTTATCAACTCCTTAAAATAAAGTTAAGAGTACACCAAAAATAAGAACGAGTAGAATACATTGGAAAGTTGAATAAAAACTATAAGAATTCATGCCATCAGATTCAGATTAAAGAATTCACGATTTAATATTAAATTCTTTACAATATATGCCAAAAGAAATAATAAACTCTATAAATTTGCAACACTACTAAAATAGTTATTAATTTCATCATAGTATCACCTAATAGGAATTAGAATATTAATTAATTAGTTCACTGGAATAAATAAGTTAAGAAATTATAGAACCACTATTTTAAAAGGATGATTCAAACATTTTAGGAGTTGCTGATGATCTGAATCCTTATAAAAAATATAATATTACAGCAATACCTAAATTGATAGAAATTGTAAATGGAGATATTGAAAGCATAATTAAATTTTTAATCCCATAGAATAAGAAATTATCTTAATGTATAGAATATATATGGAAATATTGTGTTTTTATGTTGGATTTGACTATGCAGTTCAGTTTAGATAGAAGTAATAAATATATTATTGAATAAGTAACAAAATTATAGAAAAAATTATCAAATGCAAAAACTTAGGTACATAATTTTGAAAATAGAGTAGTAAAAATGACTTAAGAATTTGAAACATCAATAATGAAAGAAAAGTAAAGGTATTATGAATTGTAAGCAAAATATGAAAAAATATTGGCTAAAGCAACAGAGTTGGAAAGATTAATAAATGAAGATATCAAAACAGAGGGTAGAGATGATTCTTACAAATTGAAAAAAAACGTAAAAGAATTGGAAGCAAATTTAAAAATACTTGAATCATAATTTAGTAAACATGAAGAAGAATTTGTTTCATAATTAACTAATGTAGCTTATGTTGCAAAGAGCAAAAGAGAAACAAGTTAGGCGTAAATTCGTAATAGGTTAGCAATGAATGTGATTGCATAACAGCCAGGAGATATGGCATTTAGTTTGATGTTTTCAGATCATCCATGGGTACCAATATTTTGTGTAAGGTAATTAATGTAGTATTATGATGAGCCTCCATATATAGTGGAGGAGGATAATAAATTAGAATTATTACATAAAGTTTTAATGATGGAGTAGTCAAAAGTAAGTCCTTGTTAATAATTACTGGATTATTATTAAAAATTTCCAGACCTTTATAAAAATATTATAACTATACTGGAACCTTTTGAAGAGGCAACATAGGCTGCAGTACAATTAAATAACTTGTGTTCTATTTTTTTTAACATTCAAGGAGTAGAAACGATAGAGATATATTACATCAATCAAATCAAAAGAGTTTATCAGGAATTTTATGGTCATATTTTGAATGTACAACAACATTCAAAAAATCCAGAATAAATTAAATTATAGATTGAAATTGAGGATGAAAATTTGAAACATAAAATTGTGAAGTTAAATTTAAATTATGGAAAATCCACTTTAATGTTTAGTATCAACAAATAATTTTTAGATACATATTTCTCTTAATTTCCATTTTAAGCTCAATTATAATAAATTTTTGACACAAGAAAAGATATTACAATGTTACATTTTTTATCAATCTATGCAACAGAATTATCAAAGTAATCTAAGACTTTATTTGAAAATAAAATATTGAATTTTAATGTACCTGATGTAGATTCATTAGGCAAATACATAGCCTATGAGATATTCCCAGAATTTAAATTAGATCCTAATCTTGTATAATCCTACATAATACATAGATATTATTATTTATAAGAATAGAATATAAAATTTAGCAAAGAGTATTTGTATAGAAACTAATCATCAACTTAAAACTAAGTATTAGATAGAGAATCTATCATAAATGGAGTCAAATAGCTTAGATAATCACTCTTATTTAATCCTTTGCTATTGATTTAATAAAACATAGTGACACCTTCATAATCAACAAAGTAACCTAGAAGATAGTCTTCTGTTTAATAATGAATTATAAATATATAAATTCTTTAATATAAAAATATTAAAATTACTTGATGTCCTCAATGATGGAAGGTAGGAATGGAATAAATTAAAAACAGAAATAATAATGCGAAAAAATTTAAAAGGAAATTAATAATTTGTTTTCTAATGATAAGGATGAGATAAAGGTATAATAAAAAATGGAGGAGAAACTTTCATTTAAAAAGGAATCAAATATAGATAAGAAGAATTGAAATGTCTATTTTTATTTACATAAAGAGTTTTATGTAGATAAATATATTATATAATCATATTAAAATATTTAAATATGTCTGTCACTTTACATACTAGTCATGGAGATATAAAATTGGAATTGTTTTGTGAATTGACCCCAAAAACTTGTAAAAATTTTTTAGCATTGTGTGCAAAGAAATTTTATGATAATACAATATTTCATAGAAATATTCCAGGATTTATTATTTAAGGAGGAGATCCAACAGGTAAATTTTAAGGTATTATGAAATATAATAGGTACTGGGAAGGGAGGGGAATGTATTTATGGAAAATATTTTGAAGATGAAATTGTTCCAGAAATAAAACATGATAGACGTGGAATAGTTTCAATGGCAAATGCAGGAAGGGATACAAATTAATCACAGTTTTTTATAACATATTCAAAATAGAATCATTTAAATGGTTTATATACAGCATTTGGTAAAATAATATATGGATGGGAGGCTCTGGATTTGATGGAGAAGGAAACAGTAGATAATAATTATAAACCATTGAATGAAATTAAAATATTCAAAACAACAATCCATGCAAATCCAATAGCAGATATCGAATAATTTTGAACAAATTTAGATATATCATTATTGGTAATCTGAAACAGATGGACATTAACATATGAGATTTCTATCCCCAAAAGCATTATTAATTCTGCTAACTGTTGGCCATACCTTTCCTCTTTGTAAAATAAAAGGCAAAGGGAAGGCAGCTTCTTCTCTGGAGTATTTATGATTCCAAGAACTATTAATAACTTAATCTTAAGTATGTGGAGCATTTTTTAATGGATTGTCATTTTTATCATATTATCCATTTTTGACTTTCTCAATTTCTAATTTAATATTTTTCATTGCTTCAATAAATCTATCTAATTCAGATCTACATATTAAATAAATATAAATACTTAGATTCACTTTCAGTAGGTTCAATCATAAGTGTTCCTGGAACTGGAAAAGACATTGTTGGAGCATGGAATCCATAATCCATAAGTCTTTTAGCAATATCTTCCTCAGTAATTCCACTCTCTTATTTTATAGGTCTAATATCAATAATGAATTCATGAGCACACATTCCATTTTATCCAGTAAAGAGTACTTTATAATCATTTTTTAAACTCATCATTAAATAATTAGCATTTAACATAGCCATGGCTGTACATTTTTTAGCACCTTATCTACCAAGTTAACCAAAATAACTATAAGGTATAGGTAGAATAGATGCAGAACTAAATAATGATGAAGCCACACTTCCTAAAGAATGTTCTCTTCCTGGAAGATAAGGTGCCAATCTCTTATTTACAGCTATTGGACCTAATCCAGGACCACCACCTCCATGTGGAATCGAAAATGTTTTATGAAGATTCAAATGACATACATCGGCTCCTAAATATCCAGGAGATGTATATCCAACTTATGCATTCATATTAGCTCCATCCATATAAACTAACCCTCCATGATCATGAATTAATTAAATAATCTTTTTTGTTTAATCTTCATATACTCCATAAGTTGATGGATAAGTAATCATTATACAAGCCAAAGCTTTCTCATTCTCTTTAATCTTCTTATTCAAATCATTTAAATCAACATAACCATCTATTACATTCACTGGTACAACATTTAAACCAGCAAGAACAGCTGAAGCAGGATTTGTACCATGTGCAGATATAGGAATTAAGCAAATATTTCTATCTCGTTATCCATTCATGATATGATATTTTCTGATACACAATAAACCTGTATATTCTCCTTAAGCACCACTATTAGGCATTAGTGAGACAGCCTCCATTTATGTTATATCACATAACCATTTTTCAACATTATCAGTCAACTCTTAATAACCTTAAGTACAAGACAATGGTGAAAATGGATGTAATTAAGAGAATCCTTAAAATGAAACAGGTAACATAAAGGAAGTAGGGTTTAATTTCATTGTACAACTTCCTAATGAAATCATTGACTTTGTTAATGAGACATCTTTTTATCTTAAATAGTTAATGTATCTCAACATTTCTGTTTCACTATGTAAAGAATTGAAAACCTTCTATTATAGAAAAGGTGATCTTTCAGATTTATATGGTATGACTTTTTAAACTACAGACATAAAATCTGCTTTTTTTTTGGTGAAATGTTAAAGATGGTTAAATAAATCTTCAACATCTTGAAGAGTGTGTGTTTCATCAAAGCTAAAGATGGTGTCTTATCCAATTTTTCTAACATTAATAGATGCATTATAATGTAAATATTCTTATAAATTTTCTGTATTATGTAATACAACAGTATCAAAGAATCTTCCTTCTTTGATAACAATTCCTAAAGATTTGGCTAATTTAGCAAAACATCTAGCTAAACAATTGACTCTATTAGCAATTTTTTATAATCCTTAAGGACCATGATAAGTTGCATAAAACCCAGCCATATTAGCTAACAAAGCTTAAGCAGTACAAATATTGGAAGTAGCCTTTTCTCTTCTAATATGTTATTCTCTAGTTTATAATGACATTCTATAAGCTGGTTTTCCATTAGCATCTTTAGAAATACCAATAATACGTCCTGGCATTTTTCTTTTGAATTCATCTTCAACAGCAAAGAAAGCAGCATGAGGTCCACCAAAACCCATAGGTACTCCAAATCTTTATGAATTTCCATAAGCAACATTAGCACCTTAATCTTTAGGTGTTTTATTAATAGTAAGACTCAGTAAGTCTGTTCCAATAACTTTTAAGATTTTGGCATCTTTAAGTGTATGTTTGAAGAGATCGCTCCAATCATGAACTTCTCCAAGATTATCTGGTGATTATACTAAGACACCACAATATTAATCAACATCTTTAAAATCATAGGTTTTGGCATCACCAACAACAATTTCAATACCTAAATAATAAGCCTTAGTTTTGATGTGTTCAATACTCTAAGGAAAGACATGATTATCTACAAAGAATTTTTTCTTTTCAAACCAAGAATTAGCCAAGAACATAGCTTCACCTGCAGCTGTTGCTTCATCCAATAAAGAGGCATTAGATACATCCATGCCTGTCAATTCAGTGATTACAGTTTAATAATTGAGTAGAGCTTCAAGTCTACCCTAAGAAATCTCAGCTTAATATGGAGTATAGGATGTATACCATCCTGGGTCTTCTAATACATTTCTTAATATCACATAAGGTGTATGAGTGCCATAGAAGCCTTATCCTATGTAGTTTTTGTAAACCTTATTCTTATTGGCCAACGATTAAAGATGTTAGATCATGGCTGATTCAGGAATTGCATCAGGGAAGTTGTCTGGATTTTAAAAAGCTGCTTCACTGCGAATCTCCTTTGGAATAATCTTATCAACAAGCTCATCTAATGACTTTGCTTAAACTGTTTTTAACATCTCATTAACTTATTATGTCTCAGAGCCTATAAAACGTGGTTCCTATTTTTAAATGAATTCTTACTATGTAATCAGTTGACTTAAACCACTCAGGCACTTTGGGATTCACCTCATGAGGATTGGCCAATCTGCTGAAATTAGCTACACGTTGTATTAATCTTATGGATCTAAGCATTAAATATTTAAAAATGACGCAGTACTCTACTCTGCAAATATTTATATATATATATATATATATTCAAAAACTGTTATAATGCATTAAAGAATACTTATCAATGGAAGTCCATATCATAGATAAATCTATTAGAGACCTCGACTTTAATCTTAAGATCCAGGACGCAGAGTCTTGACGGAAAATGATACTAAAACTAATATTTCAAGAAAACTTACCAAATTCGACTTTGATTCTGTTTTAACTATTAGAACAAGCAAAGGAAGTAAAAAATTTAAACCACAACGCTTTGAAGTTAAACCTATTGTAAAATATTTTAGCAAAATTTAGAAAACAGAAGTTGATTCAGATTTAGAGACTTATTAAAGAATGATTCTAGCTAAATTAAAAGAAAAGAATATTCTACCTAAACAAAGATCTTTAAGCAATGCTACTCCATAACAAAAAAGCTAAGATCGCTATGCTTCTTTAGACTCATAAAATAGAATTAAGAATAAATAACCTTAGAATATACATCCTAAGATATTATGGGATATGTCAGAAGAAGAATGGTAATAATTTGGTGATCGTTTTCCATAACACTTTGAAAAAAAGAAGCTACTTGGTAGAGGAGGATTCTCTTTAGTATGGTTAGGAGAACACAAAAAAACCAAAGAAAAATTTGCTATTAAATAAATTCTTTCTACCAATACTCATCAATCTCATATGAAAGAAATCTGGTTTGGAATTCATTTCTTCCAAGATGGATAACCAAAAAAACAATTCAACAATTTCCCAGGTTGCAAAAACTTAGTACGCTTTCTCACCTATGATATCAATCCATAAGATACTTGGATCTTTTAAGAAATATGTGGAGAAAGTCTTGGAAATCAACTTTATGATCTTAAAGGAAAGAATGTAAATAATGAACGAATGTATAGAGTAAATATACTTCATTCTATTTTAGTTGACTCATAAACCTCTTTATGATACTTTCAGAAAAGATCTAACTGAACTTAAAAAACTCATTCGAGAATTGGCTTAGGCTCTAGATCTATTATAAGATTAAAAAATTGTTCATTCTGATCTTAAAACTGAAAATATACTTTTAAAAAAAATTAAAAACGAAAATGATCTACATGAACTCACCTAAATTAAATTAATTGATTATGGTAGTAGTTTTCCTTTTGAAGATTTAAAGCAATTCTCTATGGCTACACCAGAGTAACTCATATTCATTATATATTAGATACATGTGTCCTGAAATACTCAATTATATCTTATATGAAAATTAAATGAATTATCGTCCTTGCTTAATGAAATATTTAAGAAATTATAAAAAACCTTGGGTTATTGATGTTTGGTCTCTTGGTTGTGTTATACTTGAGATCATATCTGGAATCCCATTATGGATGAGTCTTAAAACTATCATTACCAAAAATGGTAAAGATGTAATCGATTATGGACTATTTGCTGTTAAAGGTAGAGTTTTTGATAAAATTATTGATCGTCAAATGGAAGTTATTTCAAATTTAGATAGCTATATTGATAAAAATTATTCTGGTACTTATTATTTATTAATCAAATTAGGATTAAAAATTGATAATTAAATACGATTTATATTAAAAGAAATGTTAAATATAGATCCAGACAAACGATTATCGCCAAAATAAATAGTTGAATACTTATCCACAAGAAAAGAACGCCTTACAACTCAATGATTTATACTATTAATAATTCAAAAACTCATCTCATTGAATTAAATTTGAAAATAATTTTTTAGATGTCTTGAATTTTTTAATTAATATTTAATGAACTCAGTATCCACAAATACTTCCTTTACAGATATTCGAGTCGTGAAAATCTATTTTAAAATTCATTACAATACATAATATGGATAAGCTATTTACTTATGTGGTGACGATGAAAGATTAGGAAATTGGAATTCTACTAAAGGAATTAGACTATAATGGAATGAGGTATAGTATTGAAGTTCAAAAAAGAATAATGAATGGACAACATGTTTAAAATTGCCAAGAATCTGTAAAAATTTTGAGTACAAATTCGTTGTGAATAATTATAATGATCCATGTCGCGAGAAAGAATTTTGGGAACCAGGGGAAAATCGTATAATTACAAAGCATTTATTACTTAATGGAAAGAAAGGAGAGTACTTTAATTGTAATAGTTGGTTAAAATTATTGTAGAGGAGCATTGGGGATATAGAACAATAAAATTGAAACTCAATCACAATTTATAGCCAGGTGAAAGAATGATGATAATTGGTTCAATTCCTGAGATTGGTTCTTGGAAAACACCTGTTTTAATGAAATAACAATAGAAGATTGATATACGTATAACTCAATCAATAATACTGAAATAGTAACATAAGAGCCTATTCAATAATGGTCCATTTCATTCATAGTAAATCCTCTTAATTTTTATTTCCGATATTATTATGTGATACGTAACGATGAATCAGGCAATATGATTTGGGAAAGAGGCAATGGCCGTTATCTTAAAACTGCTGATCTTATTTCAATTCGATAAGTATTAGATTAATATGCACTTCATCCTATTAAAGTCAAAACTCAAATCTACTCAGCTTTTTAAACAAAGTCACAACAAAAGAATGGTTCATTTTCAGCTACTAAAATTCCAAAATCTAAACTCAAACTTAATAGTTAAGGCTATTAATTTGCAGATAAAGAGCCTTCTTTTTTTTATTATGAAGAATTTGGTAGATTAAATAAATTAGATTGGAATTTCGTTGTTTAATTCTAAACTTATCAAATTAATGAGAATATTGTTATTGGTCCATATCCTTAAAATGAATAGGATATACTATTATTAAAACAAAAATAAGTTAGAGCAGTTCTCAACCTTCAAACACGTTTAGATATGTTTCATAGAGGAGTTAATTGGGAATAAATACTTGATGCTTACAAGAGATAAAAAATAGTTATGAAAAATTATTAGATTTTTGATATGGATGCAGAAGATTTTGAAAAAAAATCTGATAAGGCTGTTTAAATTCTCAAGAAATTAATTAATGAATATGAATATGTTTATGTTCATTGTACAGCTGGAATTGGAAGAGCTCCTTCTATTGTTGTTCTTTACTTAAGTTCAATTCTTTAATATGATCTAAAACAATCTATAGAATTTGTTAAATAAAAAAGATAATAATTTTATGTTAATTATTGTAAATTATAAGATATATTTTTAGCTATGCTTAAAAGATCTTTACAAAAAACACTTGTCTTTAACCATGGGTTGGGTTACTAAAATTTGGCTTAAACTTTATGAAGGATCCAATAATAATTTATATCTATTTAGTTATAATTAAAAATTTCAAGCAAAACTTTGTTTCTTTTTGTATAGATAAGTAAATATATTCTAAGAAATTAGTTCTTAATAAAATTTCATATAATTTATAAATATGAATATTCTTGAATTTCATTATAATTAATAATGATAGATATGTCGATTGTATACTCATTTGAATGCCTTATATCCATTCAATAATCAGATAATTCCTCATTTTAAGCTAGATTGCAGTTTAATTCAAATAAAATAAATCTGCTTTTGAATTCTTAATGTTATGAAATAGATATATCTTATAAACTAGCAGTTAAATGGATATGTTAAGATAACAAATTGATTTCAATGCTTGTTTAATAATTTTCTATTGAAGCTGATAGCTAAGATCTCCTTATGCTCAAGAAATACTTAGATTGTAAAGTAACATATGTTGGTATTCGAGAAATCTATGATAATGTTATTTTAATATAATAAAAAGGGATAGCAAAAGTAATTAATGATTTTAATACTAGACATGCACACTTAAAAGCAAAATAGATGAGAAAACTTATTTGTGTAAATGCTATAAAAAATAAGAATTTGAGAATTTGAGAATATATGAGTAATTGGTAATTTTACGTAAATTGAGTGGATTCAAGAATGTTGCTCAAATGATTGATTTCTTTGAATCTTCGAATTCTTATTATATTATTTTTGAAGAGATGAGTAGGATTCATTATCATAATTTAAGTCATGATGATATATAATCAATGATGTTTGTATATTAATTTAATATTAGGATATTTTATGCAGTGTAAAAGTTTTAATTTCCAATAATATTTACCATTCTTAAATAAATTTATCTAACATATTAATGGATAAGGATATGAATTGCAAATTTATAGGTTTTGAAAATGCATAATTATTAAATAAAGAGAATGGTCTTTTGAATTCTTTGATGTTGAAAATGGCAGGCAATGTAATGATGAAATTGTATGAATAATATACTTAATTAGATATTAATATAATTTTGCAAATAAAGATTTAATATGTATTCCTGATAATGGCAATTCTCTCATATAAGGATTATTGGAAATAAAGCAGAATCAACAACTAAATATAGATTAAGCATTAAGGCATGAATATTTTGAATATTTTGATAACAATTCAGGTCCCATGATTTAACAATAGATTATACCGAAATTGAAGTCATGTATATCTTAATAATCTCTTTTATCACCAATAAATAGTAACATTTGATTTTTATATTTACTTTTTTTATAATTTAATCTTACTTAATAATGGAATGGAATAATAACAAAAGAATTGAAACTCCAATGGAAGGTATAGGTGGTTAAGCAATAAGGTTATTTGTAACAATAAGAAAGGATTCAGAGTCTAATGTAGAATATAAAAAAATGACAGTGATGGCACCATGTATATTATTTAAAGTTATCAGTGACCATTAAGATTTCAATGTTAAAAAGACATATTGAAAGAGAATTTGCAGATCTCTTTCCACATGAACCAACATTTGTTTGTGCTAAATTAGAAGATGAATACGGTTATAGTTTATCTAATGCATCTTTTGTTAGTGAATTGTTAAAAAATTCTGACAGATTATCTGCAATTCCAGAATCATTTACAAAAGATTTAATTGGTAAAATGCATGTTACTCATGATTTGAATGAATTGACTTTCATGTTGAAAAGTATAACCTAAACAATCATAGCAAAATTAGCTGGTATTTAATATTATTACCTTTTTAGAGGCTGAATTAGGTTCTCCTGAAACTTAAATGGAAATTATGTAATTAATAGTACCTGTAGGCTTTTCTTTATAACAGAAAGCAATTAATCATAATACAGCTTTAACATTAAAAAGAATATTTGAAAATGAGAGATTACAATTCTTAGATGATTAATCTTATGCTCTCATTTCTTAACTCTTAATTAAACTTCTCTAATTTTGGACTAATGATTTAATCTTTTAAGATTAATTTCTTCTAAATTTGACGGTCGATTTGTTAGAAATTCTTACTAAAAGTGGTATTAATAGATATATAATCCTAATTTAGCTGCTTTCTCTAATTCATATAAGACACCTTAAATAGTCAACAGTCTAATGTCTGTGTCTAAATTAGACTTTGTTAGTGCATAGACTAGATCTAGAATAATTAAACTTATCTCATTTTTATCCAGACCATAATTTACTAATTGTTACTAACCTAGATCTTATGATGGCCCTTTAACACTTAATTTACCTCCATAACCAAGAAGAAAGAATGAAGAATATGTACCTACTATACTTGAATAACCAAATAGAAATAATAATAGAAGATAAGGTAGTGCTGGATCTAGAAATTAAAATGGCTATGAATAATAATAAGATTTCAATCAGAATGGATATAAATAAAATGATTCAAATTAATATCCTTATAAATAGAATGATTCTAATCAATATGGTTTCAAATAAAATGATTCTAATCAATATCAATAACCTAATATACCAAGATTACCTCCTTAATAATAATTTGGGTATTAAACATAACCTTTACAATCTAATCATCCACCTCCTTAATAGAATTCTGTTTATTCAAAACCTTAATTAAATATAAATAATAGGCCTTAGAGTAATAGAACTATAAATTAATATGGAGGAAATACGCAATAATAAGTCTTTGATGGATTAGTTTAAGATTATCTCAATTTGATTTCTACAGAATCAAATGAAGAAATGTTACAATTTGCTATTTAAAATTTAAGCGATGGAATTGATACAACAATACATTAAATTATGGATAGCTCAGAAGCATTTTAAAAGATTGTCAATCTATTAGAAATCGCTATGAGTCCCAATTATTTAGGAATGTAATTAAGAATTTTAGAGGCTTTATCTAAAAACATGAATCAAGAAAGAGCAAAAGAAGCTCTTAAATTAAAATTAATACCAAGAATCATGAAAGCCTTCACTTATTAACCTAAAGAATTTTAAGCAATTTTATATGATATATTATCTGCTACTTTAAAATTATCAGATTTTTAAGTTGATGTTCTCACAGTTATTAGTATGATTGAATCAGCATATCCAAGAATTCAAATTTTAGGTATTAAAATACTATCATTAATGTCTGATCCATAGAGATTATAGAATAGTAATAATGTATCAATTTAATTTGAAAATTATATCAAAAGTCTAATGGATTGGACTTTAGATGGATAAAAAGGAGAAGAATTTTAATATAATGCTTTATAAACCTTATCAAATTTGGCAATAAATGATTACATACGACCATAAATACTTCATTTAAAGGGAATTGAATTCTTCTTGAAGGTATTAAGGGAAAGCTATAGAGTTGATGCTTAAAGATTGGCTGCCAAAGGCTTATTAAATTTATCAATAAAATCGAGAGAAACTAAATTATCAATTGTTTCATAGATGGAAGAGGAAATCTAAAGATTATAAAGAGGAGAGATGGATACAGTTGTCTAAGGATACTTAACAACCTTACTAACAACAAGAGAGAGAGGATAATTGTTATGATTTATATTCACGCATTAACTAAATATTTTTTATATTCTAAGTTCAAATACACTATTTTTCAAATCCTATTGAAATTTAGAACTAAAGTCTAATTAATATTATTCTATTGGAAGTTATAGATATTAATTAAAAATCTGAAACAATATATGATATAATTAATTTTCTTGATATACTTTTTTTCAGATTTAATGTAAATTGTAATTGTTCATAACAAAATGAAATGAATTACATGAATGAATAATCGTATTAAAAAAAATTGAATATTTAATAATTCATTTCATTTTGAGCAAGTTTTTTATTGCCTCTGAATTAATGGAATTATTATATCCACTTTTATTAACACTATTATTTAGTTTAGTTTGACTTCTACTTGGCTATATATTGCTAATTTCAGCTAAAGTTTATCTTCCTTTCATCATATATTAACTAATCTAAATGTTATTTGATCGTTGACTTATAGAGGCCTATTAATTTTACAGTAATTTATTGTATCTCTTGAAAAGTTCATCACATGAACTTCGATGTGATGTATAACCTCCATGTTAAGAGAATGAAGATTATTTTTTTGGAGAACCCTATCGATAAGAAGTAGATCCATCCTGACTCTAATCTTTTTTCTTCAATTCTGATTAACAACTATCATACATTACACATACTTAAGTTTCTTTAATTTCTAGATTTCTCTTTGTAATTTTTTGACTTCAACATTTGCCTCTTCTAATTTTGTTTACAATCCATCTTAATATATTTTCATCTACTATTCTAACTATGATTAGTAATCTTTCCTTACGCTAATATGATTTCGAATATCTGCTTCTTATTATTACAAAACAAATTCCAGTTTCTTATATTCCAAATTACTACTCTTTAATTATCGAAACAATTTTGTTATTTTTTGTATTAAATCTAAACAATTATAGTGATCAATTCCAATCATCTTTTCATTATTAAAAATCATCATCTAATTTCATATATTTAACTATATATACTTCTTCTAAAAGATTACGCAATCCTGACTCTATTTCCTATTTTTCATTTCTGTTCATTTAACGAAATTAATTAAACTAAATCCAATTATTTTTTTAAATGGACGAAGAAGACTGCACTATTTTTATTGAAGAACTCAAAAGTGATGATCCCAATCTCAAACTCAACGCTGTATCTAAAATTGTATCAATTGCACAAATCCTTGGACCATCAAGAACTTGTTAAGAACTCATTCCTTATCTTATTGATATAATTGAAGAATAAGACAATGAAGATGAATTCCTTATTAAATTAGCTAAAGAATTAGTCAATCTTAAACCTTTAACAGGTGCAAATGTACATTTACTTAATGCTCCTCTTGAAATTTTAAGCTCAATGGAAGAGCCATTAGTTAGAGATAAAGCAGTTGAATCCTTAATCTTACTTGCAGAAGGAATGCCTAATAGTATAATTTATATATCTTATATTTTTTAGGTTTTTTTGAAAATCACTTTTTTTAAATTGTTCAATAATTAGGTTAATGGGACAATTTTCCTTCCAGAATATCTGCTGCTAGTCTTCTACCACTTACTTACAAAAATGTTTCACTTGAAAAATAAAATACTCTTTGGGATTTATTCAAATAATTATGTGGAGATGATACACCAATGGTAAGAAGAGTCTGTGCTGGAGTTTTATCTGATCTTGCTAAAATGAAATGTCAACCATAATAACTATTATAATTATGGGAAGCTCTTCTAAAAGATCCTATTGATAGTGTCAAGATTAAAGCAATTGAAGGATCATAATATATGCTTAAATTAATAGATGATGAACAGGATTTAGAAAAATAACTTTAAGGATACTTTGCACTTGCTGATCCTAAAGAAAAAAGTTGGCGTGTTAGATACACTGTTCCAGAATGTTTAGAAAGTATTATTGACATTATCGTTAAATTAAGTAATTGTTCTTTTTTTAAATTTTTTAGATAAAAATAAAAGCATTTTAAAAAATCAAGCAGTTCCTGTATTTTAATAATTACTTAAAGATACTGAACCTGAAGTAAGATCTATGGCATTAATATCTATTTACCATTTATTAAAAGAATTACCTTCTTCTAGTAAAGATTCATTCTTACCATAATTTTAAAGCCTTTCAACAGATACTTCATAACATGTTAGAATGTCATTGGCTGAATAAATTTGTAAAATTTCTAAATAATATTCTGTTTAAATTGTTTTGTAAAATTTTATACCATTAATTACTTCATTAATTAAGGATGATGTTGTAGAAATCAAAATCAAATTAGCTCATAATTTAGATCAATTATCTTAAGCTATTGGACAAGAAAATTCAAAAAAACATTTAGTACCTCTTATATAGACATTTGCTTCTGAAAAATAATGGAGATACAGATTAGAAATGATGTCAATTATACCAAAACTTCTTAAAGTTGCAGGATATGATAGTTTTTTAGAATTATAAGAAATTTATCTTGATAAAGGAGTGTTAAATCATTACTAAGCAATTAGGGATTAAGCTATTGAAAATCTTATACAATTAAGCGAAACCTTTGGATATGATAAGATAAGAGAATTCATATTAAAATGTATTAATAAATAATTTGAACAGCAAAATTATATTTATAGAGTTTCAGCTATGCACAGTATAGCAAAGTTAAAAAATACATTATCAAAAGATGATCTTGTAAATTAGTTCAAAGTAATTCATATTTATTCTATTTAATAAGGAAGTAACTTAGAAATCTTTGAATGATAAAGTACCTAATGTTAGATTGAACATTTTTAAGTTGTTTACAGCAATCTAAAATAAATTAGACAACAAGACTTAAAATGAATTCAAAAATAAAGCAAGATTTTTATAATAAGATTAAGATATTGATGTGAAATATTTTGCATAAAAAATTTGATTGATTAATATTTGTTTCAATATCATAAATTTTGATATATTTAAAGATCATTTCTATTAAATTTCAGTCTTTGATTCACTCTCAAATGTATATTAAAATGCAATAGGATTTGTAGCAGTAGATATTTTTTTCATATACCCTAAAGTAGTATTTTGAAGAAAATTATCTCCTTTTTATCCAACAAATGAAGTAGATTTTCTATAATTTCTATCGGTACTTTGACAAACTCTTAAAACTTAAGAAGCAGATTTTTCAATCTTCTATCTTTTAGTTCTACTAGTGAAATAAATTTTGACATTTTAAAAATACAATTATAATTCATCCTACTCTTTTTTGGTTGGTACATACCATCTAAAATAAAAATATTTAAATATAATTACTTAGGTTATGAAATACTACAATTTTTAAAACTATTACTAATAGATCCAAATTATCTAACAGAAGAAGTTAATTTATTATATTCATTAAATAGTTCATAGACTTATAAAGCTTATTTTTGATCAAGCATAGTATAACACTCCATAAATTGTCGTATGAACCTACAATACTTAAAAAGAGAATTCATAAACCATACCTTTCAAGCATTAAATACATGGCAATTAAATCATTCCAGATTAGTAAATAAATTTCCATAACTACCGTTCGATTATGCAATTTTGAAATACTGAGAAATAACTGAAAATAAGAGGAACTTATACATCAAATTAAGCTAGAATGAAATTTAGACAATTAATTGCCTTATAAAATTAAATAACTGATGTATCTATGTCTTTAAAAAAAACCTCGATGCTAGTTTTAAGTTTGCTTCTAGTGCATATTTCTTATATTGTAGCAAGTTTATGTATTATCATAGTTTGTATTCCAATGAATTTATTCAAGATATCTTCTTTAGTTGATGGTGTCCATCCATTAAAGTAATTTAATTACTATACAAATAATCTACCATGTTTAACATCTCCCATAAGCACATGCATTGTAAGTAGAACTTTCAGCTTTTTATGATTGTCTAATGTTTATGGAATAAGTCTTAGGAATTCTCGACACACTTAAACAATAGTCATACTCTGAACTAATTAATCAATTTCAGATATACAAGGAAATCCTATTATCAAATAATTATAAATACCTTAAAGCATTTATTTCACATCTTCCAGATCCACAGTTTCTTGATTATCAAATATTGAAGATTCAAATAACTTTCTTTCAAATCTTGATTACTTCTTAAAGAAATTTTTTATAAACATTTTTAATATATATATTTATTTATTGTAATGAGCGAATAAAGAACTGTTACAGATGCAAGTTAGGATGAGGAAGAATAGAACAAAAAGAAATTTATCTATTAAACTGAAAAACTCAAACTCCTTTTATAAGTACCCATTGAATAAAGAACTTAACCAATTTGTAAAGACATAGCTGAGATTGCTTAAGTAACTTATTAATTATGTTATCTTTAGTAAATTAAATTCCTTTCCTAATACAAGCAAAAACCTGACTTCTTAGAATTATGTAAAAATCTTTATCTTAAAACTTATGAAAAACGATAGTATATCTTTAAACAAGGAGATTAGGGAGATGCATTCTATGTTATATTGAATGGTAGTGTTAAAGTTTACATAGATGAACCAACAGAATTTAAGAATTTCATGCAACTTGTAAGAATAGATTATTTTATTTAGAAAGAAATAGCTTAATTGGGTAAAGGTGATGCATTTGGAGAAATATCTTTACTTTATAATTCTAAAAGAACAGCTACTGTCATCTCTAATGAAAGAAGCGACTTAATTGTTTTAGAAAAAGATGCATTTCAAGAATATATGAAAACAATTGATAATTCCAATGAAATGAAAACAGTTGCACTCAATAGATTACTTTAATTTTTAGAATCTCTTCCAGTCTTTCAAATGTTCAATAAAGATTTACTTGTATAATTATGTACTAAATGTTAAATACAAATTTATCCTTCCTAATAGATACTATTGAAATAAGGAGTTGAACCAACACAGATGTATATAATCAAAAGTGGTAGAGTAAAAGCAATCAAAAAAATTAAATGGAATTTGGAAGATTATCCATCTTCACTAATAAGAGGTTAAACTACAAGTAGCACTGATTTATTTAATCAGGATGTCTATTTTGAAATTGATGAATTAGGAGATGGTGAGATCTTTGGTGATTTTGCCTTATTAAATGAAGAAGAATCAGAATGTTCATATATTACTTCAATACCTTCTGAGATTATTTCAATTAGTTCATTCAACTTAAAAATGATTGTACCATAAGATAGATTAGAAGCCTATCAAAAATAAATTAAGTAATATCCTGAAGATGATGATCTTAAATTATTGTATGAAGAGAAAAGAAACTGGAATTAATATAAGAGAAAACTTATAAAAAATATTTATGTTGATAAACAAAATAAAAAAGGCTTTGATAATCGATTAAGACTTCCAGAATTAAAAGGTAAGTAAGCTTTACCTCCAATAAATATAATTGATATAAAAACAAGTGATAATAGAACATACTTCAAATATTTGGAATCTAAAATATCTCCTATGGCTGAATGTAAAAAAAAAGTTTAATCACTAACTCAAGTTGGTTTGGGCATGTAAGGGTTAGTAAAATAATTAGAATAAAATACAAATCAATTAAGTATTGCTAATTCTTTTTAGAGAAAATTAAAGAAACTCAATATAAACAGATCTTAATGAAATTAATCAATGTTATAAATCATAAAATGAAAAAGAACTTCCTTGTTATGTTGAATTAATTCTTCTATGGTTTTATTATTTGGGCTGAGATATTTTACGAACAAAATCTTTAGTCCTTTAAGAACATATTTTATTCTATATTTACACATTCTCTTAATCTAAATGTGAAGATTACTACTACTAAGCTTTTCTTTTTGGCTATTAAGTACTAATTATATAGTATTTAAATTTTTTACCATCTTTATGAATGATATTGATATAGAGATTCATTTTCAATAAGGAAAGATTAATTCATAGTATTTGCAGTAATAGGTGATAAAGATTATCCTTTATGTTCATTTGGTGTATGAATCTTCATTTAATGAACATCCCATAAAACAGATTACTCTAATTCTTCTTAACTTCTTCGTGTCTATTCTCTTGTATGATAACTTCTTTTAGTATTTTTTTATATTGGACTTGTAGGTATAGTACCTGTAGGTTAAATGTATGAAAATGCTATTTCTCTAAATGCTTTATCTAATTAACATTTCTCAATCTTTAATACTGCTGATTCCAATAAAAATAATCCTGTTTACAATCTTTACTAAAAATGTTTTCTATTATTATTTTTGCTTCTCCATAATTTTAAGAAAGCCTCCTTTAATTATAAATCATTCTCTCTCTTAGATATAGTATTTTCCAACATAGCACTACTTAAGTATTTAGATTTCAATGCATTTTATATTTGCATGTTCTACAATTCCAATTCATATTAATAAATTAATTTTTATTATTAATCTTATTCTTATTTTGAGATAACTAATTCATTTCTTAATTAATCAATAAATACATTTTAATTATTTCTCCATCTATTTAAAAATCTAGACTTCATTTTCTATTAATAATGTTCTTATCTTAATCTTATAAATTTAAAAAACTCTAAATATTTCTATCTTAAATTATTTATTCCGTTAGTCAATATTAAAGCTATTTTACTCAAATAATGTGTCTACATATTAGATGATGTAATTAAAAATATTTCATCATTCACCTTCCATATATGTCTATTTTCAAATTCTATATTTTAATTATTTATTAGTTCAGTATTTATATTTAAAGTTAATTAATAAAGAGTGTTGAATTGTGAAATATCATCAATATCTTCAAAATATTCTTATATTAATCCATATTCAGGTAAATAGGAAGTTAATGATAATATCTCGATATTCAATATTGAAACTGCTAACTTTTCGCCCATCAATTAAGTTACTTATTACATATACATTTCTATTGAATTTTCTGATTATAATGCTTAAAGCATAATAATTAAATCATCATTTCCAATTAATTATGTTATTGCATTACTTCTCAATCTACTTTAATATTTTTGTAATACCATGAATAACTAAATTGCATAATTCTTTTAATCCTTTTTTACCTATTTAGCTGCTTAAAGAATCAATTTGCAAATATTATTATTAATACTTTTTTCATATTTTATTTAATAGTAATTTTATTTCAATCTCTAAAATCCCATTCTTTAAATTATTATCTTTAGCTTCTTTAATTTATTCTTATATTGTAAGACTTTCACAAAAACCAACTATCTTTTCATTCTAAACTACAATAACACTACCTTATTTAGCTTACTCAAACCAGATTCAAATTTGTATTATTAATTGTTTATAGTTAATTAAATGTATTGTTAAATCTATTTACAATAATAAGAAGGGTAATTAAGAGCATATATAACTTTCCTCTTAAAATGAGTTATTGGAACAAGTGAAAATTAATCATCAATACTATATGTCTATTATTAAATTAAGGATTATTTGATTTATTTTACATCCACTTATATATTAGATTGTGAATTGGTTAATTTGCAAGATTAAGATTTTGAAATATTAAAGCTATTAATTGATTCTCCTGATACAATTTTATTGTTAATACAATATTCATAATATCCGCTTTCATTATTCTTTATTTAAGAATAAAATTAAAAAGGATTCTTATAAGGCAATTCAAAAACATTCTTATAACTAATTGATTATTCAATAGATTTAGGTACTTACTTATGAGAAGGTAATTATTTTATAAAATTAGAAGATTGTGTCTATAAGTAGCTTCTTTTTGAATTTGATTAAGATGGAGTTTGTTATTCTAAAGATGGAATAACAAATTCTTTTACTAATTATTCTACTAATTAAAACATTTATTCTGGTTCTTTGCTTTTTTTTATTGATTCTTAATCTATCGAATCAAATAAAGTAACTAATCTTTATCTATCCTATTCTTTTGTATTTGAGTTTTCAATTAATGAATTTAATTATGCAAAAATAGGTTTAAAAGTTTGATAGTAATTCAATTAAGGTGTTTCTTCCTTATATTTTTTTGATTCTTCCTTAATTGTTTATTAGGGAATCGATATTGAAAGTTTAAGATCTTATTGTCTTTATTATTTTTCAATCTCATCACGTCTTTTTTAAATTAAAGTCTTTAATTAGCCAAATTCATTTTGCATTCTTGAACTAACTTTTTCTGTTTCCTAAATTGATTTTTCAAAAGAACGATTATGTATCGATTTATCGCAATCATTTGAAGTAGTATGAAATGAATGATTGCGTTTTGGACAAATTTCACGAGGTCGAAGCATTTCAATTTCTCTTTTCTTATTGATTAGATCCCAATCATAATTAAATGAACTATTAAAATTATGCTTTGGAGGTAATTGAGTATTAGGTCTCATTTGAATTTTAAATTATTATTTGTAACAAATAAATAATCATTCCTTGATTGAACAAAATTAATTTTCTAAATTTTAATCGATTTTTTAAACCTTTATAACTATGTATCTAATAAAAATCTTTTGAAATTATTTTAGTGAATATTGAAAATAATTTATAAAGTAAAAATTAATTTTTATTCTTATATTTCATTTTCCAATCCATTACATATGTAAATATAAAAAGATATACATAATACAAATAAATTAAAAAGAATTAAATCAAAATCATTTTAGAATGTTTTGTTGATTAAGTTTAAGTATATTATTTTATTCATCAGACATAATAATTAGAGTTACTTTGGCTTTATTTAATATATTTATTATGTTAAGATTTTTAAGTTATTTTGTTTATTGACTAAAAAATTCTGAGAGTTGATATATATCATAGTTTAACAAAACATTTTAATTTTCATTTAAAAATGCTAAACCAATTTTCAAAATAGATTAGATATCAGTAGCTAAAATAAAATCCCAAAAATATATAACAATTTCAATAGGAAATGAATACAAAAATTGAGTTAATATCCATTACCAAATATATTGAAATGCAAAGATACCATTTAATTAAAAATGATTAAATAATTTTAATGATTGACTCTAAAGATTGTCTTAGAATATTTAACATAAATTTTTAGCAAATGTAAAGTCACCCTTGTAAATTTCCCACCAATAAAATTTTGGATTTTAGTTAATAAAATTTATAAACCAAAATACTTCTTCATCTTTCCCTCCACTAATGATTAAGCAAAATCCTACTACAAAATTCATGCCTTAAGAATATCCAATTTCAGGATTTAAAATAGCTAATGCCTTCAAAACAGAAAATAGTTATTCCTAGCCTTTATTAGTATCCTTAAAATGTTAATGATAAGGGAATGTTCTATTCAAGTCTTTTTTTATATCCTCTGAAATCTTTTCAGGTAAGGGTAAATCTTTTAATTTATTATACAGATTAGAATCATAAATAACATTTTAATAAACTTAAGCCATCCAACAATTCCATCTATATTTAGGAATTGCTCCATCCATAAGATAATTATTAAATTAAATAGTATTTAATTCCTTCAAGATTAATGTATCAAACAATTCTAAATTTAAATGCTTAAAGGGTTCCTTTAATGCTTAAGCAACACTTTAAAGTTGTTATTATATTTATTATTCTTAATTATTTGTAACTTAAATTATTGAATTTGGAGATCTTAAAAGTGTAACATATTGTTCATCATTAATAAGATTTTAAAGGTTATGATAAAATTCATGCCATTTTTATTTTTTGATAAGAAAGTTAGGTTAATTTTGTTCGATTAAGTTTTAAAATTCAATTCCAATATAATTTTAGAATTCATTACTATCATCTATAGGAGTTACTGTAGCAAACTTAATTCTTTTTTATGGATTTAATATGTTGTAAGTATTTTATTTAGTACAAATAGCTCCCATGATTTTGTAATATAAATATTTATATATAATAATAATGTCAGTTTTTATAGATTCTTATAATATCCTAAATTTTAGTTCTACAGATAGGGCAATCTTTTAGGTTTTTACTGCATTTTAAACAAGCAGTATTATGTTTACAAGGCATATATAGTGCATCTCGATCATTTTCAATACAAATGATACAACTATTTTCATGACTTCTATCAGCAACCAACTATGTAGTTCTTTTACATAAATAAGTAGATGTAGTTCCAATTTTAAAAACTGTTTAGTTTTATAATGGATATAACTAAGAAGGTTAACTTTCTCTTGATAATCTTAACCAAGATCTAATAATTTGATATATAGTATACCCATTTGTAGATCCCATATCTTCCAAATAGACTCTACCTTCAATAAGACAAATTTTAGCATGAATATTAGAAAGGTGATGATCTTCACTAAATGTAAGATCAGCAGTCTATTTTCTACCGACAGTAGTTACACTTTTTTAAGGTGTTAAATTAATAATATGTTTTTCAGGGGTATTTGGTCCTTCTATGATCACCATAACAACCTAAAATATGATAAAATAATTTACATCAATATTAGGTCCATTTGTATTCACTTATTAAATTTCAAATTGATTACTGCCTAATTCAATAACCATTCCAATTTGCAATTATTATTGAGTTTCAACTTTAATAAAAGTACCTGTAGTAGATCCAATATCTTTAATATAAAACTAATAATTATTAGATGATAAGAATACTTCTTCATGTTGAAATATAACTTCAGCATGAAATCTACTAATACTTTCTTCTAATATTAATATTTAATTGCTTGAATGTCTTCCAATTTTTCCACCTGATTCTTTAATACAATAGAAATTAGTTTAGGGTCCTTCTGTTGGTTGGATGATTAATTCGTTTTATACCTTTGAAACAAATTTATCTAAGTCTTATTCAATTAAAATGCCGGTTTATTGTTTTTTTTAAAACTAAGGTTTGTTTTCACTTTATAATTTAAGTGTTATTATTACATCTCACATAAAGGTTATTGAAATTGTTGTGAATACATTTCATTATTCTTAAGATAATTAGTCATCATATCATGAGAGATATTTATCTATCCATATTATGGTTAAGCAGATTCAGTATTTTCAAGAGTAGTATTCTCTTATTCCATCTTTTCATAACGTCTATCTTCAAAAGTTGTCGATTTAATATGAGATGCATATTCTTTAAGACCTGTTTTAAGCCCTTTGTTTAACAAATCATAATTACAATGCATTAGCTTTTTTCTAACTATCTTATTTGTAATACCAAGATCTTCTATTAAATCATTTTCCTCTATTAACTCTAAACATGATCCATCGATTGAATTTTTAGCTATAATATAGGTTCACTAATTTACTAAAAGTTGTCTGAAGTTATTATAGGCCTACAAAATTGAGCCATTGTGATACATCCTCTAAAGACCATTTCTTAGGTTCTTTAGGAAGAATTGTGAAGAGGGTTTCATAATCCATATTTTAAATTTAAAAGCACTAACTGAAAATAATTATTCACACATATAATTATTTCATCTTACTATATGACAAATAGACTAATTCTGGTATAGACATTGTAAAATGATTAGCACCTATTATTATACTCTTCTCTTCTAATTCCTTCTCAATCATCATCATCTTATCAAAATATCCTGGATTCCATTTTATCCAACAATCCATCCAATTTTTTTTAATTATCATCTTTGGGTCCTATATATTCATTCCTAAATGAATACTCAACTCTTTAAGAATCTAATCATCTTCAACATCTTTCAATGATAATACTGTAACACTTGTTGAATCTTAAGGGTATTACATTGGAAACTATAATGAATCTGTTACCATTCCTAATATATTTTTATTCTCATTAGGATTTATTAAATATCCAGAACCTCTAAACTTTAATAATAACAAATTATCATACATTTCTAGGTAATATCTTTTAATCCCAACAAATATTTCTAGTTATTAATGAAGTATATTTTATCTTCTTTAAATCTTCTTTTAACTTATCTAAGCTTTAATTCTAAATCATAGTTGCTATTTATGAAGAAGGTACATTTAATAACAATTTATCATAATAAATTTTCTAAATATTTTTATCTTCCTTTTCAATTATCAATTCTTTTTATTCTATATTTAACTCTTATACTTTTGTATCTAAATATATTTCAAAATTTTCTCTTAAATTATCTTTCAAATATCTCAATAATCGTTTTGGTAATGATTCCAATCCATATGTAAATCTATAGCTATGCGCTTTGCTATATAAAAATTATATTTATTACCCTTTCTTAATTTTTTATCCCTTATTTATTCAAATTCTTTATCATAAATTAAATCCTTCTTTAATTCAACTTCATCATAAGATTGCATGTAAATTTTATCAAAACACATATTTCTTGATAAATTATAAACAGATTCTCCATAACTTCCATAATAAACAGTTTCAGCATATTTTTTTGTCAGTTCCTTCCCTAATATTTCATCTAAATATTCTCCCAAATTATCAGTCACCTACTTATTTAATAATAATTTAGGATAAGCTTTAATTAAATTTAGTAATTCCTCTTTCCCATGATCCTTGATAAATCTTGAAATAGTTTCAAAATTCATTCTTTATGGGACACTCTTTAATTCATCTTTCCAATATATATAATTATATGGTTGTTGGATACTTGTTACCACTAAAATATTTCAATTCTATACATTCAGGATAAAGTCCAATTTTATCAATCATATAAAATAATGGTCTATCATACCTTCCTATTTTAATTGAATGAGGTCCTTCCTCAAAAATAAATTAATTTTAATTTTCTTTTCTTGTTTGAATCATTCCTCCTATTCTATTAGACTATTCAATAAGAGTTATTTTAGCCTTGGGAAACAAATGCTTAATGAAAAAAGCCTTACTCAATCCTGAAAGACATGCTCCTACAATTACAAATTGATAAGACATAAATTATAAATAAAAATTTGATTTTCATTCACAAAATTTTTTTTTAAAATTTCTGATCATTTAACCATATTTTAAGTTTCAATTGAACAGTATTTTTAAGTCTTTAAAATAAAAACAAGCTTCATTATTAATTTTTTTTAAAATAATAATATGATAATTTTCTTATAAAAATAATAAAAAATATGTTATAGAGAATTATTTTAATTTTTTAGCTAGTGTGTATCCTCGTTTTTTAAATGTAAATATTAAAGTCTAATTTATAATGATTTTGATTTTATCCAATTAGCACTAACTTAAATAAGTTTTTATAAATTATTATTAATTTAATGTAATTTTTTTTTTGATATTTTTGCAACAGGATATGATTATGATTGTGCAAAAATATTTATGTTGAAGTCCTATAAAAGAGAGGCTATAAATAAATCATAATTTCGAATTAGGAATTCTTGGATAAATTAGGTAAAGATGAAGAGATACTTTAGACTTACTAAATATATTTAACATTCTAAAGATGTACTACTTAATAATGATAATATAAACTTTTTTCTAGATTTAGTGAGTATTTGAATATCAACTAGAATAGTTTAGGAAACCTGAAATAATAGACTCGATATTATATCTAGTAAATATAATTTCGTTTTAAGGATCAAATTATAAAATATTACTTAAGTTTAAAAAGAAATGATCTAGATTTACAAAAACGATTTTAAATATATTAGAATTAAAATAAGGTTTTTTTATTATATACCTGACATACGTAATGTTTTTTAAAATAACTCAATCTGGATTAGATAACTACTCTTTAAAAATTTTAAATCTAAACATAGGCACTAATTAATCCAGATTAAAATCAGTTCTTCAATTTTAAAAATTTTTCTGTGTATTAAATTCTTATTAATGAATTTCCATTTTTTCTAGAAGAAATGAAATAAAATCAATATCTAAATTCAAATACTATTTGTAAGTAAATATTATTCCCCTTTTTTTGTCAAACTTTTAAAATTTTATTATTTTTACAATTATTCTTAAGAATTCTATTTTTATCAATTGTTAATTTTCAAATAAAAAAATACAGGATAAATTTTCAGATCAACAAATATCAAATAAATTTTTTGGAGGAGCATAAAAAGATTATTTTAATTGTTCTTCTATTTGTATTATTTGTTAATATAAAACTAATATAAAAATTACTTATAATTAAAGAATTAATAAACTTATATATATGATGTCTAAGGATATCAGCTATGAATCAAAGATTAAGATGATATATGCTTTATAAAAAATAGGTGAAAAATAATCTTTATTAATGAGGTAGATAAAAAAGAATAGATAAGATAAATAGAATGGTATATTTTATATTTATTACCTTAAGAGAGGAAAAATCTGAAATTGAAAATTAAGAGTTTTTTTAGATTCTTTAAATTTTATTTGGAGAAACAATGTGGAAGTTAAATAAAAACTTAATGAAAATGATAGGGAACTTAATAATGATTATTAATTCCATTATTTAGAGTTATGAGAGGAAAATAAAATCAATTATATTCTATTTATTATAATATTCCTTATTGATATTATGCTACTCTAATTTTATATTCTTAATCGAATATTGTAGCTCTTCCTTCCAAATTGCCATCTTTAAAAACCCCAAAAACTTTTGCATTTTTATAATACAAAACACCTTTTCCATTAAATTTATATTATTAATCCATTTATCCCTAATAATGTGTCCAATTCTTTTCCATTTATGTAATGCTTTATTTATCGAAATATTTATTATTAAAATCTTTATTGTAACGAATTGCTTTTCGAGTCTCTGAATATTCTGTTCTCTCTAATTATTAAAGCAAAACTGACTTTCTTTGCTGCAAAAAACTTATCTATTAATTGATGGATATAATTTCTTTTATTGAATCAGAAGAGATTTATTAAGATAGTTACCTAGACGATTTTTGTATTGGTTTAACAAAAGTTGAAGGTGTTCTAATCTTTTTTAAATTAATCGGACTGATTTATGGTTTTTTTATTGTTGAAACATCGCTAGTAAATATACTGTATTTCTCTGAAGATTATCTTGTTGTGTCTAAAAGTGAAGGAGACTTTTTATGCGTAAACATTTAACGAACACAAATAATAAATATATTATTTTTTTATTTATGTTATTCAACAAAATCTAAAATCATCTAATTTATATTAATTCATTAGTAAATTATAAATCATAACTCATATAAATTTTAACATTTTTTTTTTTATTTTCAGCGATTAACCCCTCAATTTTATCATAATCTATTCAGGAAATGTATATTAAATGAGTTTCAACTTATTATTTTTTTAAAGATAAAGACTTTAAAAATAGAGAGAACTAAAAAAAAAAATTTTTAATTATGAATCCTATCACTCTAAATACAGGTATTAATGTAAAAGCAATCCAACCTAAATAATGATAAATATAATCAAAAATAAAATTCTTGTTCCATTTACTAAATAGAGAATTCTATTATTTATGAACAGATGGTTACATTATAAAATTTTATAAAAAAGTTTAACCTGTTTAAACTATAATATAAATTAATATAATTTTATAATCATTTTTGAATAATAAATGTTTAAGATGACCTTCAATTAATCAGAAATTTTGGAGAATCAAACTTTAAGAAACATTTGATGATAAAATTCGGATAATTATACTTTAAGATAAATTTCATAAAGAAAAGAACTTTTTAAATAAATTAACTGTAGTGACTGAATGTATATTTTGTACACAAAATTCGATGTTTTTTTTAATACATCATATTATTTTTTGTTTATTTATAATTATTCTTGTAAAAAGATTTAGTTGGGTTAGATATTTGATTAGGAAAATTATTCTTGATGAATTTATTAAAATTATAAAATAACACAAAAAAAGATGCCAAAATAGCAGAAGTAAACCAAAAGGGCATATGCTAAGGTGTCATTATTAAATAAAGAAGCTTTAAAGGATTTAGTATTTCAAAAAGGATTAAAAATTAAAGAAGTATTATATTTTAGTAAACTTTAAGGCAGCACAGAAGTTATCCATAAATTATGCAAGTGCTAAAACAATTATTCTTCAATTCAGGTAATAATAAATGAGAACATCTGTCAAATATATATCTAAGAAGCCTTGTCTTATTAAATAAGCTTCAAAAATAAAATGTTCGATTAAAATTATTTCCTAAACTGGTGGAATGAAAGTAAATGAAAAAGAATATGATATCAATTGAATGAAATAGTATATATTCATTAAAAAAAAACTAAAATTATACTCTTTATAAATGAAGCAATTCTTATCATTTTTAATTTATCTCACTTTTAAAATACACCTTTTATTAATATTTTGATATTATTAAGGAATAGAAGTACAAATAATTAAGCTTGTTTTCATTTATGGTATATAAATGCTTAAAAATGCAATCTCATTACTTTCAATAGATTAAAATTTTTAGTTTGAAGAATTCAAGACTTAATTGATGCAGTATTAAATAAAGACATTGATTGAGATCAAATTAATTTGATATTATTTCAAAAAATTTAGATGCAGTTTAAATATTAAAAAATCGTATATAATTATGAAATGTATTTGTTTGTTAATAATATTTTATTAATTTTTTGCATTTAATAAATTAATGATTAAATAATTGTTAAATTAAATATAAATAAATTATTCCTTTATTAATCATATAAAATTAAAAGATTTATTCCCCCTATTTAACATAAAATTATAAGAAGATGCATAAAATTTATAAAATATTAATCATTAATTCAAAATAATGACTTAGACTTCTTCTAAAAAAAGATAATATGTTAAAATTTCAAAAAATCAAAAACAAGCCTTACTTCAGTTAGTCTTCTAAACTGGAATTAAAATTAGAGAAGTATTTAGTGTTATAAACAAATTAGGCTTCCTTAAAGTTAAATTTGAAATATGCTGCTGCTAAAACCTTAGTCTTACAATTTAGAAAAAATTTAATAAAAAAAGAGTTTCATTATGCTTCTAATTAACCTTGTTAAACTTGCCCAAAAAGAAATGAGACTGTTTCATTTAAAATCATATCATAAGTTGGGGGAAAAGAAATCAATTCTAAAACTTACATATACAATTGAATAATTATTAAATAACTATTGTTTGTATATATTTGTTTATGTAATGATAATCCTTTCTAAGGCTTAAATATGTGATGATAAATTGTTAAAGAATTACTTTAAAATTAATCCAATTAGCCAAAATTGGGAAATGAATTTAAAAATTCAAAGAAAAATCCATATTTTTCTTTTCTAGTAGAGGACATACTAATAAATAATAATGTAATATAGTGGATGATAGATCAAACTTATACTTTCTTTGAAACAATTAAAAAAATTTTGTTTAATTAAATGAGGCTAATATAATACGTATAATAATTAAATCTTTTGATAATTAAATAAAGCTAATTAATAATCAATTCTTTAATTCTTCTAGAATCCCTGTTATAAATACTTATGACTCGTTGATATTTGTTTTATTTTCTTTTGAACGAGTTACTTTGGTTTTTTGGGAAGTGAATGGGAATGGTAATTTTTTACGACATAATCGACATTGTTTACGAACTATTGATATTTAAATTAAAAGAATAGAAGTAATTGAAATCATTATGCTTGTTGTGAGAAAGGTTTTGTTAGTAAAAATTAAAGAAACTACAGCTGATTTAACATAGACTAATTGAACAAGATACCTTTTTCTTACATCTAGATCATATTTTTAAGACCATAATTAATCTATAGAAGTATTGATATCCTATTTTAAATAGAATAATTACTTTTCTAATATTGTTATCAATAGTTTGATTAATTAATAATTGATAACTTCTGTAGGAGTTATACTTTAACTAATATTTTAAATATGTGTATTCTGGGTATTCCTTGAGAAAGAGGCCGTATTAGAATTCGCTTACAAAAATTACTGCATCTTCATTTTTAAAGAGTATCTTGATTTATTTATAAATGATGTACATCTATGCATTGTTTGATATTGTCCTTTTCTTGAAAACTTATATCACGGTACCTTTGAATCATGTCTGATATAAATATATCATTTCTAATGGAACATAATTAAAATTGATTCATGGCCAAATCATTAAGAGAATTAAAATTTTACCTTTAAATAGCATTACCAACAACATAAATGAAATCAATAAAAATGATGGAGCTTATTAAAAATGTAACAATAATAAACATGATTTTAAGTATTAAAGTAGATCTAATTTGGTAAAAGTGATAAATACTAATTGGTTTCTTGATTGCCAACAAGAATTTGTAAGGAGACCTGGATTTTTTTGGAATAGGTTCTATATTTTTATTTGGAGAGGAAAAAAATCATAAAATTTGCATAGAGCATAATCCAAGGAAAAATAATAATGATGTAATTGAAAAAGAGTTCCCAGACAATTCTTGAGAATAGTGTAACAACAAGACTCGGATAAATAAAAATATAATTTTCTGTAAGTATTGGTTTTGACAACTGCTTATATAACTCATAGGAAATACATCATAATGAGAGTAGTCAAGTTAAATTAAATCTTGGGTAAGAACAATGCTCTTTTCTTAATTAAAATTTCTAATAAAGTCAAAAGTAATATTAGCTTAATCAGATTGATTGACATAAAGTAATTCTAATTATTCGCCTCTGCGAGATTTTAAGGAATCCATGACATCATAAAAAATATCGATAAGCATGCCAGAGTTATTAGGTAGGATAAGTGGATCTTAAATTTTTCCTAAATAGATATTAAGTTAAAGAGCATATGCAATAATGAACATTATTAATAAATATCTATTTTAAATAAAAAAGTCTAAATGGGACCGTATCTAAGCCAACCAAAAACAGAAAAATCAACATATACAGGCAAGAATTAAGCTATAGAATACGCAGCAACTCATATGCAAGGTATTTGAAATGAATAATGTAGGATGGAGAAACACAATGGAGGATACCCATATTTCTGAATTAAACATAGAAAATGATGTTCATTTATTCGCTGTTTTTGATGGTCATGGTGGAAGTGAAGTAGCAATATTTGCAGAAAGACATTTCAAGGAAGAATTGATGAAGAATAAAAACTATCAATAAAAAAATTATGAAAAGGCCTTGACAGAGACATTTTTCAGAATTGACAAAATGTTATAAGATTAAGCTGGTTAGGAAGAGTTGAATAAAATAAGAGGAGCATCTGATGAAGGTAATAAAATACTAAATAATTAGCTTCTTTGGCTGGATGTACTGCAAATGTTGCTTTGATTGTTGGCAAGACTTTATATGTTGCCAATGCAGGAGATTCTAGATCTTTTTTAAATAGAGATGGAAAACCATTTGATATGAGTAAAGATCATAAGCCAGATGACGAATTAGAAAAAAAAAGAATAGAGAGAGCTGGAGGTTTTGTTTCTGATGGTCGTGCTAATGGTTTTTTATTCATATATATTTAAGGCAATCTTTCTTTATCAAGAGCTTTGGGAGATTTAGAATACAAAAAAGATAACAGATTCAAACCTGAAGAATAAATCATCACTGCATTACCTGAAGTTAAAGTAACATAATTGACTGCAGCTGATAAGTAATTCCTATTTCTATATATTTATCAGGTTTTTGTTGATGGGATGTGATGGAGTCTTTGAAACATGGGATCATCAATAAATACTTAATTTCGTTGCCTAAGAGATGAAATCCACTCAAAATCTGTAGAAAGCTACAGAAAAGTTGCTTGATTAATTGTTGGCAAAAGATACAACATGTAAACATTATATTTTATCATCTAGTGGGTACTGGGTGTGATAATATGACTTGCGTTTTGGTTCTATTTAAATCATGAATCAATTGAGTATCGAATCATATAAAATAAAATATAATTATTATTATCTTATGATTTAAATTATTAATTTTCTAGAACAAGCTATCAATAATTAAAGCTTGCTTCAATCTTCCACAAATCTAATACTAGTAATAATAGAAAACTATGAATGAAAAATTAAAACTTAAGAATAACATTCAAATTGTGCATTTTACACTTATTAATTTATATTAATCTATATATATTGTTTCTTTATTTTTGCATACTTTTTTAGCTATAGGATTTATCTGTTAATTAATTATTATGAAGATTTGATTATTAAAGAATTACAAAGATGAGTAATTTAATCAACGAGAGCAAAAATTACTGAAAATATAGTAATTCCTTTGAAAAAATAGAGTTTATGATAGTCCTAATGAAAAATAATCAAATTAATAGTGTCTGAAACGCTTTAAATTTGTTGATACCACATTTTGACATAAACTTTATTGATAAGATTTAATTGTAGATATTATTCTTTTGGATTCATATTGTTTCTCATTATCAAAATTGGAGTTGAATCAAATCAAATAATTTTAATCAATTAAAATCCTTCACAAATTACAATTAAATGAATATACTAAAACAATAGAATAAGGTTTATTTTTCTTAATTTTTATTCTATTATTTATTAAATGATGAAGAAATGTTTAAAGAGAAGTGTACAATACAAATAATATTTTTAAATACAATTTGTTTTTAAAATTGAGTTTTTTAAAACTAAATGGTTGTTCAAATTGATCTCACCAGTTTCACTGAGGATATTCATAATTAACCAATATTATTGAGGATTGTTAAGATAGTATACTTAATAATTGTCTATTAATACTAAGATTAATGACAGCTAAAAGAGAGAACTTAAATTGATTTTGTATAAATTTATAGTTATATTTTTAAAAATATATTGTATTGTCATGTAGAGACATTAAAATTATCGTAATATTAAAATGTACTATGAGTATGACAAATCAATCTAGAGCTTCTGATATATACATTTTCGCAGATAACAGCAGAACGCTGATCCACAAACTCCATGGACTATTTAAGTTCATGAATGGAAATGAAGCTCTTATCATACTAATTGTATTGTAATAAATTTTCCTTAATTATCTGATTTAATANAGCTACAGAAAAGTTGCTTGATTAATTGTTGGCAAAAGATACAACATGTAAACATTATATTTTATCATCTAGTGGGTACTGGGTGTGATAATATGACTTGCGTTTTGGTTCTATTTAAATCATGAATCAATTGAGTATCGAATCATATAAAATAAAATATAATTATTATTATCTTATGATTTAAATTATTAATTTTCTAGAACAAGCTATCAATAATTAAAGCTTGCTTCAATCTTCCACAAATCTAATACTAGTAATAATAGAAAACTATGAATGAAAAATTAAAACTTAAGAATAACATTCAAATTGTGCATTTTACACTTATTAATTTATATTAATCTATATATATTGTTTCTTTATTTTTGCATACTTTTTTAGCTATAGGATTTATCTGTTAATTAATTATTATGAAGATTTGATTATTAAAGAATTACAAAGATGAGTAATTTAATCAACGAGAGCAAAAATTACTGAAAATATAGTAATTCCTTTGAAAAAATAGAGTTTATGATAGTCCTAATGAAAAATAATCAAATTAATAGTGTCTGAAACGCTTTAAATTTGTTGATACCACATTTTGACATAAACTTTATTGATAAGATTTAATTGTAGATATTATTCTTTTGGATTCATATTGTTTCTCATTATCAAAATTGGAGTTGAATCAAATCAAATAATTTTAATCAATTAAAATCCTTCACAAATTACAATTAAATGAATACAATACAAATAATATTTTTAAATACAATTTGTTTTTAAAATTGAGTTTTTTAAAACTAAATGGTTGTTCAAATTGATCTCACCAGTTTCACTGAGGATATTCATAATTAACCAATATTATTGAGGATTGTTAAGATAGTATACTTAATAATTGTCTATTAATACTAAGATTAATGACAGCTAAAAGAGAGAACTTAAATTGATTTTGTATAAATTTATAGTTATATTTTTAAAAATATATTGTATTGTCATGTAGAGACATTAAAATTATCGTAATATTAAAATGTACTATGAGTATGACAAATCAATCTAGAGCTTCTGATATATACATTTTCGCAGATAACAGCAGAACGCTGATCCACAAACTCCATGGACTATTTAAGTTCATGAATGGAAATGAAGCTCTTATCATACTAATTGTATTGTAATAAATTTTCCTTAATTATCTGATTTAATAATTATGGTTTAATACCTGAATGAGTTTTCTACTTATTGTAGAAATTTCGGTCTTTTGGCATTATAAGAATCATTCAAAGAGCATAAAAACACATTGGAAGAAACACTCCTTATACATTTAATTAATTTAACAAGAGAATAAATGATTGAATTATCATCTCGTATAGTAAGGACATGGATCAACATTAATAGAGATCAAAAATAAGAATCTCTATAAGAAAGCTAATAGAGAAAGATGTCAGTTAGTGAAATACATACAAAATCTAGCTCTTAATTAAATCATCTATATGAATAACATATTTTAAACGAAGAGAATTAAATAGTCAAACGAGATTAGTAAATCAATCACCTTATGAAGGAATGCACATTTAAACCTTAAATTACAAAAAAGAGTTAAAAATTAGAATTAAATTCTCCAGCTCATATAAGATTGAATAACTATGCAATGGATTCAAAAATCAAATTATAAATTGTCTAAGAACTTAATCAGTAATAAGAATTAAAAGATTGCACTTTCAAACCATCAATAAATACTAAATAATTGGGTAGAAATTAATCAGTTGAAAATCCGTTTGATAGACTATACTAAAATGCTTTAACATAAAGAAACAAAACACCGAGAAATAATGAAGATTCAGAATTTACTTATCGTCCTTAATTAATTAGCTCACCTTTAAAATTACAACAATTTGATGGTATATCAGTAGAAGAGAGGCTTTATAATCATCATTTTGAGAAAATGAATAATGTAGCATTAAAATAAGAAGAATTATAATAGATTGAATTAGAACAATGCACGTTTACTCCTGCGATTAATAACCAAGGAAATTGTAGACAAAATGAAAAAGTTTTCGATAGATTATATAATCACAGTAGTGTAAAATCGGTTTCAGATATTAAAGACCATTCAATTTCTCATATGAATAAGAAATCTGAGTCTCTAATTAAGAAACCATAGTCAGACAATAATTCTTATGTAACTTAATTTTAACTAGAATCCAATCCATTCGATCGATTGTATTAAGAATATTAAAGATAAGAGAAAAAAAAGAAATCAAATTAAATTTAATATTACTAATCTATACCTTTTAAACCATTACTAAATAAGAAACTATCATTATAGTGAATATAAAATATGTTTGATAATAAATTTTCACTTTAAAATTTCTTATTAATAACATAGAGTAATTTAATAAGAAATTAGAGATAATTTTCTAATTCTTCAATAAACTTTAGTTTATGATTAATATATATGAAGATGATTCCTAGAATTCTAATATTAATATAAAAGTATTTAAATATTATAAATAAATATAATTTATCCAAAAATTGCTAGAAACTATGAAATAACTAACTACTTAAAAAAAGTAGTTAGTAGTCCTTATATTAATTGATTTAGAAAATTTGAAGCAACGATAAATTAACTTAAAATCTGTATAGATACTCTTTTGATTTCCTAAAAAAATTTAGAAGCCTATATATAGTATAGAAAGATATTAAGGCAGCTTCATTTTTTGGTTATAAGAAATGAAGACAAAGATGAATAAAGTTGAATGTCAGGCTTAGAAGAAGAGCCTACTGCTCAATCTGATTTGATGGTTAATAATATGAGAGCAATTACAAGATTTATTAGACATCTAATAATTTATCAGTTCCAATCATATCTTATTCATTTTGCTTTATTTTGTTCTTTTAGAGATGTGTACTATTCAACTCTTTGTTAAGAAGTATTTTAGATATTCTTTTTAATTAAATTCTGAAATTGATAGTTGGCTTTGAAAGAATTAAAATTAAAGAAGGGACGAATTATTTGATATTCAAACCGATAATTGCATATATAGATATAGATATAACTGTTGAAATAAATAAATCATATCCAAATATCTTGCTGAGATGCTATTTATTTAAATAGAGTATGCTTTATGATGAAAATTACAGTAGATAAGTAACTGTTAGATGGTATTGGAGGAGATGTGTAGAATGAATAATGAATTTATATATTGAGTTGATTAAAAATAATTTGTTTAATTCTTAATGTCTTCTTTGTTTAAGGAAGTACCACTTTAAAAAGTAATTGCAGATAAGGCATAAGTAACAGTAACTATATTAAATAGAAAATAGCAGCTCTGGTAAAGATGCTAAAAAGGATATAAAAAGAAGAGGAGGAAATTTTGAAATAATTTAACAAAATGACGAAAGATGCTCGAACGATTGATGATTTGTATGAGATAATGGAAATGATTAACTATGAGATGAGTGTAAGGAATGATGATAAAATAATGATTTTAGATGAGATTGCTCATCAGGAAGAAATACTGTAAGTGGTTGAATATATTAGAGACTTGCGGAGTAGATGAAATTAGAGAAGCAAATCAACAATATATCTAAAGATTTAGAAACATCAGAGAAGTTTTAGTAAACACGATCTTTAAGGCAAACAGGAAGATTTATGCAATTCAATCACAATAATCATAACTTGAATGTAGATAGTAAAAATGTTTAATCTAACATAATTACAAGTTATGATTTCGAAGAGTAATCAAAATTAAATGATAAAATTCAAGAAAATATTTTTAATGATCCAGTTAAATATAATACACAAGAAGGAATAGATGAAACATAGGTTTATGATTGGATTCTTGATATTGATTTAATAAATAATGTTCAATAAGGTTGGACTGTCTATATAAGCAAATAATTTTAGGCAAATAAAGAATTAGTTGGATTAACAAATAATGATAATAGAGCCCAAATAAAATGGGAAGGAGCTACAGTTGCAGTTGTAGGATTATATGATAAAGGTAAGACATTTGTACTAAATAATCTTACTTAATCAAATTTGCCATCAGGAAAGAAAGTAACGACAAAAGGAATTTCTTTTAAACATGTTGATGTAGATTCAGGTACTTAATTAATTTTAGTTGATACTGCTGGTAGTTATTCACCTGTTAAAATTTAATCAGCTATGAGTATTGTAGAAAAAGAAGCAACTGAACATTTTATTATTGATTTAGTATTCGAATTAAGCGATTATTTTATTTGCGTTGTAAATGATTTCACTTCTCTTGATTAACGATATCTAGATAGATTATCTAGATATATTTAAAATAGTTCAAAAACATTTAGAGAAATAATTGTAGTTCATAATTTAAAAGAAGTTGAAACTGCTGAAATTTTACAACATGTTTGGACTACATAAGTAACATAAATTTATTCAACTGGAGGATCAATTTAAAGAACTAAAGTGGCAGCAACAAATCCAAGAAAGAATGAATTATAAGAGAAACATGTACTTTGGTTTAAAACTCAATACACAAGACATGTTTGTCTAGTGAGTGATGATAGTCAATTAGGATTAGATGTTAATCCATGGGTTTTTTCATTATTGAAATATTGGTTAAAAGCAGTTTTTGTTCCAGTAAATAGATAATTTTCAGTATGTGAAAATATTCTACAATATGCTACTAGTAAACTTACATAATATTTTAAAAGAGAGGTAAATGTTAAATTAATTGATACTGATAATTCTTTTGTTAAAAAAATTATATAAATGGAAGCTGATTTATAAGATGGAGAACTTAAGATACCTTAAACTAATATTGATTAATCTGGTTTGATATTAGCACGACCTGATTCATTTGCTCCTGCTACTGATATTATTGCTAATGATAAGTACATTATTTATATGGATGTACCAGGAATCAATGAAGAAGATATTGAAATGTATAGATAAAATGTAGTTACTATTGTAAAAGGTAATAGGAAAAAACCTTATTAAGAAGAATAAAGTGATCATATCAAAAAATAAGAAAGAAAATATGGAGAATTTACATTAAGTTTTAGAATTCCTGAAAATTTTGAAAGAAAATGGAAACATTTTGGTATTGAAAATGGAGTATTAAAAATTGTTTATGAAAAAGACAAAGATGATATAATTCCAAATAAATTTGTTAATTAAGCAGCATGAATTAATATTTTTTTTAGATATTCTGGTTTATTTATAATATAAATAAGTTTTTGTCTATAAAAATATAATTATAATAATGATGTAATAATTCTAATAATAAGAAGAACCTGACTTTTTTGTTTGTACTTGTGGATTTTCTTGTCATTACAAAAGTGAAAAGGAAATGGAAATGCATATCGATTCTTGTCCTGTTTATAGTGCATACAGTGAATTTATGAAGTATATTGAGAGAAAGGATATTTAAAATGCTAATATAGATTAACTTAGAGTTATGAGGGCTGAGGCAAAAGTATATGTATCTAGATTAGATATGATGTTAATGATTTGTAAATTTCAATTTAACCAAAAAAGATTAGCAATAATAATAACCAATTTTATAGAAGATTCCATCATAAACAGTACAATGTGAGAAATGTCATAAATAATTTGAAGAAAATTCAGATTTTGATAAAGTTTGGTATTTAGAAAATTGTTCACATATAATTTGCAAAGTTTGTATGTTAATAATTTGCAAAGAAGATTTTTTGACTATGAAAAGTAATGTAACATGTGTTTGTGGAAAGAGATTTTCTGATGCAGAGATAAAATAGGTCTTAGGAAATGAATAATATGAATAATTAACTGAGAAACTAAATTTATCACTTTAAAATATTATTGAATGCTTTAATTGCAAAGAGAGATTCTCTTTTTAGAAAGGAAATATCAATGAGAAAATTTAAGATTAAAATGGGAAATTAGTATAAGGAGAATAATTATTACATTATATTGAGAATAGATTTAAATGTTCTAATTGTCATACAGAATAATGTAAAAATTGTATGAGTGTGCCTTATCATACAAATATGACTTGTGAATAATATAAAATAAATAAAGCTGCTGTAAAATGCAGATTATGTGATTAGCCAACTAAAATATAAAAAAATCAACCTGAAGCATTATAAACAATATGTGAATAATAAGAATGTTAAACTAGATCTAAAAATTTATGTACAAATAAATTAAAATGTGGTCATTTTTGTTAAGGATTAAAGAATACTCCTTGTTTACCTTGTTTAAATGAAAAATGTGCTTAAGATTAAAATGAAGATGATTATTGTAATATTTGTTTTACAGAAGGATTAAAAACATAACCATGTGTTAAGACAACATGTGGACATGTATAATAACAATTTAATAAATTAATTAGATATTCCATGAAGATTGTTTAAAATAAAAGTTATATGCTAAATGGAATGGTCCAAGAATAGTTTTTAATTTTATGAAATGTCCTTTATGCAATAAATTTTTAGATGTAAAGGTACCTCATTTCTAAAAATCAATTGAAGAAGGATAAGCACTATTAAAAGAAGTTCAAGAATTGTGTTTACAGAGATTAAAACTTGAAGAAAAAGAGAAAGACAAAGAACTAATAGATCCAACACATTAATTTTTCTAAAAACCTTTAGATTATGCAATGCATATCTATTGTTATTATTTATGTTTTAAATGTAAAAAACCCTATTTTGGAGGATTAAAAAATTGTTAATAGGCAGCTGATTAAGATCCTAAAGTAGAATTTAAATAGGAAGATTTAGTTTGTACAAAATGCTGTCCATTATTAACTTTGGAGGATAAATGTAATAAACATGGGGTTGATTTTATCGATTTTAAATGTAGACACTGTTGTTCAATTGCATTGTGGTGGTGTCAGTATAATTACAACATTATTTATAAGTGGTACAACTCATTATTGTGACCCTTGTCATAGAAATATAAAAACAAATATGACAAAACCGTGTCCAGGATTAGGAAAATGTCCATTAGGTATACCTCATAAACCTAATGGATAAGAAATGTCATTAGGTTGTTCGTTATGCAGAGCAGAAAGATTAAAAGCAAAATGATCATTACCATTTAAATATAAAATAAACACTAAAACATATATTTCATTCTATTTCTTTTCCTAAGGTATCAAAAGGTAGAAAACAATTAGTAAGACTAGTAATTAAAGAAATGACTATTTTATATAAATTATTATACCTGTAAATAATAAAAAGGGACTTAAAAGATCAATAGAAGATAAATAAAGACAAATCCATGGCATTATAACTCCTCCTAATCTACCAACACCATTTGCCATACCTACTCCTGTTGTTCTTATTTTAGTTGAATATACTTCTGCTGTATATTAAAAAGAAAATATAAAAGTCATTGATAAAAAGAATTTACAAAAATTAGTCCATAACATAAATCTACTAGCATCATCAAAATATGCAGCCATTGAACTTAATGCTTAAATAAAAAAGAATAATATTAATGAATTCTTTCTTCCCAAATATTTTACATCAATTATTACTGATGCTGCTGCTGCTCCAATTATATCACTTATTGATGATATTACTAATTATAATAATTTATGAACTGCTAAATAAGAATCTCCCAATTTAAGTCCTTACAAAAATGTAGGCAACATCATAACAATTCCATAATATATAAATGAAAGTGTAAACCAATTAAACCAAACTAAACATGTTATAAACCACTTATCTTTATCAAACAAAGATGCTATTGAAGCCTAATATATCTATTATATTTATATACATTCTCTTTTTATTTTGCAATCTTGTTCATCATATTTGCCCAATTTATTAATTATTATTTCATATCATCTGTCAAAATTAATTCAGAATTGTTTTATTTACTCATTTAATTTATTATTTCAAATGCTTCCTCTTTTTTTCCTGTCAACAATTAAAATCTAGCTGACTCTTACAATTTTAATACACATAAAATCCAAGCAAACATACCTGGAATTGCACAATAAAATGTCATTGCTCTCCAATTTCCCTATATTTATATTATATTTTATACATCATCAAAATTAATTAAAAAAAATGAAGCAATCCATAATCCAAATAATTAACCTAATGAAAATGTTAATGTAATTAAACTCATATATCTTCCTCTTACTTCTATCTATGTTATTTCAGATAGCATTGTTACACCACAAGGTGAAAAAAATCCTACCAATACTCCCATTATTCCTCTTACAAATAATAATTAGTAAATATCTTAACATAAAATAGTAACTAAAGTAACTAAACAAGTCAAAAATGAACTGTATAAAAAGGGACTACGTCGACCGAACCGATCTGAAAATTAACCAGACATCATTGAACCAGTTAAAAAACCTACAAAAACAAAACTTGCTTAAAGTGAATTCAATGAGTCAGGAACATTCCATTAATTCTTAAGAATTGGTATCATTAATGTAAATAAAGTGATTTAAGCACCTTCTGTTACACCCAATAATCCCATAATTAAATAGATCCATAATTAATAAGATCCAAATCCTATTTAAGATAGCAATTGATCAAATGAAAAAAGAGTCTCATGATTATGATTACAATTCTCAGTATGTGACACCAACTTTTTCATTTAAATACTTTATTATTCATCAACCTTTTTTGATTCTGACATTTTTAATTTTTCTAATTACACTTATTCATATATTTCTTCAGTCATTGATATAAGTTGATGTTTAGTGATAATAATAAATAATATTCTTAATTATCAAATTAAATCTAATAAATTTTATTCTTCGACTTTTTTGGGTTATTCAAAGTTTAAATCCAAAAGGTTTTCTTCCCAAACATTTTCTTATTGTGTACTTTAGTTTTGCGATTAATTCACAACAAAACAGAAAGAAAGTTTTTGGCTCATATAATTTAATATCTTTTATTATATGACATCCGTAGTTATAACCAACTACATCTAACTTTATTCATCTAGTTCTTACTCTACGAAGATAATTTAATTTCTATTATTTATAATGAAGAATAATACTATTTAATTAAATCCAACAATTTATATTTGATTTCATTTCCATTTCTTCCAATTTAATTGTCAAATCAATTTAAGGTACATCAAATAAAATTCCAAAATCAATATCAATTTTGACTGTTGTAATGAATTCTTTTTAAATTTAAATTGATCATGAAAGTTTCAGATTAAATGGATAAATCCTAACTTAACTTGTTTTGTTTGTTCCATAATTGTTGCCACAATTTCTTCATTCTAAATGATTTTATCTCAATCTCAAATCATATTCATTCAAATCCTCTATTAAATAAATTAGATGTATCTATTTATATTCGATAAATTATTTTTAAACATTCATCTTAAATTAATTTAACTGGTAATTGATGATCTTACTAAATAAATAATGGGAAATACTAGTCTCACTATTTTCATTATATTTTCAACTTTAAATTCAATATTTTTTATTTATAAAGGTTATGAAGAAATATTTAAGTATAAATACTCTAGAAAAACTTCAGGAAACTAATTTTAAATGTATTAAATAACATTTTTGTTAACCATTGAATAATGAGATTCTAAAGGTTAAAAGGCTTTAAAAGTATATTATTATTTCTTCTCCAAACTTAATTATTTCTAACTATATGGTATGTTCAAAATAAAATACAATAGTTATGCTGAATTTTAAATCTTATAACATTATACACATAACTTAATGAATATTCATAGTGTTGTTCCAATCTACTTTCATTAAAGATTAATAATTTTTATTCGTCTTTTAATCTCTCATAATATGAAGAGGACAACTAATGATAGGTTTTATTTTTGTTAAAGACTCTAGATTTGTTTAAGAATATTATTAAATTTGTTTATACTTCAATTTTAATACAATCCATTTGATATAATTCTTTGTATTTAATAAGGGTTAAATGTTAAACTGAATATCAAACATATGCTTTGGCTTGTAAAATTTCTTTCCTTTCTACCTTATAAAGGTTACCATCATAAATAAAATAAATTTATCGATTAATTAATTTGCTTAAAGAATGTGGTTTACCTTATTATGTTGAGGATATATAATAGATTTATTTATTAAATGAATTCAGATTATTTTAGAAAGGATTTATTTAGTAAATTTCTTATAAAGAGTAATGTGTGATTTCAAAGAAATCTTTTGGTTCATATTTTATTAATTTAAGAATAATAAAATATATATATATATATATAATTAATAATCATGAATAAATAACTAAAAGACAGAGTACCAAAAAATAGCCCTTTGCTTATATATATGAATTATTGATCATTAATTTAACAAACTGAGGATACCAGGGATTTCCATAAGCATAGAATGAACATCTTATTTTTGTTAGAATCCATTGTTATTTTCTTCATCAGATATAGGCTCTAATTCTTTCTTCTTGTTTGGATTCTATTATGGTTACTATTTCTTCTATTGCAGTTTATGATTTTCAATGACTCTTTTGAATTGTATTTGTTTCAAAACATTGATATATTAAATAGGTTGAGGTAAGATTGTATTGTTACATTCTTTTATATCCTTAACATAATAAACAAAACATAGATGAGGTTTAAATTTTTCTAAGTTATGATATTTAGTTAGACTATCCATGATTAATTGATTGCTATAGAATATAATAATTATATTACTCTAATTCTTCTTTCATTATAATCCATTTAGTTGTAGGTTTAAGTTTATTTAAGTAATCATAATAAATTAATGTGAATCCAACATCACCTTATTTAGTACCAACACATTATTTAGACTATTTTAATTTATCAGCTAATTTAAATAAATCTCCAGCAACATTTAGATCTTTTGAATATAACCAACCAATCATCATTCTAAATTAACCAGTTTTTCTTTATGTAAAATACTCCATTACATCTTTAACAGGTGAGAATGTTTCACAAGTAACAGTAATATTTTCAGTTTTAGGAAAATGTTATGCCATATGATGTTCATAAGTCAATAGTTATGGTTTAATTAGAAATGATTCTCTTGACTCATTCACTTTCTTCTTTATTTACAAATTGATTTCTCCTAAACTCATTAATTAATTTTTCAATCTCTTAGAAGATGTTTCTACCTATCCATCTGGATTATATAATAAAACATCATTTGTAATTTAAATTGGTTGAATAGTAGGTTATTTAGGAGTTTCAGGTTTTACTTTCTTTTCAACTTCTGGTTCACTTTTAACTGAATGCTAAGATATTAGTTTTTAAGCACTTAAAATTTATGGAACTTATGCTTATTATTATTATTATTATTATTTCTTTATTACTTTTATACTTTCTAATTATAATGCTTATTTATTATTTGTTTACTAATTATTTGATTTCTTTTGTAATAAATATTGTTTATAAGCTTTCTTCATTTCTTCATAATTAAGTCTAAAAATAATATAATTTAATATTTACTCTAATAATTTATTTTATTTTATTACAGTTTTAATCTTTTCAATTTCTTTTAAATACTTTTCTTTATCAAAACTTTATTCCATAAAAACTTAAGCTTCCAAATTACGTATTTATTGCTCAGTAACTTATTTCCAATTCGAACTTTTTTTAAATTAAACCTAAAGATCAAGTCTTTAAGTTTGTCTCATATCTTCAGTGATACCTTCTAATACTTTTTAATTTTATTGTTTTTTCTTCTTTATTTTTTGTTCTTTCTATTACTTTTTTGTTTCAATACCAAAACTATCATTTATATTTTAACTACTCTCTTCCATCCATCTAATCCATTCAAAATCATCTTATAAACTCTATAAATTATAAAAATGAATTTTTTACACAATCAATAAATTTGAAATCTGTACTATTTGTACTATCTTATTTTCCTCTATACGTTAGACTCAATTTTTAAAACCACTCTTCTCCACCTAAAGCAATCAAAAGATTAATTTCTTCAAGTCTTTACAAAATCTACTCTGTGGGATTCAATTATTTAAGACATTTTAAAGATTATTACTTTATCATATTGTACATCAATTAAACACAAAAATTCTTAACTTTTAAAAAACAACAACAATAATAAGTTCTTATCTTTTATAATTATTGTATATATAAACTATTATCTGGTTGTTTTTAAACCAAATCATTATATTATTATAATACTTATCTTACTTCTTGTAAATCTTCAGCTAAATCTTTTACTTTGAATATAGGATACTCTTTTGCTTAAATGTAAATTTAATTGATCTACTCTGCATCCGGTTTATTCTCCAAATACTTATAGTAGGATTTATAAGACTATAAGTTATTGATCTATTCTCTACTCTTTACCCATAGGAATCTCTATTCTTAATATTCTTTTAATTTTCTATTTAAATCATCCATTATAAAAAGATGTTCCTTTAATTTTAGCAATAAAACATTGTTAGAATCTATGTTAGCAGATGTGGCACATAATATTAAAGTCTTATATGCTTAAGGATTAGCTTTGGCTTATATGAATTCTTCAGCTTTTTGCATCCAAAGCATTTAAATATAATATTACCATAATTTACTTTGTAGATTATTATCTTAATATTGATTCTTATTTATCAATTTTATAAGCTAATTAAAATGAGGAGCTACTTAACCAGCCAATTAATTCTCAAATTATTATAGATTGATTATCCAACTCTCATATTCTTTTTTTATCTTTAAAAGTTACTACTAATAAAATGGATCTTATATCTAGGCATCTGCATTCAATAAATGAATTATTTAGCTGATATTATACTTTTTATTACATCCCTACATAATCATTTAATTTGATTAATCTAAAATTTATTAACATTCACATCTCCATTTAATTTATCTAAAATTCATTACTACTTATTTCATTTCATCATAAACCATTTCTGGAATCGTAACTTTGTAAAGCAATTCATTATTAAAATCTAAATCTGATATATCTTTTACTCTCTCAATCATTTTAGGTAATGAATCATAAGAATTGTACACCAAATAATATAATTACTTTACAAAATCAATTTATTACTCTATTTACTTTATATAAGTGTCTAATTCAAGTGACTTTAATTTTTTAAATTCCTCTAAACTATCACATAAATTTGGTTGAATATTTTACATGATTTCTTATGCTTATAATAATTATTATCTTCTTTGTTCAACATCCATATCAAATCCAAGTTAAAAACATTCATGCTCGATTTCTTCCAATTATTCTAATGTTATTGATTCATTCAACTTTTTATAGAGTTCTCTAAATTTTATAAATTTTATCTTTTGAGTTTCAATATATGTTGAAGTTAATTAACACTTTGACATCAAATCTAATATTTCATGACAAAATTAAATATTTATTTTTTTTTAAGTTTAACATTTTTAATGAATTTCTTATAGTTAATTATATACACTCCTAATTACAATTGAATCTTTAGCAGCCTTTTAAATGTTTTCATATGTATATACTCCATTATATTCTTTTTCAGTTAATCTACAAGAACTCTCAATTTTCAATTCTAATTCTACTTTAAATTCATCAATAAATTCTTATTCAAAATATATTTATAATTGATTAATAAGAATTTCACTATTAATTGGAAACTCAATAATTTTCTTAAAAGAATTCTAAATATTTTCTTATTCTAAAGTGTTAAGTTCATCTAATAATTAATCAATAATTTTGAGACATCCTAATGTAACATTATTATGATTGGCCATTCTCTTTAACTCTAATAGTTTTAATTTATTTGGCTTATTTTTTTAATTTTTAATAAGAATCATTTATTTGTAAACAGTTAGATCAAGTTAATTATCAATGACTGGATATTCAATTTACATTCTTTCTACTTCAAATAAAGATCTTAAATTAATTTTAATTTATTAAGCAATTTTATATCTATTAATAAGTTATACTAAATTGTCATTAGGAGATTTAAATATTTTTTGAATATCAGTGACATTTTCATTAAGAATTTTAAAAGTGTCTTCCATAAGATATCCTTCCTAGATTCCTTTTTAAATAGAAACTTTAATATCTTTTCTAGATAAGACAAATGATTTAATAAGTTTGTTATCACCTAATTCAAAATAATAACCCTTAAATTTAAATGATTTAACTAATTCTTCTGCAAATGATTCACTTAATTCTAATTGAGTAGGTATGATAGATTGCATTTTTTATTTTAATTCTTCTTATAGTTTTTCTTTTAATAAGATCTTATCTAATTAAATAACAGTTGATGGTTTAATAGGTAATGATGCTAAGAAAAGTTTATAGAATTTAATATTTCTGTAATCATTTTCATCTAAAGGAATAGATGGTAATCTTTTCATAATAGCTTCAATGTATAATAAGAGAGGTAATAAATCTATAAGATGTAAGATATAAACACTTTTAGGAACAACTAAATCTTCAAAATTTAATAGTTTAGGATCATCTAAATCAATTTTAGTTCTTTTAGCACTCCAACCTTTACATGCTTCACAGATATAAGAATCATCTTTAACATTTTTACGTTTAATACATCCAAAATGATACCATTCATAGCAATGATCACATTATACCATTTATTTATTGTTTAAAGATTTACGACATATACAAAATAGACGATGACTTTCCATATGGACTTAACAATAACTCTCAATCTTATTTTAAGATGACCATTATTGATTACATTATGGTAATTAAAAATTATCAAAGATAGTATCTAAAGTAATTTTAACATGTTCCTTGTATTATTATGTTTGATTTGCTCTTTTTTTTGATTTGTCTTAAAATTTATCAAGAGCATTGTTAAAAGCATCTTGAATTTCTTTTAATTCTGATTTAATTTCTCCTGATTCTACATCTAATTGATTTGGATCTTAATTATTAGCTTAAAACTTCAAATGGAATATCCATTATTCTGTTTCAATATCTTCTTAAGCTTTTTCCACTTATTCTACAAATATACAATGAGGATGAGCATAAGCCTAACAATCTAAACATTAAATGTTAGCTCCACTTTTCCCACAATTTGAACATTTTTCCTTTGTTTTTTTATCTATTTAACTTTTAGTTGCGAATGTCATTGTATGATAGTTTATTACTTAGATATGAGATGCAAATATTGCACATGAGATATGCACATATACACCACTCTAATCTGATAGTCTTTTCAATAAACCTTTCTATCCACAGATACAACATAATGGTTTCTTTGCTATATCTTAACAAGGATCACATATTCCATCCATATTATTGTATCCATAACAGAATCGATGATATTTCTATTTACATTGTTAACATTCCATTTACTAACATCCTTTATCTTTCCTTTCAAAATTTAATCCACAAACAGAGCAATTCATTTATTATTAATATTACTAACGATTAAAAATATGGGCATTTGTACTAGCAAACCAAAACCAACATAATAATACAAACTAGAACTAAGAATCCACACCATTACTAACACTCAACTTTAAAGGTAACTATCTTAACCATCCTTTTATCGTTCTATTGATAAAGGTTATTAAATTGCACAAGAAAATGATGTCTCCTGAAAATACTTCCCATTAACCTAATTAATGAACCTTTTAAACTCTTATATATTTTATAAATATATATATAAATATATCAATAAACAAATATACATACAATCATTTTATTAACCTCTCTAAAACTTCTTCAATATTAATACAAACACATCTAATCATAATTATCTTTTCTAATCAATTACTCATCCAAATATTCAATTCATTTAATCCAATTATTACCTTCATTTTCACAACTTCTTCTCTACTTAATTAATTCTAATAATCATGACTCACTCTATTACATCTAATCCCTATCTATTTATAAGAAATATATAAGTCTATTGTAATATATCAATATAATTCTATTTATATTCCACTTTCTACTTTTTTAAACTTTATTCAACCAAACTCTCAAACCATCTCTTATTCTCTTAAACTATAATAATCCTTTATTAAATCCTCTCATTTTAACAATTATTCTCATTCTTCATTTCCTAAATATTGATACTAACTTATACCTTAATAAATATATATTAATTTTTCATGAATTTACTGAAGATAATATACTTATTATTTATTTCTCTAAACTTCTTATTAATAGACATTAATTCCTCTAACTCTCTCTCTTATATGTCATAATTAAATAATTATTAATCTCTATAAATCATACTGTCAAAATACTAAAACCTAATAATACTTTATCTAAACTATTTAAGTCTTTTATTAAATAAATTCTACTCTCCTTTATTCAAAAAAATTAATTTTAATCTCCATTTCTTACAAAATATCCTCATTAGTATCTAAAACAATTCTATCAAATATTCTATATTTATGAAAAATGGAAAAAATTAAAATTATCATTTTCTTTATTCCTTATACATAATCATTAATATATTTCTCATTCTATTTAAAGAACTCTAATTTACTTAAAATTTCAATAAATTAATATTTTCATCTAATTCTATACATGAATAAATGGCATATTGCTTTTTTTAAAAAATACAGAATTTTTTAATTAATATAATAGTTATTTCCTCATCACTAAGCTATAAAAATACTCATTCAAAATTTATTGATTTTGTTTTACCTATTTTTCATTTAATATTTGAGATAGAATTTATATAAGTTTCTCAGGTTTTATTTCTTTCATATAAAAATCTGTTTAATTTTATTAGTTCTTCTCAAAAACCTCATTCTTTTAAAATTACTCTTTATTATATCATTTTTATAAAACTGTTTATATTTATTCCAATAATTATTATAATTTTAAACTAAGAATATTTATTTTAATGCTTTAAATCATATATTAGATTGATTTATCTTTAAATGAAAAATTACCAATTTAATCTTTAAATTTCAAAGTTAAAAGCTACTCTAATATCTTATCATCTTTCTTCATATCTAAATTATAAGCTATATTCTACAATAATCTATTCCTTTAACATAAACAACATTATAATTTAATTTTTGCTAATCTTTTTTTCCCTCACATTTGCAGTTTATGATATTTCAGAGTCAAATGATTGAATAGCTTATTTTAAATAAGAAAAAATGAAATAACCTTTTATTAAAATTTGTTTATAAAACTTTTTATTAAATTTACTAAATTCAATATCAGAAGCTAACATCAAAATTATTAGGTGTGATATTTATTAATATACAAAATCATATATATTTATATAATATTTGGAGAGATTGTGTTTTCTCCAATTTGTCTATCCATTTTTTATTCTTTTTTACATCCTAGAGAACTTAATCTTTTAAATTTGTATTTTCAATTAAAGCCAATAACAAATATATTGCTTTGCTTATCAAAGTCACTTTCAAATTCTATATCAAAAGGCTTTATATTTTTTAACAGTAATTATCAATGATCACTTTAAATTCATTTTCCTAATTTTATTGACTCTATAATTACAGCTATCTATTATTATTGAATCAGACATTTGGCAATTCTTTATGCTTCTGGTTATGTCAATATCCAATAATTTTCATTTTATTCAAATTCTCTACTGAATATTGTATCAACTTTAAAATAAAGTAACTATTTAATTTAAGTTTTAATGAAATCCAATGCTTAAACTTAAGAATACTTAATTATGTATTATATAAAGTAACAAATGAATTAATTTATATTGCTTTCCACTAATATACTTGTTTCACTTTATTATAAAGAATTTAGAATTGAATCAAAACAATAATCTTAAAGTTCCTTTATTCTAATTTCATCATCTTTTAAACTAATTGTATTAGATAAACCAATATTATCAAATTTTAAATCATCTCTAAGTTTTGGTTAATAAATAGATTATATTATTTTAAAAACATGTACAGAATTTAACCATTCTGGTAATATTTCTTGTAAAATTGATTTATTAACTTATTTAGTATCATCATATGTAAAAATAACCTTTTACAAAGCTAAATAGAATTAAGAATTTCTATGTAAGTGTTCTTGAGATTATTACATATATGTTTATATATTTTTTAAAAAGTTTTTTCTCTCTTTTTTGTCTGTTACATTTAAAATTGCACAAAAAATCTAAAAATAATTTTAATTAATACTGAAATGCCATCTTTATGTCTTAAATAATCAAGATTTTCCAATTATTGAAAATATTCAATAACTTTCTATCTCTCTTCAGGAACTAATTTAGGTAATGCTATTTTGAGAATTTGTAAACTTAATAAATGATTATGAATTCCTTTTTCAATAATTTTCATTGCTAAATTGTCAATTTTTTCACTATGATTCTAAAAAAGCGCTTTAACTTTATTCACTTATTAAGTTGTGGCTTCTCTTGTTAAAAATCTATCTAAAACGATACTTGCATCTCCTTAAGCTACATATTGATTGACATTTCTTAATAGAATCTCAAAAAATTAATTTCTAAATTCAGGTAACATATTTCTAACCATTGTAATTCCAATATAGTGACCATATTTAGATTATAATAATTCTCCAAATTATTTATCATTCAATAATTTTTAAAATATTTATTTTCTTACATTTTGATCTGCACATTTAATTACTAATTAAATTGTTCTACCCCCAATTTTTGTTTAAGCAATTTAATATAAAATACCTTCAATTTTAGAATAAACTTCTTCAGCCTTTTATTACTTTTATTCATTCTCTTAATTTCTATGTTAGATTAAAAATCGAATATCCTCTTTTAAAAATGAGATGAAATCAACATCTTTGCTTATTTTATTCTAATTTTTAGCAATTTTTTTTTATTTTTTATTTTCAACTTTTGCTTTCACCTCTTAGACTTCTTCTGGCTCTTCATTTTAATTTTCTTCTACAATCCTCTTTTTCCCCATATATTAATTTTATAATTTTTTTATTTAAAACAACAATTTGATGAATTTAAAATTTTAAATTTGACAACCTTTTTTTTTACTTAAATCACATTCATAAATATTTCTTATATAGTTTTTATAGTTTAAATAGTTATTTAAATATTGTTGTTTATANGTTCTTGAGATTATTACATATATGTTTATATATTTTTTAAAAAGTTTTTTCTCTCTTTTTTGTCTGTTACATTTAAAATTGCACAAAAAATCTAAAAATAATTTTAATTAATACTGAAATGCCATCTTTATGTCTTAAATAATCAAGATTTTCCAATTATTGAAAATATTCAATAACTTTCTATCTCTCTTCAGGAACTAATTTAGGTAATGCTATTTTGAGAATTTGTAAACTTAATAAATGATTATGAATTCCTTTTTCAATAATTTTCATTGCTAAATTGTCAATTTTTTCACTATGATTCTAAAAAAGCGCTTTAACTTTATTCACTTATTAAGTTGTGGCTTCTCTTGTTAAAAATCTATCTAAAACGATACTTGCATCTCCTTAAGCTACATATTGATTGACATTTCTTAATAGAATCTCAAAAAATTAATTTCTAAATTCAGGTAACATATTTCTAACCATTGTAATTCCAATATAGTGACCATATTTAGATTATAATAATTCTCCAAATTATTTATCATTCAATAATTTTTAAAATATTTATTTTCTTACATTTTGATCTGCACATTTAATTACTAATTAAATTGTTCTACCCCCAATTTTTGTTTAAGCAATTTAATATAAAATACCTTCAATTTTAGAATAAACTTCTTCAGCCTTTTATTACTTTTATTCATTCTCTTAATTTCTATGTTAGATTAAAAATCGAATATCCTCTTTTAAAAATGAGATGAAATCAACATCTTTGCTTATTTTATTCTAATTTTTAGCAATTTTTTTTTATTTTTTATTTTCAACTTTTGCTTTCACCTCTTAGACTTCTTCTGGCTCTTCATTTTAATTTTCTTCTACAATCCTCTTTTTCCCCATATATTAATTTTATAATTTTTTTATTTAAAACAACAATTTGATGAATTTAAAATTTTAAATTTGACAACCTTTTTTTTTACTTAAATCACATTCATAAATATTTCTTATATAGTTTTTATAGTTTAAATAGTTATTTAAATATTGTTGTTTATACCAAATAATTACATTTAAATGGCAACTTTGATAAAAAAAATTAGTTAAATATTTTTATTTAATGTCAAAATTATCTCTCTTAGACTCTCCTTATGCTAAGATATTTTACCTTATTTAAGAATTCTAGAAATACTAATATATTACTTGGATTGAAAAATCTCATATCAAAGGTAAAAAATTATTAAAAGTTTTAGACTTAATAATTAATAAGGATGTATCAGCCAACAACTTGCTATTCTCTTAAAATGATTAAGATTTTAAAGAAAATCTAATAAAATTAATTATATATATTAGATTATAAATAGAATAATAATATGAAGATGATGATGTTTCGACTAGCAAAAGTCTTAAAACATTTTAAAAAGAGAAATTAAAGTTGAATTTAAAAAATAGTAACTTTAATTTAGCAATTAATAAGGAATGAATTTGTAAATACAATGAATGCATATTTATATGATTACATATATATTGTTTACATTCTCTTTTAACCTCATGGTTACAAATTTTTTGACAACATCTGATTATTATAAGTTTTCTAAAATTCTGTCCATTATGTAATTGGATCAATCTGACCTAAAAATTGAGATTTGATAGGAATTTAAATATTAAGCAATTACTATTGTTACAGAATTTCTAAAAAAGGGTTAACAAAACTAATTCTTGGGAATTAGTTGATTGGATATGACATTTGCATTCTGTCTAATTAAGGCTATTTGAATTAAAATGTATTTAATTTATTTGACAAGCTTTGTAAATTATTTTATGGATAAATGAGAGCATTTTACTATTATTGTAGGAATTAAGGGTTAAAAATAGGTTGGGACATGGAATTTGGGATTAAGTTGATTAATGGAATTTACGGAATATGCTATTAAATGATGGAAGAATTATTATTATTAAAATTATCACATTTTAATTAATTTTCTTCTTTAATGGTTATTTAATTTGCTTAAGTAGTACAATAACTTGGTGAACTCTGAATATTTTACAATCCTAAAAAAATAAAAAAGGATAATACCTGAATTATTTTCATTATGTTAATCTTCATTTGGACTATCTTATTTTAAACTATCATCATTTTGTTTTTGATTTTTTGATCTTGTCATTCTTTAAAAATTTTCTATATTTTCATCAGAAACCTAAAGCTTTTTAATTTTTAATGGTTCTTTAAGAGTCTTTTATGGTTTTCTTTTCCTTTAAATTTAACTTTTTTCCTCATTTGATGAATTGAATGATTCTTCTTCAAAATCTTCATCATCTGAATCACCTAAATCACATTAGTATCTTCTTTTCAAGTTTGCATAGAATCTATTTTTGACCATATTTTCCTACATAAATAGAAATAGAAATTTACAGGTCTTCCATTTAAAAAACTTGAAATATAGCTCCATTTAGTTCCAAACTTCTTATATAATTTTAATATCAATTTATCTTCCTCTTCAGTCCACTTGTCTTAATTAATTGTTCCTTATAATTAGTTCAAATAACGTTCTCTTACTTATTTCCCAGTTCTCCAATTCATTATTGTACAGATCTTACTCCATTTTTTACCAAATTTTTAGACTAATTCTTTTAATTATTCATCCTCTTCTGATGACCATAGTTATCTAGAAGGTGTCTATATTATTATAATTTTATTACTTGATCTGGATGGAGTTGTTGCCATTTGTACATACACTCTAAAGGTGTTGGACCATTTATCAATGTACTGATAGATTTCCAGTTCCCCTATTACAAAACATGTAGCTCTTTTAGTTTTTCTATACTCTTGGTTGTCCATGTGAATTTTGTCTAAGTTTTAATCTTTATTTAATATTACTTCAATTACACTTTCTTTGACTTCATTTTCCTATTTAGAATTAGATGCAACACTCATTCTATTTTCAGAAAATATTTTTTTTAATATTATGAAAAAATCATACATGCTGGCTTCCTTTTATATACAAAATGTGACGAATTATTAATCCTGATATCTTATTCAAGTATTATTTTATTAAATCTAACTCTTCATGCATTAGCACTATATATATGCAACCTTTATTTCAAAAAATCATAACTTTAACGTCAAACATCTTAATAACCAAAATTTGTTTTCATAAAATATATCATTCACAATAATTTCTTAAACAACCTTCCTTTTTCATATATATCTTTTCATATTAAATTATCATATAAATTGATATAATTTTCTACAATTTTATATAAGCGTTACTGATATTAAATCAATTATATCCAAATAAAAAAAAGCATTTTAAAAAAATGAAAAATTTTAGTTAAAAACAATGTTTTAACAAAATTATGATCAATAAGACATTAGAAATCGAGAAGAAATTTGAGTTTGTTTTAATTATTGAAGATATTATGAGGTAAACTAATTATAAATGATAAAAATAAGAAAGTTGTTAAAAAATATATATTGATTAAAAATTTACTCCATATTTTAATATTATATTTAAATAATAATATAATCTCATAATGTGGGATAACAGATAAAAAAACAATTAAGATCTCTTAGTTGTAAATGAATTGTCAGAATATTCATCTGTTTCTCTGAAGAAAACATTGTTATAAGGTTCTTAAAATTAAATTGAAATGATGCCATTAAAACCTAAACCAGTTTAGATTGCTCCTTTAAGTGAGGAATATGCTTATACAATGACTTAGCATATTTAATTGATAGGTGATTTAGCATCAACAGATAAAACAGCAGTTTGTACTTAGAATTGGAAAGACGTAATAAAAGTTAATAGTTGATAGAATGTTCGTAAACAATTCAATACTTAGACAATAACATAATTTAAAACATCGTATTAAATCAATAGAGAAATATAATTAATTACATAGATAAAAAAGACATATGTAAATTTGATGCCGATAATTGATCCACAAAGTTCATTTCTTTCATATTGGAAGATTCCTGTGTTGATAATAACATTTGTGGTTTTTATAGAAGTGCCATTAATAATATTTTTTGGAGATGACTTCTATTATACATTCCATAGTCCAACCTATATCTTTTTTAGAATTATAGTGATTGTACTAATATTAAAATAAACATCATTTAGTTGATTTTCATGCTTGATATTTTCATAGAATTTCATGTGGCATTTTATAAGTATGGAGCATTGGTAAAAAACAGACGTAGAGTAGCTTTACATTATTTAATGGGTTCATTTATATTTGATTTTGTTCCTCTTATAGAAATATTGATAACAACATTTTCATATACAATGGCAAATGTATATACATTTCATTTACTATTTTTATTAAAAATGTATCCGGTGTATGAAATCGATTAAAGATATTAAGATAAATTATAAGTTTATCCAAAATGGAAGAGTATATATATGATAATTAGAATGATAATTGAGATAGTATATTTAACCCATTTTTTTGGTTGTATATTTTTTGGGACTGGAATATATATGCTAAATCATTATGATAATCCTGATGAAGGTAAATTTACTAATTCATGGTTAACATTTTCAAGTGGAAACTTTGGAATTATATTATACTATGATTGGACAAAAAGGTATATTTTATCAACATATTGGGCATTTGCAACTTTAACAACAGTAGCATATGGAGATATTACACCTATGAATGAATTTGAAATTATTGTTGCAGAAGTAGCAATGATTGCTGCGGTCTTTTTGGTAGCATTTAATGTTAATAACATATAATAAACATTTGTTGATTATTTTGATGAAAAAAGAAAATATAATAAAGAAATAGTTGCAATCACTAAATTTATGAGATCTAAAAATGTATCAGAAAAAACTGAGAAGGAAATTAGAAATTTCTTAGAACATTACTTTAAAGAAAAGAGAAATAGAGATTAATATCTGGAAGATTAGGTATTCTAAAAATTAGCTCCTTAATTAAAAAATAGATTAATGTATGAAGCTTATTAACCTTATTTATATTAAGTTCCATGGATTACCAATAACTTCTCTGATGATCTAATGAGAGAATTAAGTTAGGTTATGCAAGAAATTGATTATTCTAAAAAAGAAAATATCTTTTTAGATGGAGATGCAAATAGAGATGATAATGCAATCTATTTTGTTTAAATTGGACATATAGAAATCTTTGTTAATGTACCTGAAACAGAAAAACAAGAAGTTATTATGGCACATTTAAAATCAGGAGCTAGATTTGGTGATTATGCTTTTGTTACAGGATTACAACGAAAAGCATCAGCCAGATCTAAAAAATATTCTTAAGTTGTAAGATTATCAAGAACAGATTTTATGAATAAATTAAAATTGTTCCCTTTAGATCATTAACGTTACTGTTTCTTAAGAGATGAAATCATATTTAATAATGCATATTATGAATTAGGTATTGAATGCTTTACTTGTGGTTCCACTGATCATATGAGTATAGATTGTTCATTAACACATATAAGTATTAGTAAAGAAATCATCAAAAGTGTTAGAAAAAGCATTGTTGATAAAAAACTTAAAAAATTATCAATCAGTATTTCATCATATTTATTTTACTTTAGATATATTTCAAAACAGAAATTACTAATTTCAAAGAAGACTAAAATAAAAAGTTAGATTTTTTAAAATTGCATAACCAGAATAAGCAGAAATAGAAGAATATCACTCAATAATTAACAAGAAAATTTAATTTGAAGCTTTTTATAGCCAAAATTAGATTATTATCGAATGTAATTATTTTATCAACAATTCTTAGCCTTTACAATTGACAAGATTGATAATTTTGTTAATTATTACCCTAATTTTAATATTGATTTTCTCATTAGTAAAAATAGAAAAAAAGAAAATCTTGTTTTTGCTAAAGAAACTCGATAAAGAAGTGTAAGTTAAATTATTAGAAAAAGCGAAGCTATCCATTGATTTTTTAATGCTAGATAGTGTTTTTTATTCTATTGTTTTAATTAATTTAATTTAATAAAATATTCGGCAGTAATAATTTAAATAATTAATACTATTGTAATTATCTAAAAATATTACTGCAAATAATATTCATTATGAATTTGGTTTTAATTAATTTAATTATATCATAAATGGGTTGTGGAGCATAAAAAAATTCAATGGGTCTTAATGATAAACTTAGAGCTAAAGCTTTGGAAATATTTAGAAAAATTGACATAAATAATTCAGGTTCTATAGATAAAGATGAAACCTAAAAATTTTGGAAAACCAACTTCGCTAAAGTGAATACGTAAGCTTTATTCAATGCAGTTGATTTTGATAAAAGCGGGCAAATATCAGAGGATGAATGGATGGCTTTTTGGGAGATAGTTAAAAAAAGTGGTTATACTGATCGAGAAATCTCTGAAGAAGTAAAATGTTTATCTATCAAATTTAGCTAGATAATTTAATGGAAGGAAAAGCTTGGGTATAGTTCAGAAAGGTTGATGAGTTTGTTAAAAGAGATCAATTAAGAAAGAACAGTTAAGTTAAATAAATTGTAAAATAGAATTCAAAGAGAAAGTCTCTGGTTTAATAATAATAAAGCTTTCATTAGCAATGAAATTATTATATATCTTTATAATTTTAAGTTACTTATTATATAAATATTGTAATTTTTATTAAATAAATATAAATAGAAAACAAGGTTTAGATATAATTAAATATATTATTAGTTAATATCAATCTTCTAAAAACTTTTCGGAGATTTGGGTCATTTAAATTTATATCGAATTGACCTGTTGTTGATTTATCTGCATTTTCTAAAAATAGAATATTTATATATACCTTATAGATTTCCAATGATTTTGAATAGTCATTGTGAGCTTGCTTAAATCGACCTAATTCTTTATGGCAATCAGCACAGTTCTTTAATGTAATGGCTAAATTGCCATGCATTTCTCCACATAATTAGGTATAAATTTTTATAGATTCTTAAAAACAATTAACAGCCTTTTCATACTATTTTCTTTCATAATATGATCTTCCAAAATTATTTAATATTATTGCAATGCTCGCATGGCTTTAGCCATACAATTCTTGTAAAATTTCTTATGATTTTTGAAAATAAACTTCAAATTCATTCGAATTTTTATTATAAGACTTAATTTTACCTAAAGAATGATAACAATCAGCAATATCTTATGAAGATTTTCCCATAATTTTTATATTTATTTACAAACTTTGAGTAATTAAATTTTCTGCTTTTTCTAAATCTAAATTTTTTAAAATTAAATTATACTTTCTGTAGTACTTTTCATTCTTAGATATAAATTTCCTTTAAGATAAATAGATTTTGCAGTTTTGATATTTTCATAACTTAAAACATTGATCCAAATAGTAATAGCTTAGTTGATTGAAAACATAGCTTCTTCAATTTTTCCTTGATCTGAGAATAACTATGCTAATCCATGTAATGAATCAGCCACTTCCTACATATATTTATTATTTTTACTATAGAATTTCTAGAGTATAATTCTTCCCTAATTTTTATGCTTTCATTTAGCATTTCTTCTGCCAAATCATCTTAAAACATAAATCTATAATAATTTCCTAACTGTGTTAAAGTTAGTGCATAAACACCTGTATTAGTAAGATTATGTTAATTAAGTAATTATTGAGCATAATCTAAATATTTGAAAGTTTATTCATAATAACAGCAATAGAAACAGCACCTACCTGATATTATTTCATTATATTAATTACCTATTTTTGCGTAAGAATTACAGAGTCTCAAAATGCTATTCTTATTATCGGATGCTTTACAAATATCTTTCTCTATTTTTATCATTCTTATTAAGTATTGCATTGCTTGATAAACTTAATTTATATCAATAAATATTGTCGCGAACCTCTCGTATATATTGCTTTAGAAAATCTAATAATAATAAACTAGAGCTTACTAATTCATTTTCTGTCATTTCTTCAGGATTAATAAGACTCTCATTAAGTTGATTTTGCAGTTCTTATAGTTTTTTTATACTCTTCTAAAAGTTCTGCTTCTTGATGAGTATGTCGATTCTTTTTAATTAGTCTTCCATTTAGTGATTAAATAAATTTTATTAAATTTTATAAAGCTATTTAATAATTATAAATAAACTCTATTAATACATGTAATATATAATCAATTATTTCTATAATTATGTAGTTCTAAGTTTAGAAGATCAATTTCTTATAATAAATTTTCAGAAAAGTTAGGCTTGTCTAATGCCTTATTTTATAATAATAATTTTATTAGGAATGCTGAAATTTTTTGATTATGAATTTCAGTGATCAAACTCATTATTGTTTTATAATCATTTTAATAGTGAATTTGTTTACAATCTTAAATTTTTTATGTTACCCTACTTCTAATAAGAGAATTACAATTAAAAAAATACTAAGCCACAGTCAAAAATGTCTTTATCCGGATAAGTATTTCTGCAAGAGTTAGTATATAGATCTGAATAATCTTTTGTAGTTTTTGAAAAATAAGAGTCACTAGGAGTAATAGGTTGATTTCTGAACACTGATTTTCCAAAGTTGACTACAGTTATTTGATTCATTAAAGAATAATAATAAATATTTTCTAATTTGATATTTTAATGGGAGAATCCTTCAAATTGCATATATTATATAAGGCGAATCAGTTCCTGTTTGATATCATCTATCATACCTTCATAATTTGAATAATTTATTAATCATCTAAAATGGCATTCTTTATGCAAATATTGAGTGGTATTCCCTCTAAGAGGTCATAAATAATATAATTGTGATTNAGCATAATCTAAATATTTGAAAGTTTATTCATAATAACAGCAATAGAAACAGCACCTACCTGATATTATTTCATTATATTAATTACCTATTTTTGCGTAAGAATTACAGAGTCTCAAAATGCTATTCTTATTATCGGATGCTTTACAAATATCTTTCTCTATTTTTATCATTCTTATTAAGTATTGCATTGCTTGATAAACTTAATTTATATCAATAAATATTGTCGCGAACCTCTCGTATATATTGCTTTAGAAAATCTAATAATAATAAACTAGAGCTTACTAATTCATTTTCTGTCATTTCTTCAGGATTAATAAGACTCTCATTAAGTTGATTTTGCAGTTCTTATAGTTTTTTTATACTCTTCTAAAAGTTCTGCTTCTTGATGAGTATGTCGATTCTTTTTAATTAGTCTTCCATTTAGTGATTAAATAAATTTTATTAAATTTTATAAAGCTATTTAATAATTATAAATAAACTCTATTAATACATGTAATATATAATCAATTATTTCTATAATTATGTAGTTCTAAGTTTAGAAGATCAATTTCTTATAATAAATTTTCAGAAAAGTTAGGCTTGTCTAATGCCTTATTTTATAATAATAATTTTATTAGGAATGCTGAAATTTTTTGATTATGAATTTCAGTGATCAAACTCATTATTGTTTTATAATCATTTTAATAGTGAATTTGTTTACAATCTTAAATTTTTTATGTTACCCTACTTCTAATAAGAGAATTACAATTAAAAAAATACTAAGCCACAGTCAAAAATGTCTTTATCCGGATAAGTATTTCTGCAAGAGTTAGTATATAGATCTGAATAATCTTTTGTAGTTTTTGAAAAATAAGAGTCACTAGGAGTAATAGGTTGATTTCTGAACACTGATTTTCCAAAGTTGACTACAGTTATTTGATTCATTAAAGAATAATAATAAATATTTTCTAATTTGATATTTTAATGGGAGAATCCTTCAAATTGCATATATTATATAAGGCGAATCAGTTCCTGTTTGATATCATCTATCATACCTTCATAATTTGAATAATTTATTAATCATCTAAAATGGCATTCTTTATGCAAATATTGAGTGGTATTCCCTCTAAGAGGTCATAAATAATATAATTGTGATTGGCTTCAATGTAATATTCTCTAATTTTTGGTAAATTTTTATGTTTTAAAAATTAGAGAGCTTAGACCTCATTTTGAAATTTCTACTTAACATTGGATTTATTACATAGATAAATTCTGAGTTTCCTTGTTTATAAATTTTACATGTAACTAGTTCACCATTGTATAGATTTCTCATATTTACAATCTACAAAATAGAACTATAGTATACAGAACCAGAATTTCCTTTTGAAATGATTTTTGCTATCCTGTATTGATTATCAATTCCTTAAAAGCAAACTTTTCCATTTAAAAATTCCTTCAATAACATTCCCATGGAAGGTTCTATCTTGTAGATTCTGCTCTGCTAATTATTCAATAATTCAAATTATCCTATTTCTGAGGTGTCACATTTAGCCCATTTAAACCTAGGTTCAAAGGAATTAAGTTTTATTATTTCAATTTTATTTTCCTATTTGATATATCTCTTATTACATGCTATAATTGAATCTCGTCTTTCAACATAAAAATATTATACTTTTAGGATGAAAGTAACTTAGCTTTGTAGCAGAACATTCAAAATTTTTATTATAGGATATTATATATATAAATTTCGATTTAGAACTACTACATTGATTGATCAGTATATTTGATTAATTTCATTTTATCAGTTTTTATTTAATTTTATTTTTGATAGGAATGATTATACATTGAATTATTATGTGAAAAATGATAATAAAAATTTCCTGATTGTTATTTGACTTAAATTATTATCATGTAAACTGAGTTAATTGAAATTGATATTGAGTCTATAATTGATATGTATAAAAGAATTATAAAAATATTGTCTAATCAGTTTGGCAATACTCTGATTAAGATCCTGTTATGCAGACTCTTTTTAGTTGAAAGTCAAAATAAGACTAAGGGAATGATAAATATTAATTTTTTGATCAAATAGAATGACAATATTGAATTTAATATGTGATTTAGAAAGTAAACAGTAATGAAACAATTACTACATTAATTATAATAATTAAATAAATTAAATGTGCTGTTCAAGGAAATAAAAAACAAACACTTAAAGAGAAGAAATAAATAAATTAGGAAAATTAACAAGACTTACAGAAACTGAATTGATAGAATTAAAAACTAGATTTGCCAGAATGTCATAGGGTTCTAATTTTGTGACTAAGTTTTAATTTCGAGATAATTTGGGTTTACTTGGGATGGGTACTATGCTACATTTATCAGATAGAATCTTTCTCATTATGGATGATGATAAAGATGGTAAGGTATGTTTTAAATGAAATCTATTTAGATTCGATTTGAAGATTTCGCTCTTTATTTTGATAAAGTAAGTCATGGAGATGCCAGAGAAAAGGCTGAGATTAGTTTTAAGTTGATTGATAAAAACAAGGTTGGAAGCTTTACATCAGCTGAATTCAATGATACAATGTAAGGAGTAATTAATAGCTGGATAGCCATGACTGGATAAAATTTAACCAGCGAAACTAAGAAATAGATTGACTAAAGAATAAAATTAATTTTCAAAACCATGGATGTTGACCAAGCTGACAGAGTTACATTATAATAATATTAAGATTCTGTTATAGCTGATCCAGCACTCTTAGAAATATTTGACTTCGCTAGAAGAGGTGTTACTCTTGAAACTATAGATTTTAGCATTTAATAACAATCTAGGTATATTTAAAATATAGAAAAAAAACTTGATCAATTACTAGAATTTATGAATTAAGATGATAATAAAAAAGAAAAACAACTTCCTCATTTTATTAGAGGAAGTACTGAATAAGAATAAAAATAAAGGAATAGTTAAGTTGAAAATCTCCATTCCCCTATTGTTAGTCTTTTTAAATATGAAAGTGATGAAAACAACCATTATAATTTAAATAACGAATAGGGAGTTAATAAATTCTTTACTTCAGAGTAATTTGCATCCTTTAATTATAATCATTCTAATGAACTATCAATTGAACATATAAAAAATGATTAGAATTAGGATTTTTCATTTTATGGACAACAGAAACCCAAAACTAAATAAAAAGCATTATTTTAATAAATTCCATAGAAATTAATTGAACAAGATACCTCTGAACCTAAAGAGGAAGATCAATTTTGTTAAACAGAACATAGTTTTGAAATTGAAAATGAAAAAAATCAATTTTATTAATTTGTAGACTAAATGAATGCTGATTAACTTAAAAATAAATATAAATCTATGATCACATCAGTTTAAGAAATCAGTAAAGAGGTTCAAAGATTGAGAGAATTAATTGATCAAAATCAAATAAAACAATAAAAAATGGACATTATTGATTAGATTAATGAATAAAGATTACACACTATTATAAATATACCAAGAAAGTAAACATCTAATAAAAATCAAAAACAAACGAAAAAACCAAAAATTAGTGTTTCATTTGGACATGAAAACTTTAATTTAGTATTAAATATGATGATCGGAATTCAAATGGCAGTAAGCAGTATTAATATAGCAGATGACTATGAAGTTGGTTCAAAAGATTTTAAATTAAAATATTATTTTGAACTCCTACCAAGAAGAGCATAAGGTGATAAAAGCTCTTTTAAAGTATGTTAGTTCTTTGATTATGCTCCACGAGTATTTAATAGTATTAGAACTATTTATGGAATAGACAATCATTAATATCTAAAAAGTATTGGTCCTGAATCTATTTTACAATCTTTAATTAAAGGAGATTTATCTTGTCTATAAGAATTAACATCGACAGGAAAAAGTGGAAGCTTTTTTTATTATACAGCAGATGGGCAGTTTACTTTAAAAACAATACATCATTAAGAGTTTCGATTTCTGAAATAAATTATGAGAAATTATTATTACCATCTCAAAAATTATCCAGAAACATTGATTATAAAGTATTATNTACTCTGATTAAGATCCTGTTATGCAGACTCTTTTTAGTTGAAAGTCAAAATAAGACTAAGGGAATGATAAATATTAATTTTTTGATCAAATAGAATGACAATATTGAATTTAATATGTGATTTAGAAAGTAAACAGTAATGAAACAATTACTACATTAATTATAATAATTAAATAAATTAAATGTGCTGTTCAAGGAAATAAAAAACAAACACTTAAAGAGAAGAAATAAATAAATTAGGAAAATTAACAAGACTTACAGAAACTGAATTGATAGAATTAAAAACTAGATTTGCCAGAATGTCATAGGGTTCTAATTTTGTGACTAAGTTTTAATTTCGAGATAATTTGGGTTTACTTGGGATGGGTACTATGCTACATTTATCAGATAGAATCTTTCTCATTATGGATGATGATAAAGATGGTAAGGTATGTTTTAAATGAAATCTATTTAGATTCGATTTGAAGATTTCGCTCTTTATTTTGATAAAGTAAGTCATGGAGATGCCAGAGAAAAGGCTGAGATTAGTTTTAAGTTGATTGATAAAAACAAGGTTGGAAGCTTTACATCAGCTGAATTCAATGATACAATGTAAGGAGTAATTAATAGCTGGATAGCCATGACTGGATAAAATTTAACCAGCGAAACTAAGAAATAGATTGACTAAAGAATAAAATTAATTTTCAAAACCATGGATGTTGACCAAGCTGACAGAGTTACATTATAATAATATTAAGATTCTGTTATAGCTGATCCAGCACTCTTAGAAATATTTGACTTCGCTAGAAGAGGTGTTACTCTTGAAACTATAGATTTTAGCATTTAATAACAATCTAGGTATATTTAAAATATAGAAAAAAAACTTGATCAATTACTAGAATTTATGAATTAAGATGATAATAAAAAAGAAAAACAACTTCCTCATTTTATTAGAGGAAGTACTGAATAAGAATAAAAATAAAGGAATAGTTAAGTTGAAAATCTCCATTCCCCTATTGTTAGTCTTTTTAAATATGAAAGTGATGAAAACAACCATTATAATTTAAATAACGAATAGGGAGTTAATAAATTCTTTACTTCAGAGTAATTTGCATCCTTTAATTATAATCATTCTAATGAACTATCAATTGAACATATAAAAAATGATTAGAATTAGGATTTTTCATTTTATGGACAACAGAAACCCAAAACTAAATAAAAAGCATTATTTTAATAAATTCCATAGAAATTAATTGAACAAGATACCTCTGAACCTAAAGAGGAAGATCAATTTTGTTAAACAGAACATAGTTTTGAAATTGAAAATGAAAAAAATCAATTTTATTAATTTGTAGACTAAATGAATGCTGATTAACTTAAAAATAAATATAAATCTATGATCACATCAGTTTAAGAAATCAGTAAAGAGGTTCAAAGATTGAGAGAATTAATTGATCAAAATCAAATAAAACAATAAAAAATGGACATTATTGATTAGATTAATGAATAAAGATTACACACTATTATAAATATACCAAGAAAGTAAACATCTAATAAAAATCAAAAACAAACGAAAAAACCAAAAATTAGTGTTTCATTTGGACATGAAAACTTTAATTTAGTATTAAATATGATGATCGGAATTCAAATGGCAGTAAGCAGTATTAATATAGCAGATGACTATGAAGTTGGTTCAAAAGATTTTAAATTAAAATATTATTTTGAACTCCTACCAAGAAGAGCATAAGGTGATAAAAGCTCTTTTAAAGTATGTTAGTTCTTTGATTATGCTCCACGAGTATTTAATAGTATTAGAACTATTTATGGAATAGACAATCATTAATATCTAAAAAGTATTGGTCCTGAATCTATTTTACAATCTTTAATTAAAGGAGATTTATCTTGTCTATAAGAATTAACATCGACAGGAAAAAGTGGAAGCTTTTTTTATTATACAGCAGATGGGCAGTTTACTTTAAAAACAATACATCATTAAGAGTTTCGATTTCTGAAATAAATTATGAGAAATTATTATTACCATCTCAAAAATTATCCAGAAACATTGATTATAAAGTATTATAAACATTTAAACAAGATTATTTGGAATGCATAAGATTGGTATAAAATATTAGACTATGTTAAGAGAAAAAGTTATTTATTTTGTGATTATGAGCAATGTGTTTTCAACAAATCATGAAATTAATGTTAGATATGACTTAAAAGGTTCAACCTATGGAAGATATACTGTTGATAAGTAAGAAACTGTTATTTAAAGCAAGCGATCCAACTGTTGCCAGAAAAGATTAGAATTTCTTAGCAGATAAAGAAAAAAACTTAAAACTGAATATCAATAAGAATAAATCAATGCTTTTTTTCAATCAATTAGAAAAAGATTGCAAGTTTTTTGAAGATAATGATATCATCGATTATAGTCTATTATTAGGTTTACATGCTAAAGGCAATAAATTAATGGATAATGAATCTTCTGTTTATTCAGAAAATCCTTAATTTGATGATTTTAGTAAGATGGTAACGGTTGATAATTAATACACTTTATATATAGGCATAATTGATATCNCTAGAAGAGGTGTTACTCTTGAAACTATAGATTTTAGCATTTAATAACAATCTAGGTATATTTAAAATATAGAAAAAAAACTTGATCAATTACTAGAATTTATGAATTAAGATGATAATAAAAAAGAAAAACAACTTCCTCATTTTATTAGAGGAAGTACTGAATAAGAATAAAAATAAAGGAATAGTTAAGTTGAAAATCTCCATTCCCCTATTGTTAGTCTTTTTAAATATGAAAGTGATGAAAACAACCATTATAATTTAAATAACGAATAGGGAGTTAATAAATTCTTTACTTCAGAGTAATTTGCATCCTTTAATTATAATCATTCTAATGAACTATCAATTGAACATATAAAAAATGATTAGAATTAGGATTTTTCATTTTATGGACAACAGAAACCCAAAACTAAATAAAAAGCATTATTTTAATAAATTCCATAGAAATTAATTGAACAAGATACCTCTGAACCTAAAGAGGAAGATCAATTTTGTTAAACAGAACATAGTTTTGAAATTGAAAATGAAAAAAATCAATTTTATTAATTTGTAGACTAAATGAATGCTGATTAACTTAAAAATAAATATAAATCTATGATCACATCAGTTTAAGAAATCAGTAAAGAGGTTCAAAGATTGAGAGAATTAATTGATCAAAATCAAATAAAACAATAAAAAATGGACATTATTGATTAGATTAATGAATAAAGATTACACACTATTATAAATATACCAAGAAAGTAAACATCTAATAAAAATCAAAAACAAACGAAAAAACCAAAAATTAGTGTTTCATTTGGACATGAAAACTTTAATTTAGTATTAAATATGATGATCGGAATTCAAATGGCAGTAAGCAGTATTAATATAGCAGATGACTATGAAGTTGGTTCAAAAGATTTTAAATTAAAATATTATTTTGAACTCCTACCAAGAAGAGCATAAGGTGATAAAAGCTCTTTTAAAGTATGTTAGTTCTTTGATTATGCTCCACGAGTATTTAATAGTATTAGAACTATTTATGGAATAGACAATCATTAATATCTAAAAAGTATTGGTCCTGAATCTATTTTACAATCTTTAATTAAAGGAGATTTATCTTGTCTATAAGAATTAACATCGACAGGAAAAAGTGGAAGCTTTTTTTATTATACAGCAGATGGGCAGTTTACTTTAAAAACAATACATCATTAAGAGTTTCGATTTCTGAAATAAATTATGAGAAATTATTATTACCATCTCAAAAATTATCCAGAAACATTGATTATAAAGTATTATAAACATTTAAACAAGATTATTTGGAATGCATAAGATTGGTATAAAATATTAGACTATGTTAAGAGAAAAAGTTATTTATTTTGTGATTATGAGCAATGTGTTTTCAACAAATCATGAAATTAATGTTAGATATGACTTAAAAGGTTCAACCTATGGAAGATATACTGTTGATAAGTAAGAAACTGTTATTTAAAGCAAGCGATCCAACTGTTGCCAGAAAAGATTAGAATTTCTTAGCAGATAAAGAAAAAAACTTAAAACTGAATATCAATAAGAATAAATCAATGCTTTTTTTCAATCAATTAGAAAAAGATTGCAAGTTTTTTGAAGATAATGATATCATCGATTATAGTCTATTATTAGGTTTACATGCTAAAGGCAATAAATTAATGGATAATGAATCTTCTGTTTATTCAGAAAATCCTTAATTTGATGATTTTAGTAAGATGGTAACGGTTGATAATTAATACACTTTATATATAGGCATAATTGATATCTTAACAAATTTCAGCACAAAAAAAAAACTTGAATTCTTATCCAAAAGAGTCATTTATGGTCCAACAATATCAGCAATACCTCCAAGAGATTATGCCGAAAGATTCTTAAAATTTTTAAAGGATCATTTATTTACGAATTGAAAAAAATTATACTCATTCATTTAAACTGCCTATAACTCTACTCAACACCATTGAAGTTTATCTTATTTTCCTTGATATCAACTATAAAGGCCCTAATTTTTACTCAATAGTTTCAATTTCATCGTGAATTTTAAACCTTTGCATCGACAATGTTTGAGCTGATAATTTTTATTCTTCATTAGGCATATTCATAGAATGCTAAATTTTAAGAATCTGTTCTGATTCCTTTTAGATCTATATTAAATTCAATCAATAATTACATTGTCGCTAATTCTATTAATTGAATGAATTTCATTTGACAATAAAAGATTGTCTATTGTGTCTGTCAAATAAACCATATCATCATAAAGTGATAAATCAAATTTGTCCACAATTTTTTATTCTCCATTTATATATTAAATCTCTCTTACGCAACATAATTTGCTAATATCTTAGATTTCTACCAATTCTTCCCCATTTGGCTTTAGTATAACTTTTTTTAGATTTTTTTTTAATCCAATAAGTTACTTAATTACTTAAAATAATTTTCTTTCATTGTTAATATATTTCTTTAATAAATATCAAAATATTACCTTCAAATTTTCCAAACTAAAAATAAGTGCATAAATTTGCTCACTAAATTTGATATAAGTATGAGATTAAGGATTCTTGATGTTTGATACTAAGGCAACAGATTTTTTTATGGAGTTTTCTTTTACTTTTTTAAACTTAATATCACCATATTATACGATTTCAGTTTCAGTTCTGACTTTCTTAAATTTATTTTGTTTTTAAGTATTTTTCTAAGATCTTAAAGTGTTCAAATGATCCAAGTAATCTTTTATTGTTTTATCATCAGTGTAGGCTGTTCTAATAGTTAAGTTAGGTTTATAAGTTTTTTCTTTTTGAGATGTTTTGTTAATAACTGGAAAAGTAAAATCAGTTTTATTTGCTTATATTTCTACAGTTGGTTAATGTTTATCAAGACTCTTTTTTTAAGTTGCCTAAGTTTTTTATACTGATCTCAAAGTTGTTATTGAGTTGGATTTTTAATTTTTGAAAGGTATTGTCTCATTAAGTTTGAAATTTGGTAATATTAGATGATGCTTTAAAATCAAGCTCATTAATTATATTAAAATGATTTTAGATTTTCCTGATAATCTAAATTCTAGTCAATAAATTATACCTGAAAAACAAACCTAAAATTGGTAATCAGATTGAAATTTTAGCATTTTTTCCCAAAGAATAAACTTATTGAAAAGAAGAACAAGAAATCACCAGAAATATCAAAAATCTCGAAATGCACTATCAAGTATATATTAGTGTATAATAAACAAAAAGTAACAGAAGTGGTATTGTAATTACTAGCAGATGAATAAGGCACATTGAATATTATGTTAAAAAAGCAAATAATGATTTGAAATGAGCAATCTAAACTAAATTAGATAAATTAAAAAAAAAGAAAAAGAAAGATCGGTAGCGATTATAATGAGTATATATTTGATTTGATTAAAGATGAAACATTTTTAAAAAAGAAGTTGATAAAAAGGAAAAAGTAATTGAACCTTAAATCTAAACTACTGTAGTTTCTATAAAAGATATAAATAATGTTTATCATAAATAAATTGAATTAAACAATGTGGACTTTGACGATGACTAAGAAACATTTATGAATAANATTTGCTAATATCTTAGATTTCTACCAATTCTTCCCCATTTGGCTTTAGTATAACTTTTTTTAGATTTTTTTTTAATCCAATAAGTTACTTAATTACTTAAAATAATTTTCTTTCATTGTTAATATATTTCTTTAATAAATATCAAAATATTACCTTCAAATTTTCCAAACTAAAAATAAGTGCATAAATTTGCTCACTAAATTTGATATAAGTATGAGATTAAGGATTCTTGATGTTTGATACTAAGGCAACAGATTTTTTTATGGAGTTTTCTTTTACTTTTTTAAACTTAATATCACCATATTATACGATTTCAGTTTCAGTTCTGACTTTCTTAAATTTATTTTGTTTTTAAGTATTTTTCTAAGATCTTAAAGTGTTCAAATGATCCAAGTAATCTTTTATTGTTTTATCATCAGTGTAGGCTGTTCTAATAGTTAAGTTAGGTTTATAAGTTTTTTCTTTTTGAGATGTTTTGTTAATAACTGGAAAAGTAAAATCAGTTTTATTTGCTTATATTTCTACAGTTGGTTAATGTTTATCAAGACTCTTTTTTTAAGTTGCCTAAGTTTTTTATACTGATCTCAAAGTTGTTATTGAGTTGGATTTTTAATTTTTGAAAGGTATTGTCTCATTAAGTTTGAAATTTGGTAATATTAGATGATGCTTTAAAATCAAGCTCATTAATTATATTAAAATGATTTTAGATTTTCCTGATAATCTAAATTCTAGTCAATAAATTATACCTGAAAAACAAACCTAAAATTGGTAATCAGATTGAAATTTTAGCATTTTTTCCCAAAGAATAAACTTATTGAAAAGAAGAACAAGAAATCACCAGAAATATCAAAAATCTCGAAATGCACTATCAAGTATATATTAGTGTATAATAAACAAAAAGTAACAGAAGTGGTATTGTAATTACTAGCAGATGAATAAGGCACATTGAATATTATGTTAAAAAAGCAAATAATGATTTGAAATGAGCAATCTAAACTAAATTAGATAAATTAAAAAAAAAGAAAAAGAAAGATCGGTAGCGATTATAATGAGTATATATTTGATTTGATTAAAGATGAAACATTTTTAAAAAAGAAGTTGATAAAAAGGAAAAAGTAATTGAACCTTAAATCTAAACTACTGTAGTTTCTATAAAAGATATAAATAATGTTTATCATAAATAAATTGAATTAAACAATGTGGACTTTGACGATGACTAAGAAACATTTATGAATAATAACTCATATATTTTCATTTATTTATGAACTTAATTTACTTCATTCTAAAGGGGCATTAAATAATATCAAGATTATACACAAAATTAATTTAATAATGAAAATAACAATATTAAATAAATTATAGAAGACGTTTAATATGTTAGAATAATATTAATATTTTACGAAATATTTAAAATTAAGAAAATCAGAAAAAATTAATTTAAGAAAAATATAAATCAAAGCTTAGAAGATAAGCATACTTAATAAAATTCATTTAGATCTAGATAATCTTATTGATAAAATGATAATATTTTTTTATAATTAAAATAAATATATAAATATAAATTAGTATATTTTTTTATTTTATAATGTCCTTCTCTAATTCAGAATAAAATGGAATTGAATTAAAATTATAATTCTTTAGCGAACATCCAATGATCTTTTTGCACAAAAATAATTCAGTGCCATAAATTGAAGATTTTCAAGATGATCTATTAGAAAATAGATATAAATAAGTATTTATGAATTATTACTTAGACATCTAAAAAAATATGGGAAGAGCAAAAATTCTAAACTATACATATTCCTGAAGATGATGAAGTAACAAATTAAGAGATTTGTTAATTAATTTACTAACAATTATAAAATCCTTCATAGTAGCAAGAATAATATTTTGTTGAAGTATATTTTTTTTCTTAATAGAAATTAGGCGATAACTTTCTCAATATTTCTTTAAATAAACAAATAGAAAATACATTATTTCTGCAATTTCTTGAAAATTTCCTTACCTAAGACTCATCAAATCAATAAAAAATAGTTTAACTATAAAAATAGGAGTAGTAGATAAATGATTAAGAAATGTAATTGAATGTAAAAAGCAGACCAACAGATGAGGTAGAATAAAATTCAATAACTTAAGTCTGAAATTATACTCTTTTGAGATCATTTGTTATATCTATTAAATAATTACAATATATTAATGCTGTTATAAATATCTTAATGGATAATTTTCACCTACTTTATGTAATAATATATAAAAAAAAATATTTAAATTAAAAAGCAAATCAAAACAATTATTCCAAAAATAACATGATTTTCCTTTTTACCATTTTTTCATCTGGTAAGTATTCTAATCCTTGTTTGTAAATCAAAAATATCCTAGCTTTATTAAGGAAACTGGCTTGACATTTACAAGGATTTATTAATTATAAATAAATTAAAATATCAAATAACTCTCTTGATAATTAAAGGCATAATGTTACTTTAATCTTACTATTTAATTTCTCTCAAAGTTTAATTCATATTTTCGATTAATTTATTTTTATAATAACACTTTAAATCCTAGCTATCTTAATTACAGTAGAACAAATCAAATATGTATTTTAAGTTTGTTTCTAAATTACATTCTATGAGTTAAACTTCTTCATATATCTAAATCTCTACATATTCATTATTAATTTCATAAGAATTGCAACTTTATTGAAAATATTTTCTTGTCTGCTAGATTTCTTTGAGATGTTATTGATAATTTTTTATAACATTTTGAACACATTTTTCTAATCCTTCTGTTATAATATATTTATTCTCCTTGATAGAATAGTAACTTTATAAAAGTTCAGCAATATCTTGATAATTAGAAGTTGTAAAAACTTCCTATTCTTTATATTTCTCAAATGGGGTAAGTGCATTATTTTTTATAATTTCATTTATTTAATTTTTAATCCTAAACATGAACTATTTAAATTCTTTTTCTAAATTTTCTATTTCAGAATTGATTGTTTAATATATTTAAGTTGTTCTTTACTAAATTGTTTATTTAACAAATTCTTCTAGATTATTTAAAATTTGTTATCCTTTTTTCAAGCTAATTGGTTTATCTAAATCGCATTCTTCACACAAAGCTCTTTTTCCTTTTAGTGAATCATTGGAAATATTTAAAAATTATATTTAGCTTTGATGTAATTCACATAAGGCCTCCTTTTTTATAAAATTTTTGAACATAAATGAAATGATTCTGAGTTATATAAATATTAATAATTTCTATCAAACTATTATCGAATTAAATTTAGAAATAAAGCTATTACATGATATCAATTTATAATATTATAAATTGATTGTGATATTAAAACTAATGATAAATTCAATTTGAGAGGATATGTATAATATTAAAGAGGAGTTTATCAATTTTTCTTATATTCATTGATTAATATTAATATTAATTTGAATTATTTTTATAAAAAAAAAATTATTTATCATTGATGAATGATTAATGATTGATTTAGATTTGAAATAAAATTCCTAGAAAATATTGTTTTCCATAAAAAATTATTTATAAAATTAATTGATAATTTAAATTGAAATGAATTTACAAAATTTCGATTCCTTATGCAATGATTGCTGCTTTTCAAGAACATTGGAAGTAATTATAGTTATTAAGATAATAGAGTAAGTAAATAGCAGAATAGGCAATTTATTAATTCATTGAAGATATAAGAAATGTAGATTTTCTATGTCAGATAATATAATAAACTCAGTCAGGCTCAACATTATTTGTTATATCCGAATACATTGCAAAGATTGTAGTTTCAGAAAGGTCTTTTAAAGGATTCTAATGTTCTGATCGTAGTTTATAAGAAGGATAATCAACTTTAGGATAATGCTTAAACAGAGAAGAAAATGTTGTGTTATCTAAAAAATGCATGGTCTATGAAACTTTGGTTTCATTATTTTGTATAAGTCTCTAAAAGCAATAAGAAAATCATGTGTAAAATTCAATCTGTAATTTGGTGGGTTTGTTGATTCAGCAAATAATGATGATTAGTAGCAACCAATTCTCAAAATTCAAGTTAGTTTTTAACTCTTTTTTTTAAGGGAATCAACCCTACCTACTTTCAATTGGGTTGAAATTAGCTTAGAATGTTTTATAAAATTTACAACTTTATTCATCTTATGACTCTTATGTTTCATATAGAAAAATTATGTTTCAGTTTTAAAGTAGCGACATATTAGATTTTATGTAGACTGTTTGTACAGTTTTGAAATAATGTAGTGCAAATCTTTATAAGCCAGCGTTAGCCTCGCTTAAAGATATTTTAATGTTTAATTTTAATGTTAGTTATTTTGAATTAGAATCGGATTTTGATCCAAATGATTAAAATAATGTTAGCGTAAATTAATTTAATATACTTTTAGTTTCCTGATAAATTTGCTGAATTTTTTAATGATAGACAATTATTAGAATTACTTTTTAAGATTGTTGCTTCATACTGTTCCACTGACTCATCTTTAGCTCTATTAGCATTAAAATCACTTAAGAGAATGGCTTCTTCTAAGAAGAGAATATTTACGGAAAAAATAAAAAAAAGATTGTTTTCTAAAGAAATGTATTAAGGTTGCATATTTCTTTTCGAGAAAGTACAATAAGCAAATGAAGAAATAATAAGTGATATTCTTGAGTTAAATACTAAATTAAATAATTGTTTTGGTTTGAGATAAATTAGATTTGATTTTACATTTAGTTAACAATGGTTATTTTGTTTATAAACGTTTTGTATTTAAATCTTACAAAAATAAATGAAAATTAAGGATCCACATATGTATTAAATGATAGAATTGATGAAGAAATTAGTAAAATTTATAACTGATTTTAAATTGGATGTAACATTTAAATAATCAATTTCTAAAACAATATCTGAAATAGGTAAATCTATAATTCATTTATTATTGAATTCTCAAAATTCTTTTTTCTAGGGTTACACTCCTTAGAACCATAAAAAGTTGAAACATACTCTAAAAGAATTTTTTGAAAATCTTTTTCCAATTTTAGCAATAGATCTAGTAAGCCATATTAAAATGATTTATCATTCTTTTAAAAACGCAGCTTAGGATTAAGAAAAATTCATAATTGAATTAAGTTTAATTAATTATATTGTAATAAATCCATAAATTTTAGAAAAAAACAGTGAAGAAATTATTTAAATGATATAAACTGTTATTAAAGATTCACTAAATTTTTTATAAGTTTCTACTCTTAATTTACCCCCTTTAGTTATTATGTCTGCAATGTCTTTAGCAGATAATCTATTTTAATTTGCCTTAAGTGAATCTGATGAATCAATAAGCAGACAACGATCTAATAAAGCATTTTTCGATATTTTTATTAAGCCAATTCAAAGTTAACCATAATAAGCAACTAATCAATTATTATAATACATAATTTTATAATTGTAAATTGAAAACAAAGAAATAATAGAGTATGCCTTAGTAATTATGAAAGAAACGATTGTTAGACTTAAACATCATTTATATAATGAAGCATTTTAAACATCAAATATTGTAACTCAAATCAAAGGAATTTTATTGAATTTAAAAAATACCGCTTTATAAAAAGATACATTTTTAAGTTGTCGAACATTAGCCTCAGAAATTCTATCAATTTTATTGTTTGACACAGCTTATGAGAACTATATTGAATCAATAATATAATTGAACTAATTTTTAACAATATAACCAACACAACAATCAATTTTAATTTATCTCTATGAAATGCTCGGTTATTTTAGACATGTTGATACAAGCAAAATATTTAGATTGCTAATTAAATAGCATCTAATAAAAATAGCAGAATTAACTAGATTCATTTTAATAGATAATCCTTAACAATTTTAAATGTGTAAATTATGTTTGAAATTAATGGTAGCAATAACTGAGAATAAGAGCTTAAGATATTAATATCATAGTTCATCAATTGTATAAATTGAATTAGTAAGGACATTTTAAGGTATTCTAACAAGTTATCTATAACATCTTATAAATGCTATATCAGATGATAAAGTTAAATAAGAGTACTCAGCCTAAATATGTAGATTAGTTGGATTAATATTCAAGATTATGAATAATATTTTGAAAGGTAAATATATATCTCAAACTTGTTAATTACTTTTTGCAGACAGAAAATATTTAGATTAATTAGTAACAGCATTAGAAATTACATCAAAGATTTCAAATTATATCATAGTAATTATCTATATTAATTTTAGATGTATAATAAAACTTGTTTATAAGTAGTATAAGTTTTATAAGTAGTAAGTTCATCACAATTATAATTATTTGAATTAAATCCTCAGTCATTAACTACATTGATGATAATTATTGAAAGCTTATAGAAACATTTGTTAAGTTAATTGTCTTAAGAATACAAAACTTAAACTATTTCTACATATCATTAACCTTAGGATAAAGTTACATTGGATTAAACAACGGAAATAATTATATCAATCCTTGAATTTATATCTGAAGAACAATAATTAAGTTAGATGGGTGTTTTATAATCGTTTGTTTAACCAATAGATAATATTATTGAACTTATTTTGAAAGAATTACTACTATGTTTGATAAAAGGTCAATGTTCACAATAAACAAATCAAAAAATTACAAGATAAGTATTTGCTATAATGTGCACTTTTTAATAAGTTTTTGTAGGAATTTTAAGCAAAGTTTTACTGAGATCTGATTAATAAATTGAACCTTCATAACTCTAGATTTTAACATAAGATTTGGACCTTAGAATCAAACAATAAAATGAAGAATAATTTAAAAAAAACTTCAATCTATTTATGTAATAATTTGGAATTTGAGAATAATGATGTTTTTATTTTGTTATTAAATATATTCAAATAATGAGCAGAAGATTTATAACATAGTATCCCTTATCACCTCCAATGAATGATGTTTCCAATTTATACAAAAGAATAAGAATACAAGAACAATTACAATTTTTTGATGAAATAATCAAAAAGGTTAAATACAAAAAACCAATACCATAATCTAAAAAAATTAAATTACCCATTTCTGTTTCTGCAAAAACGATCCAATTATAAAGTGAACGATCTCTTTCTATTCGTTCACCAAGAATAATAGAATAGTCTAAGAAATAGATGTTACCACCTATTTCAAAGTAAAAAGCATCTATTTCTGGATGGGAAGTAAATACACCCAATGAATCATATTTATATTATTAATGAAAAACAATAATAATTAATAATTCAAGTAAGTCACTTTCTTATTTCGCAAATACAAATTAGATTCTGATATCAATTAAACACTTTCCTCTTAACGATTTTCATCTATAAATCCTTAAATTAAATTACTCCCTAGAATTTAGCCAATTCAAACACAATCATAGCCCAATTCTCCTGTTAAGATTAAATCCCCAAACGTTAACTATCCTACTATCACAACTACAAAGATGTAGATTGCTTTAATAGAATAAATGCATTAAACTATTAGATAAAAACATTTTGTTCAATTTTCAAATACAAGAAACTAAAAAAAATAAGATAACTTTAGTTAGACTACACTGGATGAAGCTAAATTACTCCAATATTTAGATTGATAATACAAATTTGAATATAATTTTATTAAAAAATAACCTTTTTAATATTTTTATCATCTAATCTTTCTCTCAATTTTTTTCTTCATCTTTCTAATACATAATTTTCAAGTATTTTTCAACTTTTAGATTTTATTTTCATTAGAAAATAGTAGGGATTTTAAAATTAAACATAAATTTATAACTATAAATTCTATGACCTATTTTAATAAAATGAGAAGTAAAATTTATTTATTTAAAAAATGATATATTCCTTCTATTAATCCCATTAAGACTCACCTATATAATATCATTCCTGATCAATCTATCTGGAATCTTAAACCTAATTTTTTGTTTTTTTTTTTAAATATCATTATCACTGAAAGTCTAACAATTTGGTAATTCCAACCATTCTTATTCCTCTTTTAGGTGAGTATCTCTGTACCTTTTCGTTATTCTATTAGATAAAATGCTTTTCTGAATTGATGACATCAGACATCCAATTTTATTTAATTTTTTATTTTTATTTAAATTTATTTATTTGTTTAAATCTAATATCCTATATTTTATACTTCTTAAAATTTTTATAATTACTTATTCAAGACTTAATAAAACAATCATTTTATAATTTCTATCCCCTTTAGATATTTAGGAGATAAATATACGTTGTTATAATTTTTATTTATTATAAAATTTCTCAAATAAAAATTATATGAAAAAAGTTAAATAATATATATGATGCTATAATCAATTATATTATCCAACTAATCTTAGTACTCTTGTAGTTTCTTTACTAAGAATTGATATTCGAAAATTTGATTAACTACGCGCAGTTTCGCTTAATTTGATTTTAAAATTTGGCAGTAACTTCTTGTTTAATTCACTTAATTCAAAGAGAGGATTTTTAAATGATAATTTTTTACATGAATGATTTAGCTTTATATTATTCTTTTAAATAATTTTTTATTTTCTATATTAGCTATTCGCATACACCTTGTTTTAAAATTCTGGGTTTATAAAGGTCTTTTTATTTGTAATATATGATTATTATTATTAATTTTTCAACATAAATTTATAATTTTTTTGTTAATCATTAAAAAATAAGAATTAAGCCAACTTTTAAATTCTTTATTTACTAATATAATAAGAACAGTTATATACGATCTTATTTTTCTTTATTTAAAAATTATCCTTCTTCCTATTTGTTCCTCCTCAATCAAAATATTTTTATCAAATCTAACCAGCTTGTAGATATTGATTACTTAATTTTGGTTCCATTTAGAATATTAAAGCTTGTAGAATAGAGAAGATCTTTAATAATAATTGATAAAATTCTAAATTTATTTTTAAACTGAATAAATGCTATATTTTCTTTGGTTAATTCTTATAAATTATATAGATAAAGAACCTAAATAAAAAATGAAATATTTATCTTTATCAGTTTAATTATGAATAATTTTTTATAGATAGATAAAAAAGATTAACTGTTTAGCTTTTGAAATTAATTACTGCTAATGCTTTTGATGTAAAAAAGATTAATTTTGTTTAAGTTTACCACTAAAAAAGAATAAGGATTGGAATACAAAATAATATGTAAATTTTAGAATTTCAAAATTTTAATTCTTATTTGTTTTTATTAAATATATAGTTTAAGAAGATAAAATGTTTATAATCATTATTTTTAAAGCGAAATTCTTGAAATATTTCTTTTTAATATTAAAAAAACAAAATCTTAATCTTGAAATAATTATAATCTATAAAAGAGAGAAATACTAAATTTGGAATATCTCATTTGTTTCATTATTTAATCTAAATTAAACTGTTGTTCTACTGTTTAATAATTTTATATGACTAGAAAATTTCTTAGATGGCCGATTGATTATCGATAGTTTCAGATATTTTTTAATTATTAATATTATTAGGCTGGATTAATTTACCATGAAGATTTTCAAAATTATATTAAAGCTTTATATCTAAATAATCTTTCAGGAGTTAAAATGCTTTTTAACATTCTTGATTTGAGCCATATTTGATGTATATATAAATTTAGCTTTATTTTAAATACTTCTAAATATAAATTTAAATTATACAATTTATCCAAAGAGACAAAATATTTTGATAACAAAATTTAAATCATTTAGTATTTCATATGTAATTAACACTTAAATGCACATTGTATTTTAGTGCAACTTATCCAAAGCTTTAATAATTTTAGTTTCAATAGTTTCATTAATTTCATCATCTATTTGATTGAGTTTAGAAATAATATCTATCATTTTCTCTTCTGAAAACTAAGGTTCTTCTTCATCAGAAACTTCATCTGTTGAATTGTTTTCAAATTAAAAATCATCCCATTGGTTGATAGTGGCTATTTCTTATTATTCTTCATTATTATCAATTTAATCATTTTAATTAGAAGGAGGGTTAGTAAAATCAAGACCTTTAGTATATGGAACAGTATCGAGCTTTAGTTATTTTAATCTAGAATGATAAACATTGCACGAAATTTGATTTAAGATTTTTGTGTTGTTTAGAGATCTACAATATAATTTTGAATCCTTACTTGATTGCATCAATTGCTGAATCAACTTCATCATATTCAATAAAAACTTTTGTTTAAAGCTATCCTCTTTCGAATATTAAAATCTATTATATTATATATCACTATTTTGGAATACTTTTGAAATAGAGCCATGCTTGGAGAAAACTTTTAATAAAGATTGATTATTGATTTAGATATTATTCTATGTCGTCTTTAAGCAGACTAAAGCAACTCTAGTAGGTGTTGCTTCTCTTTTTTTTTTCCTTTAGGACATTATTAATTACTAAAATAATTAATGTAATCCTTAAATTCAAGTATATTATGATGAAGTTGAATAAATTACATTCTGAACATATGTAGTGTTCATCATTTTTATAAGATGAAGAGAGATCAGAATTATTTAATTGAGGAAAATGTTCAGATTTTCAAAAATGTTTTTAATTCATAGAAATTAATAAGATTTCTTATATATTGATGCTAGAAACTTTAAGCAAAGAGCTTTTTACTTTTTTTTCTATTTTGTACGAGAATTACAAAATTTTTGTATATGAATTAGATCTAAACTTTGAATATAGAAGTAGAAGTCTAATAAGATAAAAAGAATAAAGATGTATTAAGTGTATCATAAAATCTACTAAATGTTAATATTCATGACATTTCATTAAAAAGATATATTATAGACTAGTGAACTTTTTAATTTAAAATACTCTGATTTTCTGATGAATCAAGTTTTATTAAATATAATAATTTTTTTTAAACAAATATATGATTTTATAAATAAAGTAGAAAAAGTAGGTATCCAAATATTTCTAAATTTAGTGAACTAATAAAGGATATGGGAATGCATAGTCATCCTTATTAAAATTTTTGATATTTAAATTACAATTAATATTTGTAAAATATTATAATATTTTTCTGATAAATTGATAAGTAATGCTATCAATCAATCTTGCCTAATTAGCTGTCTTACAATCTAAGGTATTTCATACAATCATTATTTGATTAAAGTGTTTCTACCATATAAAACACAAATAAATTATAATATTATTTTATGATAGAGATTAGAATCAGATTTCAAGGTGCTAGAGAAGATAGGAAAGGGCGGATTAAGTAAAGTGTATAAAGTAATTAACCTTTTGGATAATAATACATATGCTTTAAAAGAAGTAGATAAAATAAACATATAAATAGATTGAACTGAAAGGAAAAGACTTAAGGGATAGTTATGAGTAGAATATTGAAAGAGCTTAAAGAGGTAAAAGATATATAGTATAAGTTCCTTCATAGAAGCAAAATACTTAGCCAGAATATCTCATCCAAAAATTATAAGATATTTCAATTCTTGGGTTGAAGTAATACAAAATAAAGAAGAATATAAAAAGTATTAGAAACAAGGATTAGAAATAAATGATTTTGATTTAAATAGAACTAATATTAATTCTTGTAGCTCATAAGAAAAGTCAAGGATTGATCTAGAGAATATGATTTTTTCTAAAGTTACATAAAATGAATAGATTAGTCATTCTGAATAAGATAATGAAATTTAGTAAGATTTTAGGGGAACTAGAAAATAAAAATGTAGTTCTATTATTCAAGTTTAGAAATTGATAAGTTAAGATGATAATAAAATAGAATTTGATAAAATCATGTTTTACATTTAAACAGAGTTTTGTCAACAAAAACTCGAAAATTATTTATAATAAAGAAATGATTAACATTTTAAATTTAGAAAAAGTAAGGATAATGACGATTAATATCTTGAATATAAATATGTAAGCGAAGCTAAAATCATTTTGGATTAAATAATTAAAGGATTAGACTATTTGCATAATGAATGTAAATTAGTACATAGAGATTTGAAACCTGCTAATATTTTTATGAATAGTCCTGATGATGTAAAAATTGGTGATTTTGGTTTAGTAACAAAGCTTTTAAAGTTTTGTAAATGTGAGGATTAAGATAATGATTGTGATATTTGTTTGAAAATGTTTGCAGCTCCAGAATAAATTAATTAAAAAATTGAAAAAAGCTATTCTGATTAAAAAAGTGACATTTATGCATTAGGTTTGATAATTTTACTTTTGTTTTATCCTACATATACTTAAATGGAAACTGTTTAAGTCATAGAGGAGGCTAAAAAAGGTATATTACCGAACATTTTAAGAGAGAGACATTCTAAAATATCACAAATAATTCTAGATTGTTTGAATATAGATCCAATATAGAGACCTAATGTTAAAGATATATAATTTTTTGGTTCATCAAATTCATTATATTCTTCAAAAAAAAGCAGCAATGAATTTAATAGTGATTCCACAGAAATTGATATAAAAAATTTTTGGAATTGTCATGTTAAATTTGAAGATGAAGAAGTTTAAGAAAAGTAAAATATTTATTTATATATGAGATATTTATAGTATAGCGATACACAGATTTAAATTTTTAAAAATAAAAATAGCATGAAGGCTTAAATGATATACAATCTCAATGAATGTAATATTTCTTACAGAGAGAATGAAATCTTAGTGGAACATGCTTAGTTATAGAACTTTTCATTTAAAAGTATAAATAATTATTTATTGGACATATATGATCAATTATGTGAATTTACATAAGGAATATATTGACAATAATTTAATAATTTTATAATTACAATTAAACTAAAAATCAATCAGTGTTGTTTAAAACTAACCTTAAACATTAAGTAAATTAGTTCATCTCATGGATGTAATTAGATTTTGCAAGTTCTAATTTTTGTAAAAGCTCCTATAAATGATGATAGTTTTTTTAATATTGCTAACATGATTCTGTTTCTTATTGTAGCCTATACTCAAGAATTTGCTTTTAGCGTTTTAACATTTATAGTTATTCTGAATTATTTTTTAATGGTAGGGTTATTCCTTATTGTTCTTAATCACTATTAAGACTGGCAGAATTAGTTTAATCAGTAGAACCATCATGAGAGAGTCTATTAGCAAATGTGAAAGGACTGACATCAATCTTATTTAAATTTATTAAAGGAGGTTTAATTATAGTAATAGGTTTCCTAAAAAAGTTAGTATATAAAAATAACTTGATTGTAGTAGAAGTGATAGATTTGGCTCTAGACTTATTTAATGTTTGTTATTATGTATTTTTTGTGGTATCTGAAGTTTATAATGCTGATTTTTTTCTTAGGATAGTATAGCTTAAGGAATAATTTTTATTCATTAACAGAAAATAAAAATGAATGAGATGTGCTTTGAAATATGAATGTATATATTAATTAATTTACGTGTTATAATTTAAGAAATGATAATAATTCTAGGTCTGTTGATATTATGTGTGTAAGGTTTGAATGAAGTGAAAGTATCATTTAATGAAATAGAATCTCCAGTGTCTAATATTTATTGGTGTGGATCATCTGTTGTTTTTACAAAAGATGATGAAACAATTGAATAAACTCATTAGGAGAGTAGAAAAGTGTTGTTTATACTTACAGACAAAGGGAAAATATGGAGATCAGCAGATTATGGATCAACATGGTTAGATGAGACTAAGAGTTGGGAAAAAATGGAACCAGAAAATAAATAATTATAATTTGAAAGTATTCATATTTCACCAGCTGATTCAAGAGTTATATTCTTTTTTGGATCAAATGGTATTAGTTATAAATCTAAGAATTGTGGAAGAACTTATACAAGATTCACACATTCAGAAGATCTTTATGATTTTAAATTAAATAAGATGGATCCATAATGGATAATGGCTTTCAAAGATAAACCTTGTGGCAAAAATGATATCAATTGTAAAGACTTTTATAAGAAATCTATTTATGTGACTGAAGATGGAGGAGAAACTTGGAAATCTGCTTTAAATTATGTTAGAGATGCAGCATGGGATAAATTATTATAATATTAACTTATTCCTGATTAAAGAATTATAGTTTGTCATATGAAAGAAGGCAAATCTGTTATTTCCTATTCTGATGATTATTTTACTACTATATAAACAATGTAAGAAAATGCATTAGGATTCTTTTAAACTTCGCATTATATCTTTGTATTAACAACAGGAGAAGATGGTGAAACTGGATATGAATTACTCATTGCTCCTGCTTATTTAGATAAATTCTAACCTTAACCTGTATAATTACCAATTCCTTTGAATTAACATACCTTTACTATTCTTGATACTTCAGAAGGATAAATATTTTTATCTGTTTCTCATAAAGAAGAAAATTAAAGATTAACTAATGTATATGTAAGTGATTTTAGAGGATTCAAATTCACTCTTTCTTTATTACATAATGTTAGATCACTTGATACTGGAAATTGTGATTTTGAAAGAATTCTAGGAATGGAGGGAGTTTATGTAGCAAATGTTTTTGATCATTAAGAAGTTGAAAAATCAAAATCTAGAAGTTCTATTACACCAGCTACTTTAGAATTATATAAAAAAACTGTAATATTGATATATTTATATTTTTAGTTTATTTCTTATGATAGAGGTGGTTAATGGCATCCATTAAAAGCACCAGAAATAGATTCAAAAGGATAAGAAATTTTATGTTCTGGAGATTGTTCTTTACATTTGAAAGGAAGAACTGAAGCCAATTAAAATCCTCTTTATTCTAGTTAAAATGCTCCAGGAATTAGTATAGGTGTTGGAAATACAGGGTTGTATTTAACTTAAAAGGATCATGAAGTCAATACTTATCTAACTAGAGATGGAGGACATGAATGGTTTGAAATTAGAAAAGGTTCTCATATGTATGAAATAGGAGATAGAGGAGGTCTTATTGTTATGGGATAAGATGATAAACCTATTAACTAAATCATTTATTCTTGGGATCAAGGTTTTTCATGGGAAGAAGTCAAAATTGGTGATAAAGAATTCGAAATACAAAATATAGTTACTGAACCATCTAATATGGAATAAAAGTTCATTATTTATGGATAAAGTAGATCTAAAGAAAATTCATTAAAAGGATATGTTATAGCATTGAATTTCTAAACACTTCATTAAAGAGTCTGTTCTGGTGCTTGGGATCCTACAATGCCAGAATCAGATTATGAATTTTGGATTCCTAAAAATTTTGAATCTGGAAAATGCTTATTTGGCAGAAAAATTAAATATATCAGGAGAAAAAGAGAAGCTTAATGTTTCAATCAAGAAGAAATTGATAAAAAATTTTTTATCGAAACTTGTCCTTGCATTGAAGATGATTGGGAATGCGATTTTGGATTTTACAGAAAAATTGAAGGAGGACCCTGTGTACCTATTGCTGATAAATTTGAAGAAGATGATACTCCTGATTTATTAAAGCCACCTGTCAATTGTTAAAAGACTTATATGAAAACTTAAGGTTATAGAAAGGTTTCAGGTGATTATTGTCAAGGTGGTATTGATCTTTCACCAGTTGAAACACCTTGTCCAGATTTAGTAACTAATAATACTTCATAAAATAATACTCAAATACCAATCAATGATCAACAATAACCTACAATTAATAAACCACAAATAAAAAATACTGCAGTTTCATCAATCAAACCATCTAAACCAAATTCATATTTGTGGTATGTCGTAGCCTTTTTAGGAGTTATTGTTATCATTTTATTATTCAAAGAAAAAATAATCAAGTAATTTTTATCATTTATCAATTCTAGTCTATTTAAAAGTAAACCTCCTTAAAAGTCCTCATCTTATATGTACAAAGGAAATTATGAATAACTTAAATTATTTAGTGGAAACGATGATGATGACGAGGCTGGCAATTGATTTTGTATTTTATATATTCATTTGAGTTAAAAAAATTTTAATGAATTAATTTATTTTACAAACTTCTTAATCGATTTTTAATCATAATCAATTCTAAATAAATCAAGTATAATTTACATCCCAATTAACAAATTCAATCATTAATTTTAACCTTACCTCTAATCAAAGCAGAAAATTTATCGTATTTCATATAAGATTGTATAATTGAAAAAAATAATGTCAATAAGACTTTATATTTTAATAACACCATTATCTATCAAACTTTCTATAAAAAATTTATACACTATTTATTATTTGAAGATTATATAGAACTTATCTTCTATTAATTTTTGTTAAAAAATTAGAAGAAAATTTAAATAATCTTGTTATAAAAACATTTCTTTTATCTTTAATTTATATTTGTAGATAAATGATGATGTTTGAATTGAAGATATTTTCTAAAAGTTGAATTAACTAAAGCAAAGGGTTTTGGAGAAATATTCAAAATATAACTTATCTGATTTATTATTCTAAGAGGTTTTAATTTTGAAATTTTTCTATTTAGATAATTATATTGTACTTTTGAAGATGACTTATAATCTAATAAGTATATAATGATCTAAGAACCTTTATCGTAGATACTTTACATTGATTAATATACATATGATAAAATTCAAATATTCCTCTCTTTATTTTAAAAAAACTGAAATTTATAAATAAAGACTAGGTTAATTTACATCAATTTTATCGTTTGATTCGAGCTGTATAAATAACTTCATAAAAAATAGAGTAGAAATATCATCATTAATCCTCTGATTGACTATTTATTTTTTAAATCTCAACAAAAATTAATTTATTTTTATTTTATTAGAAAACAAGGCCTTAGCTATTAAAAAAATTAACTTATTCTAAAATAAATTAGATAAAAATCTTGTAACTTAAAAAGCAAAAGTAAATTCTTTTTAATTCTAAAATATCTATATTTAATTCCTTAATTTGAGTGTTAAAACATAAGAGGAAATGAGAGAATTTAATAACATAATTTCTCCATGTAAAGCTGCTTAATTAATTAACAACCTCTACAAGAATGAAAAAAATTAAAATATTTACTATAAATTATATAATATTTATTAAAATTTATTATGAATTAGCAGCCATAAATATTCGAGCAATTAGCAAATCAAGATGCAGCTAGAAGACTAGTATTATTTAGAAATTTTGTCAATAATAACTTAAATGCTGACTAATAATTTATTTGTTTACATCAAGTTATATTAAACAACGACAATCTCTAAATTATTCCAGGATAACCTTAATGTAATTGTCTAAGGAATTAAAATAATTAAGTTAGAACTTTTTTTTAATCAATTCTTAAGTTTTTGTTTTCGCTTTTAACAAATACCATTGAGGAAAATGAGGAAAATATTCCAGAAAACCATATAATTAATAGGTTCTTAAACCGAAGAACTTTAACAAATTAGACTTTAGAATTTTTTAGGCAAGAATTGAGATAATATAAAGTTTATGTAAGAATAAATAATGAAAATTAAGAAGCAATAAATCTATAAAGACTTGAAAATTTTGCTTTAAATAATAATTTTAGAAATCAAATATCTTTTACAATAATTGAATTTCCAACATGTTTTTTAAAGATGGTTGAATTTTATAATGGTTAAATTTTAAATAATACTTACCATATAATTAAAGGAGGTTATATTAAGCTATTAGAGTTTTTTTTTCAGGCTCAGTAATCTCAATAAGTCCTGAATCCTGTTTGTTTTCATACAGTTAATTTAGGACAATAATATGTATAAGATGGAAGAAATTTCCAATATTTATAAACTTCTTAAGAATAATGTTAAAATTGTGAAAATAACATTGAAATACCTCAAAGCTTTGGAAAATTGATGCAATATATTTTAGAAAGAGATGAAATATAGAATTAAAGAAATATTTCAGATCTTGTAAACAGAATTGTTAAAAGGCAAATAAATTCATTAAGATTAATCTTAGAATTTTTTGATGAAAATTATACAGATAAGATTGAAGAAACATATCTAATAATATAAAATTATGAGCCTATTCCTAGAAGACAGATTTAAAATATTGATTTACATCTAAACATTGAAATTGAATGGTATAAAAAATATTTTCTAAGAAAGACTTTTTCAATTTTGTCAAACGTAATTGTAAATTTAGGATTAAATTAGACTCTATAACATATTTAAGGATATGAAAATATTTCTATATTACTTAATTGCATAGAATTAATTTATAATAAAAATGAATAATAACTTTATTAAAGGTATCAAATTTTATATCACAAAAATACAATTTAAGAAATTCAAGGGGATATATAATAAATTTAATTTGGACAAAACTAATAAAATTTTCAAATTGAATAAGTTAATTATGAAAATGAATTAAATATTTTAAATGAAGTTGAAGAAGTTTTGAGAAATCCTGATGTTTTGTAACGTCCTTTGTTTTATGAATAACTTAAATTTCGAATATGTTGCTGTTTTTGTTGCGATACTTTTTTCTTATCCAATAATATCATTAGTAATATGGAATTATATTTAAATCATACTTAATATGTAAATGGGATTTAGTTTCAATATTTTGAATTATTTCTAAATAATATAGCTAATTGTGAAGTGATTTCAGCTATGACGGAATAGTTAATCATGACATTGTAGAATCCGAATTAAGTTATTTAATAATAGTGATCATTATTATATCAAAATTTTAGTATTTTTATAAATATATTGTTTTATACTCTTTAAAGAAAGTTTAAACAAAAGGAAGTTAGTTTAAATTTAATAGAAAAAAGGGTTGTAGAGGGAAGTAATAAAAAAAAAACGAAAGAAATACTATATTAAGATTTATTAAATAAATAAAAATGATTGAAATTTTGAAATTTGATAATGCGCAACATATTTGAATAATCATTAATTACTGATTAGATTTGGTTGTCATGGTTATATAAATGACGTAGTTAATGATTTTGATGAGAAATGTACTTTACATCATAAAATTAACCGATCGCACTATGATTTATCGTTATATGGATAATATAAGGATAACATGATAGAGTGTTAGAAATGTAAAAATTAGAAAATGAAAATTTTAGACGAAATAAAGAAACAGGTAGAAATGGAAATGTAAAAAATAAAGAAAGTATAACCTTCTCGTATTCATTAACCTTTAAATTGTTAATAAAAAAGAGAGCTAATGATTCTAATAAATAAAGGTGTTTAATTAAAAGATGCTGCTCGAGAATTGAAGATCACATATCATGAAGCAAAGATTGCTTATAATGAATATCGTCGTAAGGCTGTTAGTAATCAAAGTGAGACAGAATCTATAATTCCTGAAGTTCGAACAGCTGGTGTAAGTTTGTTGAGAGTACCTCCTCATCATTTTGTTGTATAGAGTAGAGTTGAGAATACTATAACATCTGTTCGTAAATTGTACAATGTAATAGTTTAAAATCCATTGCTCAACTCAATATAATGATGATATTTAATTTGTTATTTCTTCTTTTAACACATTCTGCGTCATAAATGTTATGTACTTAAAAAAATATTTAATAATATCAAAACAACTCTAATGTACCCTATTCTTTCTCTTTCTTTAAGGTTTCAAAATATCCATAGATAATAGTTACAGATAATAAAATACCAGTTCCTTTAGAAATTAATAATAATTATTACCTGAACCTATAGCACCTAAGAAATCAGCAAGAATTGTAAGAGCTCCAATACACATACCACCAAATGAAGCAGCAATAGGAATGTATCTCTTTAATACATCTTTCATAGAAGAATCTCTGTATCCAACTATCTACATATCTTATTCTTTTAGTTATTTGGCAACCTAAATATATAAAATAGAATAATACATCTTTAGGTGAAGATCCTGAAACATCTATCCAAGTTTTTGAGAATAAAGCGCAAGTACCAAGAATAAATGCAGTATATAAAATTGTGTGGATAGGATCAAATATTGCTTCTGATATTGATCTTGGAGGAGATACATAATAAACTAATCCTCCAACTGGAACTGTTTATCCATTCTCTAATTCTTACCAATATCCTAATAATCTTATTAAAAAGTTTCCTTTAAAATTTCTGTATAGAATTTAAGAGAGGAAATAAAGATTTGATACTAATGCAGTTTATAGAATTATTGGGATATTGGAAGTATAAAATAATTTAATTGGATATGATGTTAATCCTCCTCTTACTTTATTATTTTTTATTGGAATATCAACTTTAAATCCTTAAAAATAAATAACAATCAGAAACACTAATACTGTTGCTAATAAATTTGTTAAATTTGGCAATGAATCTCTCAATATAGCTGATTATAGTGCACTTATTTTATCACTTTAAATAAATAAACCATGTAATAAAGCTATAACTGCTCCTTCATATTCTAATCCTAATTCAGTTTTATGAGTTATTGGTGAAAATGCTTTCCACATTATATTCTCACAAATATTTATAGCTATAAATAATGATGTTCCTGAATTTCCAATTCCATATCCTTTTGATAATAATTCATCAATCATTATCATGACAATTGCAGAAAATACCAATTATATTATTATTAAAATTGCATTTCCTGCACCCAATTTATCTAAATCACCATACATTCCTGACCATACATATGCAAAAGCCTCTCCAAATGCTATCAGAATTCCTAATACTATTTTAATATTTATTTATTTTATATACATTTTTATGCTCCTGAATATAATTATTTATCTTCCTTTACATTTTAATCAACATCTATCAATTTTGCACCTGCCAATAATTACATTATCATTGATGCTGTAACCATTGGAGAAATACCTAATTCCATCAAAGTACCTCTATTTGATGCCAATATCACTCTCATCCAATAAAATGGATCACCTGCTGAAGATTTATATATTCCATAAAGTGGAATCTATGAACATATCAAATACAATAATGTTGCTATTGCTGTCCATAAAGCTCTATATTTAAATAATATCTATATTGCATATTTATTATTTTATACTCTTCTTTCTGGCTCTGCTACATCAGGAATAATAGCCATCGCTGGTCTCATATAATTTAGAATCTTTGTTTTGTTTGTCATTTTTATTATTGATTTTTATCATCATTTTTCCCCTTTTAATTCCTCTCACACACGTGGAAATTATATTTATTAATTATTTTTTTATCTACAATTACACATTCTTCATTATCAAAGTTTTTTCTTAAAAAATACTCAATATTATTTATTGAATCTGATATTATTTAATTGATCTTACTGCATTTAATTCAAAAATTCTATCAACTTAAATATATTTCTTCCTATTTCAAATTCATTAATCCATATGAAATAAATTCAATAATTCAACCGACTTGTAATAAAAATTAAATCTCAAACAAAACTTTTATTATCGTTGAATATGCTTTAAATAAAAGACATTTTGTATTTTAAAGGATGTATAATTTAATTCATTTATATTTATAAAATTATCATTCTTAAAAATTCCTTTTGGAAAATTATAAAACACCGTTGTCATATAATACCTAGAATTCCAAAGTTTTTTCATAATGATAGGGACCAATTCGATTAAATTAATAAAGCCATTTATCTCTGACATTCATCTATAATTATATGAATTTACTCACCTTTCCAAAAAGCCTTAATTCATAAAAATAAGGCGAATTATCAGTCAACTTCAATAGTTCTGTTGAAATATAAATACAATAGCATAAGTTTAATTGCCATTCAAAACTCTTTAAGCTATAGCTTCATTCCATGGTCCTGTATAAACTTTGAATTTTAATCTTTGTTTAATTAAATATTAGATTTTATTGCTAACTGTAAATTTTTGAAATTTTTAACAAAAGTCATCATATAAATTCTTTTATGATTCTGATTGAATTATGGATTAAATCTATAGGTTAGATCGCAGTTTATGCAACAGCAGAGATATTAAGATTAAAACAAAGTTATTAGAGTGTCTTATCACTAAAACCATGCGTTATAAGACTAAGATTATAGATTTTTTTTCTTATGTCACAAAATTGAAATTGAGAGATGAATCTAAACATAAAATATAATTAAATTATTTTTAAACTAAGTCATATTTTTTAGAAAATTAGATATTCTTTATAGAATAAAACTCTTATTGTAAAAGAATTGAAGTGAATTAATTATAATTTAGATCAAAATTTAGAATGAATCATTAGATATGTTAATAAATGTAATTTTGGAATATACTAAGAATAAATAAATGAGATGGAGTTGAATAGAAAATTATTTGAATAATTATGAATATTAATTTTTTACTAGATGAGAATGAATATTTATTGAGATGATAAGTTTTTTTATAAATAACGAAATTCATTTTTTTTTTAAGAGCCTTAATGGTTATAAATGAATATCCCTTTTCTTTTTAGGTGGATGAAATATAACACTAGTGTCATGAGTACAATTAAGTTGAATGAAATTATTAAGTTTTTTTTTAATATGTTTTTGTTTGAGAGTGTTGTTGAGATAAGATTCTATAACGAATTACATTTTCTTATTAATTTCTTAAGATGTAAGTAACAAAGTCTTATTAATTTCTTTTAAGTCTTCATTGCCAGATAATTCTAAGTCTTTCATAAAACTCTCAGAAGAGTCATGATTAGGATAATTGTATTAAACAATAGGACTTTATAGATGTGAACGTTGTTTTTTTGGGGAAAAGAAGGAATTATGTTTCATTACTTTGTATTCATTATTTTTGGATGATGAAGAACAATTAGGTAATTTAAGTTACATTTGAGTAGTGTTTTTAGGTTGGGTATAATTGCGAGACGTATAAATTTGAAGTATTTATTTATGTCGAGGATTGCTTATCAAAGTGGAGTTATTCATTATAATAATAATCAAGCGAAATAGAGATGTGCTGTTGTTGTGAAATCAAACTTTTTAAATCTATTCTAAGGAGTCTTAGGTCCTGTACTAATTGTTGTTGTTTCTGTGCGAATTCTAAATCTCTATTATGATGGTGAGTTCCCTCGAGAAACTGAACGTACAATATGATGAAGTTCTGCATTAGTTAAAAAAGTAGATTCACACATCTCATTTAACTTTATCTTAAGGTCTAGTACTTCTTTGTCTTTCTTATAAAAGTAAAGTGCCTTTCTCAACTTTATAGTAGACACTATTCTTTTTGGAGTTAATTATTTTGATTTCATTAATTTTAATGCTGAATCATTTAGACAGCAAGCTTGAACTTAAGATTACAATTATTATTCATAAAAGTCTGTAAAATCATTACTTACTTTAATGTTTAAATTTGAAATCATTATATAAGCATTATTATTCTTATATATTTTTATACAGTTTGCTTTATTTGTTTTTCCCTTTGTGTAATATTAAAATTATATATCTAAATCTATGATAATTGCTATAAATAATAGATACTCTTTTTTGTTTTAATTGTTAAATATGTATTGATAAAATCTATAGGAACAAAGAAAGAGAAAGAGAATTCAAATTTAAGTTAATTGAAATAGAGATATTAATCATTAGAAAAAAATAAAAGATTTTATTTAATTCTAATAAGCAATTAACATATAAATATATTTTAAAAAAGATGTTTATTAGAAATTTAAGACGAGCCTTTTTTTCTAAAATTGAATTCATGTAATAAATGAAAGCAGATATTAAAAGCTTTGAAAGTAGTAATTATTTTGAAAAAATACTGCCAAGAAAATTTAATTTGAATGATTCATAATTTTGTAAAACAGATGATGTTTAAACTCTCACAAATAGCATCAGCAATCCAATATATGATTTATTAGATAGAGGAGGTAAAAGATGGAGACCAGCATTTTGTTTTTTAATAGCAGATTTATTTAAAAGAAATCATTAAGAATTATATGAAGTAGCATCATTAGTGGAATTAATACATAATGCTACTTTAGTAATTGATGATATTGAAGATGATAGTATTGTGAGAAGAAATGATAAATGTGTTCATATTAAGTACGGATTAGATGTAGCAGTGAATGCAGCTAATTATGTCTATTTTGCTCCATTACATTATATTTTAGATTCTACAAATTATTCTGATGAGAAAAAAATGAAAATTTTAACTGTATGTTTAAAAAATATGAAAATTGTTCATTTTGGTTAAGCTTGGGATATTGTTTGGCATAAATAGAATAGTGATATTATACCAACAGAAGAATAATATTTTAAAATGGCAGAATGTAAGACAGGAGCATTAGCTTGTATGGCAGCTTAATTATCTTGTATTGTTTTAGATTAAGATGAAAAGATTGGATAAGCATTGGCCAAATTTGCAATATAAATTGGAGTTGCTTTTTAAATTCAAGATGTATTATTATTGAATTGAATTGATAGGATATATTAAATCTAAGTGGAGGTGAAAAATATAAGAAAACTAAAGGATATTTAGGAGAAGATATTCATGAAGGGAAATTCTCTCTTATTGTTATTCATAGTTTAAACAAATAAAAAGGAAAACTATTTGAGATACTTAAATCTAGAACAAATGATTAAGCATTAATTAATGAAGTGATAATAAATAGTAAGGTTTTAGGCTATTTCTATTATTAAATAAACAGGAAGTTTAGAATATGCTCATTCAAGATCTCTAGAAATTATTGAAGAAGCATGGAAAGAAGTAGAACTATTATAATTCTAACATCCTGAAGTTAAAAATAAATTAAGAGATTTTGCTAAATATTTAATAGAAAGAGATATTTGAAACTTAAAGAATCTAAAATCTAATATCATATTAACATAGTCATTTTTATCATTAAATTTTTATCCATTTTGTTAATATAAATAATAATGCATCTATCATTATAGGTTTAGATAAGAAATCATGAAATGGTAATTTCATAATTTCTTATCGATTTTCTTATACCATATCTCCCATTAATCCTATGATTTTAGGTTCTCCTCTTAGTTTTATAGAGGTTTCTTTAATTTCAGTAAATAATTAAATCAATTCTTCATCAAATTGTTCAACTCCAATAAATAATAATTCTAAGCCTTTGCAACATTTTTAAACTGTTCCTGAATATTTAATCAAACTATTCACTATCAATTATCGTTATGTTGAATATTCATAAAGAATACCAAGATTATCCAGTTAATGTGATAATGCATACAGATCTAAATCTAAACTTTCACAAATTAAAATTTTAGGACACTTTTTAATATTAATTTATATTTTACTTAACAATTAAACTAAAATTTTTATTATTTTAATTTCTCCATTTTCTCAAAACAATCTAATAAATCATTTGGTTACATACTTCCACTAGAATAACCAAGTGATGAATAAATAGAAGATCTTCCCTATACAAAACCTCCAAATGTTAATTATTGTGATGTCTATGAATTCAATCTATCTTATCGCTTTTTATCTTCATTTATATAATCAAAAAAATAGGGTTCAGCTTTAGCCATTTAATCAACTTTTGTTGATACTTTGATTCTAGATTATATTGATATTGCATCCTCCTATAAATCAGAATCATTTTAATCAGATTCTATAAGTTACTCTTTAATTCCAACTTGAAAATACAAATTCTTTTTTATCAATCTATTTTCTAATAAATCATTTGAACTAGGTAAATCTGATTATACTCTTTTAAGTCCTTCTTTATTTACAAAAGATTAATGAAATGCTTTTTAATTCTAAAATACTGATAGTCTTTTTTATGATAATTATTCATTAAATTATGTGTTTAAATTTTAAACTTTTATTATAAACTAAAAACTTTCCTAATTTTCTATTCTCTCATAATCATACTCAAATGGAATTTAAGATAAATATTTAGTTAAATAAAAAGCTATCAATATTGATTGTGAATATTATTTTAATTTCGATAATTCTATTACTGTTGATTATAAATATTAAGATTTAAAAAATCTAACTGTTTTATCAATCATTTTTAATATTGGAAAATTAGTTTCCACAGCATTAGCTTTGATAATTACTTCCACATGATCTGAATATTAAATACATTTTCTAACTAAAAATATAATCTTTCCATTTATAGTTGCTTAAATTGTTGTCACTAAAACATCAATTAAAATTTATCTTAATCTATTAGGATCTGTTCTAATAAATTAAGGTACTTTTTATTCTATAGTAACAACCAATTTTAGACCTCTAAATGTAGCTTATGATTTTACTACATTAACTATATCAGATATAAATGAGTGAATTTATATATCAATTAATTATAATTCTAATTTTGTTCTCTTCAATAATTATGCATAATCTAATATATTATTAGCAGTATTTATTAATAATTTACATCCTGCAAGAGCTGGATTTATATATTTCTCCCTTACATTCTCAGGTATAGTATTCTAATCATATTTATTACAATTTCTTACCATTATTATTTCTAACATTGATATTGTACTGTTTAATGGCTATCTTATTTTTTATGATATATCACTTATCAAATAATCATCATGATTTCTATTCCTATCACAAATTTATTAAATTTCTTAATCACTACTTACATCACTTACAAAAAGAATCTGATATAGTCTTTACTTATGCACTAATGGACATAATACTATTTAGAAAATATAACTTTCATATTTTATATATGTTTTAATTGAAAAGTCTACTTATATCCGATTTTTAGTATACTTCAGATGATTAAAAGCTGTCAAATTATCCAACAAAAATTTTAATGTTATATTTTTGCCATAAATTTATAATCTTTAAGTTGTCTAAATTTACTTATCAAATTAATTAAATGGAACTCAATTATATAAATCATATTTACTCAAATGTTTCACTAAATTTCAAAAAATAATCAATATCTGTACTTCTATGAATTTTAGGAATTATCAAATAGTTTTCATCTTCATTAATCCCTTAATCAGATATTTAAGTCTCAAAAAACTTTTAATTTAATTTCTCATTATTTAAAATAAGATTACAGAAAAGAGGATTAATAATCTGAGTTTATTGAGATAAATTATCAATTATATAAACACCTTGATCAAAACAAGACAATATTACCTCATGTAAGTGATCTTATTAAATTAAATCTACTAAATTATTATCTATTTTCTAATCAAATGGGACACTATAATTATTTCGTTTATCAGGCATTTCAACACAATGTTAGGATTATGATTATTTTGAACTAAGAATTCTATTTGAATTTAATTAGGAATAATTAATTTAATTATTTGCACTCATTGCAATCAATTAAGCATTTGAATAACCCTTATTATTATTTCTCTAATTTTTGATCAAAATATAAATTTATAAGATTATATGCATAATCGTAAAACGAATAGCAAATTATATGTTATTATTTTAATCAAAACTAAAGTGTCTCGTAAGACTATAAATGAGATTGAATAAAAGCACAAAAGTTTAACAAATTTAAGATTCAATTGCAAATACAAAACAAAGCACTATTATAAATTATTCAATCATTGTTTAGTTTAATGATTTTTAAATATTATAATCTAATTCTTACCAACAAATGATCACACATATACTTTTTAATAAAGTTATTAAATTTATTAATCTTATTTTTATTTTTAATAATTTTATCAATAGTACATGAAAGAATCCTACCAAGAAGATTTGTGTCTAGTATAACTATATATTTTACCAAAATTCTATAAATCATTATAATTTTTTCCCCCTAAATATTTTCTGAAATTGCTTCTCCTACAACTATCATAGCATCGCACAATTAATAGAATGCAATTAAAAACATTAGTCTTTTCCATGATTCAATATTCTTGAGATTATCTTAAAAAATCACAAAATAATCTTTTAAATTATAATACATAAATTAATAATTTATTCTGATCATTCTTTCTAAATGCATTACTTTTAATTTTCTAAAGAGATTAATCTATGATATCTCTTGCCATCTAATTCTTTTATCTTTCTAAAAACACTTTGATCTTCATCAATAGAATCTATTTATGCTTATGTTTCTTATTCCTCCATAATCACGTTTACATTATTATAATGATATTATTTCATCATTTATAAATGTGGATAAACTATATCTTTTTCTGAATATCCACAAGTGTTTAATAATTTCCTAAATATTTATTTGTATTTTTCATAATCTTATGGATAATCACTAACACATGATTATTTAATTCCATTATAAAATTAAATGAATTCTAATGGAGCTCCTTTAAAAGAAAGTTCTGGAAGAAGAGACAGTTTAACATGTTCTAATTTTTTAATTTTTAATCCTTTGTTCTCATCTTGAATATCTAAGACAGAAGCAAATCCTCCATAATAAATTATGATTAATGCTAAAGATTCTAGATCATCCTTTGGAGAAGAAACTAAATTCTAATAATTAAGATTATACCTTAATCTAAATGTTGATTTAAGCTTGAAAATTTATTTAAAAATCTTTTATTTGAAGAATTACGTAAATTATCATTAACAATAATGTTTTTTTATTATTTTCGATATCTACATGCAAACTTAAAATCTGTCAACAAAATTTCAGATCCATTTTGTGATATTAACAATTTTTTTGGCCTTATATTACGATGTATGATCAATTATTTATGGATCTATTCCAGAGAAACAAGCTTTATATAATATTAAATATATACAGTTTGAATAGCAATAAGACAAAGTATAGTTATAGGTATGTTTTTGGATAAAAAATTGTAAACTAATTTTAAAGAAGGACCATGACGTTCCATTACTTAATAATGATAAAGTTATTCTTTAATTGTCTACTCTCCCATGGATAGAATTCTAGTAATGCATTTACCTATATAGGAATTTACTATACTGTCTTTTAATTTATTCAAGAAGTACTACTCAAAAATCTATTCTGTGGCATTAGTTCTTTAATATATGGAATTGGCTACCTTCTCATTTTAATCAATACGAACTTGTTTTAATCATCAGAACATTTTTTTTTAACAGCTAGCTAGGCTTTCAATCTCTACCTATGTATAAATTGTAGGTGTTTCCTTTATAGATGTTTTTCACTATTATGTATTTATCATCAATTACAACATAATTAGGTATCTCATTTATTGATCTACTCTATGAAGATGTATTTAACATTATTTAGTTAATAATAATAAATATATATATATATTCAATAAGATTTATCATTAGCATTCCATTAATTTTAGTTTAATTTTTTGCAATTTTACAAAAGTAATATTATTCATAAGAAATCTTAAAAGAAAAAACAAATTTCATATTTATTCATACAACTTCAAATAAGGTGGGAATCATAAANATGTTCTAATTTTTTAATTTTTAATCCTTTGTTCTCATCTTGAATATCTAAGACAGAAGCAAATCCTCCATAATAAATTATGATTAATGCTAAAGATTCTAGATCATCCTTTGGAGAAGAAACTAAATTCTAATAATTAAGATTATACCTTAATCTAAATGTTGATTTAAGCTTGAAAATTTATTTAAAAATCTTTTATTTGAAGAATTACGTAAATTATCATTAACAATAATGTTTTTTTATTATTTTCGATATCTACATGCAAACTTAAAATCTGTCAACAAAATTTCAGATCCATTTTGTGATATTAACAATTTTTTTGGCCTTATATTACGATGTATGATCAATTATTTATGGATCTATTCCAGAGAAACAAGCTTTATATAATATTAAATATATACAGTTTGAATAGCAATAAGACAAAGTATAGTTATAGGTATGTTTTTGGATAAAAAATTGTAAACTAATTTTAAAGAAGGACCATGACGTTCCATTACTTAATAATGATAAAGTTATTCTTTAATTGTCTACTCTCCCATGGATAGAATTCTAGTAATGCATTTACCTATATAGGAATTTACTATACTGTCTTTTAATTTATTCAAGAAGTACTACTCAAAAATCTATTCTGTGGCATTAGTTCTTTAATATATGGAATTGGCTACCTTCTCATTTTAATCAATACGAACTTGTTTTAATCATCAGAACATTTTTTTTTAACAGCTAGCTAGGCTTTCAATCTCTACCTATGTATAAATTGTAGGTGTTTCCTTTATAGATGTTTTTCACTATTATGTATTTATCATCAATTACAACATAATTAGGTATCTCATTTATTGATCTACTCTATGAAGATGTATTTAACATTATTTAGTTAATAATAATAAATATATATATATATTCAATAAGATTTATCATTAGCATTCCATTAATTTTAGTTTAATTTTTTGCAATTTTACAAAAGTAATATTATTCATAAGAAATCTTAAAAGAAAAAACAAATTTCATATTTATTCATACAACTTCAAATAAGGTGGGAATCATAAATATTTAGATACTCTTAAATTTATGGATTTCTGAATGCTTCATCATACTTTTCTCAAATTGTATATTTTGATTAAATTTTTATAATTTTTTTTATAATAAGTATAATCAATTCATGATAAAAATTCATTATTGAATTTGTTCCTTTATGGTTTCAAAAATTTTTAGGGTATTTTGTAATAAATTAAAATGTTAGATTTTTCAGATGACTCCTACTCTTTTTAAATTTAACCAGTTAATTAAAGAAAAAAGAATATTAAACTATTAGTAAAATTGATGAAACATCACAAAATTGCTAAATTAAATCAATCTATTACACTAGATAGAAATTTAGATTAACTCTATGAAAATTATAGGAATGTTAATGCAGAAGCTGAAGAAATTATAGAAGTATAATAAATTTTAAGTGCTGTCTATAATAAAGGTCATATAAGCAGGTAAATACCAAGAATAAGGAAATTTAAGTTTATTCAAAAAGTGAATCATGAGAAATAAAGATTAGAAGAAAGTATTGAAGAAAGTGAAGATGATGAAGTAGAAGTGGATAAAAAAATAAAAAATGAAATAAAATAGAAATTACTTTATTTGATAATTAATAAAGTACCATTACCTTTTATTTTAAATTTTATAGAATTCTAATAAAAAAGAGAATAATTAGTAAAATTAAAAATAAGATGTGAAGATTCATTATTAGATTCTTTAAATTTTACTTTAATAAAAGATCATAGAAATGAAGAAGAATTAAATTAAAATCTTAAATGCATAGAAATTATTAAAATGAAAGAACTTTTATTAATGAGTTTAGAATAATTAGAAAAAAGTAAAGAGAATATTCTAACTGAATTAAATGAAATGTTTCTTGATTTAAAATCATGTAAAACTTAATTAATGAAAAAACTAGAATTTTTTTAACAAAATGATGATAGTTTAGATCCTTAAATAAATAAATTATTAGGAATAATTAAAAATCTTATAAATTTCTGTAAATCAAAATCTTCTTTAAATGGTTAATTTGATAAATCAGTATTAATGCCTAGAAAAAATGGATTAAGATGGTTATAAAAGATAATTATGTTAAATTGTTGGGTTTCATAAATATCTTTTCCAGAAATATTGATATATATATAAATGAAAGGAGATTTAGATAAGAATAAATCTAATCCAAAAAGATAATGTGTAATATAACTATCAAAAAAGCTTGATTTTCTTAGAAAAATATATAATATTCCAGAAGTTAGAAAGAAATGTTGGGATTAAAAGGTAGTTTTGATGGATTAAACTAAAAGAACTCCAAGTTATATACTTTAAGAATATAACCTACATTTACATCAATTACATAAAAGCTTATTTTATGATAAATTATATTTAGATAATATGCAGGATTATGTTTTAGAATCACAATTACGAATGTTAGTCTAAAGATTTTAATAATAAAAATACTAAATTTTTGAATCATATCAAGATTTGAGATGCCAAATCAATATGATCCCAATTAATATACTTTATAAAGATTATTTGGAATGGTATAAATATGACATTGAATAATTATCTAGATTAGATTATATAAAGCATGCTAAAGATGTGATTGTAGTTTGTCTTATTAAACATTTGGGGATGCTTTTAAGAAAGGAGAATATTTTTAAGAGTGAATCAGAAATTATTAGATTCCATTTTGATAATAGATATTCTTATTCAATTTATTATAAAGAAAAAGATAAAGGAGACATATACTAATGTAATAAATATTTCTATATAAAAATACTCCTTTGTGATTTTGTAGCAATGGATTAACCATTCCCATATATATTTCGTTATTTAACTTTAAGACTTGAGAAAGTTGAGTCAATTAATTAAGAAGAGCTTTTGGCTTAACTATTAAGTGAAAAATATGTAAGAAATTATTTATTGACAAAATATAATTTAAAAATTGGAGTTGAATAAACAGGTAATCGAATAACAATAACAAGCATTCCATTATCTTTTGATGATATTACAAGAGAATTATATTATATACCTTGGGAGTATGTTGTAAGCTCTTCTTTATCAATAATATATAGATACAGAAATTACTTAAAAAATGAAATCTTATAAATGACTTCAAGCAGAGAATTTTAAGATTATAAATAAAATTTAAAGGCAGACACAAGGCTTTATGTATAATAATCAGAAATTATAACTAAATTAGAAAACATTTACAAAGACATGTAAAAATGAGTCAACTTTTTATATTTCAACCCTATTATTTAATTATTAAAATTGTTTAAACTATTTTTGACTTATAAATTTCAAATTTCATAAAAAATCTTATTGTTTATTAATCAAATCAGAATATTTTATTTATATACTACTTGCTTTAATAATTGATGTTGTTAAATTTACAAGTTTAAAAAGTATTAATATAAAATTTCTTAAATTTATCATAATCTTCTGTACTTAAGTGCATTTTTAATTCATTAAATGCTTCTGTCATACTGATATATTCTGATAAAATATCTTTTCTATATAATCAGAATATATAGAGTCCTATATCAATTAAATTGTTTGATCTAAATAAACCATTAGGGATAAATTATAAGATATTTATAATATCATAATCAAGGATATTTGTAAAATAAATAAGAGTATTTTTATGAATACATGATGAAATAGATTAATAGATTTTATGTCTGAATAATTAGTTTGCCACTTATTTATAGGTATTAAATTTATAAATTTGTTTAAATTATTTACTTTTTATAGATATTGATAATGTGAAGATGAATCTAAAAATAAAGGAAAAATATATAGAATATATTAATTAAATTTTTTTATAATTATTTGTGTAAAATGGATTACAATATGAAATTTGTAGAATTATTGAAGAAACATGAGAATCATTAGATGATACTTTAGGTGGCATTAGATATTATGCTTCAGGAGAAAAATTATAAAAACCAACTAACAAAGTATAGAGATGAATTGAGAAGAGATGATAAAATTTTAGTAACAAAATGTACAAAGGCATTAAAAGAATTGGCAATGAGATCATAATAAGATTAAGTAAAGGCTTTAGAGAAAATAAATAAAATTGATCAATAGATTATGCTGTATTTAAAAGATTAAGTTTTGCCTATCATTCATTTTGATAGAAAGTTAAATAATTATACTTTCATAAAGTATTATACAGATCCAGGTATTATAGTTGAATAATAATATAAAAATAGAAAATTCAAAAAGTCCATAAGATAATATTATTGAGACTCAACATAGAGAAAATACGAATTTGGAATCTTTTGAAGCTGATTTTTCAAAATTAGAATGGAAATTGGAAATAACATTATCTAGCATTAAGATGAGAAAAGTATAATTAAATAATGAATAATGATTAGGTAATTCGACCATTAATTCTTTTAATATTTCATACAAAGAAAGGTGTGAAGAAAACAATGTATTTAGATTACAATCAATTCTAAGAGTTTAGAAAGAATGTTGCATTAGTATTAAGATAAATTCATATAATTGAGAGTATTTAAAGTAATTTTTGAATTGATTTATTATAATAATTAATTAAATGTTATAAGAAGTAACAATTCCTTGTGGTAGATATGATTTCAATGCAGAGACTAAGAAAGTAGTTATGATAAAAGCAAAAGGATTACTAAATTTACAATTAAATGATGACAATGAGTTATGGTTGAAATGGTATAATGTTGATTAAGATGACAAAATAGAAATTGTATTGATATTTAATTAATTATGAAGGAAAGAGTTTTAATTAAAGGATGTACATTTTTTGAGAAAGTAAAAGGTCAAAATAGAGTATATCTCTTAAGATTTATAGATGATGATTAAAAATATTTCTTCTGGATGCAAGTAATCTATAATTCTTATTAAATAAGTCTGATGATCCAAACTCTGATGAAAATTATTGTAAGCAATTTATGAATGTTATCAATGCTTAAGTTTTAGATGATCCTATTGAAATCGAATAATAACCTCCTGTTTAACCTTAATTAACACAACCACAAACATAACCTGTTTAATAATAAATGGATTAATAATAATAATAGCTATTATAATTGCTTTAATAGTAATTGGCATAACGAGTAGGTCCAGGATTATCTTTAACTGATATATTAAATAGTGAATTCTTAAATCAAATAGGAAATGATTAAGAATATTTCTAAGTTTTAAAAGAGTAAAATATTTTATATATAAATGAGTCATTTACCTCCTGATTAATAAAACTTTGAATAATTTAAAGAGAATTTATTGAGTCCGTAATTCAAATAAGCTTTGGATTAATTAACTCATGCTTTAAAAGGAAGAGAAAGAAGTTCTGTTATTTAACAATTAGATTTAGATTACAGAATATTAGAATAAGAATTTGATGGAGTTGTAGCTTTTGTTAAAGCTATTATTCAACACATTTAAAATAAAAATTGATATCATTAACATTTATAATTTATTCATTAATAATTATTTGATTCTCTCATTATGTTAAATTGATTATTTCTAATATGAAACATAAGAGTATATATTATTGAAAGTATTTAACTTATAATAATAATGTTTTTAATTAGTTTAGAGAATACATATATAAAAGTGATACTAATATATAAAATGGAATCATAATAATAAATGTCTGATTTATATAAAATTAATAAAAAAATATCACAAGGTGCATTTGGAACAGTTTATGAGGGTATTAATTTAAAAACAGGAGAAATAATAGCTATAAAACAATTGTTTTGTAATAAAAAAGTATTACGAGAAGTTCATCTACATGAAAAGATGAATCATAAAAATGTTATTAAAGTGTATTAATATCAAGTTCTTGATTAAGAATGTTCTATATATATGGAATATTGTTAATATGATTTACATTAATTCATATAAAGTACTCTCTATCCATTAGATGGAGAAATCATAAGAAATATTGCATATCAAATTCTATGTGGTATAGAACATATTCATTCGCGATAAGTTGTTCATAGAGATCTTAAACCATCTAATATAATGCTTCATGATGGAATCATTAAGATTGGTGATTTTGGATCTGCTGAACATTTAAGTAAATTAGATTAAAATGGATAATATTCAACTGAAGGATTTTCTAAATGGTATATGGCACCAGAAATGTTATTTGGAAAAAGAGATTATGGAACTGAAGTTGATATATGGTCTTTTGGTTGTATNTAATAATAATAGCTATTATAATTGCTTTAATAGTAATTGGCATAACGAGTAGGTCCAGGATTATCTTTAACTGATATATTAAATAGTGAATTCTTAAATCAAATAGGAAATGATTAAGAATATTTCTAAGTTTTAAAAGAGTAAAATATTTTATATATAAATGAGTCATTTACCTCCTGATTAATAAAACTTTGAATAATTTAAAGAGAATTTATTGAGTCCGTAATTCAAATAAGCTTTGGATTAATTAACTCATGCTTTAAAAGGAAGAGAAAGAAGTTCTGTTATTTAACAATTAGATTTAGATTACAGAATATTAGAATAAGAATTTGATGGAGTTGTAGCTTTTGTTAAAGCTATTATTCAACACATTTAAAATAAAAATTGATATCATTAACATTTATAATTTATTCATTAATAATTATTTGATTCTCTCATTATGTTAAATTGATTATTTCTAATATGAAACATAAGAGTATATATTATTGAAAGTATTTAACTTATAATAATAATGTTTTTAATTAGTTTAGAGAATACATATATAAAAGTGATACTAATATATAAAATGGAATCATAATAATAAATGTCTGATTTATATAAAATTAATAAAAAAATATCACAAGGTGCATTTGGAACAGTTTATGAGGGTATTAATTTAAAAACAGGAGAAATAATAGCTATAAAACAATTGTTTTGTAATAAAAAAGTATTACGAGAAGTTCATCTACATGAAAAGATGAATCATAAAAATGTTATTAAAGTGTATTAATATCAAGTTCTTGATTAAGAATGTTCTATATATATGGAATATTGTTAATATGATTTACATTAATTCATATAAAGTACTCTCTATCCATTAGATGGAGAAATCATAAGAAATATTGCATATCAAATTCTATGTGGTATAGAACATATTCATTCGCGATAAGTTGTTCATAGAGATCTTAAACCATCTAATATAATGCTTCATGATGGAATCATTAAGATTGGTGATTTTGGATCTGCTGAACATTTAAGTAAATTAGATTAAAATGGATAATATTCAACTGAAGGATTTTCTAAATGGTATATGGCACCAGAAATGTTATTTGGAAAAAGAGATTATGGAACTGAAGTTGATATATGGTCTTTTGGTTGTATCTATGCTGAATTACTTACAGGACTACCATTATTTACAGGCAAAGGTGAAATTGATTAAATCATTCATATTGGTAATATCTTAGGTTCACCTACTGAAGATAATTGGCCAAAAGTTAAAGAATTACCTGATTAGGGAAAGATCAAGTACTTACTTTCTTTATTTCAGCTTTCAACATGTCAAACCTAAATCTTTTTTTGAACATTTTGATTTAGCTGATGATGATTAGATCAATTTCTTACAAGCTACTTTAAAATATTAGGATCGTCTTACTGCCTCTGAATTATTGAAACATAAATATTTCAATAAGATTAATGAACATTTCAAAATCAATGTAGAATGCCTTCCTAAAGAATAATATAATCCTTATTATAAATATATTTGAAATTTATATTTATTTCATGAATTCTTCTATTCAAATACCACAAAATGATGATATTACACAAAATAAAATGAAAGCACTAGAACTTAATGCAAATTAATTTCAAGCATAATTGAAAGTATCTTAATACAATTATTAAGCCTCTTTTTTAAGAGAATACTAAGTTAAAATAACATGTCATTGGTCTTAACTTCTATATTGAAGAAAGAAAATTGTAACTTAGTAATTTAATCAATGATACTGGACCTAATGGAGAAGATAGAGTTTTGATTAAGGCAGTTGCTGATTTTAAATAAATATGTGATCTTTTAGAAGGTATTTAATTAAATAATTTATTAGAGGAATTACTTAGGCTTAATAAAACTATTGTTGATAACACCAACGAAAACTCAAAACTATAAATCATCATAAAATAATTAAAAGACAAATCATAATAAGAAACAGATCGATTTTTTTAAGAAAAATAATCATTTATTGATTAAAATCGTCGTTTGAGTGAATATCATAAATAAGAGTCACTTAATTGGGAATCAATTTAAAATAGAATGGTATATATTTGATTATCTAAAATATAGTAAATGAAAATTGAGGACTTATGTTCTTAGATTTTTTAATTAGAATTCATTATAAGTAAGACCCATAAACATTATAAATCTTAAATAGAGGAGAAATCTCTTATTATGAATCATGTAGTGAGATAATTAAATTTAGAAAAGGAAGAATTGATGGAAAATTTTGAAGTTGAAAGAAGATCATACTTATAATAATTAGAAATTTTTAGTAAAAAATTGAATGAGAATAAAACAGCATTAATTAATGAATATGAGTATAAGATCTAATCTTAAAGAATGAAATTAGAATCCTAAATTTAAAAATTAATGGAAGATTGTTAGGATTATAGAAATTAATTTTTGAATACAATTGAAAGTAATAAAATACTATAATTGTAAATTGAAAGATACATTCCTTAAATTGCTACTTTAGAGAAAGATATTTAAGATTAAAAATATAAAGTTTTTCTTAGTGAAGAAATTATAAGAACAAAAGAAGCTTAAATATTATAATAAGAAAAAGAAATCAATTAATTAAAGTATTAATTATAAATTATTTAGTGAATAGATTAAAAAACTCAATTTAGAAAAAGCATAATTATTAATAAAAGATTAATAAAAAAGATAGGGATCTATAATATAATAAAATAAAACTTAATCTCCAGATAAAGCTATTTAATAAAATAAGAATTCATAGCATTAAAGATAGAGTATTAAGTATAGAGATTAGATTAAGTATCCTATTTCAGATTCTTAAATAAATTCCACTTTAAAAAAAAAAAATACTTAAAAAGATGAAAATACATTTGAAGAAACAACTATTGAATAATATGTAGAAAATAATAAATAAGAAATTCTATAATCAATTTAATAATCTAAACAATAGTCAAGATCTTCATCTGTAGATGAATTAAATAATTCTCAGCTTCCCTTAATAAAGATTGTAAATAATGAAACATAAAAATCCATCAATACTGACTATATTTAAATAATTTAAACAGAAAATAATCTCTCTTTATAAACAACACAAAAAGCATGGATTTTACAAAATGATGCTGAAGTTTAATGCAATTTAATTGATTTCATTAATTCATCTATAATTTCAACTTATGAGTAATAAATTACTAAATTAAATAATGAGCTTCATTAATTAAAAAATGAATATGAAATTCAATTAAAATTGAAAGAAGATTAAATAAATGAAATTTATGAATAAATTAAATCTTAAAAGTCTATTTTAGAATAAAATTAAGAATAATAATTAAAAGATATCTAAAAATAATAGTAAGATATCCTAAAATACTAAGAAGATGATCTAATATAAAAAGAAAATACAATTAAATAATTAGAATTGGTAATAAATGAAAAAGATGTAAAAATTTAAAAATGTCTTGATTAAGAAAATATATATAGGGGTATGATTGAATAATTAAATGAAAAGCATAGATAATCAGGATTTAGTAAAAATGAGCTTATCCTAAAATTTTAGGATGATATGAAATAAATGGAGAACGAACATTAGATTGAATACAAAAGACTTTTAGAAGTAAATGAAAAATTAAAGGAAATGCATTAATAAGAAATATAAAATTTAAATAATTAGCATCAATTAGATTAAGAATAATTGATACAAGAAAGAACAAGATTAGAAGATTAAAAAGTTGAACATGAATATTATATTAGATCTACTAATGATCTTTTAGAATAAGCAAAATCTAAAGAATTTTTATTAGATAATTATAGAAGAGAATTATTAAAGACTAATGAAATTGTCAAGTATCTTTCTTTAGAAATTGAGAATTTTAAGAAAATAAATAATATTTTTAGATCTAAAAATGATCATTCAAATTATAACTTTCTATATAATGGTATGGGGTTTCTTCCAACTGAAGTTTAAGATAAGATAAAATAAAAAATGAATAAAGTTAAACAAAAAAATTAATCAAACAATATTTTGAAAGATGCTTATGCCATGAATTTTTAATTATAAAAAGGCACTAAAATGAAATATGCAAAGCTAGTTTCAATGAATGCAAAAAATTTAGATTAAAAATAATTAAAGTTTTTATTACTTTTAATAATTTTAGATAAGAAATAAAATTTAAATTAGAAACATTCAATGAACTTAATGAATCCTTGCCAAAAATCAATCCAAAGAATTTTTAAGAATGCGCACGTACAAATTCAGACCGCAAATTAAATTAGATTAATAAAAATCTTCGTTCAAGTATTTAATAGAATATTTTTAAGAAACGTAACAGGAAGATTACATGAATAGTGATTCAAATAGAATGATATAAGATATCAATTAGAGAGAATTAATGTTAATATAGAGCAGCTAACAATTACTGTCTCAAATTAATTCTTAAACTATTAATAAAAAAAATTTTAATTTAATAAAAAAAAACAACCAAAGTACTTCAAGAATTTGAAAACTTGTTTTTTATATTTATATTATAAATAATAATTAACTTGATTATTAATAATAAAAAAGATTATAAAATTTTATATATATATAAAATAAATCAAAACTCTTCAGTTCTTTAAGAGGTCTAAATTTATAATAATTTTATACTTTAAATTATTAATCTGATCTATCAGTTCCTTTTTAACTCTCTTCTTCTGGAATTAATGGAGTATTAAGTTATACTTGAGATGTCTTTATTATAGTAGTCGCAGTTAGAACTTTAGTTGCTGTTTCACCAGAAGAATATGATCTTTTATTTTCTGTATCATTAACTTTTTCTTATAATTCTTAATTCTTTTTATTTAATTATTCTAATGTTTTCTCATATTTCTTTTTTAAAGAAGCTAATTCTATTTATAAATCTTCATTTCCTCTTTTTAAAGCATTAATTTAATCATTTTTAGTACTTAATTAAGCTTAGACTTCTACTAAATCGTGAGAAATTTTTGAATTATCCCTTGTCAATTAATCAATTTTTCTATTTAATTCATCTTATTCACCTCTTCTTTTTTTCATTAAATTATCAATTTATTAAAGTTCTTAATCTTTAAGTTCTAAGTCTTAATTTAATTTTTCTATTTGTTTTTCAAACTACTTTTTTTCTGTACCATATTTAATTTATTTCTATTCTAATTAATGTAATTCATCAGTTTGCTAATTATACTTTCTTTATAACACAGTATATTCTTCATTAGAAATATAATCTTAATTTAGTTAATTTTTAAGAGCTTCAATTTCTTTTGATTTTGAGTCCAATAAATCTTCTAATTCTCTTCTTTCTCTAAGTAGTTAATTCTATCTTAATTACAGTGTTTCTAATTCAATTTCTAAAACTTTAATTTTATCTTAGAATGCATTCTAAAAATATATATATAATAAATAATTACTTATTCTGCTTAATATTTTAAATCTGATTCTTTTCTTTCATATTCAAATCTTTAATAATATTCTAATTTTAGATTAGTCTCCTCTACATATTGATTAAATTATTCTCTTAAATCCTCATACTTTTATATTTATTCCTCCATTTGTCTTTCTTTATTTTAACTTTTCTCTTATAAACTTTATACTTATTCTTATAAAGTTTCTCTCATACTTTAATATTCACTTTGTCTTTATTAAGTTGTATCCATCAACTATTTTAAATTTGTAATTTCTTAAACATATTAATGTTCCCTTCTCCTAAATTCATCTTAACTTTATTGTGTTATTAATTCTTATTGTCGAACTCTATTATTTGTAGTATCTAAATCACTTAAATATTATTATAATTCTTGTTCTCTTTAATTTATTTATTATTTAAGTTATTATATTTTATTTTCCAAACCAAGTTCTTTTTTAACAAATTGAGCTCTATCGCTTTCATTTTATTATTTCTAATCCTCAATTTCTTAAGTAAGTTATTAATTCTACTCTCTTAATTCTGATATTATTTAATCTAATTACTCAATTTTGGATTTATATAAAGTAAATTAAGAATTTATATTATTTTTCTCATTTTATAATTATTAAATATGAAATTCTTTTTATTATAACTTTTATACCAATTCTTATCTACCTTATTCATTATTGAACTCTTATTGTATTTGTTAAGTCTCAAAATCATTTATTCTTTATTTTAATTATTTAATTTATTATTCTAAAAGATTCTTCTCATTTATTAATTTAATTTAGGATTAATTTGATTCTTTTTATAAATTATCTATTTCCATTTAATATTAATTTATTTCTTATTCTTTAAGTTTTTCTATGTTTTCTAATTTCAACAATAATCCATCAAATTCTCCTTATTTTTAAGATAAATTTAATTTGTATTAATGAATTGTTTCATCTTTTAATTTGAGAGCATAATCCTATTATAAAATTTAATTTTTATGATCACTTATTTAATCTTATAATTATCTAATTTCATATTACAATTTAGTTGTTTAGTTTTATAAATCACTTTCATATTCTATTTAGAACTATTTTTAAATTTCTTATGATTGAGATTTAACAAGGTCAATTTCAATTTTAAAGTCATTAATAATTTAATTTAATCTCTAAATTTCGTGTTGTTAATTTTAGTTTTTCTATAATAAATCATTTTAAAATTATTTTTATTTAGAAAATTCATTTTGTAATTCTTATAATTCATTTTCTTTAATTCTTTTATAATGTTCATGGTCTTATACAAAAATTCTTAATTCTGATTCTATAGCTTATTATTTTTATTATAACTATTTATTCTCTTCATACTTTTAATTAATCTTTCCCTCAAATTCCAACAATTTTTAATTTAAAGATCTAATTTAGGATTCATAACTCAATCTTTCTGCTTAAAATTTAATAGTAACTTCCTTAATTTCTCTTTCTACTTAAGATTTTTTCATATATTCATAATGAGATTTCAATTCATTTAAAGTTGTTTGATGATTTATTTCTTACTACATTTATCTATCTCTTTAAGAATCAGATTCTCTTAAGAGTCCTTATTATTATAATTTTATTTCATCTAAAAGTCTTAATAATCGGGCATTCTCTTCAAATAATTTTTCCTTCTCAATTTTGAAATCATTTAATTTAATATTCTAATAGCTTGATTCATTCATTTATTATTCAAATTGAGTTAATAATCTATTATATTTCTATTATTCTTATTGTAATAATTCATTCAATCTAGCAATATTATTACCATGCTATGCTTAAATTTCTTTAATTTAAAGTTCATAATTAATACGAATAGAACTATCCGTTGAAATCTTTAACTCTTCTTAATCTCTTGCATTCTTAGATTAAAGTTCTTTTATATATTATCTTAGATTTTCAATTTCAATAGTTTTGGTATCATTTTATTATTTCAATATTCCCATATCTTTTTGTTATTGAAACATCTTTTATATATTAAAAAATATATATATACTTTAGATTCTAAATCAAAATATTTTTGTTCCAATCTTAATAATTCTTAAGTTTAAGCATTAATTTCTTCATTCTTATTTTAGATTAATAATTTATGCTATTAAATATTCATTATTTCAGTTTAAAGCTTTTATTCCAAACATTTAGTTTGAAGCTCAAAGTCAATTATAATTTAGTTGTATTTTTATTGATCAGAAAATAATTGACTTTATAATTATCCATTCTCTTAACTTAACCTCATAAATCGTACTTCATATGAATCTATTAATTTATGATTCTCAGACTTTTAAAATTAAGGAGATATATCTCTTTAATAAGTTGATTTTATTATGGGTGAATAAGAAGTTTCGGCTAATTATGATGATAATATAGAATTATACTTTTTTCATATTTTTGAGATAAACCTGATTTTGCTACTTCATATGAACTCTTTATTCGTGATCTATTTTCACTTTATAAAATAATATTCATAATATATTTACGAAGGAATCGGGCTATCTTTTTTAGTGAGTTGTTTCACTTATTCATCATTTTTTACATGATATGCAGGTTGGTTATTAGGGATATTTGAATTATCATTCTCTTACTTGTAACGAGATTGTTACAAAGAAGCTTAATTAGAAATTGACCATCTATTATTCATTTAACAGAAATATGATTGAAATTTGTTGTTAAATAATTAATTATCTGTCTTTTTAATTTTTTATAAATACTAGAAATATATATTTTATAAAATCTTTAATCCAATTCTTAAGGATTTTATATTATTTTACTTCTATTTAACTAACATAATATCTATTACTATAATAAATTATAATTTAATTCTTCTTTTTAAAATTTAGAAGAATTTTATTAGTATTTTTAAACTTAGAACCTTCATTTGTATAAGTTATAACAAAACACTTATTTTACCTTACAATATTAATTAATATATCCTGTTTATTAATATGATAATATTTTATAAGTTTTAATTATATATTAGCTATCATTTATTTTTTATGATGGATTTTGCTAAAACTTTATTTTTAGCTGTAGTATTTGATTATACTTTAAAATATTATTTATCTTCTATTTATAACTTATTCTGATGATTACACAATTTTTTCTTCTTTGATTTTTATTAAGAGTTTTCTAATTTCATTTTAACTTTTTAAAATGGAGAAATTTTTTCAAAGTTTTATAAAAGGCTTTTTTAATTGTTTAATGTTGATGAATATGAATTAGAAGGATGAAAAATAATTTATTTTTCAGGAGATTTTTTTGGTTATGTTTTTAATTTTAGACCAAAATTATTTGAATATATTTAAATAAGCTATTAACTTTTTTTTGTTGGAGAAGTGTCATTGTGAATTGTAAATTGTTTCATTGATTGCATTGGAATATGTATTGCATTATTTGTTAATTTTTGTTAGACTTCTGAATCTTATCCATTGAAATTTAATTGTTTTAAATGTATTTTTTCATTTTTGATATATTCAGATGAAATACTCCTAGTACTAGTTATCAAATGAGTGCTACTACGTTTTCCCTAAGTAATAATATTATAATTTAATTCAATGTGATTTTTATTTTAGAAAATTTCTTGGACTTTAATTTTATTTTATTTAGATTAAGCTAAGACTTTTTAATTGATAAATGATTTAAATTCATTTTCTTCTTGACTTTTATTTATATGTTATTATGAGGATGATTATTAGGTAGGATGAATCCTCTCTCGAGATTAATTTTATGAATTCCTAATATTTGTTAAAGTTTTTCCTTTCAATAAATGAAAAGGCAAGTTTAATTTAATCTTCTCTTTAGAATGATTTTAAACAAGTTTTTTAAGTATTTTAAGATTTTAGAGTCCTTACTTATTTTTTAATTATGGAATAATTAATTCTTACTACTGCATAGTTAACCATGTTTCATCAATATTCTATTAAAAAAAATAGACAAATATTTACTATCTTTTATTCGTCATTGGGTTAAATTTTAAAGAACTCATTTAAAATAGACTTAGTGGATTTTTCAGTAATTTTGGTCAAACTATTTAATACTTATATTTCCTGATTCAATCTTTCCTATTCTAATGTTGTTATGAAAATATTTTTATACATATACTCAAGCTTGATTAATCATAAGAAATCCCTAGCATTTTCTTAATTTTTCTATAATGATATTTTCTATTGAATTGTTGATAATAATATTTTGTACTTTTTTTTCTCAAAATATGAGATGACTATTTCGGCTAAGACTCCAAAAAAGATTCTAGGTAAGTTTTGATGAAATTTATAATAATCCAGCAATGATAAAAATTTTTGAGTTTATTGATTGGTTGGATAGAACCTTGATGATGAATTACGGTATACCTTTTTAAATATTCATCATCATCCTATAAATGTAAATGATCTTTAAAATCAATAATCCATTTGATTGGTTTATTAACAAAGAAGTCTTGGAAGTTTTTTGATTTTTTGGATGAATATTTAGTGTACAATGCCTGTTCATTGTTTAATTATTGATACACTATTGATTAAATAGGCGTAAAAATGGTTAACATTTGGAGTGGCTTAAATTTTTTAACATAATGGACAATGCCTCTACCTCATAACTGTATGTAATAAATTTTGTATAAAATATATAAAAAATCAATTACTTCCTTTGACTCTAGTGATAGGTCTTTCTAAAAGAGCATAAGTTTAGACTAATCTAGTAGCCTAAGAGAATAGAATAAAGATAAAGATACTTTTTCTTCATTTTTATAACCAGCAGATTATTTTAGTCCAAATTCAGTGTAATATTTTCCACTGAATTTTTCCATTAACTACATATCTCTATAAAAAAGAACAACAGTTTAATTTCCATCATTTCCAGCTTATCTGATATAACCCTAAAGTTTAATAATAAATTGTATAATACTCTATAAATGATGTAATCATCAAGACTGATGGCAATTTCATGAACACCTCTAGTAGGAGTTTTAGTGTAATTCCAAAAGATAATGCAACCTAGAGCAAAAGGTTATTCAGAGCCAAAATAGAGAGTATTAATTTATGGATCTTGAGAATGATCAAAACATCTATTAGTAAATGGTGCTAACCACATATGAATATCATTTTATGTTTCATTAATACCATCTAACAGATTTTCAACAACTCTTTTATCTCCTTTCATAGATTAAAGAATTCTAACAGAAGAAGGTTCAGCTCCAATATTTCCTTAAATTTATCTACCTTTGAAATCTAGAACTTCTAATCCATTCAGTCCAATGTAATGAATATCTCCATAAGTAGTTATCAATTATATTTTAAGTTCATATCCAACAAGTAGATTATTGATTTCATATTCACATCTTAATTATTTTTAAACTTAAGGAGTTTCTTCGAAAACATAATCTTTGCATGGAATTGTTATTGTTTAAGCATAATCATATGTATCACAACCAGGAGCTCTCTTCAATAATACACAATTAGAAATAGTTCCTTAATCACTTAATAAACTGATAAATTTGGCACCTCTAAAAGTATCTTCTTAAGATTTATTATAATTCCATATTCTAATAGATGTTATCAATTATGGAATATCAAATGTGAATGTTATAGTTACATATCTTCCTGGTTGGAAGGGAACAATATACATATTTATATCATTAGTTGTCACATTAATCCCATTTATTAGACCCAATAGATTACCCTTGTCTCCATCACACTAATAATCTGATTTGATATTTTTTACTTATATTTTGCCCTCCTTACCTAAATAGATAAATCAATCAATACCATAAAAATCTATTCCTGTTAATCCTATATATGGTTAATCTACCCATGGTCTTAATAATTTAATTTATAAAAATCTACAAGTTATACCATTTGAATTCTAATTTACTAGAGCTCTTTAGATTTATTATTTCTCTTATCTTTATTAATTTTACTCTTATTTTCTAGATTATTTAACTATTATTATTATCATTTAATAATACTTTCATTCTAAAGATTAGTAACTTTAGCTGAAGTTGTTGGTCTCACTTCTGAATCTGCATTTCCTGTATTAGGTCTTTCATTTTAATAATCATGATAAATTGTTTAAAATTCTTAAGTATTTATCCAATCATTCTTAGCTATTTATGAAATGATGTTTTCCTCATTTGTAAATAAAAATAATTCAAATGGTTATTCATTCTAATTTATCACTCTCTATAAATTCATATTACCAAAACCTTTCTTTATATCTCCTCTAAATACAATTTAATTATCAAAAAATAAACTTATATCTTTAGCTCCTCTAAAACTATGAATTCTACTCTTATTATAATTCCATATTCTAATCATACTTATTTTCTTCTTATCAAGTAAATCGATTGTAATTTTATTAATCTTTCCTCTTTAAAATGGACTCAACCAAACATGCATATCAGATTAAGTAAAATACACTCCATCAACTAATTTATCAGGAGTTCTAGGATCATTGAAATATTCAGGTAATATATTGATGTCACTAGGGTCAGCCTTAACTTAAGTATATGGATCTTAAATTTCTATTTATTTTCCTACTTCATTAAATATTTCTATTCCATTAAGACCCACATAGTATTTATCTCCCCAAGTTGAATGTATATGAATTGTTATAATTCTTACTTTTGGAAGAGATGGCAAGGAAATCTACTTCTTAACCTTCTTTACTTAAGCTTAATTATTTAATGGTTAATTTAATAAATCTTTTATGAGTTATGCATTTTCTTATGTTTATTATCTATAATTATTTCTTTCAGGTTATTAGCTTATTTATTGAGGAATTTATTATTAAGATGGTATTTCCCATTTTGATAATTGTGGTTTTTATTATATATTATTTGGTCTTTGTTATCCTTTAAAAAAAAAGTCAAGAGCATCTATTTCTTCATATTTAGGTTAAGGTGCAGGATCTTCAATAATATCTTATCTTTAAACAGGTTTTAATCTTCCTTATTGTGTAATATTAAAATATTAAAGAGTTTCTTCAAGGTAATCTTAGGTTGGTTATGGATTATCTCTTCTTCTTCTTGGCTCAATAATTTATTGTTGATTAGATTAATTAATTATAGGTTATTGTGTTTATTCAATTTTTTTATCACTTTTAGCAGTATCTAATCGTTCCCCTTTAAATATATCCACAACAATAGGTCCTTTTCCTTTTCTAGAGGGAGGTGGTTTTGAATCATCTAATTTCTCTTACTTTTTTTCAATGACATCTGATTAATCAATTTATCCTCTAAGTTTTTAAGCAAATTTGGATTAAGTATTTTATAAGGTTGGAAATTTAAAAGTATCAATTATTGGAATTTCAGTTCCATAATCTTCAATTTCAAATCCAGTACCTTTCTTAATTTCAACAATTTTAGAAATAACTTTACCTTTTTATCTACATAATACTTCTAAATCTCTAACACCTTTAACACTATCAATCAAACTCTTATTATAATTATATACTTTGATTCCTCCTAAGATAATATCATCATCATATGATATTTCTATTTCTATTGTTTTTGGAGGATCAGGCATACTTCCTAACCACATATTAATTGCATCTTTAGTTAAGAATTTTCCATTTATAAGAATTTCTGGCATTTTTAATGATTATGCATTATTCATCTTAATATTATATGGTTTAAGTGAAACTTTGTTACCATCAGATGTATATAATTCAATTTCAGTTAAACCTACTAAACTTGGATTACCCCAGGTAGAGAGAATTCTCATTTTTAATTAAGAATTCTTATCAATCAATAAATCAGTATTTCTTTCTAATATTATTTATGCTTTTTCTTCTTTCACAAATTCTTATTAAATTTAAATAACATTATTGATACTTGGATTTCTTTTTTTAGTTTCAATTTATGGTATTTATAGCGATGGTTAATTGTTTGTTATTTATTATTGAAGAGATAGTTATACTTATTCTTTTGGTTTATTTTCTATAATTTATAATTCTTTTTATTATTTTTGTAATTTGATAGGAATATCAAGTGATACTTTTTGTTATAATTATTCATTTTATATATTTTATTTAACCTTCTATTCTTCTAAATTGATAGTATTTTTATTTAAATAGAAAATGAGTTTTTATTTTTCATCACTAGACAATTTTTCAATTTTTTCAAATAATTCTTCTAATTAATCCTTTTGTTTTTCTTAAGGTTTATTAATTAATGATGATGATGTTTAAGGTTGATTGAATGAATGATTATCATTTTTAATATCATCTTATTTATTGACAGAATTAGCTCTTAATTAAGGTTTAGATGCATATTATTTATTTTCTGGTTTTGTGACAGGAGGAGGTTTAATTTCAGAAGAAAGTTATTTAGTTGATTAAGGTATTTATTATTCTTAAGATTATTGTTATTCAGAAATAGCACTAATTGGTCTAGGTTTAGTAATAGGTAAATTGACAACTTGAATAACTTTTTAAGGTTGTTATTATTATACAATAGGTTATATTTAAATTTTATTGTTGTCAACATCATCTTTGTAAACTTATTCATTATTAATTTCTTCTTCACCTTCAGATTAACACAACTTAGTTTATTCAGATAATAATTACTTCTTCTTCTTCTTAAATTTATTACTCTTCCTATTCCTCATTTTCACTATCCAAGAGCTATGAAAAATGAGGATCATATCTATGATCAATTGGAGTATCTTTCTGTAACTTTTCAAGCAAATCCTATTAAGATTTGCTTAGCACATTACCTGAATTAATGATGCCCAATACCTTACACTAATGATTTTTTTAAAACTTCCAAATCATCATGATCAAGAGTACCTATCTATTATGATTGACTATGTTCATCCTTCCATTTCTTCACATTCTTCGTTTTTAAAATTTATTGATTTTTTATCTTCTAATTTACCCTATCTTTATTTGCTCCAGAAATAAAAGTATCAAAACCCTTCTCTCTTAATTGTTATTATTATTTCTTTTATTATGGTTTCATTTTAATGTTCTTATTTATTATTTATTAATCAAATTTTATAAATTGTATACTAAATGACGCAATAAACATAAACAATCCACTTAATCCAAAATTAACTAATATCTATCTTTTTAATAATATATCTAGAATTAAATTTCAAAATTATTTAATGACTTGTAATTATTAAATCATTCTATATCTACTTTACAATCACTTCAACTATAAAATCTCTCTTAGATTAAATATTATATTAGACTATTCAATTATTGAAGTCTTATCAAATACATTCAATTATTTATACTATTTTTTAATATTTTAATAAAATCTATTTCAAATATCCAAATATTAAACCTTAAATACAATTCTCAAATAAATAAATTACTACTAATAATTATAATTACTTAATAGTAATAATCTAACACTCCAAATACTCTTTGACTTTACATATACTCTCCAATAACATATATGAAACCTAAAAATATGAAACTAGATAAATATGCTCGTCAAAATTAAAATGATTGCTCATTAATTAAAAATCTATTATATCATCTATTTATTCACTTACACTTTATATTCTTGGAAAGTCTTTAAAAAATCTACTAAATATTTAAATACCTATTTAAAAATATGGTTATACTCCTTTCAAGTAAATATTTTAAATAAATTCCTGATTCTAATAAAATCAATCATTATTTAAACCTCAATTGTATAGATGAAAGTATTGAGTAAGAAAACTTCGATAATAATAATTTTTGAATATGGTGTAAATTTAGAGATTTAGAAAGAATGAAGAGAAATTTTTGAGTAACATTGTTATAATTAAATATATTATATAATTAAAATGTCTTAAGAACCACGAGCATAAACAGTTGGAGCTTTTGATAATAAAGTTAGTTCAATTGTACCATTGTCTTAATTAAGAAGAATTCAATAAAACTGTTTTGGAACATAGGAGAATTTTGGATTAATCTAAAAGATGGAACTGTAAATATTTGATTTAGTGATAAAGACATGCAAAATCATAGGAAAGAGTAAAGAGATGGCCAAATACAATAAATGCATTAAGAAAGAAGAAAGACTAAACAAGATTTGAGAGATTCAAAGCAGACGAAGAAGAAAGAAGAAGATAAGGGGAAGAAGAAGCAGAATATTAAGCATAAGTTAAATAGGAAATATTGGAGAAAGCTAATCGTTAAATATATGAGGCAAATCCAAGAGTAAGATAATTTTAAAGCAAATTATTAATTACTGATGTGATGTAAGAGAGAGATGCATAAGTTGAATTAAATTAATATAAGAGAACTATCTTAGAGTAAATTTATTATATCAATCTTATTTTAGTATGAAGGAATAAGCTCATCATGAAGATGTATTAGAGAATGTGGCAAGATTATAATAGATAGAAGATATGAAATTAGAAGAAATGAAAAGAAAGAAAATGGAATAACGAAAAATATTGAAATAATAACATGATGAAATGGTTAATAATCATATTAAATTAATATAAAATGATAGAATTGAAGGATAATTAAATAAAGCTAAAGCTGAATAAATGATAAAAGATGAAGAAGAAGCTGAAAATCAAAGAAAAAGAAAAAGATTAGCAAATATTGAAGAAGTTAAAAGAGGTAATGAAGATCTCAAAGAATAAAAAAATCTTTAAAAAATCAAAGAATTAGAAGATGATGAAAAAATTAGACTTTATGCTGAAAAAAAAGAAAAAATTATGGAAATGAGAAAAAAAAGAGAAGAACTCAAATTTAAAGAAAAGTAAGAATAAAGATAAAAATTGATTGATACTTAAATAGCTAAATTAGAATCTATTGAACATGAGAATTAGAGAATTCTGAATAAATAAATTTAAGAAGCAGAAATTAAAGCAGAAGAAGTTGAAAGAATTAAAAGAGAAAAATAAATACAATTGAAAAAGAGAATAGATGAAAGTAGGAAAATTACTGCAGAATTTAAAATTAAAGATACAGAATAAAGAGTAAAGAATGATAAAGAATATTAAGAATATTGGAAATAAAGAGCTGAAGAATTAAAAAAGATGGAAGATGATGAAAATGATTAAATTAGATAAAGAAGAGTTTAACTTAAAAATTTCTAACTTACACAAATTGAAGAAAAATAGGTATTATTATAATATATAAATTTTCAATAGAAATTAAGAGAATAACAAATTTTATAAGATTTGGATGAAGCTGAAGAAATACTCAGAAAAAAAGAATGTTCTACAAGAACATTCACATCTTGGGCATAGAGAGCAGTTGAAGAATGGTAAAGTAATGGAAAAAATGTATATCCTATGCTTAAAGAACTTACAGCCTAATAATAATGATGACTATAATAATTCGTTTTATATTATTTATAGTATAATAATGAATGCTTTTGTAAATTTATTTTTGCTAATCTTTATCAATAATGCTTATGATAAATTCAACAACAAGAAGCTATTTATATATTTAAGGATTTGAAAGATACAACCACTAAAACATTAGACTTTTTTGGTTACTGAACATAAAATTTAAATTTGAATCTAGAAATAGTTAGAATTAATTTATAAATGAATCTATTACTTAATCAATTTAAATAATTAAGACTAAAAAATTAAAGATTAGTAAAAACCATTAAAGACGTAAAAATCAATTAGATTTAAAGTAACTTTCATATTAACACTAAATCAAAATAAAATATGAATAATATTTAATTACTAAAAGATTAAAAAGAAGCCAAAGCTTTATCCATATAATTATAAAATTATTTGCAGTATTCTACTACTATTATTAAATAGTAAAGAAGTGATGGCAGTCTTTTCGAAATATTGTAAAGTAATAATAGCTTATATGAAACATTAAGTGTAGAAGTCGCAGAATAAGAAGTAAAAGTAATTAAATTAATCTGTAATCTTTATACATAATTATTTAGGGGATGCATATTCAAATTAAAGTGATACATAAATTGAATAGAATCATTAGAATTAAGTTCTCAATTGTAGATTTAATAAAATTAAGAAGAATTGCCATATTCATCCTCAAAATCTATGGAAAAGAATTGCTATTTGATTATTAATACAGCACAAAGAAATTGTTAATAAAATTGATAAAAGATTAATTTGAATTCAATTAATTCTGTTTATAAAATTGATTAATTATGTAATCAATTACAGAAAGAAAATGAGATATTAAAGAATCTAATTGATAATGAAGGGGAAAAAAAGGTGAAATTTACTTACTTATCATTCTTTATGGTGAAAATAAGGATTATGATAACAGTAAAGAAAAAGAGATTATAACCTTATTGTTACAATAAGATAATGATCGAGAATAGATATTCTGCATGAAAGAGAGATTTATTAAAGTATTATTTAAAATAAATTTATAAATCAGAAAATTGATGATGATATATTAAAATAAAAATTATAAATTTAATTAGTTTTTAGTTTTAGTGTTGATTACTAAATATTGATAAACATTTATATATTAAATTAAAATAGAATAATAATTCAATAATTCTCATCACCCAATATATCTCTTCTTTTTTCTTTAGCTAAACTATTCATGAATTCAACCAAATTACTACTTAAGAACATATTCTTATGTTTCTCAGAAAATTGTTTGATAATATTATAGCAATAATTTTAGAACTAAATATATAATATTAAATAAAATACTCCTTGCTATTATAGGAATGTAAAGAATTCTAAAAGATTCTCCTTACATTTTAGATGTACATCAGGATGATAGATCAATTTTAACATTTTTTAGAATATTTCATTTGAATTATCCAAAACTTATTATTGAATAGTCTAAAACATAAAGAACTTTTGTAGAATAACTTAAGCTAATTAACATAAATCTTCATTTGATAAAGCCAAGAATAAAAGTTATTTAGTATTCTCGAATATTTTAAGCCAAATTTCACCATCAGATTATAATAATTATTTATGCAAACACCCATAAATGATTTCTAAATGTTCATGTTTGAAATCTTATAAGACTTTTTCTTTTACATATACATCCATAGCTTATGCAATTCCTACACTATTCCAAACAATAGGAGCTCCTGTTATTTTGTATCGAAAAGAATTACAACCATTTACTACTTATTGAATTAAGGTTTCTTATTAAGTATTTAAAACTGAAATTCTAATTTCTGAATCTACTGATAGTAAAATCTCTAAATATCTAGGACACAATTCTGAATACATTTGTAAAACAGGAGCAAGATAAATTAATCCAATTCTAATTACATTTGGTGTTGTTGAAACAACAAATACTTAATAAATCAAATCTAATAACAATTATTTAGATTATTAAAAATCAATAGTTATATCTTAATCATCAATATTTTGAATAGAATTTTCAGCAATTTATAATAGTAAATCAGCACATATACACATTCCTTAGGCTCTGACTTCCCACCAAGAATCATTCATCAATTTTTAAATTCGATTTATTTTTTACAAAACTGGAAAATAATCCCAACTAGAAATTTAATTAATTATTCTCAAACCATTTGCTCTTGTAAGTGGAGAGGGAGAATCTAATGAATTAAATGCATAATTTAAAAAAAATCTATACAATTCTTCATCTTGACTAGGATAATCAGATTATATCAAAATACTTAATATTAGAGTGAATGAATTAAGATCAGTAGATAATTTACTTTTAATACTTTTTAATAGTTATGTTCTATTAACACAATTTATTGGAGTAAATATAAAAAATAGTTATACAATATCTTCCCTCTTCTTTGGATTTCTTAGTGCTATTTACAAAAGCTAATCTAATAAAATGCTTTCAAACATCATTTATGTATCATTTGGATCTATTTCTACTAATTTTGATCCAATAAATCTAATTAAATCTAAAATTAATTAATAAGTTTTTGATGTAGGTTTCAAGACTTATATAGGTCTTAGAAATATTTAAAAGAATCGTTTAAAATCTAAATTATTACTAAAATTTACCTATAAAATTACTCTAGACTTATTCTAGTATTAATTATGAATGAACATCTATAAATTATGTTAATAGTAATTTTAAAGACTTTTTTTAAACTTCATCGCATCTTTAAAAGAGTTATTAAATAACTGCTGTATATTAAACATTCTAATTACTAACTTAAAAACCATTATTTTATTAAGATTCTTTAGGTTCAAGTTTTAAATCTTAGATATCCTTTTTAATAGGATCTTTTTTAAATAATGAGGCACATGCTTCATGTAAAAAATCAATTACACCTTTTGTTTCTAATAATTAACCTTATTATTCTTTTGCTTTTTTGCTAGTACTACTATGATAACAATTGATTTAAATTTCTTTAACATCTTATCCTGTTTATGAAATTGATTAATCTAAATTAACAAGTTTTTTATTAAATTTCATTTATTTTTTAAGTAATTCTTCTTCTTATTTTTTAATTTCTTCTTCAATTTGTTTTTTTCGTTTTAGAATTAAATATTCAATTATATTATCATCTTTTTTATCACTTCTAACTTTATCAACATGTTCTTCAATAGCTTATTTAGTTAACATTTTCCTCTCATTTTCATCAACAACTCTTGTAATCTCTCTATCTTTAATAACTGTATTAGCAGTTGGTCTTGCATATGTAGGTTAAACAGTTAATGGTTTTGTTCTTTGCAAAGTTGCTTATTATTTAACTTGCTTTTTCATATCTCTATTGTCTTTATCAGGAAATATGGTTCCGATTTTCTTTTTAGTTAAAAATTCAAAGAGTTTAAAAAGGAATGCTTACGCTGCATCTGGTGCTTAATAATAAATTGGTTCATATTCTTCTTATGGAACTTGAAGTTCTTTTTTTTTCAATAACTTTGAAATCTATTCCCAATTATCGCGCTTTTTATCAAGATTTTATTCATTATATACAGTGTAGATATTAACTTCTTTGGGATAGTACCTAGATAATATTTCTGCCACAATGAAACTACTGTAGGATTTGATCATACCCATTAGCTAAATCTCTCCTGAAATTACGAACCTAATATGCCAAGTCTAATGAATCTAACCATTTTGCTATTTCTCTTGGAATTGGACCTTAAGGTTATTCGATCATTTTTATAATTAAATAAAATATTAAAATAATTAACAACGAAAAGTGTGAATAATTGAACAATCATTATCTAGAATGGATTATCTTTTCTACTCGAGTACTCAATAAATTATTATTAACAAGCAATAATTTAATGCTCATTGCTTTAATAATAAAATTATAGATGTCTATAGAATTGTAATTATATATATACCCTCTTCTTTTAATTAAATTTTTTTCAAATTAATCCTTTACAAATTTAATTTCTAAATCTACAATAAGGAATACGTATTTATTTCTTAGCAACCTTCTAAATTTAAGCTATGCAATTTGTAAAGATTTGTTGTTATTACTTCTAACGCTTCATTTGAAACAAAATTGGCTTTAATTGAAAATGATTATAATGTTTTAATCTATTTTAAAGGATTGCACTAAAAGTATTAATTCACATTTCGATTACTTTAGTTAAATCTAATTATGGATTGCATCCAATATCAAGTCTTTCTAATTTCTTACAATTATTTCCTATTGTTTCAAATATGTTAGTAGTCAAACCGTCACATTTTAAAAGCATCAAAGTTTTAAGTTCTTGCACTTATTCTAAAATAATCTTAATATTTTCATCTTTCAAATTACTATTGTTTTAGATATTGATTAAAGTTAATTGTACACATTTTCCAATAACTTCAAAACCTTTACCAGTCATAAATTAACAGCTTATTAATTAAATATATTAGAGAGACTTACTAAAATTTTAACATTTAAATATTTTTACTAGCTTTCTGTGCAAATACTACTTAAATCTTTATCTGTCAAAAACACAGATGTATATTATTATTTAGGTTCTAAATTGAACAATTCCAATAATGATCCTTGTTATTATGAATTGTCAGATAACATAGTTCTAAGTTCAGTTTTTTCTAAAAACGAACTGATTTTTTAACCTTTTATTATATCTTGTACTTTTTTTATGTGTTTTAATTCTTTACTAGATCGTTTAAGTACAGTTGCTAGTTCTTTTTCATTAAACCTCAAACTATTAAACCAATAAAATTACTGAGAAGTTTCAAATTCCCTAAAAAAACTATAAGAGAAGTAGATATCATTATAACAAATCATCCAAAATTTACAAACTTAGGAACAAGTGGCACATTCTCTTAATAACAAGAATTTGTAAATCTAATAAATCAAATTTTTTGGTAAAAATGGCCTTTTTTGATAGCTAAAATTAAATTACCACTTTTTTTATTATAAAGTAGATTTCCTAATCCAATTGTCTAAATTATTAGAGAATTTCTTTTTGGTATTAGGATTTTGTGTTTTAGTTTAAATTTCTTATGTAGGAGGAGTACAAAAAAATAACTATCAAATTATTTATTTATAACTTTACATAATCATTTAATTTGGTTCTAAGAGGAGATTATTGTTATTCTTTAGGTTTCTTTGAGAAAAATTTAGTCAACTAAGTTTATTTTTTCATAATTTAATTATATATTTTTGGAGGTATATTAATTCTTATGCTTCATAAATTTGAAGTGAGAGATATTGTTTAATAACTGATAGGTTATATAAAAATAAATTAAAATGATAAAATTGATAAAGTATATACATTTTATATTAATCTAAGAATTGTTAATATTATGAAATAATAGATTATAGATGAAATATAATTTATCATAGTATTGAAAATGAATTAAAGTTTATTAAATTCTATATTAGATGACGAAGAATCAGTTAAGTTGAAATGATTAAAAAGCTGAATAGATGAATAGATGAATAATTTTAAAATGTTTTAGAGAATAGAAAATATCTTAAGATATAAGAAAAAGATTTATAATAATATTAATATTTTGAAGTATGATACATTATATTATATAATTAATGGATTAATAAATTTATGGATTAAGAAAGAAAACGTCGTTGGATCTAAACTTAGTAATAGAAATTGGAAGATATAAAATAAAGAAAGTATATAGGTACACATCATATGAGGACAGATAATATGAGATTGAGTAGAACAGAGAAATTAATATAAATGAAATCACCAGGAATTTTAAGACATTAATAAACATTGGCAATAGATGATTATATTTCAAAAGGGGATTGTAAATTGATCTTTTTGCAATAACAAGGTGAAGATGTTGGATTTAAAACATTTACAGAGATGATGAAAACAAATTCAAGTTGGATAAACAAAGTAGATAAATTAAATCAAAATGAATCAAGTCTAAAAAATAGATTGAAGTTTAATTATGTTTAAGCAAATACATTTAAAAGTTCTCTTAATAAAAAATGGAGCAGTACTGTGAATGAAGTTACTGAATTATTTTAAAGAAAAGAAGAGTTGGAATAGTTGTAGAAAGTGAAGAAAGTGAAATTGAAGGTAAAAACTATATAGTAAGAGGAAGAAGAAGAGGAATAGATAGAGAATAATGAAAGACCATTTGACAGTTCGAATGTAATAAAAGTGTTTTGGTTTAATATCTAAATAAGTGAATGGAAACCGCCAATAAGAGAAGGATGTACAGTTACATATATAGCATCATTGAATAAGGCATATATGTATGGAGGAATAGGGAATGATTTATTTAAAAATATGATATAGTTGAATACTTAGACTTGGGTTTGGAAGGATATAGGAATAGGATTGGGTGAAGCACCTTTAGAAGGTAGATTTGGACATACAGCCACATTTTATAAATAATAAATAATAATATATGGAGGAGAGAAGAAATATAATAATGCAATGAAGATGAGAGAATGTTATGGAGATGTGAGAATATTTAATCCTTTAGATAAAACATGGACTTTAATAAGAAGTACAGGAGATTTAATAGAAGGAAGAAGAAATCATATAGCATAGTGCATAGGAAAGTACTTTGTTATTTATGGAGGTATTAATTCATATGGTAAAATATTAAATGATGTATGTGCATTGAATTTGGAAATGAATAAATGGTACTATTTTTATATAAATATAATTATAGGTCAGTCTTATAAGTAGAAAATTAATTCTAAGATGGAGTTTCAGATTCAGCTTCTGTAGCTTTATTTGGTGGAGAAGTTAAAATGGAAAATCCTTATTTTAGTTATGAATGCAATAAAAAAAAAGGAAGATATCCATAAGTCAATTGTGAAGGAATTTATATTTATGGAGGTAGAATTCAAAATGGAGAAGCATCAAATGATTTAAGAGTTATTTAATTTGGATTCAAACCTATAAGAATCATTAAAGTTAAAACTAAAGGTTAACCTCCTATTGCTAGATATTCTCATAGTATGAATTATTATCATTAATTTAATGCCTTAATTGTATATGGAGGTAGAAATGATTCAAAAGAAGGAAATATTCTTAATGATTTATTTGTTTTATAATTGTAATAACTTAATTGGATTATGATATAATAGATTGGATCTTTAAAATATGGTAAATGCAGTCATTGCAGTATTTCTATTGATTCTAAAATACTCATTTTCGGAGGATACACTTAAAATGTTTATGCAAATGCTGATATATAATTAATTGAATTAGATTAAAATAGAGTTACAAAAATGATTAAAGAGAATAAAATTAATAATTAATTATCTATTACTAGCACTGAATTATTAACTAATGCTAATTTAAGATTATTTAAAACTGAATTCTTTCATGAAACATAAGAAAGAGATATTATTGATTCTAAAAGAGCTTTTGACAATACTACAAGACTTAGTACTCAACATCTTAAAACTTATATGCCACTTCCTATTGGAAATAATTCATAATTAATTTAAGATTACAAATTGTTGAAAGAAAAAACAAGAAACTCTAAAAATAATCCTTTATTTTTAAGTTAATGATCATATTGATAAATAATTATAATATATTTATTTCTTTTATATAAGATCATCAACAATTTTGCAATATCTAAAAAATGCCTAATTCTAAGACACCTAATCAATTATCGGATTGATAAATAAAAAATGAGGTACCATTGTAGAAACCTGATATTTAATAGAAGGTAATTTTCTAGTAATTAATATTGGGGATGATTTCAATTTAAATAATAATGGAATCATTATTATAATAATCTGAATGATTTAATGTTTTAATTGATTTAAGTGATAAATAACATATAAATTTAATAAAAAGAAGAGATACATAGTCATTTTAATTTATTTCAATAAAATTGATTGTGATAATTGTTTGAATATAAATTGGTTTTTTATAAGAAGCTGATCTCTAATAGGTTGTTACAGATGTAATTTACAAAAATGTAATGCTAAAAGTGGATAAGGATTTTAGGATGGAATAATAAAAATGAACAAAATAATAAATTCTCAATAAAAAATTTTATGATGTCTCAATTATAATTTATATTAATATTTATTTATATGTCTTTGAAATATTAAGATCTCTATGAAGAATTAGAGACTATAGGAAGTGGAAGTTATGGTATAAAGATATTCGATTATATATAGGATCTGCATATTTAGTCAAGAATAAAAAGACTGGACAATTATCAGTGGCTAAAAAAGTTCATTTAGGTAAACTTTCAGAGAAAGAAAAAATAAGTGCCTTAAGAGAAGCAGAATTATTAAAAAGTTTAGATCATCCAAACATAGTGTAATATATGGGAAGTTTTGAGGATAGTAGTTAATTAATTATTTTAATGGAATATTGCGAAGGTATTATATTAATTCTATAAACATTATAGAAGGAGACTTATAATATCATATAAAAAAAAGAAAGTAAGGTAAATAAATTTAATACTTTCCTGAGAAGATGATTTTAAATTGGTTTATTCAATAATTATTTGCTTTATAATTCATCCATTCAAAAAAGATCTTACATAGAGATATTAAAACAAGTAATATATTTTTAACATCAAATGGAACAGGTATAATTTTGTATTAATATACTAAGTCAAACTTGGTGATTTTGGAGTTTCCAAAGTTTTAGAAAGTACTCTAGATTAAGCATCAACTGTTGCTGGTACACCTTATTATATGAGGTATTTATATATTTCTGATAATAGTCCAGAAGTATGTGAAAGTAAACCTTATACTTTTAAATCTGATGTTTGGGCTCTTGGATGTGTTTTACATGAATTATGTACATTTAAACATGCTTTTGATGCTAAAAATATTTTAAGTCTCGTTACTAAAATTTTAAATGGATAAACTGAAACATTACCACCTCATTATTCTAAAGATCTTTAATAATTAATACATAGACTTCTTACTAAATAAGTTCAATCTCGTCCTCTAGTTGCTGAAATTATCAATATGCCTTTTATTTAATCTGTTATGTAAGATTTCATTAGAAGTGGAGGAAAATAAAACTTTTGTTCTGTTGTTGGAGTTAAAAAAATTAAATAACATGAAATCTAAGCACATAATTAACATTAAATCTAAATTAATTAAATTAATTAAACAAAACAAGATTAAGAATCTTATCAACATTCTATTAAAGATGAAATTTATAAAGAAAAAGAAGATGAAATTCATAATTAAACTGTCATCTCTCAATCATTAAATAAAAGTAAGACAATTAAAAATTAATAGAGTAGATTGATAATGCCAGTAAATATACAATTGGTGAAACTATTATTAGTTAAGCATCTTAATTTCTAGATTAACCTAAATAAATTTCTCCTAAATCTCTTTTAAAATAAAAAAAAGAATAAGAAACTTTATAAAAAATTGAAATGCTATCAAAAGCTACTTAAAATATTAGTTAACAAAATTAAAAATAGGCTGAATTAAGAAAAATACAAAATCTTTATGGAACACAATCACAATTTTATTAATAGAAATAATTAGAAATATAATAAACATCTACTCAATAATAATTTTATTAAAATTAATAATAGTAACAAATTGAAATCAAAAGTTCAGGTTAATAATAATAATAATAATAATTATAAACTAAACAACAATAGTAGTTTTAGAATACTTATTCTGATTAAAGTTTATAATCATCTTCTAAATTTAAATAAATTGATGAAGAAGTTATGAAAAGAAGTTTATTAAGTTTAAAATAAAAATAAGCATAAAAGAAAGAAAAATCTTCTTCTTAAAATTAAACAATGGATAATTAAAATGATGAATATCCAGAAGATTTTGAATACTATGATGATTTTGAAGATTATGATTCAGATAATGACTTTTAAAATGAAACTGTTATTAATGAAGAAATTTTAGGTGATGAAATGGATGGTACAAGATTAACTTAAAGATAATCTGATTAAGATTTATAGAGTGTTGTAGAAGTATATAAAAATGAATTAGCAAAAGCAAAAAGTGGTAATGAAACTTTAGCAGGTAAATCATCAATTTCTTCAATACTTTAGAAATCTAAGAAGAACCTGAATCATCTTCATATTCTTCCAGCTTTTATAAGACTGATGAAAAATTTAAGCCAAAAATATCCATGATAGAAAACCTAAAAAAGAGTATCTTATAATAAATCCCTTAAGATTTATTTAATATCGCTTACAATAAAATATTAAGTGCAATTGAGAAAAAATAAAGTTCTTAAGAAGTAAAAATATGTTTCAATTATTCTGTAGATGTATAAAGATTTAAAATAAATTTTGGGTAAAAAATACTCAGGAGCTGGATTTTAAATAGAATAATTGATATATCAGGAGTAATTATATAAACACTTTCAAAACTGAGTTTTTCATTTATTTCAGATATAAATATTCTTAAATATTTAATATTTTGAAAATATTATGATGTTTTAGAGTTTCCCTTATTAGGTAGACTGTAGATATTTTGAGNGAAACTTTATAAAAAATTGAAATGCTATCAAAAGCTACTTAAAATATTAGTTAACAAAATTAAAAATAGGCTGAATTAAGAAAAATACAAAATCTTTATGGAACACAATCACAATTTTATTAATAGAAATAATTAGAAATATAATAAACATCTACTCAATAATAATTTTATTAAAATTAATAATAGTAACAAATTGAAATCAAAAGTTCAGGTTAATAATAATAATAATAATAATTATAAACTAAACAACAATAGTAGTTTTAGAATACTTATTCTGATTAAAGTTTATAATCATCTTCTAAATTTAAATAAATTGATGAAGAAGTTATGAAAAGAAGTTTATTAAGTTTAAAATAAAAATAAGCATAAAAGAAAGAAAAATCTTCTTCTTAAAATTAAACAATGGATAATTAAAATGATGAATATCCAGAAGATTTTGAATACTATGATGATTTTGAAGATTATGATTCAGATAATGACTTTTAAAATGAAACTGTTATTAATGAAGAAATTTTAGGTGATGAAATGGATGGTACAAGATTAACTTAAAGATAATCTGATTAAGATTTATAGAGTGTTGTAGAAGTATATAAAAATGAATTAGCAAAAGCAAAAAGTGGTAATGAAACTTTAGCAGGTAAATCATCAATTTCTTCAATACTTTAGAAATCTAAGAAGAACCTGAATCATCTTCATATTCTTCCAGCTTTTATAAGACTGATGAAAAATTTAAGCCAAAAATATCCATGATAGAAAACCTAAAAAAGAGTATCTTATAATAAATCCCTTAAGATTTATTTAATATCGCTTACAATAAAATATTAAGTGCAATTGAGAAAAAATAAAGTTCTTAAGAAGTAAAAATATGTTTCAATTATTCTGTAGATGTATAAAGATTTAAAATAAATTTTGGGTAAAAAATACTCAGGAGCTGGATTTTAAATAGAATAATTGATATATCAGGAGTAATTATATAAACACTTTCAAAACTGAGTTTTTCATTTATTTCAGATATAAATATTCTTAAATATTTAATATTTTGAAAATATTATGATGTTTTAGAGTTTCCCTTATTAGGTAGACTGTAGATATTTTGAGTACAAGACAATTTGAGAAAGCAAAGCCAAGAAGATTAGAAGGTCAAAAATGTCTCTTTTTGCTTTGATAGAAATGTTATTCATACGATAAAAAAGTCTCCTTTTGAATATTTAAAGAAAAAATAAAGTAGACATTAGAATAGAAAAATATATCAATAAATAAGAGGAGAGGAAAAAGAAGAATTAATATCATCAGATGAGGACACTCAAGATTTCTATGAATTAGATGAAAATTAGTAATATTATAGCATTATAGAATGGAAAAAATTATAAGATGAAAGATTGAAATAAATGACTGGAAATAATTTGATTAATTCATAAGATTTAAATGATTCATCTAAAGTGTAAAAATTACCACTTAAATCTTGTTTAAAAAAAATTAAGAAAGATATTTATCTATATTATGAGGAATTATTTGGAAAAATATCTAATGATTAATTATAAACGGTACTTTCATCAGAAAAATTATAGCTTAATGAAAAATAAATCAAATAATGCATCATAGTAACTGAATTCAATAACATTATGAATGATGATGATGATGAAGTATTAAAATAAATTAAATTCATAGATATCCATAAATTTAGATGAATTAGATGATTTTATTGAATAGAGAAATATAGATTAAAAGAAAAATAAAAATTATAATATTACTGAATTTGATAACATTAGAAAAAAAGTTGATCAGAATAGGCTTAAAAATAATTAGTGAATTATCAAATATCACAATTTATTATATTTTTAATTATTAAATAATAATTATTATGAATTAAGTAAATTAGGTCCTTTAAAAACCTTAAATGTAATTTTAGATTAAAATTGTAGAGATAAAAAGGTCTTTGATACTACAAGTTATGCCCTTCCAAAAAGTGATGAAATAATGACTAGGTTATCTGAGAATTTCTCAAAATTTGGAGCTACTTATAGTTAATTTACAATTGCTATAGTTATTTTAGGAGGATTAACAAATTTAGTATTTTTAATAAGTGTAGGATTAAGCATTGCCTTGTAAAAATTCTATTTTTTATACTTAGTTGGTACACTGTTTTAAAAAATGATGATTTTCTAGATTATATTCCAAATTTCGGAATCCTAACATCAGATAAAAAAAAGGTTCTATTGTTTTTAGGTAATATTTATAATTATTAATATTTTTTAGTGAATGTTCTTGTTTTGTATATGTTTTGTGGAGATTCCATATTTACTTATATAGGGGTTGGGTAAGAATATAATATAAAATTAGTTTCCTTATATCATTTCTACATTCATTCTTGTTTGTATCACCATCAACTGGAGCTTTAATTGATGGCTAAAATCATCAACAAACTAATTAAGATTAAACCTAGTATGTTAATTTTAGTAATAACAATAATATTGAATTATAATATAAATGACGATCCGCATTATATAAAATTTTATATCAAATCTATGTTTTTATTAAAGATTTATTAGGTTAAGATAATTGAATATTTTAAATTATTAGATTCTGTTGAAATATATGTTTTACTAGTTTTGATAATAAATTTTCTTTTGTATTATTTTAATAAATCAATTAGTTTATCTTCCTAATCCTTATCTAAATTAATCTACTAAATCATCTATTTCTTTTTCTAATTCCTATTGATACGCTTGAATCAAATTTTCTATATTAATATTTATTTCTTTTTCTTTTTTTTCCAAAATCTTTTCAGATTATTCTTTTAATTCTATTAATGATATAGGTTAATCAGGTTATTAATTTTCAGGAATGTCATCTAAATTTATATAATTTAAATTTACCTATTTTTTATAATTTTTTTATATGATCTTTAGCATCTTTTCCCCAAGCACAAATGAAAGCCCAACAACCTAAATGCTTATGTTTAGAATCTTTAGAAATGTTATAAAGATCTCTATTTTACGAAATTTATTATTAACAATCTAAATTTTAAGGTTGATTATAAATTTATATCAATTCTTGTAATGTACATATAAAATCTATATGAATATAAGGTAGTAATAAATCTAGAAATGTATTTGATTGATTCGAAGTTGTAGTATCATTTAGTTCTTTTTTAGTATTATTTTAAAAAAAAAAATAATCCATTTATTTATCTCCATCAACTAATTCAATTTAAAAATATTCTTAAAGTTTTATTAATAATTTGTTCTGAAGCTCCTAAAATAATTGAGATGACATTTTATTACAGTCATTTATTTTGCAAATTCTTGTCGGAAGGATTTAAAATCATTAAACGATATTTAATTATTTGCCGATGACCATATTTTATTCTTGAAATTATTTGCAGATTTTCCACTTAAACATTTATACAAAATTTAACATTTAGTTCCTAAAATTTCTATTATCTTTCTTGATTCATCTGCTGAAAACCAACAAATCTTTTAATCTTAATAAGGCTCTTTAGTCTATGGAGGTTTAGGAGGCCGTCCTCTAAACTTCTTTTTTGTAATACTATAATTTTCATTATTTTGGACTTAAAAATTTTTGGGTTAGGGTTATTTACCCATAACAAATATAATTAAATAAATATTATAGTTGTCAAATAAATTTCAAAGCATATAAATCAGATAGACTTACGAATTAAATAGAGAATATTATAAAAAACAAAATAATTGTATAGATTCAGAATATATTTATTATATATATATATATTTAATTAAATAAATGGGAAAAGGAAGTTTAAAAATAAAAAAATAAAAACAGAACAAATTGATTGATGATTAGAACTATGGAAAAGTTGTAATTTGTCTTCAATTTATTTTAGGGTAGACCAAAAAAGAAGAAAGAAAATAACGAGGGAACCTAAGAGATAGATAAAAGACAGTGGTTTAATGCATATCGTGCTTTGCATATGTTAACTTTAATTTGTGAAAAAGGAAGTTTAGCATTAAGATATAAGACTGGATAGAAGAGCAGTGCAATAGAAGAAACAACAAAAACAAAGAAAAGTGAAGAAACAAGAAAACTTAAGGTAATAAATACTGTTTAATGAGAAAAAAGTAAAAACTAAAAGATTTGAAAAAGCATTGTAATTATGAAGAAAAGAAACTATACCTTTTAATTGATAATAATACTGAAAATATTTAAATTGAATTAGAAAATGCTGATAATGATTTAATAATAGAAGATATGAATAAAATCTATAAGTACTTAGACAAAGAGTTTTAAGTGTCCTTTATATTGATTTTGAAATCGTATTTGGAGTAATACGATAAGGATTCTTAGGTTCTAGCAAGGGAAATAGTTTTTAAAATGATTGATTAAAAAGAATAACATAAAATGTTAATGAACTTAGCCCTGATAAAAACAAATATAGAAGATGATTTAGAATATGTCTTATAATTGGTATAAAAAGTATTAATATAAAGGCTAATATGAATTCTGGATTATAGTTACAATATGAAGTTAATGAAAATTGGGTGAATGAAGAAAATAAAATAATACAATGGTTAGTTGGATTTGTTGAAAAAATTATTATAATATTTAAGTCATGAAATTAACAGTCCCTAATTATAATTATTTTGAATTTATATAAAAATTGAAATTAAAGTAACTTTGTAAGTTTAGACCATCTATTCTTTTTAAAATTGAAACTTAGATTTATTTTGCAGATCATAAGAGTTTTTTGATAGAAAATTAACAATTATACTTTGATTGTATTCTTTCATCTTAGAATATAAATAGAAATAAATAAAGTTGCTATTTTAAGAGATTTGTAATGGCAAATAATGATTAGGATCTGGAAATACAAATTAAACTGAAAATAATGGATCATTAAAAAATCCATATTGATAAAAATATCTTTGGTAGAAATATAAATAGTTCAAATAAGAATTAAATTAGAGATTCAAATGCTAAAAAAATTTGTTATTTGAGAAATTTGAAAATGCATGTTTAAATCATCGTTTATAATTTTTAGATATTCGAAGAGTAAGCCAATTGATCAATTAAATTAGCTTAAAAAAATCCAAGAGTTTATTTATTAATATTTAAGAGGTGAAATTCTTGTCTTGAATAAATAAAAAGATTTTTTATTATTTGAAAAAAAAAGATTCTAAAAATGAAAACCCCTTTAAGTTATAAGAAAGCAGATAACTTTGAAAGGATATCATTTCTAATGAAATTAATCATATTATCAAACTTTATCACTTTTTAAATATTCATATTCAAATACAAATAATTAGATTGATCTCTGTTTTAAATTTATGTCATTTCATAATAACTTAAAAAATGTTATTCCTGTTTCAGATTAAATCTTGAAAAGGCAACATATCCAAATTCATATTTAAAAATGGTAAAATATTTTAAATACTATTTGTTCATAAATAATTTATTACCATATCTTACTCTAATTAAAAAAAAAATCAAATTTTTATGAATAATGAAAATATCAATTAATTGATTTTTCATGTTTAAATAATCTGAATGATATAATTGTGATACTCCAAGATTGTGTCATTTAGTAATTTAATGTTTAAAGAATTTTAATTTGAAAATTAAAGTTTATTCAAAAGTATAAACAATAGAATTATTCATTTTCTGATTTTAAAATAATATATTTAAGAAAAAGAGTTTAAAATATATTACTATGTTAAACCTATTTTATCAATTACATATATATGAAATAAAATATTTAAATGATTGGAGATGATGAACTTTAATTAGTTTGTAAAACATCTCTCCTTTGACTTATAAGATGGAAAATAATACAATTTGGAGTGAATTACTTGGTCTGATAAATATAAACAGATAAAAGATATTTAATAAAAAGTTTTTCTGTTTATTTATTATTTTAAATGATCTGAATGAATGAATGAACCTAATACTTTGATTGATTTTTGGTTTATGATTTCTGATTTAGATTGTTATAATATTTATTTTTGAATTGTAAGCTTTTTGGTGAAGTAATTGATATTTGAATAGATTTTAGATTTTATTAATTAGGCATATATAATATAAATAAAATCATTTCTTGATTCGAATATCTATCAGACTCTAAATGAATATTAATATATACTTTATAATTTTGTATATCTTTTTCAATTTCAAGTAATTCGTTTTTTAAATCCTAATTTTATCTGATAAGATCAATCATGGTATGATAAGTTTGAATGGGAGATTAATTTTTAAGGATAGTTTTTTGAGATCCTTAATAATTAATTTTTGAAGGTAGTTTATTTTTAACTTGGGTAGGAGGTTTAGGAATAGAAAGTTATTTCTTAATTTTTTAGATTGGCTATTATGGTTGGTTATCTACAGGAACTCTATTTTGTAATAGAAATAGCTATTAATAAGGACTTTGCATCTATGGAAAGGTAGTAAGAGAGATCTACTTATGCAGGAGATTAAAACAGGGTAAACATTTTTTGAGTATGAGGGGTCTCGTAATTCATATTTTAATAATATATCAACTCTTTATTTCTGGTCTAACAATGGTTTCTGGTTTAAAATATTATGTCGATAAATTGCATCCTAATGATGCTAATTATCCTATTATCATTCTACAAATGGCAGGAAGTGATACATGTTTTAAGTGTGGATCCATTTCCTATTTTACTTTTGCTAATTGAATATATTATATATGTGTAATATTACCAATTTCATAAACTTGCTATAAAGAGATAGTATCATACCATATATAACCAGGGAAATTAGTGAATTTATCAGTGCCTATAAGATTAATAGATTATTAATTGATACCAGTTGCCTTTCTTAGAAACCAAGTAGTTTCAGGTGGTTTAATTAGGAATTTAAATGTTCTATCTGGAAATGCAATAACTTAAACTCTAAGCGGTACATCTGGTCTAAAGGATTAACTTGCAGCATTGAATTCTTTGCAAAATTGCATCATATTAATTCCTAAAGGACCTAATGATTGACCCATCTTAGGACTTGGTTTTGCTACTCCAGCATAAAGTCTAAGCATTATTTTAGCTCTATAATCTTTTGGAAGAGTCTATAATTTTTTCTTTATCAAATTCATTTTATTTTTTATTATTCTTATGTTTGGAACACAATTTGATTATTTAAAACTCAAACCTAGAACAGTTGAAGAAATTCATCATGAAGATGGCTATATTAAAGAAGGTATTGAACGAACTGCTACTAGAAGAATATTTTAATCTGTTGAATATGATCATTTTGAAAAAAAATAAATCCAATAATTTAAAGATATTATAAGAGGAGCTAATATCAGTGTTAGTACTGATGATGTACTCTTAAGATTTCTTTATGCAGGATATTTTAATATGACTAATTGTTTAGAAGTATTTTCAAATTTATTTTTAGTTATATAAACGACATATTTATTGGCTGAATACTAGTAGACTCTCTACTATTCCTGAAAAAGTACTTTTATGTTTAAGAGAAGGTTTAGTATATATTGGAGGTAAAGATTATTAATATCGTCCTATTATTGTTATTAATTTACATATGATGGATCTATATTTATTTGATTCTGATGCTTTTATTCATGCTTTATCAATATTATTTGTTATTTGTGAAGATTATTTATTCTATCCATCGAAAGTTGAAAATATTGTTGTCATTGTTGAAACTGATTAAATGAGTATTTACAATTTCCCATCAAAAACATTTCAAGTCATTATTTGGATGATGAGTCAAAACTTTCCATAAATATTAGATCGTCTCTATTTATTTAATCCATCTAAAGAATTACTTATGAATTGGGATAACTATCATTAAATGCTAGATAGTAGAACATTCAAAAAAATTGAAATCTGGGAATCTAAATCATTTGCTCCTCTTGCTCATGGTTTTCATCCTGATATGTTAGAACGTAGATTTGGAGGAGGAATGCCAAATATTTAGTAATATTGGTTACCTTCTCAAATTATTTAATAACCTAGTAGTATTTCTTATAAAGTTTAAAAACCTATCTATAATTAAGGAACTATTTAATATTCACTCTATAATGATCCTAAAGAATTATTAGAAAGACTATAATAAAGAGATGATGAAGTAAGATCATAAGAAGCCACTGTTAAAAGTGAACCTAAATCAAGTGTTGCTTCTGGTAAATTAAAAGTCATTGATTTTCATTAAACTATGGGAAATGCTTTTAAATAGTCAAATTATCCTTAAGAATACTAAGATCTTAGTTAAACTAATTTCTCAGGTGAATTCTATTAATAAACTAATTAAATTTAATAATCACCATCATAATAATTTATGAATCCAGGCTTCTAAGGATCAACATTACCAGAACAATAATTTAAATAAAATAGTAAAGCCAATTCCGTTACATCCTCATAAAGAATTAAGGATCAATAAATTGCTTAATAATTAGTTGGTTCCTATTAAAAACCTACAAGCACTATATAATAATAAACAAATAGACCTAACACTATGCCAGTTCCTTAATTAGGAGCTCCAGCTTAATCTGAAAGAATTTATGAATCTATGGATGAAAAACTAAATGATTCTTAACGACCATCTAGTAATAATGTTTAAGCTTGTTCAATTATGTGATAATATTATGTATAATTCTTATCTAAATAAATTTTTATTTTATTATTTCATTTCAAGCTTATTATTATGATAATAATCTTTTCATAATTAAGACTCATTAGATATTATTTTTAAATGTTAATTTCTTTTTATTGCTAATATTATATGCAAAAAATCTATTTACATAATTAAGATATTTACAGTTTTATTTTCAACTACTTACTTTTACATACTTAATGATATTTATAATTAATCTCTTATAATTTTCTCAACTTTTATTATTAAACTAAACTAATTTTTAGAGAAAACTTAAATAATAATTGCAGTCTGATTGATTATAACTTAAAATTATTGAAGAATTTATACAATGTATTTTAATTAATTAATTCAAGGTTTATAGGAACAAATTATAAAATTATAGTTTTCAAAAAATCCAGAAATTTAAAGTCAAGATGTATTACTCTTTTTTAAAAAGAATATTGAAATTCATTTGGAATCTAAAAAAATTTAGTTTATTGAATTTAATACATTTAGGTTATGTTTCATTTTTTAATTTATTGAAATTTTTGTGAGTAAAAATATTTAGAATATATTGAATTAAGCTATAAAATGAAAAGAAGCTGTTTTTTGAGCTTCTCTTCAAATCCTAAAATCTTCCTCTCAAATCTTTCTATATTTTATTAAAAAAAAGATTTATCAAATTTGCATTTTGACAAAATAGCTGCCTTTAATTATGAAAAAAATTTATTTTTTTAGAACAAAACATTTTATGGATGAAATAATTTTGCTTTGAAAATAATTAAAAGAACATTTTTAATTGGTCTGTATCAAATTCGAAATATGTCTATGTATTTAGGAGACAAAAATAAACAATAAAAAAACACCTTGAAAGTAATTTTTGTTAACATTTATAATAAGTATTTTTTAATTGAATTATCAATTATTTCTTTAGTTTAAAATATATCAATTGATTGTTAAGAGGTACATATCTTCTTTCATAATTTTTGATTTAGCTTATAAAAGACTAGAGTGACTACATAGCAATACGATTTTATAGATTAAACCTAAGTCTTTTAACATTCTTTAAAAGTATTAATAAAGCCAAATTTATGGTAAAATTATTGATGTAGTTCAATTATTACTATTTTTTAAATTAAATTTATTTCAATCTCGAATTAATACTCATTTATTTAGCTAAAAAGAGAAAATAAGTATTTTATAGATAATTATTTTAATCTATTTTTATTGTTAAAATAAATAGAATGCATCTTAGAGTTTAAATCCTAGAGAAATATCTTCAAAATGTAATGAAAGATTAAATGAAAATAATATATTGCTAAGAATAGGGATAAAGTAATTTTTGTTTAGAATTCGTTTTTATATAATAATTTATTAAATATAATGAAAACAATATTCAGTTTATACTTCTTCTTTGTAATTTCAACTGCAACTATGAAAGATTCAAAAGTAATATTGACAGAGATTGATTCTTAAAGAACTGGAAGAATATTTTTAAATGCAATTTAGGTTGGTTTAGCTACTGGATCACCTGTTCATGAAATTTAGAGTTATATTAACAATATTAGGTATAAAAATTAGAAATAATGTTAAAAGATTTATGATTGAGTAGGAATAAAAGGATGCAGATCTTTTTATACAAAATACTGAAGCATCTTGTAATAGGTTGCTACATGATTTTGCAACAAACCTAGCTTATCATTAATAACAGTTTAAGGCACACTCAAAGATAGTNTATCAAATTCGAAATATGTCTATGTATTTAGGAGACAAAAATAAACAATAAAAAAACACCTTGAAAGTAATTTTTGTTAACATTTATAATAAGTATTTTTTAATTGAATTATCAATTATTTCTTTAGTTTAAAATATATCAATTGATTGTTAAGAGGTACATATCTTCTTTCATAATTTTTGATTTAGCTTATAAAAGACTAGAGTGACTACATAGCAATACGATTTTATAGATTAAACCTAAGTCTTTTAACATTCTTTAAAAGTATTAATAAAGCCAAATTTATGGTAAAATTATTGATGTAGTTCAATTATTACTATTTTTTAAATTAAATTTATTTCAATCTCGAATTAATACTCATTTATTTAGCTAAAAAGAGAAAATAAGTATTTTATAGATAATTATTTTAATCTATTTTTATTGTTAAAATAAATAGAATGCATCTTAGAGTTTAAATCCTAGAGAAATATCTTCAAAATGTAATGAAAGATTAAATGAAAATAATATATTGCTAAGAATAGGGATAAAGTAATTTTTGTTTAGAATTCGTTTTTATATAATAATTTATTAAATATAATGAAAACAATATTCAGTTTATACTTCTTCTTTGTAATTTCAACTGCAACTATGAAAGATTCAAAAGTAATATTGACAGAGATTGATTCTTAAAGAACTGGAAGAATATTTTTAAATGCAATTTAGGTTGGTTTAGCTACTGGATCACCTGTTCATGAAATTTAGAGTTATATTAACAATATTAGGTATAAAAATTAGAAATAATGTTAAAAGATTTATGATTGAGTAGGAATAAAAGGATGCAGATCTTTTTATACAAAATACTGAAGCATCTTGTAATAGGTTGCTACATGATTTTGCAACAAACCTAGCTTATCATTAATAACAGTTTAAGGCACACTCAAAGATAGTTGAAGTAATATATATAATATCTTAAGGAAAATACAAGAAATTTAGAGAAATCTTTGAATAAGATTGCAGAAGTATCAGTTGAAATAGAAGAAAATTAAAGAAAAACAAATGAAGGATAAAGTGAAAGAGATCTTTAATACTCTGAATTTTAATCTAAACAAAAGGATCATTTAGAATCTATAACTGCTATAGATGAAGCCTATTCTTTAGTTGAGCATCTTTCTAGTGGATCATCATTTATTTAAGTAAAAGGTAGATTTACTAAAGTTCTCTCTAGATTATAAAAGTAAAATGTTAAAATATATTAAGATAGTTAATCAACATCGGCAGGACTCTTATTTTAACCAATTATATCAATGATGACATAAATGAATTCTAAAGCAGATACTGAGGCAGCAAAAAAGGTTCTTCAATTATTGGCTAATTTAAGAGTTCAAATAGTAGAAAGTAAATCTTAAGATGAGGATATTGAAAAATAGTAGGCTTAAAGTTGGTAAAAGTTTTTATCTGATTTAATCAATGAAAGAAATACCTTATAAGATTAAAGATAGAATTTAGAATAAGCTATTCTCAATTATTAAAGTATTATTGAAGAATCTGAAGGAAAAATTGAGTATCATTCAGCAGAGATTGATAGAAATTAAGTAAATTAAACAATTAATTTATAGAATAATTTAGATGGACAGGATTAATGGTGTAGATAATAATAAGAAATTTATTAAATGGAATCTTAATAAAGAGTTCAATCTCTTGATCTAATTTCAAGAATTGTTGATCACATATAGGATAAAATTGTAACACTTAAAGAATATTTAAGAGAAAGATTGCAAATACGATGAATAAATATTTATTATTAATATCATTTTATATCCCCATTATTTTAATCTTTCTCATCACCACTAGAATCAAATTCTTCTATATTTTCTAAGTCTGATGGATTCTCATCATCTGACCAATCTTCTGAATCACTAAACTCCCTTAAACCTTCCATTCCAGGAATTTAGCTTAGAGGATGAACTCTTAAAAATATAGTTCTCCAAACTACATTATAATGAAGGTTTTTTATAATATTCACAAATATCATTAATAAAATATTAAATTAAAGAACTTTTATTTTTTTATGTTTCACATTAAAAATTTAACTACATTATCTATTCAATTCTTAATTACATATTTCAAATATAAAGAATATAAGTTCTATTTTTAGAGAATTAGTTAAATAAAATAAATAAATAACATATTTTTAAAATATTTTCAACAATCAAATACAAAATTATAAATATATATTATTAGTTTTGTTTGTTTATAAGAATTTAAAAATTTTCTGCATAAACAAAGAAAAAGTTTAACAATTCAAATAAACTGTAATAAATGAGTTTATTTTAAAATTAACTCAGAATCAAAATATTACTATCAATAAATTACAAAAAAAACTATTTTAATTGTATAACTTTCATATTTATCTAATTTTTTATTAAATTATCTAGATATTAATGGATTTTTAACATAAATATTTCTTTTGAATAATTTCGAACTTATTACTGAAATCAAATACAATAAATTTGATTATATATTCTTTGTAATCATCCTAAAGAATAGGATAACTACTTTAATATTTAAATATCGACATAATATTGTTTATTAAAAAAATGTATGCTGCTTATTTGAAACTAATAAGCATAGTTGTAATATTTTTATAGATTATCCTATAAGAAAAAAATAAAGATAAATTAAATACTTTATTGTTGATATTTTATAAAAATAAAAACATAATTTCTTCAATTATTATGTTTAGTTTTGGATATAAAAATTTATATGAGCCTAAACCTATTATACCTGGACCTGGGTAATATTGAAATTAATATAGTGATTATGAATTAAGAAAAGATTTTCCTACTTAAACAACATAGAAGAAAGATAAGGGTTTGAATCGTTCAGCTAGCAGCAAAAAATTATATAATGATGATTCTTTTGCTCATAGACTAAAAAATCATAATGATTGTTATGCAGAATATCAGTTAAATACACAAAGGAAATATATTGAATTAAGCCCTAAACAAAAATAAATGCATTCTTTTACGACATCTTAAAGATCATAATGTTTTTTATTGCCATAAATTTCTAAAGGACCATAATATTATAAAATCAATGATTATAAAACTGAACATTCACTCAAAATAGGAAAATATTCATCCAGAAAAGAAATTTTTGATATTTAAAATTATAGTTATTCAAAAAATAATTGTTCTAAATTCGACTAATCAATTAGCATAGAATAAAAAAAACCATAAAATTATTGGTCTGAAGATAAACATTAACAAAAATATAGTGTTTATTAATATTAGAGAATTAAACCTATTCCTAAATTTAGAGAATATTCATATCTGTATAAAGATAAAATTGGTCCAAGTTTAATTGATTACCCAAAAGAAAAAATAAAAGGAAGAAAATTTATAAAAAATCAAAGATTTAAATTAATAAAAATTAATAAAGCTGATATTCATCAAGAATACTTTATTTCAAAATTAATTAAAGATAAGGATTATTTATCTTCAGATGAAATTGTTTCTAATGCTTCAGAAGAAACAATAACTCTTAAAGTTTTTGACTACTATTAAAAAATTTTCTTTGATAAACAAATTAAAGTTAAAAAATCTCAATAAGATGAAAAAAAAAAGAAAATACCTGGCCCAGGAAACTATGATTTAATCTATCAATCAGGGAAAAAGTATTCTTTTCCAAAAGGTAAAAGATATAATAAGTTTTTTTTGGATTTGTTATGATAATTCTAGATTAATATTATTAAAAATAAATACTCAGCATTTATTTTTCAAACATTTATTTAGAATCATTAAATTTATTGATTAATTTTTACAAATATTTGTTAATTTAACTAAAATTGAATTCCTAAAAACAAATAAAAAAAAAGTTGAATATAATAATTTTTTTTTTCCATTAATTATTCAACTGTTTAATTCATTTCCATTATATCTTCAGCAAAGCTAGGATATTTTAAAAAATTAAATTGATATGATAAATTATCTAAAGTTATTTATAATATTGTTTTATTGATTATTGGCAAATATAGTATTAATAGTGGAGAACTTCAAAATATCTATTTAAAAATGATTGGAATTCATAAATTAATTATAGAGAAATCTTAAATAAGATTGTAATGCATATATTTTTTTTTTAAATATGCAGTTGATATTATTTAGTTAATATAATGACATTTAAGTATAAAAAAAATTATATATATAGTCTTTTCATTTTATTTGATGGTTCTTTTAGTTCAATGGTATATTTTTAGCAATATCATTCATTTCTTTTTAAAATTTAGAGAAACAATTATTTTTTATTCCTTTCTATGATGGTATCGCCTAAAAAGTAACAAAATTAGAGAATTATTATTCAGATGGTAGTGTTTAAAAAGAATATTACTAGCCAGTTGATAGCTGGGAACCTTTTTTTGTATCTTTAAAAACTCCAAACTAGGGCTATTTTTATGGTTAATAGTCTTCATCAGAATCAGATAGAGAAATCATTTATTGTGGTGCATCAAAAAGTGAGTCTATTTTAGTATGATGAGGAGGAGTATTGTCAACTTCTAATGTTTCAATTCTTTCTACTCTTTTACAACACTATCCATTTCCCATTTATTTAATATTAAATAATAAATTGTAAAAAATATCATGATTAGCTTTATTACTTAATCAGTTAGGTTCTATGTAGGCGAGTATCATTTCTAAAATAATGAATGCTACTTTTTTAGAAGATTATTCTTAATACATATTACAAAATAAAGAAATTAAGAAATTTAATTTTATTAGGAAGTAATTAAACTTAGATTATAATACGATGTAAATATTAGATAAAATAATAATATGTTTAGCTAAATTTGAATTGTAATAGAAAATTACAAAAGAATTCAGAAAATGTAAAATAGTGTTAAAGAATATGCTTAGAAATGAAATAGAAATTTAAGAACATATAATTTTATTCATTCTAAATATTATTCTAAATCTGAAATATCTCTTTGTTATTATTGATATGATTTTAAGATACTTTTTCTTTCTAATTATTTGACATATTCTTTAAGTTACTCTTCTTATTCTAATTAACATATTCTATAGCTATTAAGACATTATTGAGCTTCATTAAAATATTTAGAGCATTTATTAGTATAATCAGAATTTAATGGTGAATCAATTTATAAGAGATTGATAAATTTAGTAATTTGATCTAATGTTTCAACTTATCTGATAGTATTATGATTGCCATCACATAATTCAAGTCTTTTATATGATTTACATTGATCATATAATATTTACGAATGTCTTGGATGTACTAATTAGTCAGTTTTAGCAGCAAGGAAATAGAATCTTTTAGAATTGCTTTGAATATTAACACAATTAAGTGGTGAGACATGATCAATATCAAATTGTGCTTCATTAATAATTTTACTTCTAAGAAAAGGTATAAATCCATTAATCATAAAAGAGAAACATCCAAATTTTTATTATCCTAATTCTTCAACAACAGTTCTTAATTAAGTAAAAGCACTATCAGCAATATAAGTAGTAATTCTTGGATCTTATGATAACATAAGTGCAGTTACTGCTCCCATACTTCTTCCCCAAAGAATAAATTCATCAACTTTACCAAATCTACATTCTATATAATTCATTAACTCTTTAACATCTTCACTCTCATATGTTCCCATAGTTATATATTTTCCTTCTGATAAACCACATCCAGCAAAATCAAATACACATAAATTAACTCCTATTGCTTGTAATCTCTCTACATATTACAATCCTTCTAATCTACAACTAGCATTACAATGAAGATATATCAAACAACGATGATGAATAGATTCCGATATAAAATAACTAGCCTATAATTTTAGTTATCTTGATATAAACTCAAAATCTTCTCTTATTATTGGAACATTTTAAACTAAACGAAGTTTTGGACCTTATGCTTAATAAATTTATTACCTAATTATTACATTTAATATGTTCTTCTTGGTGGTCTAATTATCTATTTACAATAATCATTTATAAATGACATTAATATTAATGCATTAAATTGTTGTTAAAGCACTTATTAGAGAATATCTCATTAAATAAGGATTCACTTAAACTTTAAATACTTTTGATTTAGAATATAGAGATTAAACAACTATTACTAAAATGGATGTAATTTTACAACTTGGACTTTCAAAACTTGTCAAAAGAAATAATGAATCAATCAAACCTTTAAAGAGTTTATTAGAAATCTTGATATCTCATCTTCTTAATAAAAAAGCATAATTAGAAGCATTAACAATAGCTACTAAAGCTGAAAGAATTGAAGATATTCCTTAAGATATACCATATGATCCTACTATTGGAGTATCTCGTCAAAATAAAATGAAGAAACGTCCTTAATCAGAATACAAACCAAAAAATTTAGATTTATCTAAAGAAGAAGAAGAAGTTATTATTGAATCAAATGAAGATAAAAATGATGAAAAATTATCACAAAATAAAGGATAATTTCAAGTTTCAAGAAAACCTTCTAATAAATAAGTTAGATTATATGATTATTAAGATGATGATGATCCTTTAAAATAAGAAATTAAAGATAATCCGTAATTGACACTTGCTTAACCACCTAGATTAATTAATATGAAAAAATAATCAGAATAAAAAGAAAATGATCAATAAATAATTAATGAATAATAAGATAATAATCATTAAGATGAATCAACACTAGATCTTAAAGTAGAATATTAAAAATGCAATATTAAATAACATAATGTTTAACTTTAAATATCAAATTTTAATTATGATAAAAATATTGGACTTAATTAAGGTAAACGTAAACCTTAATAAAAATCAATTACATAACCTATTAAATAATTATTATTTTAAGGTATAATGAATGGATTACCTAAAAGTTGGTCATAACCATTTATTTTTAAAGATGAACCTACTTTTTTTGGATTGCATTAATTAGAAGGAGGTCCTTGTGGTGTTTTAGCTTCAGTTTAAGCTTATTATCTTAAACATTTTCTATTTTCTCAAACTATCTATTCTAAAACTTCAATTAAATAAAATTGTTTAATTGCCGCATTATCAGATATTTTCTATAAATGCAATAAAGAAAGGCTTATTTTAACAATTCCCACAAGAGATTCTTCAATGAGTTAAGCAATATCAATTGAAAGTTGTGATTAGTTAGAATATTAAATCAAATCTCTAAATTATTTATATGAAGTACTATTGGAACATTCAACTCTTTTTTTTGGTTAAAATGGTGTAACATTATTCTTCTATTCACTTATCTTAACCAAAGGTGTTGAATAAATTATGTTAGAAATGGATTCAGCTACTAATCCTTTGATAGGTAATCATGGTCATTGTACATAAGAAGCTGTTAATCTTATGTTAACTGGAAAAGCAGTAAGTAATTGTTTTGATGGGTATTATTTATTATTTATATAATAGATGTAAATAAATAGAAGATTTAAAGATAAAAGGAGTTGAACAAAGAAGTGAAATTGGATTCTTAACTATATTTGAACATTTTTAATATCTAGAAGTTGGAAAGAACTTAAAGGAACCTTTACTTCCAATCTGGGTAATTTGTAAAGAGTATCATTATTCTGTTATTTTTGGTTGTAATAATGATGTTATATAAGATAAACCATATTTAAGTAATATTAATTTTTAAATTAGAAAAAAACTTAAAAGAATTTGATCTTGTTTTTTTTGATGGATTGAATAATCCTGATGATTTGATTATCATTACAATAAGAAGATTTGGAGCATAGTTGGGTAAATAGAAAAAAAAAATACAAATTGAAGGAGTTTAATTTGATTCAAGTGAAAAAGTTACTCCACTTATCGAATATTTACTGAAAACAAAATATGGAGAATTAGAATTAGATTGGAATGATAGTATGCCAATATTATGAAAATTCATATATAACCTATCTAAAATTTATTAAACACTTTTTTCCTCAAAATTTAGAGAATATTTATTTGCATTGTAAATTAACCTATTTTTCGATATAATTTATTTTAATTATCAATTGTAATTCATCCAATTTTACATACTTATGTATTTTATAAAAATCTTCTACCACTTATCTAATAGATAAATCCTTTCACATCATGATTAATGTCTGACTCAAATAAATTAAATAGTTATTAATATTCAGAAATAATATCGAATTGAAAATAATATTTATTTGGACCCTTTGGTATAACATATTTTCTGTTAATTATATACTATGTTACAAACTTGTCTTAGAATCATTTATCTAAAATTACTTTTTTTTTAATTTCTTTTTCATTATAATCAAAATATTATATTAATTTATTTTCTAAATTATATACTAATATTTAAAAATAATTAATTTTATATATACTTTTTTAATTCAAACATAAATTTATATAATTCTATTTGTAATATTTTCTTTTAAGTCAAATAAAGAAATTAATGTATGTTTTAAATTATCAAAAAACAAATATAAATTGCTTTTTATAAAATTCCTTTTGTATTTTATAATACTTATAAACTTTTTGTTCAACTAAATAATTTTCTGATTACACTTAAAGAAGATATTCTAAACTTAGATCATTAGCTTCTTTTTAAATTTTATTTCTCAAAATTCTTATCTATTATTTGATGTATTTTTCTAAATTGCTTTATACTTTACTCTTGAAATTTTAACACATTGCTATGGCAAATTCTTTGCACAAGAATTGCAATAAATTTTGATGAGTAAGATTTTTGTAATAAGCTCTGAGCTCATGATGTTTATTTTTACTGTTTTTGTTAAATTAAATATGATTCTATGATAATATGTTATTCATTATTTTTTCAAATGCAATTTATAGCTATCCATTATTTATTGTTGCATAACCCGTTCTTCAGGACTCATAAATTACTCAAAATCATCGTCACCATCAACATCTGAAGACTGCCTTGTTACTTTTGCTTTAGATATAGAATTTTATTTTGTCTCTTATCGTTATTGTATATTTACAGAATCACTTTTTTACTTTTTTAATTGTTCGAATATCAATTATTATTGTCTTATTTCTCCATCTGAAAACTTGAATCCTTCTACTTCAATTTATTCTTTTACTGCTAAATTATGACTACTTCTTTTAGCTTGTAATCTTGACTAAACACTTTATGCCCTTATATCTGAAACTATATTTTTTTTTTCGAAATTTTTTTATGGATTTTAAACTTATTTCGCTAAGGGAGGTAAATTTGAATTTTTCTAATTATTAACTTATATTTTTTTTTCTTGTTTGTTTTATTAATTAGTATTAACAACACTTGGTTTTAATAATTTTTGATTAATTTTATTATTATTGATCTATTATATTGATCTATTTTAAGAGGTAGATGATTTTTTATAGATAATATTATGTTTTTACCCTTATTAGGATAGAGATGATGGAGGTCTATTCTTGAATTATTGATCTAATCCAATTTTTTAGGTTTATTTATTTTCTAAAGATATTTAATGCCCAGAGATCTTTTATCCTTAAATTTATCCAAAATTTATCTCTTTAGATGGTAATTTAGTTTTTAAGGATTCTAATTAAGCAATTTATTTTTTTATCTTATTCTACTATTGTAATTAATTAAGATTTTATTGCTTTTGAAGATTATTACTTAATTGTTCTTGAATATTAATGTCATTATTTGCGTTTTATGATATATCTTATATAGATGGTTTTTTTTAAATAGGTTACTCAATTTTATCGATTTTTTAAAAGCAACTTTAATAGTGATTAGTTAAATCTCTTTTCATAATATAATTTTAACAAATGTCACATTTTTCAGTTCTACTTCCACATTAATTTTCATGTTAAACAATTTAATCTACAGTATAATTTAGATCACAATATAAACATTATTTAGGTGTCTTGGAGCATTTATGTTTAGATAGATCTAAGAAATCAAAACAATATGATAACCATCAAAGTCTAAGTAACAATACTAGCATTTTTCTTTTTTATGGTAATCCTCTTCATGGGCATCAGGATCATTTTTATCATAAAAGTAACCACATCTTTCACATTTAATATTGAAACGTATGCAATAAGTTTCATGAAGAAGAATTTTAGATTCTGGAATTGATTAACTGCAATTAGAACAGGTAATACAATTTTCGCTCATTATTAATAATACAAAATATTAGAAAATTATTAAAAATATACAATATTTCTTATTAAACTTGATTATATTTATGCTGTATGCTGTATTAATTTAATTGATGGATAAATACTTTTTGAATCATGAAAAATATATAATACTTAGTATAACTTAGATTAAGTTTTAATTAGATTCTTGATTTAATTAGTTAGTATTGATAAATAAAACTAATGTTAAATTCATAAATTATTTAATATTAATTTTATAATTTATGGTCTAAGGCTATCGAGAATTCTGTATTTCATTGCTGAGATTAAGATAGTCATGAGACCTAAATTAAATTATTGTGTTATTGGGATGATGGCAACTTCGATTATTAAGTTAATGTTTCGAGGTTCCTAGATTCTCAAATAAAAATTATTTATAATATCTATAATAAAAATATCCATTCTTATGAAAATGCAACAACTTATATTGAATCAAAATGAATCTCAAAATAAATATGACAATTTAGGTTCGCATTATTCAAGTTTAACAAATAAAAAATTCGAATGTTCTTTTTCAAATATATACTCGAAAAAGATTTATATATTTTACAGAATAGTCGTAAATGACATTCTGTTATTCTAAAATAAACTAATTTTTATAGGTTATATTGAATTCATTAATATAATGTTTATAAACAAATTCATATATGTATACTTTATCACAGTGACAATAATCTATGGATTGACAGCCTTTGGATTCTTATTAAAGTAATTAAATCCAGTCTAAAAAGTAATATTATAGAATAATAAAAAGGCTTTGTCTAAAATTTTAAGATAATAACCATTTTATGAAACATTGAAATTCGGGTATGGTATTATCAGCTTTGGAATATTTATTTTGTGGGTTTATAATTTTGATCAAGTTAAAAAGCAACTTGAACATCTTAATTTACATATAGATAAAACTTCATTAGATTACATTGAAGATAAAGAAGATTTATACAGAGATGAAAGAAATCTTTATCTTTATGGAGGTGCATTTTTTGTCACATTAGCTAATTTAAGAATATTAAGTCTAATACATGATTATTATGAATCTTAAGATAGGATAGAGAAAACAGAAAAAAAATTAAAGGAATAATGAATAAAATAAAAAATACAATATTTCATAGTTATCAACATATAATAAATAAGGGCAACGATCTCTATTAATTATAGTTAGTAATTTAAGGAAGATTAAAATCAGTCCGATATTTAAAATATTTGTATTTTAAAGTAGTTAAGAATCTTCTATGATGAAAGATTGAATTATTTTTAAGAGATTTAGGCATTTATGGAGATTCGAAATTAGATACATCTGCCAAAGATTTAATATTGTGCTAAATTTATTCTTAGTTTTTTGAAATAGAATACTCTTCACTTATAATAGATAAAGAATGATAAAATTGGTGAGGTATCGATTCAAATTTCTCAATATCTTTTTTGGCTAGTTCAAAATCATCATTAAATTCTGGTTTTTCTATTCTTAACAAACCTTATAAAATGTTAATTGGTGTAAAATAAATTTGATTTGTTTTTAAATTAACCATACAAGGGGTAAGTTCATGAACTTCTTCTTTTTATAAACTTTCTATCTGTGCTATTGTTAAAAGCAAACTCTAATTTTTATTATAAACAAATTCATGTCTTTCTTAATCTTATTAATTTCTATCTACTGGCTACTTGCTAATTTTCCATAAAATCTTATCGATCAATTTATTTAAATCATTTTGTACATCCTCTCTCTTTAATAAACAATTGAATCGATTTTTAACTTAATTTTCATTTCTTTTCAATATTTTTGCAATCTCTATCCATTTTTTACCTTTCTATTATATTTGATAAATTAATTCTAGGTCCTCTCTATCAGTCCAAGGATCTTTAATCTTTAATAAACTAGGATCTAAGTAGTTTATCCATCTTTCTCTAAGCTGTTTACAAGTTCGATAAATTAGATGATTACTATTCATTTCATTTGCTATCAATTTCCATTTTTTATCTTTATGCTTATATTTTTCATAGAGAATGAGAATTTCTTAATCTTCTTCTTTTTTAAAAGGTTGAGCTACTAAAGAGGTTTTTAACATTGAGAACCATTTTTGTCTAATATTATCAACATTTCTTCTGATAAGATATTTACTTATCTCAATGAAGTCTTGGTTATCTAAAAATCTACAATTTTTCTAATTAAGTTAACAATATTTTCCAATAACCCAAACCAATACTTTTTTTTCATCTAGACTCCAGCTCTTTTTTTAATTTATTGAAAAGCGCCGGCTATGTATTTTTTTTTGAATTTTAAAAATTTCCTAATCATTAGGGCAATCATGAAAAGGTATATTAAAATATTCACTCAGATAAGTAAAATCAATAGGGATATTTTGGCAGCTTTCAAGAAACTTTTAAAAATATTGATATTATTGTTGAGTTTCTAGTTTTTCTTAACTTGTTGCTATAATTTATTTTTAGAGATACCTTAACGATCATGATAACTACGTCCTCTTTGGGGTTTTTGGAGGTTAGAATCTGATTCTGAAAGGTTGAATTCTTCAAACATTCTGCAAATAATAAAATATAAAATCAATTGTAGAATCTTCTTATTAAGAATTATTTAAAAACTTAATAGCATTACAAAATTTTAATCTCATTTTATTTATTGATTGACTAATTATCTTTTGTTAAAATTAGTTATAGTAAAACTATTAGTTAAATGTGACATTTTGTTAAAATGAAGTTTTGTTAATTTAAAGTAAAATAAATAAAAACATTTCTTAGAAGTAGAAAAACTTTTACATTTAAAACACATTAGATTTTCAATAACTAAATTTAATCAAAACGATTATTTATTACTTAATATTAGTATCAAAAATATCATAAATTTAAGAGTATTTGTATATAAAATATAGAGGGAGATTGTTAAATGTTTAGAAAGAAAATTAATTTTAAGAATTATGAAGAATAGAAACTAAAAATAATAGAAAATATTTATAAAATATATATTTTTTTAATATTTATATTAATACTTTACGATGAAAACATAAAAATAGTATTTACATTTGGTGATATAAAAATGATAGATGTAACAGAATGTAATAATAATGAATATTATTTTAATAATTTATATACGGTCAAAATATTAAAGTAAATATTTATGATAAAAATATCAATATTAATAAAATTCCAATAGCTTTAATTGTGAATCTGATTTAATGTTCATTAAGTTCTGGAAATGTAAATTTTGAGGTTTAATTGTTTAGAATTTAACTTGATTTTTAAAGGAATATATTTTAATTTTCTTTAGTTTAAAATTATAACTGTTAAGAATGATCTTTATCTTCAGATGGATCAGGTTAAAACTATTCTTAAATAAAATCATTAAATTCATTAGAATTGAATGTTATATTTCTGATAGGTTAGACTTTGAATTCTTTGACAACAATTTATTTGGGTGATTAAATTTTAGGTTATTGAATTGAAAGATTATCTAAATCATGATCTTTTGGCCAATCAGGAGGATTAAAATCAGGGAAATCTTGAAATTCAAATTGATCTTCTGTTTTAGGAAGGTATTTTTCTTTAATTTTTTCAATAACTTGTTAATTAACTTAATGAAGACCAATTTTTTAATCAATTTAAGTGATGAGTCCATTCAATCTTTAATGAGTATTAATAATTTCTTCATTTTCTTCAATAATAGGAAGTTCTTTGGGTAATGATTTAAGTTTAGTTTCAGGATTATAAAATTCTGGACTTTTATCAGTATGTCCATTATTATTACTTTCAGGTGAATCAAAAACTTATTCAAGATTTTATGCAAGTTCATGTAATGAATTATGAGATGAAGCAAAATCACTTGAAGTTTTAAGATGATGAAATTCTTCATCTTAATGTGGACTATCTTGAATATCAGATTTTCGATCAGATAGTCTTTAAAAAGTAGTGAAATATTTTTCACAATCTCTTTCAGTTAGTTTCTTATATGGGGATACTAATAATTATTTTTCTTCAGGTAATGTATTATGAAACATTGTAGTAATGGAAGAAGTGAAAGTATCAGAAGTTCTATCCATTCCAATATATTTGTTAATGATTTGATCAATATGGAATTCTTTATTAGGTGTAGAACAAGAAGACTTAGTTTTTTTAATGGGATCTACTGTTATGGCACTGCCACATACTTATCGTAGCATTCAGTTAATAATTTTAATGGCGAATAGACTAAAAACGCAAATTCAATTTAGTGATGATTAAACAAATATGAATATAGATGAAACCAATGAAACTAAAAGATTTGAAGATCATTATGAATGTCTAAAGTCTATAGGTAAAAAATAATCAATTTATAATGTCTATAGGTTAAGGTGCTCATGCAGTTGTAAAAACAGCAAAGAAAAAAGGCACAGATCAAATTTATGCTGTTAAAATAGTACGTTCTGGAGATTAAGAAATATAAAATAATGTTAGAAGAACATTCAATAATACTTTATGTCTCAGACATTAAAATATCGCTTAGAATATTGAATTGTATATCAATGAAAAAAGTGAAACCTCTTATTTAGTTATGGAGTATTGTGATTTTCCTAGTTTGGATACCATCATTAAAAAGCGTCCATTAACAACAGAAGAGCTTAAAGTTATTATCAAATAATTATTGTTGGCAATATAACATTCTCATTCTAAAGGCATTTGTCATAGAGATCTTAAACCAGATAATATTCTTGTTAATTTATAAGAAAATAGTACTCCACCTCATGTAAAACTTGTAGATTTTGGAGTCTCTCGAAGATTTATATCAAAAGCATAAGAAATTGATATGCTCACTAAAACTGGCAATATTTTCTACTGTGCACCTGAAATTTATCATAAAGCAAGCTATTCTAAAGAAGTTGATGTCTGGGCTATAGGAGTCATTTGTTATTAATGTACATTTTAAAAATTACCTTTACATTCTAATCAACTATCAGATTTTGTTGATTTATTAGGTAATCCAGATAAATGGACATTTAAAGAATCTTTAAATAATATAGATATGCCATTATCAAATCTTATATTATCTATGTTAAATCCAAATTAAGAAAATAGAATAACTGTAGATGAAGCCCTTCAACATCCCTTTTTTGAAATTGGAACTATTCGTGATGTTATGGCTTTGTTAAATAAAGATAATGTTGAAAGAGATAATTGTGGAAGATGTCGATCCTTATAAAATAGTCTTAAATTAAATGAATAATGGGGAGATATGATCAAAAAATTATAAAATAGTTCTAATGAAATTGAAAATATCAATATTAATGATTTAGTTAGAGATTTTGGAAATATTCATATAATCTAAAGACATACTGATAAATGTGGATTAATTTAATTAATGAATTCAGTTGGAAGTAGTAATGCCTTTATGAGTAAATTAGGATCTAGATAAGAAATTTTAGATAGAAGTTGTGGTCTCTAATTTTGTGGATCGTCAAGTATTTATTATTACTATTTATAATTATTTAGATAAAACAATTCATTAAGATCCATTTGGAGATGTCTGTAATATACAAAGTAGTTTAGAAATGAAAGAAGAATAACATAATTCAAATAATAGAATATTATCATAATTAGGAACATATTAGGATCATAGTTTAGAGGTTACTTCTAGTGATTGGTAATTGGTATCTTAAAAACAGAATTAATAGTAAGAACAACAGAGTATCAAAAAGAGAGGATCATAAGTTAATAGAATGTTTAATGAATTAGGAATTAAAGAAGTAGATGAAATTACTGAAGATTAATCTTGATCATTATTCATTTACCTCTTCATGTTTTAAATTTTCCGATTTCTCTGAGTTTTCTCTCCTAGGACTTGAATTTGGACTAATATATGAAAATTTAGGATTTGTATTTCGTGCAAATGAAATGCAACCTGAACTTGCAATAAAATACTTTTTTATATTAGCATCTATCATCTTTATAAGAGCATTATCAATTCTAGACTTTTTCTCTCTTTCATTTATTATTTAAAATGAACTAAATGCTTGAGATGCTTTCACAATTGTATTATGTTTAGGTTCTTATTTTGGTTAATGTAAGTCAATATTTGGTTTCGGAATATATTCAAATAAATTCAATTGATCTTCATCTAAGAGTACTTATTTTAACTTTTCCAATTCTTAAAGTTTATTGAAAACATAAATTATATCAGTTTTTTAATTAACAATTTCAAGATTCTATCTTAATTATTTAATTCTTTTTTTTAATTATCCTGTAAATCCAAAAAAGTATTTGACATATTAAATACTCTATAATTTCAATCTTATATCTTATGGTTGAAAATATTTAGCAATGAGTTCATCTACATCTTGATTTTCTTCTTGAATAATTGCCTCATTTATATTGAGTTCGGGATCTTCATTTTATTTTTATCTTTTAGAGTATCTTTTAAGAATACTTTTAATCATTTTAGTAGGTTGTTTATTTAATTCTTTGATTGGTGAAATTTATTAATTAAGTTTCATTGAATCTAAATGGAGAGTCTGCATTCTTAATAATTTCTGACTATAGGCTTAAGAATTAAGTGGATAAAAGGATCTAGAATGTTTAGTTGATCCAAAATTAAAAAATTGATTGAGGAAAGATATTTAAAATTTTAATCTTGTAATTGGTTTACTAAACAATTTGCCAACGAACATAAGAACTTTAACTAGACCACCAGTTATTGATAGGATTCTATAGATTCTTTTGTAACTTCGATCCACGTGTTTAATTATTGGGCTACCTAAGTACAGTTTGTGTGTACTTTATTGTTAGAATTAATCTTAAACTAGTAGAATCACTCTGTGAATAGTAAGTATCTGTATATTCTAAATAGAATTGATCATGTGTTTTCAGGATTTCCCATAGAAGGCCTTAGTCTGTTGAGTATTCTAACATTTTCATTTATAGTTGAATGGTTAATTGTTGATTTTAAACAACTTATCTAAGAATTTTTTATGATTATCCTATTTTAATAGGATTGTCAACATCATAAATGTCTTCATGTATTGTTGGAATTGATATAGCTACAAATTTAAATGAATGAATATCTATAAGTGTTTCTTGATTGTTAAGATGATGAGTAGTTACAATTCCTTCATTTTCAAGATTCAATAAGATGGAATGAAAAGTCGTGGATTCAAATAATTTAGACAGAGATCCAGCATCTTTAGTGTACTCATGAATTTCTGGAGATAGATAGAAAATGCAATCTAAGAATTAAGAAATACAAAGAGCTGCGATTAAGGAAGCAACAATAGATGACCACATACCCCCATAGAAAGTTTTATATGATTTATGTTGTCTATAATTGAGTCCAATCTCAACTCCATAAAAGTCACAGCCTTTGATTAGTTTGTACACTTTTTGCTTTATATTCATAATTAAAATCAACTGTGAAAAGTAAGAAATTCAATAGCAGGCTTTGGGAACCAAAAGGTTTTAGCATTCCATCCTTGTAAGAATCCAATATGTCCTCCAGCTTTGGCCAAACATAAGATTGTACGTCCATTTTGGATCATTTCTTCTTTTCCTAATCCTTTAAGATGGCAAACACCATCATCTTCAGCAGAAATACAAAGCATAGGAACCTAAACATTAGGGAATCGATTAATTAATGAGAAATGACGATAATATGCATCAGCAGTTCTATATCCATACACTCTTGAAGTGTAATATGTATCAAAGTCTTGAATCCAGGTAGCTTTCATAGCTTTTTTGATATCAATAGTCCAATTACTAGGATAGTTATTCCTATTATTAAATTATTCTTTAATTGCTTGAAGTCCTCTTTATAAGATTTTACAAAGCATCCAATTCATAAATGTAGATAGAAATATTTGAGTAATATTCATTATATGAGGAGAACAAACTGTAACTCCTGCATTAATTAGAGCTTGCTTTTCAAATCTACCCAAATACATTCCTAATTGAACTCCTCCATATGAACAACCTATTGCTAATATTTTAGTAAATTAATATTTCTTTTTTAAATATTATAATGTATAATGAACATCTGCTACTAAATCTACTCTAACTCTCTTTCCCTAAATAATATCATCTTCAAAGTAATAATAATCATTATCAATTCCATAAAATCCATCACTTACATAATCTTTCATAAATTCATTTGGCTACATTTTTAGACCATAATTATAAAATTCTGGTTTGAATGAGAAATCTACTTTTTTAGCTAACATTCTATAATTATATATGCAAATGTTATGAAAATTATGTTAATGAGCTTATGAAACTATTGTATTGATATATCCATCTTCTACACTTCCTGTTAAACCAGGCATTATAAATAATAAAGGATACTAAGCATCTACTCCATTTCCTTTATCAATCCAATCTACTGACAATCCTGCTTCATGTACAATTTCTCTATTTGATGTATGTTTCTCCTTAGCATGTTTCAATGAACCTAAAATTATAAATAAATGTATACCAATCAAAGTATGTAATAATCCATTTAGATATGGAGTAGGTTTATAATTTAATAAAGAAGGACATTTATCTATTACTTTCTTTAGTTCGGAATTACTATAAAACAATCGAACACTTGGACGATTCAGAAATCTCATCCATCTATACAATATGTATAATATTCCTATCGTAATGATAATATTGATCATTTTTATTATTATTCTTATTGTATTAATTAAAACAAATATTTGATAAATATTAGATTCCTAATATCAAAAACTTAAGCCTAAGATCTTCAATTAATTAAATATTCATAGTAGATTAATCACATAAAGATAAAATTAATATAATCCCTCCCAAAAGAATTATTTATATTAAAGTTTTAAAGAATAATATAATTCTATAATTAAACACTGGAGAATGTTATTTTTTTTTAGTGAAGATATCCTATGAGACGTTAGATTTTATATACCTCAAAAATAAAAAATACTTTTATGTACAACAATTTAGAATATTAAAAAAAAAAGAAATAAGAATTATATGAAAATGATTTAGAAGAAACTTCTTATCTTTATTAACTTTAGAATCGTATAGCCAAAAATAGGTTGTAATGATTCTATTCTTACTCCATAAAGTTCTCTTAATTGTTCCAAGAAAAAATATACAAATGAGTTTCTTTAAAAAAGATATAAAAAAGATTTAAAAAGCATGAATTGATATATAGTAGAGTATAAATTGATAATTTTAGATGAAAAAGTGTTAAAATAGAATTTTCTGGTTTAATGTATGATATATTATGTAAAATTCTCTCAGAAATTATACGAATCAAAATTGTACCTCCAAAAATAATCTTTCATGTTTAAGATGTTCTATTGTATTTCATTCAAGTTTTCTATTTCCATTAGAATAATCATTACTTTTTATATAAAAACAAATTATTTACATGATGCATAGTAAATTATAAAGAGTATCTAGATTTCTTTATTATTTTAGATTACTCAAACTCTATAAAATAAATTCTTTGATCTTAAAATTATCATTAAAAATACTTAGAATTATTTTCTACTGTTGATAGAGAAAAAAGATAAATTTATCTTAATACTTTAAATCAAAATAAAAAGGTATTAATAAATTATAAACATATAAGTATTGATGCAAGCTAAAATGGAAATAATCATAAAATCACATTATTAAAAAAAGGATGAAGATTTTTAAGTTTAAGATTATTCATGCAATAATATCTAATTTAACTAAAAGAGCTGTCAACAAATGAATTATATCATATTGTTTTGAATAATAATACAACATAATATTAATTAATGAAATCTTAAATTCCTTCAGCTAAAAAGCCAGCAAAATCATATTCTAAACCAAAAGACAATTTAACTGTATAAACAGGTAATTCTAAAAAAGAATTTACGAATGAATCTAATGGTTTTGAAGCGTCTAAATAAATGTCTACATAGCCAAATCCTTAAGAACTTAAAAGAAATTAAGATTGTCTTATTGAAATTGTAGAGTTAGCAAACACTTTAAAAGATGATGAGAAAGTAAACGGACTTATCTTTAAACAAGTTATCATTTCTATTGAAGCTAAATTGACAGAATTCTAAGATAGATTAGAAAATAGAGATAATCTCTAAGAATTAAATTCGCACCTCATAAAATTACAAAATCTATAATCAAGTCCATATAGTCCTAATGCCAATCATGTTAATTAAAAAAAGGATGAATCTCATAATGATACTAGTGGATTAATTCGTAATTAAAGTTAAGTTTCTTTACCTTAAAATGACAATGCTAGTGTTCTGAGTGTTTAAGATAAAATTAAAAGCCCTTAAGCTAGACGTTCAGTATCTAAATAGCCTACATGTAATTTATAGAATAACAATTTTAGAAAATCTTGCTATCTCTTCTCAATAGGTTATTTAAGAAAATAATAAAATTGCTGCCTTAGAAAAAAGACTGAGATCTTATGAAGATAATTATGTTAAATTATCTAGAGAATTTCAAGAATAATCAAATGCGAATAATCAAAGATTAGATAAAACTATAAAGGCTCTAAATGAAAAATATTTTGCATATAGTACCATGAATTTACAATAACAATTTAACGAAATCACAGAGAGTTAAAAGGCCCTGATTTTACATCTATAACAACAATCCAAAGAAATCACGTAACTGCTTCGAAATATTTAGTGAAACTAATAATACTTTAAATTAATTGAAGCAATCACAAGATACTTAAATTATAGAAGTATTCAATAAAATTGAACATACTTTATAATAGAATAATGAAAACTTTGTCAGAATTCAATCACTATCATCCTCCCTTTAAGCTATTGATGCAGACTTTATTATTATTTTAAAATGCTACAAAGATATATTGAATGAAATCTTTAAAATTGATTTTCTAGAATAATAATAAAAGAAAATTGTAAGTTTACTATAAGATGGATAATGATTATTAATAATTCATAATCCAATTAGATTATTTCTTAAATATACCCATTATTTCTAAATTTCAATAATTTATATTGTTTATTCAAACAATTTTATAAACAAACTACTTAGTGTAAGTCTCAACTTCTTATTTAGAATTTTAACACACTCTAAAACATTTTTCCTCAATTAATTGTTTTACAACTTAGATTGAATTTTGAGAACATTCTGTTTCATTTAAACAAGTCTTGCAAATAAAGTTTAAAAGTTTAAATCTATTTAAATTTAATTTCTCATTCAATAATATTTTCCTCATCCTTATAATAACTAATTTTTATTAAATTAGATTTATATTCTAAATTATGGTAAAATTGTTATTTATACAATTTAATATTATTTTTTTTTATTTTAATCATGGCTCAGAATTGCATAAAATAAGCATTATAGATTAATAACGATATATGAATTTTTTTTTTTAATTAAAAATAATATTTAATATTTAGATAAAAAATTTGCTTCTTTCATTAATCATCTTAAAAAGTCTCCATCTTAATTATTTCATAATTAAATTTAATATAAAAATAATAAATTTTGTTGTTGGAGAAGTGAATTTTGATAATAGATTAGATGATGGAATATATTAATATTAATCATTTATTAATGGTTAAGATTGCAGAATAAAAAATAAAATTGGTCTTATAAAATGAAAATGTTTATTATAATAAATTCAAAAGTATTGGTTCGACTTCTAATATTATTTTTGTCTCTTTTTTTTATTCTTCTTTTTGAAAATAATTTTTACACCATTTATAAAGATTTAATAAGTCTTGCAAAATCTTACTTTTTTTTCTTTTTAATCAATTTTTTACGTTCTATCATTTTTTTTTAAACATGATTTTTTGGTGAAGGGTTTTTAATTTTGTAATTATTATTGGACTATACAAACATCATCTTCATCATCTTAATAAAAGGTTTTTTTATTAAGTACACTTTAATTTACTTGAATGCTGTTGTTGATTAAATTAGCACAAGTTTCTTCAACCATTTCAAAATCATCTGAGAATATTATATCATCCTTGTAATTTATTTCACATTTCTCAGAGTTTAATACAGAAGGTGCACAACCCATTTATTATATAAATTTATGAGTTTATGAATTCAACTAATTAATCAATATATACTATATTAATAAAATAAGATACATTTTACAACATACATAATTTATTTTTGTATTTATGACTAAAAAAATATTAAAGCTTCTTTTTATCGAGAAAAAACTCAGAAATTTCAAAAATTAAATTATTGATGAAAAGGAATTAATTAAAATCAAAAAAAAGTAAAAGAAGGTGATAACACTATATTGATTATTCATTGTTTAAATTATATTTATTGAATAATAAAAACATAAAGAATTCAAAAAATATGTTAAATAAAATTCTAAAAGTTACAAATTAATTATTATGAAAAATTAGCCTAAATACTAATGAAAAAAAAATTGAAGAATTAAATTTTCTATAAAATTGAAGGCACAGATGTTTGATGATACCCTAATAAATGTGATACAAAATCAATAAGAAAATTAGCACATATATTTAAATTGAAAATGAAATGAATAAATTAACTGAGAAATCCATAAGAAATATTTTGATTTAAATAGACAGGAGTTAATAATAATCATAATCTTATCCAAGATTAATTGATGAAGGAGAATAAATTCAAAGTCTTTATATAATCTATTTTTTTCTAAATTTTTACCAATTAAGGAATTTAAAATTTATTCTTCTTTAACAACTCCTACCTATGAAAGAGGAATTAAAAAGAATATTCCTGTAAATACATTAAACAACCACAGTTTAGAGAATTCATTTTAAATAACTCTAAATGCAATTAGATGGATAATTTCAAATTAAGATCCCAAAGTTGATCCTAGAAATAAAATAATAGATAACCAAAATTAATAGTACTCATTAACTTAGCAGCTTTGATATTATTTTGACATATTCGACATGTTTAAACTAATATTAGCATAATTTTTAATTCTCCTACTAATAATTAATATAATGGAATCTCCAAAACAAAAGAGTCTATCATTGAAATTCCACTCAACATTTTTTTTAAGAAACTAAAATAATCATTGACTAATAGCAAAAATAATATAAAATGGCTGTAGTAATAATTTTTTTAAAAGGAACATTCTTCAAATAATTAATATATAATAAAACTCTTTAATTAGTTGATAAAGTATAAAATATTTTAGCTATTCTAGAAAGGAAGGTCATTTTCTAATATCATTGTATAGAAAAAGAACATGATAGTTGAAATGGATGGAGCAATCATAAAATAAAATATCAATACCACTAGTATTTTATTAAAAATATCCAAATTTACTTAAGAAAATTGATAAACGATGAATTCCCTATGAAAAAATAACGAAAGCAAAAGTATTGAAGCTATAGTACAATTATGAGAAATTATGAAATAGTTTATTAAACATGAAAAAAACATTTTAAATTATATCAAATCAGTTTCTGAAAAAAAAACAAATAAATAAATAAAATGGAAGCAAAAATATTTAATATCAAGAATTCAATTTAGTTTGTAGAGACTAATTATACAAATTTCTTAATTTTAAATTGCTGTCATAATTAGAAGATTTTGTTTTAAATGATAAATAATCTGCAGTTGAAGGTATTTCAATTGAATATTTTAGTTAAGGACTTAAACTTTACAATCTCATATTAATATATTTTTGTATCGGTCTTATTTTTTAAATTTATTTGCTTCCATTACTTTCTGTTGTTTTAATCTAAGTTACTTTATTATTTTATTCTTTTAAATTAGATTTTTATTATGTTTTTAATTGTTTGGCATTATTAAATACTCCAGATTATTTTCGAATTCGAATATTATGGCTGATTTTATTAATTACACAATCTTTTTGAGTTTTTTCTTGATGAGCAACTTTATTTAATAATAAGAGAAACTAAATACCTAATACTATATAGCAATCCAAACAAACTTATAATGTTTTATGTAAGAAACCATCAGATTTTTTAAATTAATCAAAGTTTGTATAATTTAATTTTTCATGAAGTTTTTAAAATACTAAAGGCACTTATGTTATTGTATTTAAGAAAGCTTCAGTTATATTATTACCACCTGCAATTTTAACAGTTTTTGCTTCCTTTTTAATTTCATTTGGCCATTAGTCAGCTGGTAAATTAGATTCATCTTAATCTAATATATAATGATATGGAATTGATATAAAATTATTCTCTTTATCAATGTTACCACATTTAATACATTTAGATTCTTTATTTAATTATAATGGTCTTTGACTATAGACTGACATAATTCCATCTACTGATTTTGGTATTTAAATTTAAGATTGAGTATATAAATCTTTTGGATAATTCTTATAATGTTTATCATCATCAAATTTTAAACTACCACAAAAAAGAAACCAACATTTTGCTTATTTATCAACTTTAAAATAAAAAGTTCCTTAACTTATATTCAATTTTCCAAAAGATATTGCATCTAAATGATTAATCATCTTTTCAATCTATTCAGATATTCTTTAAGATTAAAAATCTTTCACCTAAGCTATATTTACAATAGAATCAAGAAATTTTACTTGCTTCACTCAAATATTCAGGTCCTTCAAATGTACAAAGTCTCTCATAAATATTCATTGATTTATTTAAATAACTTTTCTTAGTCATTCTTTTTGTAAATAATGTAACTGATTTGCTCCAATATGCCTAAATTTATGCTAAATTATATTATATTTATACAATTTTTATCGTCTGCTGCTTCAACGTATCGTTAAAGTATTCCAAATGGAAGCTCCAAATTAGAATTCATAAAATCATCAAATCCTTTTTCATCAAAATATACAATTTAAATTTAACCACTTATTTTTAATTTGTCTGGAGGATAATTCAAGTCTAAATTCTCACTTAAAGTTGTAAATCATATTATTTATACATAAAATGCAATAGATATCCTACTACTCCAGATTTTCCAACTTAATTTAACCATGTTTCTCTTATATTTTCTTTAGTAACGTTTTTTCTCATTTTTTTTTTCACTTCTCCTGTTTCTTTGTCTGTAAAATACCAATAAATTGGCATTGATCTAATTAATATCACAGTATCTGGTATTAATATAGAAGGTGGATTAGATGTTTCAGATTTCACCCAAAGATATTGGTATATTTTATCATAAAGTATATGTTCTTGCACACTTTCACTTGTATACATAATAATTAATTATTATTAATATTTTATTATACTATGGACACTTATAATGAAACTAAGTACAAAGAATTAAAAAAGAAATATGCCATTCTCATGAAAGTAAATATACTCTCTTATTTAAATAGCAATATTAAATCATATAATAAGAATATGAAAAAGTTAATTGTGAATTATCAGAATCTATCCTAGAAAAAAGAATTCTATAAAATCGAATTAATGAAATATTGGGAAAACAAAATGAAGAGAGTTGAATATTCAATTTCACTTCATATGTAATTCATTCATATTATTAACTTAATCAATCGAAAATCCCAACAAAATTTTTATTCAATTTTTTAATGTTTTTATAATAACATAGAAAAAAATCTCAACCTTCTTTGGTTGCTTATTATGAATTTAAAATTGAGGAAATTCAATGTTACCCTTCATAAAGAGTAGTAATTACAGAAATGAATACAAAGAATTATGCCAATTTAAGGATTGGAACATCTAGTCCAATAGGGTCTAAAAGTAGAATCAAAACTCTACCTCCTTTAAAAAAAGAAAAAATTTTACCATTTGAACATGATTATAACACTGCTTATAGAACAATGTTTAGCTAAAGAAATCTTTTCAATCTAATTAGTGGAAAAAACAAATGATTTTATTATTTTCCTATTGTTAAAATGTCTATTAACTACAATCTTAAATATCTATTTATTGTTCAGATTATAATTTATTTGATTATCACATATCATATCATTGAACAATTACATCAATTATTAGAGCAAAATCTGAATAGAGTACCTCAAATATATATGAATACTTAAGTGAGTTAATGATAAGCAAATAACTGTTATCGTAATTCTAGAAATAAGTGATATCATGTGGGATAATTAGAACTTTAGGTTCAGTAATACATTAATTAAATTGTGATAATAAAAGTCCAATTCTTTAAATAATATTAAATTCACTGATTGGCGATTGATACTATAATCAAAGAACAATTATATTTTTATCTAATCCATTTTTAAACATAATTAAAGAGCCTTTTTGGTAACTTATTTATATTATGATATTTTTTATATGCTAATGATAAAATTGTACTGATGTTTTACTAATACTTTTAGTCAATATAAAAAAATATTAATTTTAATTACATTTATAATATTAATTTAGATAGTTATAAAAATTAAATGGAGCCCCACATTTCTATTTTTTAAGACCTTGAATCAAATAATAAACTAAAATTCTTAGGTGTTTAACTAATTTTAGGATTTTAACTCATCCATTACTTTTATTTTTGTTTTAGAACATATAAGAAATAATCATCCTTTTTTAATCAGATAGGTATTTTTAATTATATATAATTTAGGACCAACAATGATATTAAAGACTTGTCTTATTTTGTCATTTTATATATTGTTTAAGAAAATTAAGTATTCATCTGATGAATTTATTATGGGTCATTTGATAATTGGAATAATTTTTCAAATTGGAGTATTACTTTATGAAAAACAATTTGCTTAGATTGTGTATTAATTTACTATAATGGTACAATATTCATATTTTGTATAATAAATGACAGATGACTCAATAAGATTTCTCTGTCAGGCAACATAATATACATAAAGTTTAGTTTTTATTTATCATTTATATCAAATGATTAAAAATAAGAATGGCACAACTTTGAGTCCTTTACAATTAAAGTTACATATTTTAGAATCTATGCTCTAAATTACAATAAGTCTAACAGAAAAATATGATATTATTTCAAATGGAGCAGGAATTGTATATTTATTATCTTCAATGTTCTGCTTAAGAGTATAAAAAGAATTGTTCTAATTTTAAGAAAAGAAAGTAAGTGGAAAGTAGAAATCTTAATGATTTGTAACTTATTAAAACATTTTTTTATGAATAATTTATTTCAAGGTTCTTAATTTTATTTTATTACCTATTCTATTTTAGACCAAAATTATTATTGAATTTCTAAATATTGTAATTCACATTAAGCTAAATCTGCTAATATAGTATTATAAGCTTAATGTTTGTCTTTCTTAAATTTATCAATTGTATACGAAGTTAAAACATCTGTTACTAATTAAAATAATAATTTATATTAATCAACTTCTTTTTGTGTCTAAAAGAGTAGAATAATAATAATTACTTCATTTAATTGAAGTTCTAATTTTTATTTTTATTCTTCTAAACTTAATTTACTAAAAGAACCTTTCATAGTTGAATTTCCTTTCATAATTTTGTATAAATCAGATTATTCTTCACTTAACTTTTATTCTGCCTTTTATTTTGATTGCATCACAGAATCTCTAGTTTAAAAAGCCTATAAAAATGCTTCAATATCTCTTTATTCAGTAGAAATTAAATCTTATATTTTATCAAGAGAATTATTATTTGGATCTCTCTATATTAAGTGATATATAATTACAATTTTTTTAGCTAATTCTAAAATTTCTGTATTAGCAGTGTTTGCAAAAATTAACTTATTTTATGGTACCACTTCTTAAAGTGTCTACTTTTCATATTCAATCATATTTAATCCAAAAATTGTAAAAAACATTTCTTTTAATTGTTTTCTGCTTTAACTTATAGATTTAGCTTAATCTAATAATTTTGTTAGAGAATTTTATGATAATTTTAAAAAGGATTAAACTCCACTCATTTTTTTAATCATTTCAGGTGAGATTTCTTTGATTTCAGTTATTTGAAATGCTTATTTATATCTTTCTGTGTAAGCAAATACATTTTATTTAGGAATCTATGCTATTTACTATGATATAGTAATATGAATCAAAATACTTTGCTAATCTCTTGATTAGTTGATCTTAAAAATATATCATAAAATTCTTCAGAATAATAAAGATGTTTAATCTACATCATTTTCATACAAAAGATGTTAAGTAATCTTGTCCTTTCTAAAATTATATCTGAACCTGCATTTACAGATTTCTCAGGAATTGGTGGTATATATTATCCAGGCCATTTTGCTAAGAGTAATTCTCTAATCATGTAGAAATCATTAAATCTTCTTTATGTTTCAAATTATCCAAAACAATCTTTACCTTTTATAGTATAGACTACATAATTTGAAATACTTCCTACTTTTTGAATAGGATCAGATACTTTTATTTCAATCTAAAAATTAATCAATAAAAGTACTGGGAAAGTATGATCTGCTTTTAAGAATAAATTATCCAAATTTGATGAAATTGTTTCTGGAGTTTTTTCATTTAATACTTATTTTTCTTCATTATCTTTTACTTAATTTTCTTGATCTTTTTTTTCATTTTAAGTATTCTCTTATTAAGTTTCTTTTTAAATAGTACTTTCTTGAATTGAAGAGGTTTGTTATTATTTTTATTTATTATTCTTCTCTTCTATATCTTATTCAACTTATTATTCTGCTTTTATTTACTTATCCTACTATTCTTAATTATCTACTTTTTCTTAAATATTCTCTTTCAATTATTATTCCTCATGATTTTATGCTTCAATTTAAGGCTAATTAATTTGTTCTTATAATTCTTCTTAAAGAATTTTCTATTATTTTGGAGAAATCTCTTATGACATATAATAAATAAATTATTTATGAGAGTAGTAAAAAGAATGAATACAACTATTGATTTCTATAAAAAAATTTATTTTGTTTTTAATTGATAATAAAAACTAAATTATTTAATTATGCAAAAAGAGATAAAAGAAGAAGAATGTGATTATTCTTTTAAAAGTAAATAAGTTAAATACTGCTAATAAAGTTGCTTTAGTAGGGGAATGTGATGTTGGCAAAACTTGTATTTGGCAAAATTATTTAAAGGGAACGATACCAAAGAAAACTGCTCCAACAATAGGTGTAGAATTTGAAACAAAATTTATCACACTTTCTGATGGATCAAGAATAAAAGCCCAAATTTGGGATACAGGTACTGAATGATTATAGGAAGCTGGACAAGAAAGATATCGTTCTNCAAAATACTTTGCTAATCTCTTGATTAGTTGATCTTAAAAATATATCATAAAATTCTTCAGAATAATAAAGATGTTTAATCTACATCATTTTCATACAAAAGATGTTAAGTAATCTTGTCCTTTCTAAAATTATATCTGAACCTGCATTTACAGATTTCTCAGGAATTGGTGGTATATATTATCCAGGCCATTTTGCTAAGAGTAATTCTCTAATCATGTAGAAATCATTAAATCTTCTTTATGTTTCAAATTATCCAAAACAATCTTTACCTTTTATAGTATAGACTACATAATTTGAAATACTTCCTACTTTTTGAATAGGATCAGATACTTTTATTTCAATCTAAAAATTAATCAATAAAAGTACTGGGAAAGTATGATCTGCTTTTAAGAATAAATTATCCAAATTTGATGAAATTGTTTCTGGAGTTTTTTCATTTAATACTTATTTTTCTTCATTATCTTTTACTTAATTTTCTTGATCTTTTTTTTCATTTTAAGTATTCTCTTATTAAGTTTCTTTTTAAATAGTACTTTCTTGAATTGAAGAGGTTTGTTATTATTTTTATTTATTATTCTTCTCTTCTATATCTTATTCAACTTATTATTCTGCTTTTATTTACTTATCCTACTATTCTTAATTATCTACTTTTTCTTAAATATTCTCTTTCAATTATTATTCCTCATGATTTTATGCTTCAATTTAAGGCTAATTAATTTGTTCTTATAATTCTTCTTAAAGAATTTTCTATTATTTTGGAGAAATCTCTTATGACATATAATAAATAAATTATTTATGAGAGTAGTAAAAAGAATGAATACAACTATTGATTTCTATAAAAAAATTTATTTTGTTTTTAATTGATAATAAAAACTAAATTATTTAATTATGCAAAAAGAGATAAAAGAAGAAGAATGTGATTATTCTTTTAAAAGTAAATAAGTTAAATACTGCTAATAAAGTTGCTTTAGTAGGGGAATGTGATGTTGGCAAAACTTGTATTTGGCAAAATTATTTAAAGGGAACGATACCAAAGAAAACTGCTCCAACAATAGGTGTAGAATTTGAAACAAAATTTATCACACTTTCTGATGGATCAAGAATAAAAGCCCAAATTTGGGATACAGGTACTGAATGATTATAGGAAGCTGGACAAGAAAGATATCGTTCTCTTACTAATAGGTAGAAAATATATTATTGACAAATAAAGTCATTTTAGAAAAGTAGTTGGAGCCTTAGCAATTTTTGATTTAACCAATAAAACAAGTCTTGAAAAATTATAACTTTGGATATAAGAATTAAAACATCATGGAGATGGAGATATTCAAATAATAATTATAGGAAACAAATTAGATTTAGTGTAAAAAAATCCAAGTTGTAGATAAGTATCAGAAAATGATATTAAATTATTTATTAAATAAAATAAATGGAAGATATTTGAAATATCAGCTCATTTACCAGAAAATGTAAATCAATGTTTTGAAACTTTATTTATAGGTTAAATTTCATAATTAATATAATTAGACCTTTGTAAATAAAAGACTGGATTTAGAGGAGGAGAACAATCCTAATTAAAACTTATGAAATAATCTGCAAACTTAAATGAAGGAAAATGTAAATGTTGATTTATATTATATTTATATTTTATATAAGTATTTAGCATATTATTACATGTTATATAATGTATCATTTATTGAGAGAGTACTTATATTAAATAATAGATTTAACTTCAATCATTTCTTAATTAATTAGAAGAAAGCATAAGTTTGTATAGTTGATTAATGAAAATTATTAAAAGTTAATGAGTTTTTAATTAAAATACGATCAAGAGTCAAATACATTTTAAATTTAATGTGGGGCATCATAATATTCTGTTGCATCAGTAGATTGTTTATCTTATTATTCTTTAAACATGTAAGCTTTTGTTTCAATTGGCTATTATTAAGCTTCAGAATTTGCTGGGTTATTCCAATCTATTTCAAATCGTGTTATACGAGGTTTATTATTGAAGATTTATCTAGCAATATCTTCAATAATGACTTCTTAAGGATCGTTTTCAATATTTTCAGGGGATGTGTAAGTATTATATACATAATATCCAACTCTAAAGAATTCTCTATGTCTATAAGAACAAGTCAAAATGAATGCAGTAATACCCAATAATTCTTCTTATGGAATCTTTTTCCAATCAGGTGGATTTGATTCAAGAGTAAATTATTTAGTTCCTTTTGTCAAAGGTCCCATAGAAAATTAATCCAATATTTAATCATGTTCTTCATCTTTTGGAGAACCTATATAAAGAAGTCTAAGATTAATATAATTATAGATTCATACGTCCATTCTATTTCATCTTCTATATCAATTATTACATCGAAATAAATATCCATTGTAATTGGACTTGTAAATGGTTGTGGTTTATCATCAACTACAATATTAGTAATACTAACAAATGCCATATGAATTTTATTATTAATTAAATATTGTATTTTGGAGGCTTATAAATAAATACCAATTATTGAGAAGATAAATTACATATGTAATCTTACTATCTAATTAAAAACAAAATAAATCTGAGAATATAATAATATAGAAGTAAAATAAAAAAGCCAGAAAACATAATGTAACAAAAATTTGTCAAGACCTTAAGTAAAATAAATTAAATTTGAATTAAATATTAATTAAGATATTTATATATATAATATTTTACTTTAAATTCCCATTTTTTTCATAAAGTACAAGCAAGTTAATAACAAAAAGATACATCAACATATGTGAACCTAAATGAAGGAAAAAAGAACAAGAATAACGGAATATGAATAATTTTTAAATATTAAATATTTTGTCATTTTTTTTCCAATTAAGGATCTACATTGAGATCTTTAGGAACAAATGCAAATGGTATAACATCGCTACCTTTTGAATATTTTGGTTTTGATTGATCTTTTCCTAGAGCTATAATTTTAATATCATTGCCACTGTAGCAAAACTAATAATAACATTTTTGTATATACTTCTATGATTGTTTACCTGCACATTCCACAAGGAAATGTAGGTTCATCAGTATCACTATGAATATTATTTAAATTATGTACCATGAAACCACAATTGTGGAAATTTGACGGTCTCCTTCGCTTACAGCTTTACATATTGCTACTCTCTCAGCACAAACACAAAGACCATAACTAGCATTTTCTACGTTACATCCTGTGTATAATTTGTTATTTTTAGTGAGTAAAGAGCATCCTACTCTAAAATTAGAATATGGACAATATGCTCTTTCTTTGGCTTTCAGTGCTTCTTGAATAAGTTGATCTTCTGTAATTTCCATAAATAATATTTATTTATATAGTCATTCCAATTCTTTTACTAATGTCTCAAAAGGTAAGAATCAATTCTAAAATGACGTAATAATATAGAGAACTGAAAATAATACAAATGGTCTTCTTAATTTTTAAATATTCATGTACATACATATCAATAGTATGATTACTTCTCTTAATCTACTAATTTCATGAGCCATTCATACTACTAATGTTCCATTTTTACTTGGGTATAACTTCAGCCTTATATTAAAATCTAAATTAATTTCATTTTGATACTAGAAAATGAATTTCATTGATAAGTAAAACTTAGAAAAAGTTGCCCAATATCTGAAATGATATTCTATATCATAAAATGACATTAATATTGCTGTAGCTTTTGATAGAAAGAATATTATTAAATAGTTTTTTCCAGAGAATCCTTTTAATCAAATAAAGAAAGCAGCTGCTACTGCTCCTAAAATGTTGCTAATACATGAAATAACTAATTAAATCATTTTTTCTCTTTCAGTTTAAGTTGATTCGATATGCAATAAAATATATAATAATAAAAGTATAATTCCATATTAAACAAATAATAATATGTTTCAGTTGAAAAAAATTAAAATAGTAAAAAAGAATCAATTATTATCAAATATTGCCATAATTGAATCTTAGAAATAATGATATTAGATACATTATTGTTATATTTTTTTTAAATTCTATTCATAATATAATCCCTATTTGATAATTTGATATTTTATTTCATTATCAAAATAGGAAAAGATATCCATTAGATTGATTCATCTAATCAATAATTTATTCCTTTTTAATCATATAATATTGCAAATCTGAGACCCTCCCTTAAGCAAGATTTACTAATAAAAATAGTCTAGAAAACTGGTAAAACAACACCAAAAAGTTAATGTTCTCAAAGATAATAAACTTGTAAAAATGAATTAATCAAAAATGGTTTTCTTCTTTATACTATATCAGCCAATTAATCTGATAATATTAAATATACTAAATATGCTACCTTAATTATTTAAAAAATGAGTTTATCAAAACAAAATTTGCTTATAATGAATTTAATGAATAAGATATGTGCCATTCATTCTTTATTATTGGAACCATAAATGTAAATATTGTTATCTAAACTCCTTTGCTTATACTCATTAATGTTATAATATAATATATCCAAATATTATACCATGACCATTATTCAGTAAATATATTTACTATATAGATAGATATATATATTCACTTAAACTTTTTAAGTGCTATTTAATTATAAACAGATCCTCTCACATCTTTATCATTTTATAATACTTGATCATCTAAGGAATATTACAATATTGGTATAGATTTGTTAAATCATCCAATTCAAAACAATTTTATTATTCCTCAGTTACTGGAGAAAGAAATACACATAACATTTTTTAAGTTAAAATGTTATCTATTCCAAACTAATATCATGTCTTTAACTTTCAGGAGTCAATAAATAATGTAAATCTCTTAAGAATTATGATGAAATTTTATATTCTTTTTCCTTTAGCATTCTATTTTAGCATTCTATAGATAGCAATTAGACATGCTTATAATGAAACCAACTAGAATAATCATCTTTAAGTATATATTCTGGATTAACTAATGCATAGATACAATCTTCATTTAATCCTATTTCTTTATTAAATAATTATTGATCCTTTACATACTAAGCTATTAAAATCCAAATGAATTTATTTTTATCAATACAATATTTTTACATTATTATTTTATTTATATAATATTAATTCTCAAATATTCGAAATAGTATTTAATTAATTTGTATTTTCGAGGTTCAATTTAAATTCATTTAGGTTCTATATTATATTAAACTCAATCAATTTCTCATTTTTATTTTTAATTATGCGCATCATCTAAGTTAAACATATTTCTTATAAAATTTTCTTATTCACCTTCTCTAATATTATATTCTAATATCTCTATTCTCTTGTTTCAATTTGTCTGAATTAATTGAATTCCAATTTAAATGTCATCAAACAACTAATCACTGAAACTCCTTCTATTTATTTTTAAGTAGTCTGATAATATTATAATAATATATTACTGAAACGAAAATTCGTTAACAATCTAATTAACTAAGATTTGAAACAATTAAATTTAAAATCAATTAAAGAATTAATGCATAATTTGTATTACAATAACTTTAACTATCTTTAAAATAAATTTATATTTCCTATTTAGGATCATAAATTCCCCACATTTGTTGAATATCATTATATATTTATGAAAAATGAAATTACTTCAACTATCCAAATTTTATTGTTCCTAGAAATAATTTCATATTATAATATCCAAATGTAGTTTTATAAAGAAATTAAACTGCCCTTTTTAAGATTAATTACTAATTTCTATTTACAAATTATTATTAATTCAATAACGATTTCAAATATCCTAATGATAATCGAGTGTAATCAAAACAATTAGATAAATGATGATTCAAAAATTTATATCGAATATTTTTTTTTTTTAGTTGTATCATTGTTTTGCATTAAGTATCTTCTTATAATAGAATAATTATTCTAGAATTTCCATTATTTAAACTATTTTATAGAGAAACTCTATAAATCCTTTTAAATTTATCAGATGAAATCTCAGCAGATCTTACACTAATATTTTACTGGATTACTTTAAATAAAAACTATTCTAAAGTCTATTTTAATAAAGCAAAAGCACTTACAGTTTACTCAGATTCCGAATTAGCTGCTTTTTATTATTAAAATGAAACTATTTTATAATGTCTTATAAATTATGTAAAATCTTCTTAATTTTTAATTAATTTAGTTGCTTATTTATTTACATGTAGAACTTGAAATGCATTAGTTTTCTCATTAAATGAACATTGAACAATTTTAAATTGAAATACATTATCTAAAGATTATTATAATTAAAAATCTTCAGTTTTGAGAAGGAAAAAGAGTCGTTTCATTTTTTCATTAATCCAAATTGATTTTAAAACAAGCAATAAAGCTAAAATAAACATCAATTGTATTGAATTAAAGAATTCCTAAACATAAGTACACATAATCATAAGTCCAATTTAATTTATCAATAAAATTGAAAAATTGGCTATGATATTTGATCCAATTAATAAACTATATTATACCATTGCAACAGTTTACCCAGCTAGAAATAGAACATTAGAATTAGCAAAGACAAATAATAAAAAGTAAATCATAACACCTAGTAAAAAGTTTGTACAAGCCAGAATTATATTAAATTATTCAGGGTATTTCTAAACAATCTTAAAACTAATGAAAAAGCTAATTGGAACAATTCCTAATACATATTTTAATTATCCAAATCCAAATGGTTGTAAAAATTCCATACAAAAAACAACAATTGCACTTATTGTTCCAATGATGCAAGCCCAAGTATAAAATTTAAAGAGTTCATTAAATTGATCTGCAAAATACTATTATTCTAGATTTTCATTATTGAATCTTAGAGTATATTTATTCATTTTATTAATGACTACTAAATAAATTATTAAAATCAAAAAGAGCTAGCATATCAATTAGAATTAATTTCTTATTTATAAAAAAATCAATCATTTTGATCATCATTTTCTTCAGCAATCTCTTCTGGATATTCATTTTCACCCTCTTCTCCTTCTTCATTTAATTATTCAGGATCTATTCCAAAAAGATGAAGATTTTGCTATTAATCAATTATTATTATTACACTGAATATATCTCTAAATTAATTATTCTCATTAGCTAATTTTTCTACCTCTTCTTAAAGTTATTATTTCTCATCACTCATATGTTAATACAATTACTTAAAATTTTCAATTAAATCTTTAAATTTATAAATATTATATATATATTACCTTCTAATTTATGAATTTCTTCATCTTTTGCTTCCAATTATTAACCTAATTCCTAAATTATTTCATCTTTTTGATTATCATTACTTTTCACCGATTTCTTATTCGAAGATTATAAATTTTTTTTAGAATTATTCATTAATTCTTCCTTTAATTATTAGAATTCTTCTTAATTATCATGTAAATTTTATTATAATTGTTCAATTATTTAATCTTTCATTGAAGATTCTTATTGTAACTCATTAAGAGTTTATTGTAATTCTTCCTAATAAATTTATAAAAAATTGTTACCAAATTATATTCTTAAGCAATACTTTCTAATTATTAATTTTTTTCATTTAAAATTTATTCTAATTCATTTATCTAATCTTCATATTAATTTCTGACTTTATTTACTTCTTCTTGTATATGTTTATTTGTTTAATTTAATTTTGTATTTAAATTTCTATTTTCATCAGTTAATTGTTAAATTTTTAATTTATCTTCTCTAATTTTGAGTTCAAATTCTTATTCTAATTTTTATCTAAAATACTAAAATAAAAATACAATCTTCTTTATGCTTCTCTCTCTTTTTAATTAGCTTATGATAATTCTGCTCTTAATTTTTCAGTTTATTATTATTCCTCTTTTAATTAGTTAATTAATTATTAACTATTTCTATCATTATCAGAAGTGATTTTTTAATTAGAAGAGTAAGGTCTTTTATCATTTGAGAGATATTGTTAATCTGCTCTTTTATCATGACTATCAATTTTTTTATCCAAATAATCATGTTTATTGCTGACTCTATTAACATCAATGGTTTTAGAGTAATCAGGTTTTCTAGACTCATTGTTTAAATACTCCTTTGTAGGAACTTAAGGTTAAGGTTTGTAATCATTTTTTTTGAATGAATTTCTTTAGTCATTTTTTTAAGGAACAGGCACATTTACTTGGTTTTTCTAATACATTTCTAAAGTTTGGATTATTCTTATGTTATACCTTAATAGGGTATGATTTCTGTTTTATGTTATTGATCAACAGGGCCTGTTCTATTATGTATTTAAGAATCGCATGAATAGCATAATCTGTAAGTTTGACCATATCTACATTAGTTACACTTAATCGTAGCAGGTCTTTGTTAACATTTTTAACACTTGACAAAGAGAGATTACATTTTCAATCGATGTTTTGAAAATATATATAAAAATCTTAAAATAAATAAATTTGAATTTATTTTAAAATAAAAGTATTCATCAAGCTTATAATTAACATTCAAATATTTGTGTTTGACATTAAATTTACAGAAATAACCTAATATTGTTGATAATCAACCTTATCAAATAGATATTTTAAGATTAACTGATNATTATTTAATCTTTCATTGAAGATTCTTATTGTAACTCATTAAGAGTTTATTGTAATTCTTCCTAATAAATTTATAAAAAATTGTTACCAAATTATATTCTTAAGCAATACTTTCTAATTATTAATTTTTTTCATTTAAAATTTATTCTAATTCATTTATCTAATCTTCATATTAATTTCTGACTTTATTTACTTCTTCTTGTATATGTTTATTTGTTTAATTTAATTTTGTATTTAAATTTCTATTTTCATCAGTTAATTGTTAAATTTTTAATTTATCTTCTCTAATTTTGAGTTCAAATTCTTATTCTAATTTTTATCTAAAATACTAAAATAAAAATACAATCTTCTTTATGCTTCTCTCTCTTTTTAATTAGCTTATGATAATTCTGCTCTTAATTTTTCAGTTTATTATTATTCCTCTTTTAATTAGTTAATTAATTATTAACTATTTCTATCATTATCAGAAGTGATTTTTTAATTAGAAGAGTAAGGTCTTTTATCATTTGAGAGATATTGTTAATCTGCTCTTTTATCATGACTATCAATTTTTTTATCCAAATAATCATGTTTATTGCTGACTCTATTAACATCAATGGTTTTAGAGTAATCAGGTTTTCTAGACTCATTGTTTAAATACTCCTTTGTAGGAACTTAAGGTTAAGGTTTGTAATCATTTTTTTTGAATGAATTTCTTTAGTCATTTTTTTAAGGAACAGGCACATTTACTTGGTTTTTCTAATACATTTCTAAAGTTTGGATTATTCTTATGTTATACCTTAATAGGGTATGATTTCTGTTTTATGTTATTGATCAACAGGGCCTGTTCTATTATGTATTTAAGAATCGCATGAATAGCATAATCTGTAAGTTTGACCATATCTACATTAGTTACACTTAATCGTAGCAGGTCTTTGTTAACATTTTTAACACTTGACAAAGAGAGATTACATTTTCAATCGATGTTTTGAAAATATATATAAAAATCTTAAAATAAATAAATTTGAATTTATTTTAAAATAAAAGTATTCATCAAGCTTATAATTAACATTCAAATATTTGTGTTTGACATTAAATTTACAGAAATAACCTAATATTGTTGATAATCAACCTTATCAAATAGATATTTTAAGATTAACTGATACACAAAATCAGAATCAAACTTTAAAATTTCTCTAATATTATTGATCACTTTAAATGTTGAGATATTTTTTACTCCATAAAATGAATGAAATCCAAATAGACTGAATAGCAAAATAACTGTAATTTCCATATCTACAAGCAAACCAATATTTTAAACTAATATTTCTAATGCCTACAATTTAGAAGGAAATTTAAAAATAACAAATAGAGATATCTATAGATATGAGTTATTTTTTTCTTGAATGCAAACTCCTATTTAAAAAAAATGATGATCAAGTATTAGGATACAAAATTTAAGGTATTGAATATATTTGGCTCTAATTGGCTACTCGTTTAAATATTCTATAGAAATATTTTTGATTATTTGTTAATCTTTGTTAACTTACTGCTTTTGAAGTACTTAAGCAAGTTTTTTTATTCAGTGTATTAATTTAAGCTCATTCAAAAGTTAGTGATGAAAGCATTCCTCCACTTGAAAAGATTTCTTGATTTTCAGCTAAAACAATAGGTAATTAATAAGTAATTCTCTATAAACCAAAAATGCAGATCAAATTGGAATATCGAAAATGTCTTTAGACATTATTTGTTTAAATTCCCTTATAATTTATTATTCAAGCATTTATCATCCTCCTTGATATATATTTTTATTAAAATTTGAATGACTAAATTACTATAACTTTAAATTTTTATAGTCCTAAATATCAATTTTTTATACAATCTCTTTCAAATTTGTTATTTTTCAGATTTAGTATTCTACAAGAAATTAAATACAATATTTCAATTTCTCAATAGAAATATTAAAATACATTTCAAACACAAAATATCTAATATTATGATTACTAATTCCAAAGAATTAAACAGCAATTCCTAACCTATTATGAATGCTCTTAGAGATCTCAATATATTTGATTAAGACAATGAATTCTAATCTTAACAATCCATATCTATTCGTCTTAAGTCCTTTTTTGAAAACATTTCAACTAAAGTATAATCATTCATTCTTTATTTTTAGAAATAATTCTTGAAGTCTTTATTTAAAATTGTTGAATAAGAGATCTAAGAGAAGGGTAATTTGTAAAAATAGTTAAAACTTTTACTTTTGCTTCATATCATCTTAAGTTCACAAGTAGCTCGATCTGAATAATCAAAAATTTTTATTTCAAAACAAATTAATATTCAAACCAATAACACTACTTTAGGAAAAGTTTGTCAATAATATTATTTTTATCTTTATAAGCTAGCTTCCTAAACCACATTTATTAATGAAGATGTAATTAATGGAGATATTTTAATTTATTTCACATTATCAAATTAATGCAATTTAGGAATTAGCATTTAATCATAAATTGAAAATGTAGAATAATTTTAAACTAATTAATTGCTTGGCAATATAGTTAAATACATTTATTATGATTTGCAAGATATTGCTATTTTTATTATGAAAGATGTGAAGTCAATAATTGAAAATTAGTAGGAAATCTAATAAAACAAATTATAGATCCTTGAATTATATAAAGAAGTAAGATTTTATAATAATTAAATAGTGTTAAGTTTTATAATAGAAAATGCTCAGCTTTTATAGATTTAATCGACACTTTTAGCATTTTTCTTAAATTATGCCTCCTTATTCATTAGTTGTAGAGCAACATTATCTTAAAGAATTACAAGAAAATAAACCAAAAATTTATTCATTAAAACATTTATCAAAATTGAATTAAGAACATACAAAAAATATTCCTCAGACATCTAAATAAAGATAGAGAATAAAATTTGAATTTGGAGAAAAGAAAAAAAAAGAGGAATCTCCTCAATTTTCATTTTCAAATTGATAAATATTAATATATCATTATTTTATGTAATGTACTTTATTTTATAATATCATTTTCATTTCTTAGCTTTTGTTGTAGCTTTTTAAGTTGGTTATGCTGCAGTCTTAGCTGGTGCAGTAGTCTTGACTGGAGCTGTGGATTTAACTGGAGCAGCTGTTTTAGCTTATGTAGCTGGTTTGACTGGTTAAGTTGTTTTAACTTATTTAGTGTCTTTAGTCTAATAAATTGCATAACATAAATTACTTTAGGTTATTCTTAAGCTTTTTCTTTGATTTCAGATGAAGCTTTTCTGTGTTTCTTATGTGCTTCATGAACATCATGAGCCAATTTTTTATATGCTTCTAAAGCTTATTTGGCTTTGGTTCTTCTAGCTTATTCTGTCTTCTTTTAAATAGTCTTTCTTCTCAATCTTGATTCAGTAACGAGTCTTTAAATCTTTGCAGACTTTTATCTCTTCTTTCCATCTTTTGTTTACCATGTTCTTCTAATGAGATTCTTTTAAACAAGAGCAACACCATCAGTCTTCTTAAATCCAAATAATCTTCTTAATTTAGTTAATCTCTTTGGACCTAATCTTCTTGGAACATTTTGATCTGTAAGTCCACCAATTTCATTAGCTCCTTTCTTTACTACTTATAAAGCAAGGACTCTAATATCTTGACCTACAATGCATCCTCTAATTGATTTGCGTTTCATCTCTCCATCTTTTCTTGGTCTATATCCTTTGTGTCCTTTTCTCATTAAAATTCTAACTCTTCCCTTAAATAGGACACCTTGTCTCATTGGGAAACCTTATTTATCGTTACCACCTGTTATCTTGAATACATAGCCTTTGAATTCATCACCTAAGTTGTCAGCCTCTACAACTTATCCCATTCTCTTATCGAAGAATATTGAGCTACATAATCTCTAATTATATATTACCATTTCTTGTCATCATCAATTTCCACTGTTTTCTAAGCACCTGTCAAGGGGTAGGATATGTTGAACTAAGCAAAGCATATTTTGTTACCTTCATAAAAATCTTGGATTTTTTTAAATTAGATTTAAAATTATGTGTTTCACATTTTAATATTATCTAACTCTGTGAGACATTTTTATTACTAAATAAATAGATTCAAAATAACATTCATTTCTTAAATTATACATACCAAACAATCATAACAATTCCTTTAATTTATTTAAGTAATAGAAAAATCAAACATTTATTATCAATATTATTTTATCTTTTATTTATGATCTCTCTTATTCACAATTAAATATAATCAAATCATTAATTAATTTAAAATTCTTTATCTCATTTATTTTTAATATAAAAATATCCAAAAATAACACATAATTTAAAATCACAACATTTTCTATTCAGCTATTTGTTCTAATATATAATTATTAATTATTGAAATAGAAACAAAGAGATATTTATTATTTACCATTTACCTTAATAACTATTTAATTTATATATAATAAAAACTTTATATCTGATAATTGAGTGCACAACTCGTTACGTCTAATATAAATTTTTATTTTCAAAATCTTTAAAATAATTCATATTTATATTAATTTACCATAAATTATACAATGCAGGACAATATATTTTTTACTAAACTTTTTGTTTAACCCACAAACGCATATTCTATTTTGATATTGGATATAGTCATTCAAAAAATACCAATCCACCTTGATTGATTTTAACGTATAATATAGATCTCAGCATATTCAGTTATAAGGATATTACAATATTTGTTAATTATTTCAATATTTGAATAGGAAAAATCTTATGCCAAAAAATAAATTAAGAATTAATAATATTAAAAGGGAAATCAAATATCAGAAAACATAAATATTTTTTACAAGTTTCATACTTTACGTTATTAAATTAAATGTATATTGTTTAAAATAGATATTTTATCATTATTTTTATCCTAATTGCAAATCGTATCGCTATTACGAAATAAATATATGGATAGCTGAATTTTGGATATCGAATTATTATTTTTTTGTCTATTTGGACAACCAGAAAGTGTAAAAAATTATTTAAATAGTTCTGGGATATTGGGTCCATAGAATATTTCATTTTAATTTTCTCTATAAAAATTTCCATAGTGTGCATCATTTATTTAGAGAACCTACTGTTTCAAGATAATGTGCAACATATCCACTTGAAGAGATAACTGCCTTAATATAGCATTAAATTTAGTTGAATTTATACTACTTATTCATCCTTTGATAACTTTGTTTTTTTTTAATATATTCCTGTTAATGAGATGATGGAACATGATGTGAAGGTACGATTAAAATTATTACATATAGTGTATTTGATCATACCCTTATGGATGCATTTTTTTGGACTACTTACAATTGTGTAATATTATTTAATTTATGAATAGAAAAACTATTTGGTAAATGCGAAATGTTCATATTTAGAGTATAAAGAGGATAGATTAGATGCGATATTTATGAAATATTAACGAAATGTTAGAATAAATATATTTAAATTTAATGGGTTGTTTATAGTCTAGAAATCAGTAACTTATTGAAGAGCAAAAAGAGCAAGCAGCTATGAATGAAGAAGATAAGAGTATAGTTTAATAATTTATATGATAGATAACAAATTAGATTTAGTGAGTTGCTCATTTACAGAGAGCAAAAATAGTTAAAATAAAACTTCAAATAGAGTTTCAATAGAAGAATGTAGAAATTCTTTTAATCAAAGTATTGATATGATGCAAGATATCAATAAAAAATTGGAAGCATTTTCTGGAAATGATTC